GTTTCGGGACCAGTGGCTGTGCAACCACTGCCGCCATGGCCGAGCTCTGACTCCGGTGAGCTCAAAAGCGACTCTGAATGTTTCCTATTGGCCCCCCGCTTTGAGCGTGAGGACTCCGCACTGTCATGACGTGTCCGTGACGCTATCTCCGCCTCGTTGCGTACGCTAACCACCGCGCACGTGGCTAGCCTATTGGACCGACGGCGCCTTGGCGCTTAGGGTTTCCTGGACCCACACTATGGGCGCTCATGGTGTCCTGGACCTACAACTAAGGCGACTATGGTGCCTTGAGTGTATGTAGGCGTGTATGATACATGCCCCGGGCATTCCGGGCTCGTTCCAAGTGCACCCATGATCTCCTCGACTGAATCGGAAGGTCTCGCTGGGAGTCCATGATGTCCTGGGCGCACTCTGCAGGTGGCTCTGGGCACCTACTGTTCCCTGGGCGTCTATTGTACCCTCGCCACCCCTCATTCCGCGGGCGCCTACTGTGCCCTGGGCTCCGTCTGAGGGTTGCGCTGGGCGTCCACGGTGTCCCAAAGACCACGAACTGGCCATGCCGAGATGCTGCCGAGCGGGCGCCTACTGCGCCCTGGGTGCGTTCACCGGCGCTTACGGTGTCCGCGGGCGCTTACGGTTCCGTGACTGCAGGGGAGGGATCCCGGCATCATATAGTTAGGGGTCCCTCTCATCTCAACCGCCATGTCTCGCTCTATGCGAGGTCCTCCAATCACCTGTCCATACACCGAGGAATGGCCCACCAGTAGGAACCTGCAACGAGTCATTCGGCAAACAAAATCAACCTATAGTTTACGTTGCGCGGCTATTTACACACCTCAGAGTGAGCGCACATCTGGCTTTGCATTCTATCTGATGTCGGTAAGTGGCTGCTGGCTCGACCGAACAATAAGGCCATGCATTCGAGAAGTATTCAAGAGCGCCCGAATGACTCGCTAACCATTCAAACACGATGCAGACATCTCATCCGTAGGTAAAGATGCGTACGGTTACTACAGGCATTCATCGCACAGGAATAATTCGCGAACCCCAAATCCCAGGAGCCGCCATGAGGCAGTCGCCTTTGTCGGCCTCTCATACATGCCTAAAGTCGTGCAAAGCTTATCCTCGCCGTTGAGAACAGGATATATAAGTCAGAGGTATCTCGGCATTCATGTTTCCCATCCCAAGTACAAATCTCCTCGATACATCTCTCGTATTACTGTCATATGATGACTTCTGAGAATGATCGTGGTCGAGACCGCCTCACTCGTGGCACCCATCGCTATCGACCCTATGTGCGCCGTGGTCCTCCCGAGGTGAGTATCACTTTGGGTCGCTACATGACATGTCGCTTTACAACCCTGGACTGACTGAGCATCCGGGTTGTCTTTTCGCAGCTCGACAATCGCGAAGTGCGCAACTGTCTTCTGATAGCCGCGTGGATGTCGATGGTATGTGCATACAGTGTCCTCTGTACTTCCTGACGGACGCTCTCCACTAGGTCCGCGCGCTCTCTCGCATTCACGAGGCTCAGCATGACGCCGATGTCGAAATGGAGGATGCTTGAGCTGGTTGTGCGGGGACTTCGCTTGTTCATGGTACGCTGACTTACCACCTTCTCTGTTCGTTGCATATAACGTTGTCTCCTGAATGATCGTTTCGAAAGCATGCATCCCGGCAATACCCAAGTCTCGGGCGCGGTCTACAGCGCTGTTAAACTTTGTTATGTCCCTGCTTTGTTGCATGTTCTCTCGTCTCGCTGTCCACTGTCCTGTTCTCGCGTCAATGCATCTCTTACTTCCTAAGCCTTGGGGTCATCTGCATACAGTCCGGCGCGCAAGAGAACGACTGTCATCCCGCCTCTGCAGCCGCAGGCTTGCTGACAGCATCTGTTGTATATCTCAATAATGTCGAGCTTCTCGTGTCTCGCCGTCATCTCAAATTAAAGAGATCGTGCAGGTTTGACTCTTGATGCTGACTGCAGACCACAGGACTGTCGACTGAGGTCCATAGGCCCACATTTGAATCGCTCATTCGGAGATTCTTACACCACAAGGTCTTGAAGCCTAGCCTGAAAAGAATTGACAAGTTATATCGCTGCACGAACAATACAACGCTCTGAAACGACAACCCAACCTCGACAACTACTACGGCCTGCGCAAGATTAACTGACAAGCCAGATCGCTCAAATTCAGGAGTTCGAGAGGTCTTTGGGCCCACGACTCCATCGCAGTGGTTAGGCTAATAGCGCATTGCACCGGCGATGGCGGCGCGGGGTGGTGCGTCTGCAGTGGAGACCGGGACGCAGAAGGTGCGGCTACTGCCGGGGAGCTGAGCCACAATGGAAATGCCCCACTGACGGGACGACCGCTGACATGACGTCATGAGACGTACCCCCTTACTTATGAGCGATACGATGTCAGGAGCGAACAACTTGCCTTGCTTCTCCAGCGCGCACGTATCCTTCAGACGACCTACTTGCAATTCGATCAACATGAGCGACAAACACACTAGCTCCGGCTACCACGGTTCCCTTGTCGACGATTGTGCGTTCTGCATAGCTTGCAATGCGCGAAAACTAACATAGATACTCGGATGATTCAGCGATACAGAACCCAGGACGCGACTCGACGTACACAACTGGCAATTATCCACCACCTGACGATAGTGAGTGGCCGTGTCGCGTTGACGGCGTGAGGAGCTTAAGAGTGCGCGGACATAGCAACCTCTTCCGGAGGCTACAGCTCGCAGGACACTTGGTCGAACGCCGCGCAAAGAGGCAGCCTCGTCGATCAGTCCGTAAACGGCGGCCCAATCGGCCAGGAACTGCAGGACGCAAAGCAAGGGGAAGACACGGCTGCACGTCAAGATTTCCGGCATGAGGCGGAACGCGACTTTGATAGACAGGGTGCGCAAGGATTGAATCCATACGGGCGAAACGTGGACAGCCGAAAAGAGGCGGAAGAAATGCTTGCGTCGAGGTACAGGGATGCGAGGGGAAAGCACTATGAGAGCGGGCCTGCTGCAAGCAATGACGGTGACGTGGGTGCTTGAGGTTAGGGACATCGAAATACGAACATTCGGACCATTGCATGTACCAATTCTCCTCACATTGCAGCATGAGTTCGCACGAGCTTGGAGTGGGGATGCGTTTGAGATTGCGTGAGCGAATAAACAATGCGTAGAGAACATGCTGGACCTATTAGCCATGATATGATGTATATGCTAGCGACAACTTTTAGAGGGTAGGCGCGACCACACCCAGCACCCTTGAGCCCGCCGAACGAACTCAACAGCACCCATCGTTCACTCCTGGATCTTCGCGAGGATTTCGGAATCCCGGAACAAATAGTACTCCTGTTATATGAGACACGTATCACACGGTCAGTACCCTGAACGCGCAATCATCATACTAGGACAGACGCACCTCTTCGCCAACCTTGATCTGGTTACCACCCCACCCTGGCAGCAGGACGCGGTCGCCCGCCTTCACGCTCGTAGGCACCATCAGGCCCTCCTTGTTCGGCGCACCTGGACCGACGGCGATGACGGTCGCCTCCGGGAGCGGCTGAGTCGTCGCTGACGTTGGCAAGAAGATGCCCGTCGCGGTTTTCTATGCAGCAGGAAAACGTGAGGAGATTGGGATAGGGCAAGTCAAGGCATTACATACCGTCTCCGCTTTGAATCGCTGGACGAGCACGCGGTCGAAAAGGGGCACGACGGCCTTGATGGACTTGAATGTCGCCTGAGCAGCCTGGAGGAACGAGTGTTAGCTTTGGAACAGAATGCCAGGGAGAGCGAACACGGACCATTGAGAGGATTAGAATGAGAACGCTGGCGGACGAGACAAGCGCTACATTCGCCCGATTACATTTTCTGCCATGTTGTTTGTCCAGACCAAATAACGCATCTCCCGGAAGGCTCTCGAACTCACAAGTCAGCCGGTCGGAGGTAAATCGGCGGTCAGCGAGGAAATGGTATTGCGTAGTAATATGATGGTGTGCGTAGCTACATTGCGGTAGAGAAGGGAAACTAATGCGATGTGTACAATGATGAGGTATGTATACTGGATAACTAGCAGCAGTCGCGCCTGGGATGACAAGAAGGGTGGTAGAGAGGGCGCAGATCGAGGGGGTATGGCTGGTCCGTCTTCATCCTAGAATCATATCGTCGCCGGTGCCATCCTCAATGACCGTGCGCGCGATACCCTCATCAACGGGAGCATCGTCCCGTTCTCCAAGCGGCGGCAGTCTGGGCGCGTTCAGAGCAGCCAGTGTTGCATCTGGATTGATGCTCAAGTTAGACACGACAGACCGCATTGCGTTGGGTGGGACCCTAGCGGTCCCATTCTGCTCCACGAGTCGTTCCGCCGCCAGCTGCCGACTCCGCTCTCGCTCGGCGCGGCGCTCAGCACGAGCATGCAGCGAGGCGACATGTTGCGCTTGCCTTGTTGCCAACGTTGTTGTGGCGTCTCCGGAGCGCGAGGATCCTTCGCCAGGATGCCCATGGTGGTGTTCACCGTCTTCATCGTTATCTTTCGCGCTGCACCAAAACCGATGGCCCTCGCTCCAAGCCGTACTCTGGCACTCCTTCCCGCAATACTTGGCTTTTCGACACCGCCGACATTTTGCGAATTCGCGTGGGAACGATTCCCATCGACCACACATCACTGCAGGAATGTCGCTTTGAGTACCAACACAGAAGATCACGTATGCACTACTCACTGTTTGCACACTGTCTAATACCACCACGACTGTCATCTTTCCGACAAGCATTCCGCATGATAACGCCCGCCCAATACTGGATCTCCGGCGGAAGCGAAGGCGGAGGGGTGGATGAGTCAAGATCAGCCGAACTGTGACGGAAAGTGAACCGCTCAACAAGCGTGAACACGTTCGTCATTCGTGGTGGGTTCGAGGACGAGCCTGGAGCTGCAGCCGTGTTCACATCACCGGTGCCGACATCAGATACCTTCTCTTTCTCCTTTTCTTTGCCACGCCCGGCAGCAGAAGTGAATACTTTCAAGAATGAATTACTCTCCTTTGGGGGCGTGGCGCTAGGAAGTGGATGTACCCGTACACGCCCCGCCATATCCGCCGCGGCGTCCTTCGTCCCGCTTGGCTGGCTGACTCGGCCATCTGCTGCCAGCTGGGCCGTCGCCGGGTGAAACGTCGCGCGCGGCTTATAGAACGCTTGCCGTAGATGGGGATACTTGCTGAGATACGCGAGCAGCTGCAGACTGAGAAGTACATCTTCGTCGCGATATGGTCCAGACAACTCCGAGTCGCGGTGATGGACATGCGCCGTAGTACCACTCCCGCCAGCAAGCGTGTTGGGGCCACGAGTGACTGTGCGCGCAGTTCGTGTGCCGCCAGCCTCGCCCGTGCTTGCCACGCGAATACCAGTAGTGGGAGGAGGGGGAACGGAGATCGGTATGGGATGTGGAAGGTTCGTCATGCCTGCTCTTGGTGTGCGTTCGCCAGGCCCATGGACATCAGGAGGTACACGCGCAGGCGGGCCGTCGATGGCACCGGGGGCCCCCGGTGGTGCCCCCATCGCAAAGTCATCATTAGTCTCGAGAGATACCAGACCATCCTCCATGGTCACACCCTCCACACCAGCCTCCTGGTTATTGATGATGATGTGCGCATCGCTATTGATGTCCAGGGAGCCACCGGGCGCGTTGGCAGCGGCATCAGAGACAATGCCCACCGCACGCCTTGAGTGCAGATTCGGACGAATAGTGCCTGTGCTTGCGATTGACCCGCGACGCTCGGGGGGAGGGGTACCAGATACGGAGAGTGCATCCTCGCGGCTACTCTCGCGGTCCATATCTACGTCCCCGTCGTCCTCGGTCTCGGTCTCCGGTCTGGAATTGTCAGCAGAAGTAGACGCGGACGCATCCGCAGATGTCGATGGTGCGCGATGGCGTGAGCGATGGCCGCGCCGGTGATTCGTGTTCGGACCAGCCGATTCCCACGTCGCGCGAGCAATGACAGTGCCGCTGCGATCTCGACCAGGTACAACTACTGCCCCGGTCGGTGTGTCTGTCCCTCCAGGCGTTGCATTCGAGGAATTGTCAGTGCTCTCTGCAGTCGTGGGTTCCGTGTCCATGTGATCGTCCTTTAAGAACGGTCAGACCCTCGGTGAACTATCGTGGAGGAACAAAGTGCTCACTTCCTGCACCTCCTCGATCTGAGCATCTGCCTCTCCTACGCTTCGATCTGGCCTCAGCTGACGCTGCAGCGCCCGCGCCAGTGCATCCGCTTGCTCTCGTTGGCGCGCTTCCGACTGGGCCTGCCTTCTGGCCAGACGCTGCTCCCGCGTTTCGCGAGGCATCCCATTCGCCCCAACGCTCGGACCTACCGCAAACCCTCTGCCCGCCAGCCATGCTTCCAAGATGCATCCTACCACGTCCAACGTGCCCGCCTGCACCACCCGGCTGCGGATTGGTTCACTCCCGCGCACGCCGATGTTGACGACGCACTGAAATGCGAGGCTGAAGCGGTACTGGGCCTGCTTGTCGAACTGCTTCGGATTTAGCGTCGGCGTTAGCTTGAGCGGATGCGACGACGGTGGCGAGAGTCCATAGAACAGTGTTGGGTTTTCAGGCGGAGGAGGACAGATACAAAAGTCATGAAGGATGCGAACAAGGCGTTCGAGCCCGCCATCCATGGTCATAATCTCGCGAATGCGGGGGGAGGTGGACGTCAGATACGTGAGGTGGGTCAGCGAGTTGAACAATGGCAAAGGGGAATTCGTGTCAAGGGCTAAGTCAGTCAGAGCATACACATCAGCTCAAGGACGGCCTATACGAAGAGTGGTATTGTACCTCTGCGGTCGTAAAGCTGGGAAGAGATGCATACGCAGGCCCGATTCTGCGCTGGGAATGCAAAGTTGGATTCCCGCATGGCGAGCAAACGAGTGGGGGGATAGAAATGCCCGCTAGGATGTCAGAGAGCGGTGCGGGGTCGTCGCCTTTGTTGTCGTCGTCGATGAGAAAGCCGGTGTTGGCGGCGGGGGCGTCGTCGTCGTTGTCGATGTTGGGGTCGTCTGCCGCTCGGGCGGTGCGATCTGACTGATAGTTGTGTGGCATTGTTTGGCCAGTGGCTACACAGGCACCGTAGCCCGATTGGGCAGGTGAGGGCGGACTCGGATGACTAATCCGGGGCCTTTGGCTGGCAGTCAGCCACTACCTTACGCCATCAGTCAACCGTCAGCAGTTGTAATCCAGTGGGTGGCTGCAGACCCATAATATCATTCAATTTTTGGCAGGAAAGATGGTCAATTTTGCCATGGCCGACGACCAACAGCAACTGAAACGAAAGACACTCGATCATCATTTAAGTATTTTTGTTGTATGAAGGCATGGCCCTTTGCAGTCCATAGTAGTATCAGTCCAGCCTTATCCCAGAGTGTCTTACCGTCAATTGGTCGCATACAAACGACGATAGCATCTGATTTTACCACCATACTATCATCAAGAGTACCACCTCCCCAAGGATGCCATGAGGGGTCTCTGTGTAATCTACTTTTCATCAGAATGCAGTTTACAAACAATCTCCCAGCCTAAATAATACGTACAGCTGGCCCGAATCCATGAGATAGACAAGACAAGGACAAATAATGCTAGTCTACTCCTCCTTCTTTGCAGCATGTTTTTCCGCCTGGTCAATCGCAGCCTTATCCGTCTGGGGTCCCGCAGCGGCTAAAAATTGTGTCAAAAGTGATGCGATGCGTATAGTGGAGGACACAACTTACCACCCATGAGCCCACCGGCCTTGAACGGCCGCTTGAGGTCGCCCTCTGCAGGCTTACCCAGAATATGGATGGCAACGGGCTTCGCGTCGTACAAGCCCTTAAAGCCCATGAGCGCCTGAACAAACAAGGGCTGAGTATACCTAGGGTGCAGGGCGGTGTCGTGTCAGAGTCAAAAAGTGCAATACGGAGAGAGGCGAGCGCACTTGAGGTAGCCGTGCATGAACCCCATCATCGCAAGGCCCATCAATTGCGAGCGGATGAGCTTGGACGTCTCCCCGAGGTCATAGTCCCGTACAGTCGTTGTTACGAGCTGCCCCTCGTCTTTCGACTGTGACGTACGTCAGATAGACAGCTCGCGTAGATGGATTGCTTTGACTGACCATTGGACTTGCAGGCTCAACTGTAGGAAGATGTCAGCACGGAACGTACTGCCCCGAGGACAGTGCACTTACCGTACTTGAGAACGGTCTGGTCATTCTTCTGCTTGATCTGCCGAGGGTGTCAGCTCGACGCGAGAGACAGATATAGTAGACACTACATGCCTTCATGGACACGAAGTAGTACGCCCCGAGAATGACCACCTGCACGGTGACATACGCAATGCGGACCCACGTGAGGACCTGTGGGTCATTGAAGTCGATCTTTCGCGCGACTACGTTTACGGGTGAGCTACCAGCCGAAGGAGGACTAAGGCGGACAGCTAACCTTGCATTGCGACCAGAGAGACGACGAGGTTGGATGCTGCGGCATTCATGTTGGCTAGACTGACGGGGCTGAACGATGCGGAGGAAGATGCGGAGGAGGAGGATGGGCAAAGCAGACGCGTCGAGGTGGTTTTGCAGCGCCCCTTGCCGCAGACCGATCGTGACGTGTCAATAGCCGACTGAGTGACTGTGACTCTATCTGGTCCCTGTCACATTGTGTCACATCACCCATATCGCTCTCCTTCTCATCACATAGCTCGAAAGGTAAATGTGAAAGCAACGACCTGTTCGCGCGGCCTTATTAAATACGAACATACGGATTGAAGCGCTTTTTTGCCTTATATGTTCTGCTCACGGCTGAGCTGTCTTCAGGACTCCATCATTCGGCAGATCTCTGTGTAATACAGTCCTGGGAAAAACTCCCCGATCGGGAGTCTTTGGCAGTATCAGGCGCCAGAGAGGGGGTAGTTGTTCACAGCTATTGACTGATCTTTAACATAACTATCATTTACGAGTCCGAGCCCCGCGCTGCATGGAAGACCACCAGCATGCTGGCATATGGCAGTATTCGCGATGATCACATTGGCCAAATCCCCACTGCGTAATAAAACATCCTCATCGTCTTCATACAATATTAAGAATAATCTTTTTCCTGAGCACTTGGTTGAGGAGGTTGCAAAACCCATCTCGAATTAGGCGAGACCATGTAGCGATTTGCGAAGCTGGAAGAATCGCTTGTTGACCGAGAATACAGGTGAAGGTCGTTTATTTTGTCGCTACTACTTACGCACCATCACAGATAGTTGCATGAGGAATCATGAGCCCTGATCTCTGGAAATTGTCGTACAAATCGGCCATATTTTGAGAAATCGGGATCACCTCTTATATTCAGAGAGGTTCTGTTGCATAGAACTCGCCTCAACCTTGCCCGCCTCAGCTTGGTTTACATGGTCAACAGATCTCAGATCCGGATTATACGAGGCCCAGAAGGCTGCTTAAGGCCCTGCGGGGTTCTTGACATCATCACGTATTATTATCACCGTCCAGTTCTTGACATCGCTAATGACATGATGTTGAACACGTCTCAGCCAAGCCGGCTGCGATTGCGCTTCGAGCAAGAGACAACGCGCTGCAGAAGACTGATGCGCGAGAGCCCCTGTTCATTCTCAGGAGGTCACGTTTGTGCCCGACGGAAGTACCAGTGAGACCGTGTGATCTCCTATAGCGATCACCTGAACCTGCGCATCTGACCCCCTGACAGGACATCATACCCGTCGCAATAACTATGCTCTCCGTCCAGGTGGTCTACATAAAAGGCGGCTACACCACGTTCTAGGTCTGTTGTCTCCGAAGAATCATTGAGCTTCTCGAGGTCGTTGCTATTATAGTACTTTTGCTAACATGCGTTCCCCCCTGCTATCTTCTAGTTTCAGATCGTCTCTCTTCCGAACAGTGAGGCCTACCATTCACAGGGAAGCCCTTCGCCGATGCACGTTCTCGACGTCATGCGTCGCGCTGTCGTCAACTTCAAGCATTGGGACGCAGACGAAGACGAGCGTTTCCCCGTCGTATGGAGCCGTCGGCGTCGCGGCCGCCCTAGATTCGAAAGAGGCATCCCGTATGTACCGGTATTCACTCCATTATCACCATCGCAGTTGACCTTCACAGCCGCCGAGCCTACTCTTTTCCAGAAAGAGTTCTCGCTGGGGGACCGTGTCGCGCTGGTCACTGGGGCCAACCGTGGACTCGGACTGGAGATGGCAATGACTCTAGTCGAGGCAGGTTGTCGCGCCGTGTACTGCGTCGACCTTCCGCAGAGCCCCGGTGAAGAGTTTACGAAAGTGAAACAGTATGTCGAGAACATGAAGGGGATCAATGGCAGAATGGAATACATCAGCGCGGACGTTCGAGACCAGGTGCATCCCTTTTCTGCCGCGATATCCGTCGTTCGTCAGCCCTGCTAACATCGACCGGTTGCAGGCTACAATGTGGAAAATCGGCAAAACTATTGGAGACAAGGAGGGCCGCATGGACGTCTGTGTCGCCGCCGCCGGTATCCTCAAGCCCGACATCGATTGCTTGGAGTATCCGGCAGATGTCTTTGAGAATGTCAGTGTCATCCCCTGAAAATAGATGACCAAGGTCCTGGCATGGTATCCGATCGCTCACACGTCTCTTACCAGACGATAGATGTGAATGTATGCGGCGTGCTCTACACAGCCCAGGCGGCAGGCCGCGAGATGGAACGTTTCGGGAACGGAGGCAGCATCATCCTCATCGCCAGCATGAGCGGCAGCATCACGAACATGGTATAACCAGCCGTGCTCCCGTGCACAGCATCCATCGCTAACTCTCGGACCCGCGCAACAGCATCAGCACTGGGTATCATACAACACGTCCAAGTCGGCGGTGTTGCAGATGGGCCGCAGCATGGCGTGCGAGCTGGCTCAAAAGGGCATCCGAGTCAACACCCTCAGCCCGGGCTACATCTACACCAAGTGCGTGCGCATAGCTGTGCTGACGTGCTGTGCCGACCGATGCTTGCCCTGCAGACTGACCGGTCTCTTCGTCGACTCTCAACCGGGCTTGCTCGAGAAGTGGTCAAGCCAGAACCCCTCTGGACGGCTCGGCCGCCCGGACGAATTGAGAGGAGTCGTCACCTGGCTTGCGAGCGACGCAAGCACCTACTGCAACGGGAGCGAGTACGTAAAATCTCCAGACTTGGTTCCAAAGATGCTCAAGTGCTTCATCAGTATCATCGTGGACGGCGGACATCGCGCATGGTAGGCACTCCGCGGTCTTTACGTTCTCATGACATTGTCATTATTGTATCATTATCGCAATCATTGCCTAAGAGCGTTTTCATTGTCTAATGCGTCTGTTCATACATCGTGGCTACTAATGATACATCGTACGGTACGCTCAATAGCAAAGCGAGATAGAAGACGAAACAGAAACGTGGCACGGAAGCACTAAATACTAACGACAGCTCTCTCAGCAGTACGAGAGGAGGTATAGGTATCGTGAAGTACGTAACGTACACTACGAAATGAAGCGCAGCGTGTATAGCGTCCTCGCGCTCAATTACTTAACATGTTCATCTGATAGGGAGCAATACTAACACTATAAGTTGCGTCGTGAAACCTGCCAACGCACGCGACACCAACACCCGCGCATGCGTGGCTCAGCTCCCCGAGGCTGCCGCCTGGTCTGCAGGCTGCGCGAATGCCGACACGGGCATGGCCAGCACACTCTGCGGTATGGCCGTCGTGGGGGCGCTCGCTCTGCGGAGGCGGTCCGACATTCCCACAGTGGGCCGGCCGGCCGTCGCCCCTGCATAGGCCTGGTCGACCTCCAGCCCCGACGAGATCGATCGCCTCTGGGCATAGTCCCCGTCGTCATCGTCATCGTCATCCACAACGTCATCATCCCAGCCGGCGGGACCCAGCAGCGCCCTCTTCGTGTTCTCTGGCCCGAGCGTCTGCGACGCAAGGCGCTTGAAGGATGGGCGATACGACGAATCAGACTCGGCGCCCGTGTCGCTTCCCACGGCCGTGCTCGATGCAACGGACGGTGGTCGCATGCCCTGGCACCCGCTCTGCGACGATGGCCGCGAATCGTGACCCTGTAGTCTGCTCTCGGTGTGCCCAAACGCATGTGCAAGAGAAGAATTGTTGGAGGAAGTCGACGAAGGACGATTGAGTAAGTCTGTGATTTTGTTCGATGCGGGAGGTGGCGGCAGGTGCGAAGTAAGGGGGCTTGCGCTTTTACTCGTATGCGCATTATGGTGGGCTTGTTCCCGTTGCAGCTGAGGCTGGGCTTGTGCCTGTAGCAAGTCGCCGACGACGCCGTTGTGGATCGTCCCCCTGCGTCTGGGTGCCAGGTTCAGGGTCATGGGTGCCTTGCGTGCAAGCACCGCTTGCTCGTAGCTCTTTAGGTCCTCTGCACCGTGGAAAGTCGTGCGCATCGACGAGAAGGCATTTGGGTTCACCTGTCCGTCTTCCCCCCGCTCCTTGTCGTGATCCGGATGTGCCTGCTGCCGCGGGTCGTTCATGCTCGACCGGCCCAGGGGCGCAAATCCATTAGCGGCGGCCTCCGCGTGCAACGGCGGGGTCTTCATGCTGGGCAGCGACGCGACCCGCGAGTGTCGCCGCGTCGGCGACGGCCGCCCGGCACCGAGCATCTGGCCAGAGTTGGTCGGCGTGGCTAGCGCAAAGCCATTTCCGCCCGGCCCGCTCAGCGGCGTTCGCACGTACATCTTCCAAAAGTCCCGCATCTCCTTGGTATCCATGTCGCTTTTGCCCGTTTTGAGCGCAGCGATCAGATCTTGTGTGGGCGTCTGGAGGCTCAGATTAGTTCCAGAACCATTCGCGTGCGATCCCGAGCCGCCTAGATTGGAGAAGAAGGGCGCGGAATCTGCGGAGAGCCCAGCAAGGACGTTTGGGTCATCGAGCGACATAAGTCCGAATGCAGACGAGAAGCCTCCCTCACCCTGCCCGTCGTGCCCGAACGCACTGCTTGTATATTGCTGCTTGTGGCCATTTTGTCCATTATTGACAGAGCTGTCGGCGTTCTGCAGCGTATCGAGGTGCGGAAACCCCGGCAACGAATAATTCTGCTGCCGGTGGTGCTGATGATGCACGTCGGGGAGAGGCAAGTGGGCATTGCTCGAGTTTGCGCTATTCGGGATTGAATGGCTTCCGCCGTCGCTCCCAAAATCATCGTTTAAATCTTCCGGGTGGTGGTGAAAGGCAATGTTTGTGTGCGGGTACCCTCCAGGAGCTCCTGCGTTTGAGGATATGGACGGAAACGTGGATCCGTGCGTGGACGGATGGGCCTGAAGTGATGAGTCGCCGGGATCGGTGGTGATGCTTCCTTCGCGGGCAGGAAAGGACTGCCTGTAGTGCTCGTCGAAGTCCTTTCTGTCGATACCCTGAAAGGACTGCTGAGGATGGACGTCGTGCGGCTGGGCCCAAGGGTTGGCAGGCATGGGCACGGAGTAACGGTTAAAGTGAGCTTGGGCCTGGGCATCGCTATACAGAGCATGCGGAGGGATAACGCCATCGGTGCCTGGGGCCGTACCTACAGCGAGGTTCCCATTGGGCAGAACGCCTGCGCGGGATAGCAATTCGGCCTGTGCACGATACCGTGCCATTATATCAGGCGAGTTGGACAATGCGTCGCGGGCGCTGGCAGACAACCCAAGTACGGGTGCGGAAGGGTCTCTAGGATCGCTGGCATTAGGGTATCCCTGCGCATATAGCGAGGCTGAAGTCGAGGGGATGTTATATTGGTCGTTAGGATTCGAGGAGTAAACCGAGGGGAACGAGAAGGCGTTCTGGGGAGGAAGGATGAATTCTTGTGAGGCCCCGGGAAGAATTTGGCGGCCTGGCTGAGGGGCCTGATTGGGGAGGGGGTGACCTGGGCCCTGCGGTGCGGTCTGGCGATGGAATTTGACGTAAGTGCATCGGCATTTCCGCTGAAGACACTTGGCTGATGGAGGGAATAAAGTCAAAATGCAGTATGCGTGGGTAGGGTTGGACGACATACCACATGGGTTGGCGCCATCGCAAGGAAGGCTGGATTGAACGCACTGGTCACAAGCCTGTTTAGAGGTGGTCGCCCTGGAGGCGGCGACAGCGCCCTTGCGGCGGTTGGGAGCGGTAGTGGTAGGTGGTTTTTCGGATGCATGGCATTTGTTGACATGCCTCGATAACAAGTCGCTAGCAAAGGAGGTATCAGGTCACCCGGCGCGATGCAAGTGCAGGCATGGACGGACCTTCTTGCAAACTGATCACCACAGTGCTGACATTTGTATGGTCTATCGCCGGTATCTGTGGGACGGGTAAGTACGTGGGAGGAGGGTGGAAAGGGGGGCGGTGCGCGGGACTAGGTGACCAGAAGGACTCCAAGAAAGTGGGGACGGGCGGTGCGCGGAGAAGTGGAACTTACGGGATCGCATGTGGCGGGCAACATGCTGAGGGCGGGTGAAAGTGGACTGGCATACTGGACACTGTGCGGAGGTGAGTGGGGGACGGGGGGAAACAGCGAGGAGCGGACCTTGTGATCGCCGGCCATGGTGAGGAGGGCGGTGAGCGGGTTAGATGTTGGGAGGGAGAGAAAGAGAGCTGCACTTGTGTGTGACTGAGGGTGGGGCTCCCAGACGCTCGTGTCACAGGCCTTGCCACGCCCTGACGTCATCGTACGTCGTCACGCCCGCTCTGCGCCCCCGCGCTCAATCGCGCCCGCCCACCACATACGCGCGCAGGTGTTCATGCCAACCGATCATTTTACATTAAACAGGGTGCGTTTGGTACAAGCTTAGCAGCGCCATCATCTGTCTCTCCCACCGGGACCCTGCAGAGCGACTCGCATCGCATCGCATCTCTGTGTGCTGCGCAGCGCATAGCCGTTGTGGAGCCAATGACATCATCCCATCACTTGCGTGAGATCGTAGCTGAGATCAGCCCGCTGTAATGACGCTCGTCAGCGTATTGCATTGCTGCCGAGAGCGAGTCTGGCCCCATACCTCGGCGCCGCAATGGGCACGAACACCTCCGCTGCAGCCCTGTCCGCATCACCGCCGTCAGTATCCCGCCCCACAGATCGATCGCCCGCCATTGCCACCGCCAGCGATCACGCGCACGCGCTGGCTCGCTGCGCACCGTGCGCGCGAATCACGCCTTGCGCTCCCACGTGCAGCCGAATCGGGCCAGGCATGCGCACCCTGGACGTAGCGTCCCTCGATAACCATCGAGAAGCGCGTGAACAGTCCCCCGACGTCTGCTGTCATCCACAAAGGCCCCGGCCCGCCTCTATTGCCCCCGCGCCTCTGCCGTCATCTTCAGCTCACTGCCTTATCCCGTTCGTTCTCATCCCAATCCAGCATAGCTCCATCATCGCTCCCCCAAAACCCAATCGCCTCCCCGTGCTTCCAGTCACGAACCATCATCATCGTTCACACATCACGCAGCTTCTCGTCCGCAGCACCCCCGGGCCAAGCCCACGCGCAAAACGGCGCGTTGCCAAGTCCACCATCTCGGAACATCTTCTCCCCGTTACACATCGTACGCGCACCCGTCGGGATCATGCTCTTAGCGGCGCGACCCAGCTGCGCATTCCTCGTGGACGCTCTCGCACACCGACATATGCCCGGCACGCAATGCTTCACGCTATCACGCGCGGGCGCCTTCTCTCCGAACGCAAATAAGAAGCGCCGCCAGAGCTGCCCCCGTTGATCCCATCCCGTTCGCACAGCAACACAATTGAGAAGCACCCAAAGGAATGTACTCAACGGTGTCAGGTTGTCTATCCCGATGTACCGCATGTCCACGGGCACATAGTGCTTGTTCGGCAGCTTGTACGTCACGCTCTCCACGTACGGATTCTCTGCCACGATCTGCTGCGCCATTTTGTAAAGCGTCGCCTATCATACCCACCACACGCGCGCCGTCAGCCCGGCTCTCACACCCTCTGTCCGCCACGCACCTGCACGCTCGCACTCTCATCCAGGGCAAACGTCTCCAGAGTGATCTTCCGCGCGCTGTGCGCCACCTTCTCCCCATCCCATGGCGTACCTGCCTCTGCGTGCTTACCAGTCAGATCCACGACCAGTTTCTTCTCGTCCGACGGCGCAGGGACCGCGAACGGCTTGTATACATAGGACAAGTCGATCGACGTGCTGAAGATGCGGTCGTTCACCTCCACCAGCGTTGTGTACTCGTCGCGCACAAAGCCCTCAAACGCCGAGCCCGTAGACTTCAACACTGCGCAAATAGGGCGTTACGGCATGTCCACTTATAGTCCCCGAGAACAGCCTCCGGGCCTGCAAGGACGTACCCAGCAGATCGGATATACCAGAGGTAACCTTCGCGGTGATCTTGTCCTTCCCGCCGGTCGCGTCAATCTGGCCCCACCGCCGGTCAGCACCCTTGGGCAAATCTTGCCCGTGTTGGCGGCTCGGTACCCACCTCGACGCTCGTCACGCGCTTGTCGTCGCCGTCCCGGTAGAACGAATGCGGGTGCAGCTTGGTCTCTTCCTGGCCCGCCACGCCGGTCTTCACCGGAATGCGCGCCCAGCGCAGCTTCTCGATGGTGACGAATGCCTTGTGGATATGTGCATACTTTGAGACGAGGTGCGTCCCGAGGTGGATGGCGAAGCGCTCTGGATACAGGATGTGCGGCGAGGTCTTGGCGAGGTCTGTGTGGTTGTGTATGCGCTCGAGTCTGGGAAATCAGGGAGCGCAGTGTCTTACAGTATGTGATGTTCTTGACTTTGGGCAAGCGCTAGTATGTCAGAGCAATCGCAGAAATCATGTCGCTGCGGGACGTACTGGAGTCGGTGGCAACAACGACCGAGTTGTCTGCCTTGGTGTAGCTACAGAGCAGTCAGTGAAAACTCGTCGATGCATGTACACAGCAGGGGATGTGGTCCATGCCCAGCAGTCGAGCGCCACACATACAAGCCAGACTGTATGTGGCTCTATCGGATCACGTACCTCACGTCGATCTCCCCCTCCAACAGCGCGCAGACATTGTACTCAACAACGTGGTGGAAACTTCCCTCGCGCACGACGCGGAAGACGCGCACTTTGTCCTTGCCGTAGCGCGCGTGCGAGAGGTAGGATTCTGTAGATGCGGACATTTTCCTCGTACTTGAGATATGGGAAGATCGACTGGGCTGTGGTGGGGACTAAGGACGCAGGCTGGGGCGTCGCAGGCACCTCCGTCGATATAAATATGTTAGATCTTTATCAGCACACGGGCGTTCGCGTTCAGGGCGGACGCAGTCTCGAGCAGGCTGGACGAGCAGCGAGCATGACTCGAGACAGGAGCGCGGGGAGATAAGATAGGCGCGCGCCACCCATATCGGGTCCCCGCATCGGCGCGGCCATTCCCGACCCGTCCCGGCAGGCCAGCAGCGCGCGTCGCACAATTTCTCGTCACCATCGACCACGCACGGCCCCGAGTCCGGCCACTTCCCTCGACTTGTCGTCGCACGCACGCACACCCGCACTCGACTCCGTCCTAATAACTAGGCCCTGCGGTCCGTCTGCGCGAACAACAGCATGCGCGCGTCCGTCTCCCACCGTCTGAGTCAGTCCCTGCGCGTGCGCCGCGTGCCGGGGCAGCAGCAGCAGCGATTTGCGTCGAGCACACCCGGCGGCGGGTTCAACTCGGCAGAGGCGCAGAAGAAGGCGCAGGATGCGCTGGTCGCGACGCAGAAGCGGCTCGGGGAGGCCGTAGAGGTGGGCAAGAAGGTGTTGGGCCCGTACGGCGAGAAGGCCGCGAGCATGCTTGGCTGTGAGTTTTGCATCCTCCTCATGTGCTGGCCGTGCCTTGCGTCGTCGACGTGACGGAGCGGCGACGGTGCACGCAGCCTGGCGGCGACACAGTGCGCTGACTGGTATGCATTTAGCGTACCGCCAGCCCCTCACGTACAACTGGTCTGTCGCGCGCGAGTTTCTGAAGCAAGTATACGTCGCCGAGCGCCTGCAACCACCAGCGTCCACATCGGCCATCACGAATGCCTACTCTGCTCTCTGGTCGCGTGCGCGCAATCCTGCGTACTGGCGCGAGCTTGTGCGATCCGGGGAGTGGGCCAAGGTCGGCGTGTATGCCGTCGAGGCATACGGCATCTTCAAAGTAAGTGAAGTGCGTGCTTATGCGGGACGCCTGTGCTGACGCCGGTGTATATGCAGATTGGGGAGATTATTGGACGACGGAGTCTGGTGGGATACAAGGTCGAATAGATGACTGCGTGTTGTGTATGGACTGTGTCGTATAGCCATTCGCTATTTGATAGAATGCTGTATGCACACTTTTTCTGATTGCCGTAGATGGCTAGGGCGAGTGACGTCAGGAGGCTGAGCGGCTGTTGATGCACGCGTCCGCCGCGTCCACTCCACATTATAAACCCCCTTTGCTCGCCCCTCGTACACAATACCCCTCGTCGTCGCCGCCATGACTGACGGCGTGTCCCTCTCCCGCGCGACCTCCATTTCCCGAGCCAGCAAACACAGCTCCAGCCTCTCCCGCAGCCAGTCCCTCATCCGCAAAAGCATCGCGCCCCACGACCTCCGCCCCTCAGATATCCTCATCGAGCGTTTCACCGCGTGGAAGATCATCGTCAAGCAGCTCATAGCCTACTTCGAGGGCATCGCAGACATCCAGAACAATGTCGCCAGAGAGATGACCAAGCTGGCCGGGGTTATACAGGTCCCCTTTCGGTCTGGGAACCAATTCCTCGGCGAAGGTGGTCTGCAGGTGCATATATGCGCGGCATGTATTCAGAATCTGAGCGCGCCGCTGACGCTACCACCATATAGGACATCTACTACGGCATCCGAGACAAGACCCGCGCCATAGCTGACCAGCATGCCAACCTCGGGCGCACAGTCGACGGTTCCATAGTCCAGCACCTCCAAAAGCTTCGAGTGGAGATCAAGGCCCACATAAAGGTGCGCATATATTCGACATGTCTGTCCGTTTGAGCCTCCTAACCTCTACCTAGAACATCCAAAACGATACAGGCAAGCTCGCCACCGCTGTAGCTAAAGAGCGCGAGCTCTCGGCTAAGCTCGTTGGCGATCTCGGTACGGACATATCTATTCTGAAGAACACCCCTCTTGGCGTCACAGCAAAGACCGATCCTTACGTCGCCAACCAAGCCGTCGCTCGACAGCTTGTCAAGCAAGTCCACACCGAGAACGCGCTACAGAAGTCGTTGCTACTCACCCAATCGTCCTCCGCGCTTTTTGAGGCGTCCTTGATCCAAGCATTACAGTCCGCCTGGGCGACGTTTGCAGAATGGCGTACGCGCATGGACAACAGCATTCGTGACACATGGAACATACTCGAGCGTGACATGTCCGGTCTTCCACCCGACCGCGAGTGGATTGCCTTTGCTGCCCGCGAGGACCACCTCGTTGATCCCGAGACGCCCCTTCGTGATCCGGAGAACATCCACTACCCATCAAAGGAGGATCCCTCCGTAATCCCGGTGCACATCGGCCTCTTAGAGCGCAAGAAGCGCTACACGCGCACATATCGTGAGAGTTACTATGTGCTTACGCCCTCTGGCTTCCTGCACGAGTACGCCTCGTCCGACCCCGCGCTCGCGGACAAGCCGCTCTGGAGTCTGTTCCTGCCGCTATGCACGCTGGGTCCGCCAAGCGCGCCGTCCGCGAAGAGTCACAAGTTCCACATCGAGGAGCGCAAGGACGGCACAGGCTCCGTGAAGACCGGGTCGTTCCGGGGGCTGACGAGCAGCTTCCGTAGCACGAACAACGGGCGCGCGTGGGCGTTTCGAGGCCGCTCGCACGACGACATGATGGAGTGGTGGAACGACATCCGCATGCTCTGCGCGCGCTACCTCGTCGCGAGCGAGCAGATGGAGCGGAGCGGGCCCGTTGCTGCGGCGGTCCGAGCGGCGGGCTACGCAAGCGAGGAGGAGCAGGACGACGAGGAGGAAGAGGGGTCGAGCGTCGAGGAGGAACAAGATGCTGACGATGAAGACATGTACGAGCAGGCGCGGGAGAACCCCGGAGACGACGAGGCCGCTGGCCCGCCGGGCTACAGTCATCCGACGACAAAGGAATTCGAGCATGGTGCCAACGGCTATCCTGTACGAGGATCTCACGCGCTAGCATAGCACCGACTGAATTATTTTTGCAGATTGACAAGAAGCCGCGCCCAAATGGGATGCAAAATGACGGCGGGGCGGACCTCGGGCGTAAGCCGAGCAAGCGGCAGCAGGAAAAGGCTCCCGAGGGCCGTCCTCCCCACGTCGGCAGTGACGACGAGGCTGCACCCGCGGCTGCTGAAAATGCGCCCGCAGGTACCGGAGCCCCGGGCAGTCGCTTCACAGAGGGTCTGTAGCTCAGTCGTGGTTCAAGTCATCTGGGAGAAGCGTGAATATCTTTCCTTTCGTACGGACAATTTGGTTTTGGCTTAGGGAGCGATGTATCATACGTGTTGTTTAGTAGCGCCAGAGTACTTCGGTATGTTCAGCTTGCAGCAAGATTCCGAAGGCAGACATGTCAGGAACACGGCCGTGGGCCGACCCATAAAAAGGTGTTCGGTGCCCGTAATTGACATCATAGTCACGCCCATATATTATATTCAAGTTCAGTCGCTGAGACCCACGGGAAATAGCCCCGCAATCCACTTCCTCCAACCCAACCTGCGCAGGCTCCGGATACCCATAATATATAAGTATGACCCTTTGTTTGCCGACAAGGCCCGTGGACAAGGAGTCGAATACCGTTCAAGTGTGCGGCTGTTACCCTGGCATATTGTTATGATCTGGATTCCAACACGGGGCGATTACGGATGACCTAGCAGATCAAGCTCACGTTGAGTATTGTAGACCAATCCATACCGTGCATTAGCAGCTAAGTATGAAGATACAGAACGCAGCGACGGACAGACAAAACTAGTACACACTACACAGGCGCAGTTGACTGGAAAACTGGAATACGAAACGGGCGATATAAAATCAAAAAGATGAGACATTAGATGTTCGACCACAAAGAGAATTCTGCGCTGATGCGGAGATCACGCATGAGCAGCCGATAGCTAGACTTTGAAACTGGATGAACTCTTACCGCGACTTCATAGCCATCTTGCATTGCGAACTTAAAAGCTAGAAGAGACGGCGAAAGAAACTTTTGATAGGGCTGAAGCGGCTGGATTCAGAGTCGGGCAAGGGCAGCCGGATACTAGAAGCAGAAGAAAATCTTGACGTTGGCACAGTCGGCGACGGCATAGACGAAGCAGTATATTGGGTCGACGCGAAGCTCGAGTCACTAGCGTCGGGCTCGTCACGGTCCTCAGAAATGCGAGAGGCGCTAGAGAGGGCTGCTGCTGCCGACGCCGCAGAAAAGGCAGGGACAAGTGAGTCTTGACAACGAGTCTTGTCGCCACAGTATGCCTCCAGGGCATCAGGTGGCAGAGAGCGGGCCGTCAGGCTGGAAGAGCCAGGTGAAGACCGAGAAAAGAGACGGGTCCAGAAGCCAGGCTGAGACGTCGGCTGTGAGAGACCAGAGCCACTACTCGTAGACCTCGGCGGCGAATCATCCTCGATTGATGCTGGCCTAGGATCATTCAACTGCGCGGCATTGTCAACCTCATCGTCATCTAAGCTCAGGGAGCAGACTCACCGTCGGACCTGATGTGTGGTTCGACTGTGAGTGATGAAGCTGGATCATGCAGCGCGATGAGCCTTGATGATCACCCAGTACCAATTCAGATGTGCTCTATCAACCATAGTATGAGGACAACGCCCGAGGCTAGAAGCACACATGAACGCACTAAGAAATACTTTGCAGTAGCAATATCCTCAGACGGAAGAGAGATTATGCCTTCAACAAGCCTAGGAGTCGGCGCCGCTTTCTTGGCCCGCTGCTCACCCATGGTGGATATGTGCTTGTCGGTCTCCACCGGAGTGAGTGCACGCTCACTCTGGAGAGCAGATTCGGAGATGTCTTGCTCAGTGACATCACCGATGCAGCCGTACTCGGCAGTGCTACCAGGGTGGATGTCAAGCGTTGAGGGCCTGACATGGCCTTTTGTGAATATCCGAGCGGCATCGGCTTGCTTAACGACTCCTTGGTGAAGGGCCTCGTCGGTGGCGATTGCTGAAACTCTCTTCTCTCCCTCTAAGCCTTCTCGGATCGGCTGTCAGCATATGCAGCGCTCGGGTAGCGTATATAATTCACCTTGCGCCTCCATAATGCACGCTGCGAGAGGACCGCCGCTTTCAAAGAGCCGACTGTAGTCTTCCTCGGATGCACTAGAGCACTCGCTAAAGCAAATACTGGAGGTCTTACTGGACGAATACTCGTCCTGGTCGCCATCATCAAAGTTGTAATTGAAGTCATTCTCGAGGGGGAAATCCGCGAACATGCGGCTACAAATAGCGATTCGTCAGGAACAAACGCAAAGCCGGCAACAAAGTGTACATGCCTTAGTCTTTTTGATCCGTCTTCTTCTTTTGTTGCAGTTGGGTCCATATCAAGGGATTCGGTCGGGAAGCAGGCCTGCTTAACGATGCAGTGTACTGACTCGAAAGATGAAAATGTGAACGTGGACGCAGGATTAAGAACGTGCACAGCATCAACTCGGCGGAGCACTTCGTCCTTCGCAAGGGGTACAACACTGACCACGCCGCCATCAACATTACCACTGTCGACGACCGTATCGATCCGTTCAGTCATGAGTGGGGCGATTGGAGCACTGGCAGCCTTAGTTTTGTCGTCGTCGAGTCCAAACGCCTGATTTACTTCCTCCACCAGTGACGCAAGCCCGCCGAGCGAGCGCATAAGCTCACCGTAGACCGCAGGGTAGGCATCGGGGTTCAAGTCGGGCGATTTGATGCGCCTGAAGACCATTGACGACAAACTGTAGATGTCCTGGTCCGTGTCGTCCACAATCACCTTCGAGAACTTGTCGCGGATGCGTCTGCACAGGAGATAAAAACATGCGACTATTGGATCGTAGACATCATGACAAACCTGAGCACTTCCAAATCCTCGTCTTCGTCTCCGTCATGTACGAAAGGTGCCTCTTGCTTGAGAGCAGGCTGAATGGTCTCCTTGATGAGTGGAACGGGCTCATCGGTATCCTCGCTTTCCTCTTCGTTTTCCTGGAGGCCTTCCAACATCGAGGTGAACACCTGCGAAGGCAGCGAGCCCACCGTTTTCATTGCAGAATCGAGGCGCCCTGGCTGAACGGCGTGTTCGTCAGCGTAGCGTCGAGCCTTGGTGATCCTCCGAGTCTCGACATTTTTTGCCACGGCTGGAAGTGGTATCGACGAGCCATACTGCCACTTTGGCGCCGTGAGGAAGTTCGGTGAGCCTTGCGTCTTGACAGGGGGAGCAGCTGCGGTAGTCGTCGCGGTGCGGGTCCTGTATTAAAGGCATCAGGGTATAGATTGGCGTTGAACCGCAGAATCACGCACAGAGGAGCTGCGTTGGCGTTGGCCTTGTCCAGTGTACGAGGGCTGACTTGATGCTTGGGAGAAGTCACTGACGCTTTCGGGCTTGAAGCTTGACGTGCTGTGCTGCCAGATCTTGGAGGACTAGAAGCGAGCGGGCGCAGGTCAGATCTGGGTGGGGTCTTGACTGGACGTGGGGAATGCTGAGTGCGAGAGGCTGACGTCTTCGTTGGACGGGCGAAGGACGGTATGTTCACCGCGCCCGTCGCGGGAAAGGATCCAAGACGCGTCTGCTCGAGAGCACTAGCGCTAGTCGACCTACTACTGGTAGCCTACACTCGCCATCAGTAATAAATAATAGAGGGAAGACACATTCGAGTGGCGAAAGCACCTGCTTGACAGGGGAACTACTGGTGACCGACGGGCCCTCTGAAAGGGACAGCTTGCGACCAGAGACCTTGACGAAGGAACGTGTGGACGCAGACACAGAGTTTCCGGTGCTGAGCCCGGGCCCTGCTGCCTTGGACGGGGGACCTGATACAGACCATCGAGGTGGACTGCCGGTACTAGAGGTCGCCATCTTCGTTATTGTGTACGTGTACCTTGTTGCACGTGCGGGAAACACAGACAAAACGAGGACGGTGGAGCAGACAAGGGAGAGGCTATCGTCTCAGCGACGAGGTCATCCTGTCGGGACTGCCAGCCGCAGCGGATGACAAGAGGCTAACCTAGACCTGAAAGACGAAGTATGATGAGGCTGTCAGCCATAGGCCAGGATGAGAATGATATGCAACTCGTGTATCAACCTGCGATTACGGTGTCAGCCACCCCGGTAGTGATCCATCTATGATTCAGATTACACTCCCATAAAGACGTGTGAGAAAGGCGTCCTTATAGCATCTGTAGTTTAAGACCAAGACCAAAAAGGAGTGCAGACCTTCGCCATCACGATGGCTGCAATTGGTGAAAATGAAAAGATGTTGTATCATCGCCAAAGGCTATAGTTGCAAAGTAGCACACCATGGACTCGTCTGGAAATATTACATGCAATTATCATCTGGAACTGCGAGGACGTTGATACCTTTGCACAGCGACAATGAAAGCGGAAGAATGTCGCTATAGGCACTGTAATATTCAATATCTGAAGTCTCGCGACTGATCGTCGATCAAGGGGATTTGATGGGGGCGCGACGCGCGTCTGACTCTCAGCAACGACTTGCTCTGCATACAAGCTGGCGTACTTTTGGCTGGACACTGTATGCATCGTCGACTCAAGGTGAAGAACTGGCTCTCCAACGGGGCCAGTTATCAATTGGCGTCGGCTACCTACTGCGAGGATGATGGTGTCAAGGCGACTAGGGTATTTACAAAATGTTGGTGGGTATCATTTCGTCGTGGGTATATAACCTGATTATGGGACGGGTGTTGGTATAGGCAAACAGCAGGCAAAAATATGATGCATACCTAGGCAAATGTACGACGTTGTAGTGACCGCAGCGCTAGTAAGCACGCTCGCTTCTGCGCCACTTGGATGCGGCCTTCTAGAGGTGACCTATGAATGATGGATAGGGATCGTCCTTAATTCCCCGATGCAGAGCGTGCAGGAGTCCCCCTCCACTCCATAGGATGCTCATCTGGGTCAACTAGCGCGAAGGCAGGCATGTCGGCGAGTCGGGGCAGCCAGCTGTTTTCGCCGTATTGAGGGACCGGGAAGCCAAGGTAACGATCCATGTCTATATCTAAGGCCCGTGCGAAGTTCTCGTCACCAACCTCGTCGATGCTGCAATATTCATTCAAACTGTGAGTGGACGTATAGTCTTGGGGTCATGGCACATACATTGTTTCAATACGGTCTTGGCATGCCACTTTCCATAGCCAGGGCTCTCTCTTCTTCTCCTTTTTCTTGGGTACATATGTCTCCTCGTCATTGGAGCTGTCGTCTGAGTCAGAGAAGACCTCCAGCCAAGAGTCGTCCTCTTCAGCCCTCGGGTTCTCCTCAAACGATACAACTTCCTCAGAATATTCGTCATCATTTGTACTATCCTCACGCGACACTGAAACATTATGTTAGTACATCTTAATAGCTTGTTAGACTATGAACTCACTGTGGTCCCTGCCCTCATCCTCAGTATCTTCCTCATCAGATGACGCATCCTCAAAATATTTCACGTCATTTGTACAACCGTCTCGCGGTACTGAAGTATCACGTCGGTATGTCGCAGTGTCTCACTCGTCAATGAACCACTCACTGTTAGCTATGTCCTCCTTAAGGACCTCTACGTCGGATGGCACATCCTGTTTAGGCCACTCTAAGCTGCCGTTTCGCGGCACTGGAAGACCACGTTAGCGTGTCATAGCGACTCTTGTCAATAAACTCACTATGGCTGGCAGCCTCTTCATGCCCCTCATCCTCAGTTTCTTCGCCATCCAATGGCGCTTCGTCAAAACACTCCTCGCCATCACGGTATGTGACAATGGCTCGCTGGCCAACGGACACATCGTAACAGATGTCCTCATCTTCAGTTTCTTCGTTTCTACCTGACCATTCGAAGCCATCCTCTCCTTCCTCATCCGACATGGTCGCGTCAGTCTCTTCCTCTGAACATGACTCCGCCTCTGGTGACCCGTAAGGCTCATACGGTGGCCACAATACAACTGGGAACTGTTATCAACACAAAAGCAACAGTGGCATCCGGCAACGGCACGTACGCTGAGCGTCGCCGACTCTGTGGCGCTTGGACACATGGTCATTGCCGTAATCAGACTCGTCATCCTCCCGGTTTCTCTTTCTGCTGTCTTCCTTCTCTGGCTCGCTTTCCTGCTCCTTGATGATCTCTATTGCAAGCAGGAGCGACGCGAAGTCATCGGGCGCACTGGCTCGTGGCGTTGCAAGGGCCGTGGCGGAAGCGACAACGGACGCGTCGTAGGAGAAGACATGCCCTCTCGGTTCGGACAGCGAGCTCAGGACCTGCATCATCTTGAGGTGAGTGGTGTGTGTTGCAGAATATGTTGACAACGCGTGGTGGGCCTTTGTGGCGTTTATGCTTGGCGGTGTTGATGTCGACGCGCGAAGGCAAGACAGTGTAAGTGGGTGTAGTGCGTGTGCCTAAGGCAAAGCAAGGCAAGTGATGGGTAGCGGTTAAGCGGTGGTGGGGGCAAAGCGAGAGAGGGTCCAAGCACTTATACGTCGGAGAATGAAAGACGCGTGCCTTTGTCCACTTTGTCTGTGGCCCGTCGCCACTGTCGCGTCGCGTTCCATTGGTGCACGTGACCGCAGTCAACGCGGCAGTGGCGAAGGCTTCACTCTTCCCTTCTGTCTTCTTTTCGAGGCATGTTACAACGGAGCGAGATTTGGTTCTCTGGGACTGCACGAGTAATTCGTAGAAGGGCTTGTCCGCCCACTGGAGAACGAGTCAAGTGGAAATGGGCACTCTGACGAGAATGCGCCAGGACTCGCGTGCCATAAATCGTTGCACTGGTATACTAACCAGTATAGCATGTCATAATGCTCGTAGGTCTGCGTAGCTTCCTTGAGCTGTCTACCCCGCAAAAGTTCAGATCGGGAATCGAGGTATGTGTGATCTCTCGCCAATGCGCATTTTAATGACTGATGCTTTACAAGACAGCTAACAACGTGTACATCTTGCAAAGGAAATGACATAAGGATGAGAACGGACCAGCCGTACTTTATATCTGCGATTGGATGAACGTAGGTGTACACGGGAGCTGCTAGGCGGAATCTTCCAAAGGCGGCGTATTGCTTGATGTGAGTACTCTTGCTGCAGGAAATCACGTCACGGACACGCCTCCAGAACTGTCGACAACTTCCCATTAATCCAATGGCAACAGGTTTGATTCATACTCGAAAAAGTATACCTAATCATCCCACAGACTTTGTGGGTCACTGCAAGCCCGCCGAGCGAGCCCACGTGTATAAGACGATCTTGAAAGTCATTACTGTATTCTAACAGAGAGCCAATGCTAGCCATCCTTTGTGGTCAGAATGATGTATTTGGTGCAAGAATCGGATATCCTGGTAGTCCAGGGCGACAGATAGTTTGTGCACTTACGAGAATGAGAGGTACATCTGGTTTTCTGCTCGTACGCAGCACTCGAGCGCGTGTGGCTTGAATCGCACTTTCAATCTGTCAGGAATATGCTGAGAAAAAATATGATACTATTTCATGATTAGGGTATAAGGAATTCCTTAGAGTCCGGAGCCCAGATTTTAGAGGCCGAGCCGATTGTTGGCAGTAAGAGCAGTCCATAGGGGACATCCGTGGCGCTGACCAGATTAGCTCAGCCGCGGCACTTCAAGAGCATCAGCTAATAAACGGAGTATTCAAACAAGAAACACAGATTTCTTTGCAGCCCGAGTGGTGCAGAAGAGCAGGACAAACAGCAGGCGCGCTACCCGGGGCGTACTCGTCGTAGTTCCACGCAGCAATGTAATCGGTGGGGGGAGGACGAGAGTAACGAGACGCGTTAGGCCCCAAATTTAAACTCCGCGCTCAGCCTGCCATGGGCGCCCGAGAAGTGCCAACCTCAGGCTGTATACACGAATAGTGCTTGCTCTTATATCGTAGACAGGCTGGCCACGAGCCTAGGGCAGAGTGACATCGCGGGTGTTGCCAATCTGCCACTCGTCTTTCTCGGTCACCATGTCGGAACGCAGTCATAAACGCAAACGCAGTCTCCAGGACTCACCTGTTGACCTCTCCAAGATGACAATGGCTTTGATTCGTCTGGATGTCCTCAAGTCAGAGTTGGACGGGATTCAGGAAACAGAGGAAGAATTGGACAGTATCACGAAGCATGTCTCAGCGCTAGAGGACATTCTAAGGGGTGCCAAGAAACCAGTACGTTCCGTAGACCTCACATTCTGGCCCGTTAAGCAAGCTTATAACTCATAGTGATGTTGCAGAGACTGTCCTTTTCGACCGTCACATCAGAAGACCTCCAGAGCGCCGGCATCGTCAGGAAACGCCCTATTTTTAAACCCGAAAAAGTAACTGAGTTGGCGAAGGGGCTGTCACCGGCCGCAGAGGATGAACTCGTAGATCTTCACTCACGAATTAAGAAGATATATGCATGCGTGAACATGGACGTGAGTCTTACCTGATAATCCTCGCGTTTGATGGGGGTAATGTAACACTGCTCGTAGTACGAACCAGGGTCACGAATGATTCTGGGCGCAGTATTGCTTGCGTTGGCGGAGATTGCTTCAGCCGAACAGAGGAGTGTTGCAATTCTTCCGGAGTTGCGGATTGCTCAAGGAAAAGGGGTACAAATCACTCACCCCACTTCGGGATACGAATTGTGGCTGAGTGGCAATGTCGACTACGCTGTGATAGAGTACGAAGAGGACGAGGACAACAAAGGTAAGTCAGAGTCCCACGCAAATTCACTTTGCGAATCGCTCAATTGTCTTCAGATCGCTTGCTTGCCCCCTGTGGATCTAGAGACGATGCATTCGTTATTTCAAAGGGTCGCCTCGTCCTTGTTGAAGCCAAAAGGCAAAGTTTCAATCGTACTTTGATTTCCTATATCCCTGAAGCTGTTAGTCAGGCAATTGCAGTGCTGAAGTCTGCAAAGTATGTCAACATTTCCCGCCTTCTTCCTCGTCTAAAAGTTTTCCTTCCAGCCTTCCAGAAGTCCGTTTCTGTTTATCTGATGGGCAGTCGTGGATTTTCTTTATCTTGAAGTCGGAAAATGGGAAACTGACGTACTACGAATCGGCAATATGCTGTTTAAGCAGAGATGTCGTGGAGAGCTCTGACGTGCCGTTACGTGAGATTATGCAGCTCATTTGTGAATGGGTAAGTCTCCCAATCATTTTGCCGTTGGCGTGCATATCCGAGTCTGTTTCTAATGTATTATGTTTTAGCTGAGGCCCAATACGACTGGTCTGTTCGTGTTAAAGTAAAGGCTCTTAAAGGATGTGAGACGTATTCAAAGGGACTCGTTGAAGTTACAGGCTGCGAAATTTGTCTTCGTGGTGTCTGACACTCTCACGTTTGTCATATCAGATATTATGATTCTTTTCTGGTGATGTCAAAGAATAACGTGCAGAAGGGAAGTGAATAGCGCACCTCCCGTTTCGTCTTTTCCCGTTTCGTCTCTATCTGAAGATCGTGTCCTTGGAGCCGGGAGACCTTGGTACCATCTCTCCTCATTCCACGGACGCAACTGGGTCAGATTAGGGTGGATATCAAGCCTCTATCACGCACGCTGAAATCTCGGAGCGCGTCAGATTTGTGTGGCACCCGCACGGTACAAGGACGCCAGGGCGATTGTCATTTGGTATTACAGGAAACTAGACATTGATCCAATAACCGATCATACGACCAGTTGATTCACCCTGTGAGAGATAAATATTCATGCACTCTAGCCAGAAGCAGCTTGCTGATAGTCCTTTGGCGCCATGATGGCATGCAGTCCGTGGCGCAAAACATTGCAGCTCTACACATTTGGTTCCTCATCTCAATCCGCAGCATTGCGTTCGTGACATTCAACTGCATGAGAGCAGTACTTATCGACTTATACTCACGAGCGTACCAGATCCCCACGCGGCACCCTGCTCAGATACATCCGGAATAAAAGAGAAATGGCGTTCGGGGCATGACTGGTGGGAATGAGTCATAACCTAACCAAATCTCCCACATCTGTATCATGTCCTGTTGCCTCAGACTCTTGCGGGCCCATGTGGCTGAACAGTCTCCAGCGTGGGAATAGTCGCCATCGTGGAAAGAGTCGCCGTCGTTTGTAGTCGTTTTGACTGGCTTCCGCTGGAGCATTCAACCACCGCGTCGCGCATCAATCACGCGACCGTTCCCGATTAAGGTTTGCGTGTGCCAGGCGATCTATGGGTTGCGCTTCATGCGACTAAATGCCAATCGCACGCGACTTGCACAACACTGCCCAGGGGTGAAAGGGGGACAAATTTTATGCGCTGCTAGTTTCTAATTCACTCGCCTTGTCTCTTGCATTCCGAAGATGAATCCGACTGCGTTTTCTGGAGAGTTTCCTCTTTCGTGCCTCGAACTTCTTGCATTCAACTTCTCTCGGTGTCCCTTTCAAAGCCTTGGGCTCAGTGTCTCGACACAAGGGGCTCGCATCCTTGAATAGCCGCGGTAGCCTCTGGTCTGGAGGAGGGCCTGTTCCTGCAGTTCCCAGCTGCTTGGTATCAAAGTATTGCCGTGCTTCTTGTTCTACAACAGCACGTATTGTTTTCCTGCCGCCGCACTGTTGCGCGCTGTGGATACAATGCTCAATTAAATGCAGGCACCCCAGAGGTTGTTTCACGCACATGATACCTATTCGCCTCCTGCATGTTCTTCGCCAGAGCGGGCGCTCTTTCTCGAACTTCATTTCTTCAAACTCTTCGTCATCTTCGTCTACATCCTTAACTTGTTCTTCATGCAGGCTGCTCTCGGGAACTACCTCCTTATTGAGAGCTCCGTGCTCGTTGCTGTCATACTCGTCCTCGCATGCAAAGAAGCATGGCGGGTTTAAGTGACCATCTTCCTTAATTGGGTCTTGTGGCGCGAATGATCTATCCTTCTCTAGGATATCATCCGCGCTATTCGTTCGCTGCACTGACACTATATGTCAATGAAATGCTGATATCAGATCATCGACGAACTTACAATGGGAGTCACGCTGCTCCCCACCATCTATTTCGCCGTCCTCAGTGGCAGGCCACAAGTCATCATAGGTATCACAGCTCGTCGTACGTGTCACCGCAGCGTGGACCTCATTGGACATTGTCAATGCAGATGACGTCCGCAATTGAGCTGTCAAAAATGGTGAGAACACTAGCAAATTACGTTAGCCAAATCAAACGTACACGACGCGTCGCCCTCGACTTTGTGGCGTTTGTATGCTCGCTCACTGTCGGAATCGTCGTCGTCTTCTCCGCTATTCTTCCGCTTCTTGCTTGCCGTATTCACCAAATCACTTGCGTTTATGACAAAGGAGAGGGGGTGAATCTTTCTGGAAGATTGCCATGCCATGGAGCCAGGCGCGGGCATGACAGGCCCGAACGTCTTGGACGAGAGAGCATGGACTCTCGACTTGTGTTTTACACACATAATCTGCATCATTTTGAAGGATTTTAGAGATATTTAAGACTCGAATGAAATGAGGCGGGTTGGTTGGTTCCTGTGGCTATGGTCTGTGGCAGAGTCAAAATGCAATGGCGTCCACAAAGGCAGGAAGCAATGTGTGCTGAAGGCCGTGAATGGATGGTGTGCGCGCCTATGGAGAAAGTGAGGAGGTGAATGGTCGACTTGTAGTTGTGGAAAAGTAAGTGAGAGTTAGAGGTACTCGTATGTCGGAGAATGAACCCTTTTATCCTTGGCCGGTGGCCGGTCGCCACAGACGCGTCGCATTGATGCACGTGATCGAGGCAATGCGTCTGTGGCGTAAGGCTTCACTTTCTTTCTACTCGCCAGCTGCGAATATTCACAGTTAGACCTCTACACTCCGGTCTTTCTTATACTCCTCTTTTCTAATGAAAAGAACGCAGATCAATAGTTCTTCCAACGGCCGCCCAAAGTAACATGGTGAACGCGCCGCACAAACCTTGTTCTCTTCTTAAGGTTAATGCAAAGCAGGCTGCTAATTTACCGGCAGTTCGCGCAGATCAAGTAAAGATGTACGACGCTTGGGCCAGTATAATTGTTACATATAATAAGTGTTGTAAAATTGACAGTCGTTCGAGTATACAATGTCATAATCGAATGGGTCCTCGGGAGTGCATATGAACCATGGCGAGCCATAACGCTCGTCTAACAGTCCTGCTGGTGTACCACTGGGTATCATCGGTTTAGCCTCCTTCAGCCCTTTAACCCGGATGGAAGACAGGCGAGGAAGCTCCAGTTCAGGAGCTTCGGGTATCTCTTGTGGTTCTGTGCGAGGACTGGGACTAGGTGCGAGACTACGTCGTGCATCGGCATCGGGCGCATTGTCTGGGTATACTGGTATCGATACAGGTTCCCATTCTGCTTCCTCATCTTCTGAAGCATCGTCGGTGTCTTCATGACATTGGGGAAGGCTGTGGACGTCGGGAGAGCTGCTAGAGGCATCGATTGTTTCACTCTGCAGTGTTTCTGGATTGTGTACGGGAACTACCAGAGAAACGGTGTAAGCTCCTGGCCATTGTGAAGGTATCGTTGTCTGAAAAGACTGACCCACAGACTGGCTGCTAGAGGCACGATGGCTGCATTCTTGGAGTGTAGCCGGGACGTCCTTTACATATGGCCTCGCCCAACGCTCGACCGCTCCACGCACGGCCTCGCGGCCATGCAATGCGTACCTGAAACAAGTCGTCAGCGACGCCACACGAGAGCAGAGGGCATAAAGAACGTACACTGTTTGCACGCGACTCTTGCAGACCTGCTTCCAGAGGCAACGGGCTTTCGGGAAACGAGGGCGAAACCGCCGCTCTTCAACCACCTGCACTTTCTCGGCGGCCCCCGCCGCATCCTTGTTACTATCTTCTTCAACTTGGGCTCTGGAGAGTGGGGATGGAGATGCTGCAGGGAGGTAGGTCGTGTTAAGCGAGTTCGTGGGCGATTCTCCTGAGTCACGGTCCAAGGGTGGGAATATATCCCAAGGATCCAGCTCTCCTTCGTATCTGGGTATAGGCATGGGAGCTGCGTCTGCCGTAGGAAAGTCTAGATTCAAGGGCCACGTAAGCATTGGATCGCTGGAATCGCCTAGTGCGTTCGCGAGCGAGGACGATGCGAACGTTTCATCTGAAGCACATCTCAGGGTAAGCTTATGGTTGAACTTCGCAACCTATACACTCACAAGTCGTTCCGCCGACACCCGCGTCGTGTTCGTCGCCGAAAAGTAGCGAGCGGAAATGCATCTCGGAGACCTGCGACACGTGCGCATCAGGCTTCGTCGCGTCCCGAAACGCGTCTTTCCCCGGCAAGCCTTGTGGCACAAAGGGGCCATCCCAGGAACCGGGGTTTGTGGCGTCGACGGGGTCGTCCGCCGAATTTGTGAATGAAGTGTCCCCCCAGTGCCATGAATCGACGGCGTCGAGGAATACCGACGTATCGTCGTCGTCGTCGTCGTCGTCAAGAAAGAAGGACTGGTCCATCGCAGACAGCTCGTAGTTCGGGCTCGGCGGTGCGGGGCCGCTTGTGGCGGTCCTAATACGCTTGCTCCGGCCGTGCTCGTCGCCATCATCGCCGAGTCTGCGCTTTGTGCCTCTGAGCTCGTCTTTGATAGTTGGGAATCCGCCAGCGGGAGGGACGGGGAGAGTGGCGAGAGTGGCGAAGTTAGTTGGGGATACATATGTTCCTTGCGACTCAAGGTAGTCCGCAAACAGTCCACCGAATGTGGGGCGGTCTTGTGCGACTTGTGTCATTGTGGTAAGTGGAGGTTGGTAGTGTGCCACAGGAAGGAGATGGGAACGTGGAGGCACGAATCAGCTCTTGCCGACGTTTGTGGCGAGCTCAGTATCGTTAGTATGTAAGGCACCAAACAAGTCTCGGATCGTGAAAGCCGTGACAGTCAGGAGAATGATGCGGTACAGTGGTCAGGAGAGCCCGTCAATACGTAGCTATATGGGAGAGTGAGGGAGAAAGAGGGCGTTGTGGGCGCGCTTTGACCCGCTTTTGAATTGCTTTGTCGCGTCGTGCTTTGGCCACCGCACGTGACCGTTGCGATCTGGGCCTTTTGTCCGCGATGAGTGGCAGTGGTAGCAGCGGCGATTTAGATACCCTCAAAACTGTTGGGCGCAAGAACAGTGCGTAGATGAATTCAACGCTGATATTTTATGTGTGTACGAAGTGAAGTAAAGCGTCCAAACTCCCTAGATCTATTGGAACAGTGCTATGCGTGGAATGCCCGTTAGCTTACTCCTTGTTCTAGAACAAGGATGAATGATTGCATACCTACGGTCACGCGCGCAAGTTCAGCACCACTGCTCCTGGCTGATGAGTTTGTCGCACACCTCCTCATGCTGCCAGGAGTCGTCAGCACATATATATACTTCTTGTGTGAGCATCAGCTGTTCTCCCTTACTGCTTGCACCTCGGCTCCGTGCCGTATGCACAGATTACCCTAGACTGCGTATATACGAGGAATGTATTATACATGAGATAGTAAGTTATCTGAGCATTCCGGAGTAGAAAGAGACGATTGCTTACCCGTGCACGGTATGAGGTCCGTGATGAGTGAGATTGGAGGTTTCGTGTCGCGTACATCCCTCCATCGGGTTAGACGAGCCAATGTGACGCGATGTCATACACAAAATTCAAGTTGTTCGCTCGCATCTGTGGAGAACATCTCAAGTCTCATATATGGCGAACGCCCGGCTGGCGCTTCGCTTGCGCGCCTAACTGCGGCTAAAATAACGGATCTCCACGCTGCGCATAGTGGTGCGGGCAGTAGGGACATGCGAAGTTGAGGCAAACCTACCGGCATGACATGCGCTCATAATCGCCCGGAGTGAGAAAAGGAATGCGTTCTCGGACGACACAGCCAGGGATCATCAGGACTCCAAATGGATACATGAGACGCGGTACTGGCGTCAGCAGCTGCCGGGGCGATAGCAACATAGCCATAGATTCCTCTTCGATGGGCAGTCCATGCCAAATTAGCTACAGCCGCAGGTCTATTGTTCGCAAGATGGCGTAGAGGCTGTGAAAGATGTTCGGACATGCATGATGATAGCAGTAATGGGCGGTCGGCACGGATTCTGATGATTGACTGAGGTCCGGCTGAGCGCGTATTTGTAGTCAGCTTATTCGCTCCATAGCTGATGCGACTCTAACCTGGACAGCATGGGCGTGTACTAGAGACAAAAGGTGGCCCTCGCGCAGTAGACCGCAGACTGGGCAGCTTTGGAGGGCTGGAACGGCGCAGCAGGTGTCCAAGAGAATAACGGGATGGCCCAAAAGGCAGGACTGCAGGGGAATCAGATTGAAAGCACATTGGTTTGCACACAAGGAGTGCACTGCCGCCGGTGATATTTAAATATGGGTGTTGTCCGTGCAGTGGAGGGATGCGTCCGAAGCAGAGGCAGTAGATGCAGAGCAAGGCCAGGAGAAAGAAGAAAGGCAGGAGACAAATGAGGACGTGGTCAGCGGCGCGGAAGATGCGCAGGCACGTGAGAGCGGAGGGCTGTGGGGAACAAGCGACGCTATGGGCCAGGCCAACAACAACGCCTGCTCCCTTCCCTCACTACTCCCATTCTGCCCTATATTATTCCTCTCCTCTCCTTTGGATACCCCTTTCCTCTGTACTCCATCGTGTTTGTCTCGCCATCTGTGCTCGCTGCCTTCACCGGCCTCCTCTACCGCCCGTACCCTCCGCCACCCGCACCCGCACGACTGTTAGATTGCTGCTCGGCCAGCAACTCATTCTGCTTCTCTAATGTCATCGTATCAGGCATACAGCGGCCAGAGGTCTCCAAATAATGGCTTCAATTCAAGAAACAATCCTGCCGCCATGCAATCCTACCCGCCTAACGGCACAGGCTTCGAAGCTAGCCGCACGTCGCTCGGCAGCGACGAAGAATCAAACAAGAAGGGTGGCGCCACCGTAGTCGACATGCGCGACATCACACGGACACCGAGTCCGACCCCGAGCGAGAGCGAGGAGCTCAAGAAGACAAATCTGATAGACTGGAAGGCAATGGGTCGCTGGAAGTTCTGGATCCGCCGGGAGTGGCTCTGTGCGTGTCGTTTTTCCTCTCTGCGGCTCGTCATGCTGACACGATGTTGTCGGTCTAGGGTACTACGTAATCTGCATATTCGGTCTCGTCCTGGTGATTCTATTCACAGTATTTCACGACAAGATTGTTCGGTGGCTGCAACCCGCTGCCAATTGGATGCATAAGTGAGTCTTGCTCGCTTTTACTGTCCTGATGCCTTCGGCACTGTATACAGAATCTTCCTACTCAGCTATGGACCCTGGTGACACTGTCTGATTGGCAAGCATGCGGCGTGCTAAGGGCTGGCGTGATCGCAGCCATGTCAGCGTGTCAATGTCCGCCGCCACCCTTGATCGTGATGCATATTTAACAGTGGTGCATCACATCGTGGTGTAGATATGGGCGACGATAGTTGAATGCTTACAGTACCTCCACAGGCTACCATTTGGCTGGCTCATTCCCATAGCCATCCTCTTTGTCATCTCCTTCCCTCCGGTGAGTTGTGTTTGTGCCACCTTCCCAACTCACTGCTGACCCGACGCATGTCAGCTATTCGGACACGAAATCATTGGCATTCTGTGTGGTCTCGTGTGGGGTCTCGGAGTGGGCTTTGCCATCGTCGCCGTTGGAACGTTCCTCGGCGAAGTGGGTAACTTCTAGTGCGTGCCGTGTTGATTCAAGCGAGTGTGCGTGTGCATCTAACATGACGGGCCTCCGTCTGTAGTGCGTTCAGGTACTGTCTCCATGGCCGTGCCGAGAAATGGGAGCGTACAAAGATCATGTACGCATGCTTAGCAAAGGTCGTTCGAGAGGGAGGCTTCAAGATTGCGTTGATTATACGACTGAGCGCGATCCCGGGTCATTGTAAGCTATCCCCGAGTCCTCATGCTATGTTTGCCCTCGCTGACAAGCATGTTCTGCCTCGTACAGTCACAACTGCTGTGTTCTCCACGTGCGGTATGAGCATCTTTACGTTCGCGATCGCCGCGGTGCTCTCTCTGCCAAAGCAATTTATCACGGTGTATCTCGGTGTCGCAATGGAACAATCAGAGAACGGCGGTAAGTGTGTTGTAGCTCATGTATGGGATGCTTGGCTTACACTTTGCATGCGCGTAGGCGGTAGTCGCACCGACACAATCGTCAAGGACATTGTAATCGGCATCACGGTCCTCATCACGATTGGTGCCATGTGGTACGTCAACACCAAGCTGAACCAGGCGAAGCCGGCCGTCATTTACGAGAAGCGCAAGGCCCGGTGCGTATTGCTCCTGAATTATGCTTCCCCCCTCGCATGCTTACCACTCGCGCTGACTGTAGCCAAGCCAAGCTCATGGCTGAGGCATACGCGAAGGGAAATGGGTCTTCCATGTCCGTCACGTTCAATCCGAACGTTTCTGAGGCAGAGATCCCCCTCACCGCACACGCCGCGTCCTTCGACGGCTCCGCATACCAGCAGTGGGACGAGAACGGCCGTGCTGTGGGCTACGCTCCCGACCCGAGCATATTCGTCCCCGTCCCGCGCCGCGCGCAGCCCCGCCCCTTCGCAGCAGCGCCCACGCACCGCCCACACCCGGGTGCCGACTCCGCCTCCGCCTACCAGATGAGCGAGCGCCCGCCTTACCAGCCCGCGTCGCCCGTGCGCCAGACCGCGTATTCGCGGCCAACGTCGCCCGTCCGCCGCCAAAACACCTACCAGTCAGACACGGGCGACAGCGCGCTCCCGAACCCCTTTGCCGAGCCCGTGCGGCCGCCCTCCCGCCCCACCTACACCGCCCCGCCCCTACCGCCACCCCCGATGTCGCCAACTCAGCCGCTCGCCCCTCAGCACACTCCACGGACGGCTCCGGCGTACGCTCCCGCGCCCGCGCCATATGCGGGCGCGCCGCCATCGTCCGCACCCTTCTCCGCGCCTTATGCTGCGCCGCCGTACTCGCCGCCGCCGCCTGCCCAGCAGCCGTACGCGACATACGAGAGCACGACGTCGATACAGTCTCAGGCGGGCTCCCTTCCTCCAAGCTACTCCGGCGCATCTCTGCGATGACCGTGGGTTGCTCGCCGTGCCGACACCGTCGTCCGCGCGCGTGCGGTTTGTGCGTCCGATTGCGCTGGTGTTAAGGGAGCACGGACGCGGGACTTGTATGCGCGCGGGCTCGGTGAGGGACAGTATAGACTCGCTGGTTGCCATGTACATATAGTGATACCCAGCAGCTGACAACGGCGATGTTGGATGTGGGTGTATCATATGCATCGATTTACATGTTTACGGACCCTGTGAGGGCATCGCGATGGTATAATGTGTCATTACTTATAGTACAGCAGATAGGACAGTGTGGATACGGTACACGGCGCACCGGACGGCGGCGCGACGGTGTCGTAAGTGTGTGTTAGCATCCGCATTGGTGAGTAGCATGCGCATGAGACGCGCGTATGGTCTATGAGGGACGTGAGGTATCGTATCTGTCTATTGAGCGTACGTCATTAGAGACCCATAAGGTATGTGCTTCCAGGTGTGTGTGATAGTACGGAGGCAAATTCGAGGAGCGATGTCCGCGGATCACGCCTTGTCTTGTCGCGCCTTCTCGTCGTTGATCGTATCCCCGCTGACGACCGAGGCGTCCTCGCCACCGCTGCGGTGCCCGACGATGCCGGCGCCACGCAGGAAGATAACGGACAGCACTGATCCTGCAACACGCCATCAGCACCACAACCAGCGCGTCCACGGACAAATCGGGCACACGCACCAAGCATGCCGAGCGCAAAGCCCATCCAGAACGCGTCCTTGTACGCGGTCAGCTGCGCAGACAGTGGCGCGTTCGAGCCGTCCACGTTGACGATCACGCCGACCTTGCGCGCGGCCTTGGCGAGCTCCGTGTCGTACACGATCGTCGTCACCGCGAGCCCGAAGGACGCGCCGAGCTGCGTCATCGTCTGGAACAGCGCGCCGCCGACGCTCTGCTCGTGCGGGAGGCACACCTTCGCGACGAACAGCGTGCCGGACGCGAACACAAAGTCCGCGCCGAACACCGACACGATCGCGGCGGGGAAGCCGAACGCCCAGTACGGCGAGTGCGTGTCGATCACCGCAAAGAGCAGGTTCGCCGTCGCGGTGAGCGTCGTCCCGATGGCTGTGCAGTAGAGTGCAGGCCCCCTCAGCCAGTCAGGCAGGGAAAACCGCGCAAGCGGGGAAACACGCACCGACGAGGAAGACGAGCGGCACGCGGCCGACGAACAGCGCGACGATCACGTTGCAGATCACGCCCGTGACGAACATCGGCAGCAGGCGCACCATCGTCAGCACGGGGTTCAGGCCCTGGTAGTTCTGGTAGTACAGCTGGATCCAGAACCCGAAGCTCATGAACGCGCTGTACTCGAGCAGCGCGAGCACGAGCGTCACCGCGAGCTTGCCGCGCGCGCGCCCCCACAGCGACACGCGCATCACCGGCGGCGGCGTCCACCACGCGGGCGAGTGCGCGTCCAGCTTGCGCTCGAGGAAGTGCTCCCACCAGATGTAGGCGGCGAGCAGGATCACCCCGATGATGAGCAGCGCGATGATGTCTGCGGCGGGGGACTGTCAGTGTCCGGGCGTGCTCGCGCATGGCAGGCAACTCACATCCGGTCCGCCAGCCGTCAGGGGCGATCGTGCCGTCGCTCAGGACGAACACGATCAACACAAGGCCGGCGGTGACGAGGAACGCGCCCAGCCAGTCGATGCGTCTGTCTCAGCGGTCAGTAAGGTGCGACAGGCTCAGCATGCGGCCTTGTACGCACCGGTCCCTTTCCGTGGACGGCATGTCCGCGTCGAAGCTGACGAACCCGCCCACGAAGGTGAGCGCGCTGATGCCGCTCATGAACCAGAACGTCGACCGCCAGTGCTTCCTGCGCACAATTCGTCAGTAACTCGCACGCACGCGCAAGGGGCGCCAAGCAGGACGCGACGTACTCGGTCAGCTGCGTGAGCACACCGCCGATCGCGCTTCCAATCGCCGCACCGACGGGCGCGCCGGCCGCGAAGGTCGCGAACGCGATGGAGCGCGTGCGGGATGGCGGGAACGAGTGTGCGAGGATACCGAGCTGCACGGGCAGAGAGCGTCAGCGGGGAGTGCGAGCCGCATGGAATGGTCGTACAGAGGCGGGGATGGCCGCGGCCGCGCCGAGCCCTTGGAGTCCACGGAGAATGTCGATCGTGATCTCGGCTGTGGGGTTGATGATGAGTGACTGTGTCTGGCGCAACTGGAGTGGAACAAGGACGTGGAACAAGGGTCTCGATGGATCCTCTCCGAGTCCATTCATGATTTCCCCCTATGCGTATCCTCGGCCTGGCAATAGCGGCTCTCCGCAACCGAGTTGCCGCAGGGCTGGGAGTACCTCATGGGTGGCTCGCAGAGGCCTTCAAAACGATGTGCGAAATTTGACCAAACGCATGCACCACGCTGAACTGTCCTCTGCACGGCGATCCACACGCGGAGGGACATGACGCCAACGCAGCATAATCCTCAAGTAATCTGTGCGCCCTACCTGGACGAAGCCCAGTCCAGTTCCGCCCCACAATGGAGCAGGGCGACGGTCAGCACGGATCCGCGCAGTCAAATTTGTCTGCTTCTCGCACGGCGATGCGGTCAGCAGGAGCGACGGCAACGGCGCCCGACCCACGGCATGGACCGGCTTCTGCGTTGGCTCACTTGCGAAGCTAGGCAAGTCCCGGAGTGCATCCCGAGAAGCGCGACACATGGCATACATGAAAGCAATGCGCCGGATCTAGAAGTGGGTCACCCGCGCAACGGGGACAGCATCGATACGATGCCGACTGTCGTTGTGGACGGTGAGCAGGACCCGCCACGACCGACAGGAGAGCGCGACGTGATTTGATCTCGAGCACCCGCGGCAGGAAATCAGAGAGGCATGTCCGAGTGCACAGCCGCATGCGGCTGAAGCTGTCTTAAACACAGCAGCTTGTCTAGGCAACCCCAAGTGGAGTCGACCATCTACCCTATGAGCTGCGGACGTCGCCTCCGTATCTCAGCGGCGACGACACCGAGACCGCGAAGATGTACACGTCCAGAAAGCGAAACACACAGACAACTGGTATGATGCTCACTTTGTGCGAACCCACAGCCCAAGCTGAACACACTGAGGCAGGCCATACCGATGAGGAACGCTTTTTTGCGGCCAAAAAGATCTGCAAGGCGACCGAAAAAGAGGAGGAGGCAACCCTGGCGCAGGCGGGCGTCAGTGAGAGATTGGCAGAGGGAGACGGCGAAATGCTCACAGAACTGAGGGTATATGCGGAAATGACCCACTGTAGTCTGTACTGGGGAATGTTGAGGTCCCTGCCCAGGGTGGGGAGCGCGATAGCCACTGCCGTGTTATTTGAGGACTATATGCGTGGGTTAAGCCTTTGCGAAATAAATATAGTGGGGAGACTGACATTGATGAGCATAGCGGTTGTGCATGTAGCGATGAGACCGACTGTCTGGAAGGTGCTGAGCTTGTGGTAGGCATGCTCTGCAGGCTTTTCGGACATCTGGCCGCGCTCGTTCGCGTCGGGGACAGGCGCAGGGCTTTGAGCGGACGGCGGCCGGGAGAGACTCATGGCGGCAAGGATGGCGCACGCTGAAAGGCCAGGCTAGCTTTCGCACGTCAGGGCTGGTTGCAGCGAGAGAGCGACGACGACGCGAGGGCAGACGATATAAAGGCGGCGCGCGGTGGCGGCTCATATTAATATCTAGTCAAATAGATGGCCTCATCCATGAGTGCCGCCGGAGCGCCCGTATCAATGTTTTTGAGAGCACGTGTGTCCAGAAGCAGGAGGTTCGATACCAAATATGGGAATGGATCGAAGGCCGATCTGGCATTCTGGGCGCTCCCTGACTCATCTGCTGACGACAGGCGCCCGCGATCGGCCCCCCACGCCGTCATCCTCAACTTGTCGTCCCAATCTCCTCATCAGTCGAACCTCTCGCCGGAGTTGAGCCCTCGTGCGCTGCTCGCAATGGCCCTCCCGACCGCATCACATTATATCAACGCCCATCCATCTCAACAAGCCCTTCTTGACTGCTGCAATCATTCCAGTTTCCTATCACGTCGGAGGTCGCCCAGCCACCTTTGGCATTCTGTCCGCACGACCGCCACTACAATCTGCTGTTACACAGCAGCGCCCTTGTCGCAATTGGTCCTGCGCACTGCACTGACTAAACGCCACGCTCTCCGACGTCTGCTTCCCCAACTTTATGCTTCATGACACCATGCTTCGAAATCTGCGCGTCCCCGCCCGCGCTCAATCATTCCAGCCTTATGCCCGCATCCCCACATCAATTTTATCACCCTATCACTCCGATACTCTGGTCCGCTCTCGGCCGGTAGCTGCGCAATCCCGCATGTGAGATCGTCTCTTACGAAGTCGGCACACGAATACATCTACTGAGCGCTCCCTATGTGCTTCTGCTACTACAACCGTCCTGGACCTTCTCTCGCTGCTTTCCCGGCTTATCTCTCGTGAACTGCCGTGCGACGTGCGTCTTGCCTTCGTGACGCATCTGCGTACGCTCACTCGTCCTACACAATCTCCCGCGATGCTCCTCGTCTCTTCGCCATGAGCGAAATTCCTTTTAACAATACATGTTTTCCGACTTGTCAGTCGGCAGCCATACCTCCAAACGCACCGCCATACCCGGTGCGTTGCGCCTCAGACCGCAGGATCAATGCACTCACAACGCCGTGCGCCTCGGCTCTCACTCGTACGGTGAGTACGCGCTGGGGGGGCTCCAGCCGCAGTATGACGAGTCGTTTTGATATATTGCCCCCCTTCCTACGCGACACTATGCCCCGATCAACAGCACGTCATAGGCGCGGGTCCGTCCTGAAAGCCTCATAAAGCACAAGGTCAACGCGAGTGATTTTCGACGCCATGTGCTTGCCTCGCATGGCTCAGCGCCAGTGCGATGCGGTGCAGCGGACATATCCATACCCGTGCGAGCGCATCACACGCCCTGTCCTCAGCTTCATGTCCTAGACTCCAAGGCGGATAGTGTTGTTGGAAAAACTGTGTCCAATCGCGGCGCCAGGCGGGGCGATTGGGGTGCGCCACTATGGCGCAGCGATAGCGAATGGCGATTGCCGGCGCAACTCGGAAAGGTCGGGTCTGGTTCAGACTCTGAGCAAAATATTCTGGGGTAGAATCTCTCATGCATCCCAGCGTTTATTTCCTTCCCCGTGCCCGAGCCATCAACAAAGGAGCACGCAGATGAGCGTGCCCTAAATTCTCCGATCGACGAAAATCCACCATCATGATGTAAAGTAACTAACAATGTTCAGAAGGGCGTTGGACTCTCAGCGAGGCGGAGGAAGCTAGGGTACATAAAGACAAGGAGAAAGCTCCGGGGAAGTGGGATCTGAGGTCATTGCTATCGTCTCTCGACCTGTAGTTGCACTGTGTAATCTTTCTCACCTCCAGCGTGAAGAAATGCCATTCGCCAGTTGCGCCACCCTTGTCAGTAATCGTCATGAGCCTCTGCCAGACTCTGCGCCACGCCGGCGATTGGTGAATGTCTGCGCGAGCTTTGCCCACGTTACCAAAGGCGGGACGTGCAGAGGCAATGGCGCATTTGCTATGCGACGATGTGTTCACCACGGCACATCGTTGTTTAGGCCGACTCCCCGATCCCAGCATTTGTTCGTCCACGAGGAACAGCCATCAGAGAGCCTGATTAGTACACCAGGCAGCTTGATCACATGGGGTTCGACGAAGCATATTTACGTCGTAGAGTACCGTACAAGTCTTCTGAGCTAAGCTTACGCAACTATGCACATCTGGCGCGTTTCGTCTGCATTGCGGCGCGATCCAGTAGATTGGGGCTCTTCCGAGAAACCCTCGCTCTCTTCCTCATGATTCATCTGCCCCGAATGATACGCGCGTACGGCGTCTTCTGGAGCCTGGGAAGCGGGTATAGGTACGGCAGCGCCTGAGAGTGTCAGCATGGGATGTTCGGATACCTCTGTTTCGACTCGCTCCAAATCATCTATCTCGATAATGTTGCTTGAGCTTGCCACTGAGGGAAAAGTTGCCATCGCATCTAGATATATATCAGACTGCGTTATGATTCATGGTTTGCTATATTCCCTCACCTGTATCAATCTTGTGCAGGAGTTCCTCTATATACAGACGCATGGGCTCGTCGATCTCGTCGTGTGTAGTGATCGACTTCATCATGTCCACGAATTGATCTCGCAAGTTATCATAGTGTTTGTCTGCTACTCCGAATATCTATGCTGAGCACACATAGGGCATCGAGCAATGTCGGAGTGCTTACCAAACACATCAATTAACGTAGCGACTAGGCCTTGGCTTTGGTCACGAGTGTATATTTGCAGCCACTCGCTCAACCACCCAGGAAAGTCCGGTGAAAGGAAAGCTTCATAGAGCTCCGCTAAAGCAATGGTTCTGGTGAGGCCAAAAGCGTAATGAATCTCGAGGTCACACAACGTACGGCTATTGGGTAAATGAGAAATAAAGTCGAAGGCTTCTGCGGATAGGGGATCTTGTGTATTGGTCGACAATTTAATCAGCTGCAATACAAAGCGATCTCTCCGAAATACCTCCACAGCATCGCCTAAAACTTTACATCAGAAGCTTGGGATTGACGTTCAAACTTCGAACGCACTGTGGTGCGCGAACGCTTCCAGGCACACCAAGGCTTTGTGGCGTACAATATTTGCTTTCGATATGTCGAGGAGGACTTGAAGAAGCTTTTGGCAGCATGTACCACCAATCAACTTGGCCCGAACCTCGTATAGGAAAATGATCAATATTGTTTATGCGTCACTATAGATGCAAGACGTACCGATTGTAAGCACGGGGATGGTCGTCTTAAAATCAGTGAACCAAGTCAAATCGACAGCTTCATCCGCGATGGCCTTTGCCACATCTTCTATCAATGACGTTTCACAGAATATCTGTTGCCGAAGATCATCTGCACACGGGGATCGATTTATAAGCGCAAGTTCAATTGATATATAAAATCGACCTACCGCTTTCACAGATCATGTAGATGAGCGCCGTCAAGGCTTTCTGCTTAATATTCGGATTATCATGCCCTAGAAATCCGTATAAGACCCACACGTAGCCGAGAGATACCATGTGCTTGCAGGCTTTGTCTGGAGCAACCCCATTCCAGGGTAGGCCGATCAGTAGGACTGAATCATAACGGTGGCATGCTTACGATGATGTGTCAATGCATTGATGGCAAGGAAGGCCCAGTCATTATTTGTTTCGACTTCAATACACTCTCGCAGCCTTTCCATAAAATATGGAAATGGATCACAGATCTTATCGCAATACTTAGCTAGAGCAGAGTTGGCTAATGACTGGGATACAAGTTTGAGACTATGAGACGCACTGTAGTTGAGTAATTCGACGAGCTCATAACCGAAATATCCATCGGCATCATTGCTTGTGAATTTCACGACACATTGAACGAACTCCGACGGAAGGCATTCAGCGAATCGATCACCTATGTCGAGGTGGATTTGGTTGAATGTAAAAATGATCGCCTTCACATGGACTTACCTAATCCACCCAAGATATAGCATATAATCCCGCATCATGAGGCGTTTTACTGTCCTGAAACACGGAAAAGACGTTTTCATGGAGACGGCGATCATCTATAATCTTGCTTTGAAGCTCTTCTACACCCCATGTCATCAGATACAGACCACGAGCTTTACCACTTATATGTTGACGTACCACAGTCCTTGGCTACTTCCACCAGGCACAACAAGAGGAAGGAGCGATATGTCCATTGGCGACGTGACTCTTCTTCTACCCAGCGCAGAAATGCAGGTCTGAAAGCACCTGGATCATATATATTGATCACTGGAACTGGTGCAGCCACACAGAAATTAACAACCCACGTTGTCCCATCTGCTCAATATGCGCACTCCATGTGTCTGCAAAGGATGAGGCTTTAATCTGCTTCTCAGGATCTGACTGGAAAATAACATCTTGGACGACTTTGGGGTCCGAGTCAGGCTGCATCCCTTGAGACAATGGTTAACGTCGAGCAGTCGCATTGCACAATGTTGTTGGTGTTATTACCTTGTGCGTATTTCAAGAGTGCCTTGGTCAGTCTGCTGTCTGCAGGTGGAACGGTGGCTGTGTTCTAATCACCACTTTGTAAAACCTTTTGAATCGGCTGTGTACTGACCTATAAGAGCCACGTCTTGTTCAATGTTTCGTCTTAACAATCTCTGCCACTTATATCTCGTGAACCTCTTGCGATTCGGCAAAGGAGGCCGCGCAACTGGTACCAAAGGTCAATTGTCACCGATCAGCGTAATGGTCTGCGAAGGTGAAACTATCAGACTTACACCGGGAAAGATTATTATCCAGTGTGCTGAGAACGCATTCCAAGATTGGGGCCGGCTTCGACACCAGAATTTCTACAAGGGCTTGTCCTAATTTTTCCTGCAGTCTGCAGTTGTAATTCCACAGATGGATCAGACAGCTCTGTAGGGTTTTGACATGCGATGTGATGGAAACATAAATTACGGCTTACTAAACAAGGTCACATTTTCATACAACGCTTGCGCTGTGATCGCACTGGTCTCATGTGAGAGAGTAGAACCAACAAAGAGAGATACAAGCTCTTCTATTACATCGGCCGTTTTCCATTCTACGAAGCCTATGTAGTCATTCCGCATTACGAGCCGATAGGAGCTCATGACATACCACATCGTCGCACGAGTGTTGCGTATGCAGAAACAGCGATCGCTGCCCATTCTGTATGTAATGTCTTGCTCAATATGAGTTCCGTATATGGGTATACCGTGTACTCTGAAACGGTATGTACATGCCGGTATAGTGACGGATAGAGTCGTAGCAGTCTCAGCGTTTCGGAAGGATTGCTGTCCTCCTGGACACTGTTTCCTACATGATCAGACAGCAACAACACGAGGCTGGAGTCCCAAAGCGCCTGCAATCCAGCATCTGAAAGATCGCATAAGTCTTGTAACATGAACAGGTTGAACGTGGACGACCACAGAGCACTAACCATCGGTAACAAGTCGTTCAACCAGTCTCAGGACGCTTCTCAACAGGTCTGGGGCATCGCGGTTGACATGTGCAATCCTCCAAAGGCTACGTCCGATTGAACGACCTGCTTCCACAATTGCACGAGTCCGGTGGACTACAAAGTCCATACATGAGTGGAGTACTACTATGTATGCGAAGGACATCGATACGCACCGTCATGAGCAAGAACGAACAAACGGTCAAGTGCTACTTTCGAATCCTGAGGCTGACTTAGCTTCTTTACCAGCTCTGGGATCGCAGTAATATCAAAGAGGTCGAGCTCGAGGATATCACCTAAGTCGTCCATCCAGCCATACTTCGAGGCATCCTGAGTGTCACCTTCATTAGCATCTAAGTCCTTCCCCAAAATGGTACTCCAAGCGGGAGAGTGCGCGGTCGAAGAATATGCATGAAACTGAGCCTTGGGCAAATATTTTCTCTTCAATGCCACGGAAAGGTGAATCTTTTGACCAGGATAAATGATGCGGTGAGCACCCATGTGAGGTATTATTCTAGAACGTGAATCAGCACGTGTAAAGGTAATAGAAACAGCCACAAACCATTGGTGAGGTTTGAGACAATCTTCCTGACGGCGGAGGAAAGGTATCGCCTCGGCAAGCCACCACCACCAGCGCAATAATTCGCGAGGCTTTTGCTCTTGAATCTTAGACATCTCCCAATCGACATTCGAATCATTGAACGTAAGCCCTTCGGCTTGCGCTTCGTTTGCCATCCATGAAGCTGGAATCTCGTCCATTAATAGCTTTTCGTTTCGTTTGTTCCCCCCTCCTCTGTCAATTCTTCTGATCAGTACCAAAAGAAGAGAAGCATGCTCTTCGACGTACACATCTGAGTGACAGCCCACAAACCAAACTTCCTTCACCCGTTGATGCAAAACCGCCCTTGTTCGACGTGCAGACACTTCACTCATGCGTTGAACATTCTCCTTTCGCTTACTTTCTGTGGATGTCACGCAAGTAGGCGGAACAGCATTGACTGCAGTGGTGTTAATCTGTATACGGTGACGATCAGCATGAGATGTTCAAGGAGGCGAGTCCACATCATGGACGCTTCCTACATTATCCAAGCGTGTCGTTTGCAGGAACTCTGGGGCAAATTTGACTCGACGCTCGTCCAAGGCAAGGGCATGCCGAGCGACACAGACATGATCGGCTGTTCGAGTCTTGGGTAAAGCCTTAGAAGGCAGTAGTCCGACAGAGGACACGGTATCCCTTAGCAGCAATCGTTGATCAACCATTGATTGAAGAAATAGTATGGACATACCATGCACCAATGAAATGGACCCTGACATTCGGCCTAGAGAATGTCTCCTTGAAACGGCTCGCAATTGATGTTTCCCTTTGAGGAAGTGATGAGAGTCAATCATACAGTGAACATTGAATCACGCACCCCCCCGCTTGGCTTCTTGTCCCCTGAGGCTGCATAGAGCTCATAGGCGCTATTAGTGAACATCGTCGTGAGCCCATACAATATCACCGGCATCATGCGACAACATGCGACAACATGCGACAACATACAACGGAATTTGTTCCTCATTTCCGGCATATATAAGTCCCACCTGGCCGTTCATTCAACGTCAATTGGAGTAGACACAACGAAATGAAAGTGCGTGGCACCTCGTCAATCATTGCTGCTAAAACCCTTGCTTGGTATGCGCCACGGGAAAACCCTATTATCAATCAGCAACTACGCGTGTTGAGTGAAAGGGAAAGGAGACCAAAAAGAAAGATCCTATCCCCATCGCGATATTGCTCGGAAGGCCACCTGTACGCAGCGAGAATAATCCATTCGAAGTTCCTGATCGTCATTCAAATGTCTGTTCGCTTGTCTCAATGTCTCAATGGATATCATCCACATACCACGCAATAGCAAGATCGACTAGACTGTCCAAATGGGTTTTCATGAGCTTCCAGGAGAACTTGCGGGAAGGGTATGTTCCAATGCCGCTATTGTAGTACGTCAGCTGTTGATCATTCTTCTTGATACGATGATATATTTCGACGACATTGGAGTTCTATCCAACGGGTATCAAGACTAGATATCAGTAATTGATGAAAGTACTGTCACCTTGGCGCCAAACTAGTTCATCGTTCCATCGAGAGCGACCACAAGCCTTCTAGCAGTCTTGTGCGTCCCACAATACTCGCATTTTCCCAGTTCTTCCTGGTCATTGTGTTCCATGACCATTCTACCACTGAACCCTCATGAGCATGACACGTAAACGAAGTGTGTAGAAGTCACCCTTTGACGGTTTCACTGGCATGTGTTTGGGCTGGAGAAGTTGCCTCGTCCTCATACGACGGGCTAAAGTGAACAAATTTATCCTGAAGACGGACAGAGGGGAACATTGCAACGTAGGGCTGCACACTCGGTAATGCTCGACTGAGCATATATAACCTTCCATAGAATCTATCAACATGCGGTAAAGGGCCGGTATTCTCTACCACTTGTTCGGAAGCATGAGTAGATAATGTCGTTTGGGGTCGCATATCGGTCAAATCAGATAAGCTTCTTGCCCGCGCCAAATCACCCTGATGCCCGCTTATTTGGGTCCGCCCTGGTTAGTGATCCGGTCCCTAATTGCCGGGGATCCTGTCCCGCCCTCCCGCCGCACAATTCTGTCATGAGTAGAGTGCACTCCTGTCCACACATTTAAGAACAACTCACCCCCTCATCCAATCGTATGCCTGTTGGACTATTCAAATCCTCTAAACAACCCTTAAAAATACTACATGTAGTACTAACGGACGGGAACGAGACGAGAAAGCTATCGCTAATACGACACCGGTGCCTTTCAAAGTTCCACGTATTTTGCCAGCGGGCAATACCGCCCTACCACCTCGCTCGCATGCTCTTTGAGTTCGACAGCGGCTTCGTGTTGCATACGCGACAAAGGCATTCGTGACGCCGGTGCCTTCTTGTACTATCTGCTACCGCATGTTGCGGAAGAGAACTTCTATCGCTGCCGGCTTCGTGGCACCGAAACGCTTTCGGTGACAATCCCTTGGCCTTAGACAATATTTGCAGGATCGCTGCGATGTCCTTACGCTCTCCTGTTTCTTCCCGTGTGTACGCTGCCTGTAAACTGGACGGACGTACATTTGAACCCAACCGCTGCTGTCTGGCGCATTTTGAATCGCGTGACGAGAATTTCAACGCAAAAGAGTTTGTCTTGGTCATGTCATGTATCCGACCCGTCCAAATCGATGTCCGTCAAATGCTTCGTGGTCAGAAGACTAACAATACAACGCCTCGTTGCAGAATTCTGGGTGATACAAAGTACAAGTACATTGGCTATGAATAAGTCCGTCTTTACCAAATAGACACAACCTGCTCATGTGAGCCTTGGCTTTGCACCCAGAGTCTGGATGTCGATTGACAGAATGTCCTGCACACACCGCGTCAACGCACATCTCAAACCGACACATAGCTAGCACAACTCACCTTCCCAGCCCTGAGCTCCGTGGGTGACGGCATCAAACCTAGGCGTAGTAGCTCCGATGCCTTGCTAACCACCGGGTCCTTTTGCATACTGGCGACACATCGGCTTCAGAACCATGTGCATGTCACGCAAAACACGTAGTACGTTTACCTTGCAACAGCTACGACCTTGTCGTCCTTCACATAGTATGCAATGAACTGCAATTAACACACCATCAGCATTGAGAATGTCATAGAGCGCCAGCGGTGGCACCTTCATCTCGTCCGGGTTGCCCACTATGATGACGTCATCGAAGCCTGCACCGACACCGCAGTAGCGCAGTTGCTGACCCTCTGGAGGTCTCTTGTCAGTACAGTTCACAAAGTCACTCAGTCTTCAGCCACTGCTTACGTGCACTCCAGAAGACAGGGATTTTCACGTATGGCTGCGGCTTGTTCTCTGCGATAGTCTTGCCAGCAGCTCGCCCCTGGTTACCGGCCACCTACACATGCTCAGTGAGCATCTGTTCCGCCCGGCATGAATCGCTATTACTCACGTTCCAGTGCTCGATCCGCCTCAGCTCCCCCGTGCCAGGCTGCGGATACATCGCGATATCCCCGATCGCGTATACATTATCCAGATCCTTGACTCGCAGGTACTCATCTACTAACACAGCCCCGCTCTTGTCCAGTGCGCTCTCGAAGCCATGGCTGCTTTTCAAGAACTCAGTCGCCGGCGCGACACCGACGCCCATGACGACGACGTCCGCGGGCAGCTGCTGTTCGCCAACGAGGATCGTCCCAGCCTTCGAAGGATCGGCCGCGGAGGGGATGATCTTGGATACCTGCGACTTCATGTGGAACCGCACGCCCTTGCTCTCGTGGAACTATGTACAAATGAGGACGGCGTTTGACGTGAATATGCAGCGTACGAACCTTCATGAGGCCCGCGCCGACCTGCTTTCCAAGCACTACCTCGAATGGATACTCCTCCTGGCCGATCACGTCGATCGACGCCAACTTGCGGCTAGACACCGCGACCACGAGCTCCATGCTGATGAACGACGACCCGATGACGACCAGCCGCTTGCCCTCCTGGCATGCTGCACGCCGTCTCTCAGCGTCATTTTTGATTGCGAAGTCGTAGCCACCCACCTGCATCAATTTTCTTCGTGTCGTCCACGCCGCGTAGTGTGAATACATTCGCCAGGTCCGCCCCGTCGATCGGAAGGCGTCGCGGGACACCACCCGTTGCGAGCACGAGCGTGTCGTAGGGCACGCGCTGTCCGGACCCAATGATGACCTCTTTTTCGCCAGGACTGACCGCGGTGACCTCGACACCAGTGCGTAAGCCGACACCGTACTTTGCCTTGAGCTCCGCAGACGAGCGCCACTCAATCTTCGCTGGGTCGGTTATGAGCGCCTTGCTCAGCTTTGTTCTGTTATTGCACCGAACGTTTAGTGGTTCTGCGGCTCGCAGGCGTCTATATGCACGCACCGGTCGATAGGACTATGGTGCTCTTTTGATAATACGGTAATCGGACCGTTGAAGCCGTGCTGCCCGTGCGACGAGTTATGACACGCACTATACCAGGGGAGTGTTGATGCGCACCTCCCGCAAGCTCTCGATGCAGTAATATGCACCGCTCCCGCCGCCGACGATGACGACGCCCTTCCCGGCACCGACACCAGTAGCCAGGAGCTTCGGCTGGCGGGAGAGGTTGTTCTTCAACGTGTTTGCGGGATCCGCTGCCACGTGAATCTTCCCGTCGGCAACATGCACCTTGAAAGAGTGAATTGCAGACGGTGCAGGGGCATCCTCTGAAGCTGTTTTGAGCATACAGACAAGTAGCAGAATGCTTGTACATACCAATGTCTCCCGTGCCGACATTGAAGCAGGCTGTGTTCGCAATGAGCCTGCAAACTCGCAGAGAGTGACGTATACTGACCTCCATGCCATGGGCTGTGACGTGCGGACCAGAGAAACGCGTTAGTGGGACCATTATCACGAACAGCACTCAGAACGCATCAACGAAATTTGAGATGTGCATATATATGCTCCTGCATACATGCAGGGTCCCTTGTCGGTCCCTCCGTCTCCAGCAAGCGAAACAAGCAGAAAGCAAGTTCGTCAACCTATGATGCCTGTCACAACTCCGCAGGTGCTAGCAAGCAAGAGCAAGGATCTTGAAGCTTCTCTCTTGGGTAGAAATATATCCATCGCTTGCGTACTCGTAGCAAGCATTGCAGCACGTCTATTCTCACAATGAAGGATAGGCGGCAATGTCATGCATTACAAGGTATTCCACTGTACAAACGCTCTCGTACTCAGAAACATTTGAACTCACCAGACCACACGGCCATCGGCAGTAAGCACACCGTTTGCGAGCGGTGCACCATAATGGGTGCAGAACGCGCTAGTAGCATGGATCTTGTCACCTAGACGCGAGAGAAGAACCTTTCCTTCTCCCTCAAAGTCTACTTGTTTCCTGTGAGTGGTAGTCAGGATGCGCTGCTCTCTTATCTCGTTGGCACTGGTACGTACATTTCGCCATCCTTGAGGTCGGCTTCGTTGAGCACTGCGATGGTTTTCGTAGACATGCGGTAGACGGTGGCCAAGAGGAGGGTTCTATGTGCGTGTCGAGCGAGAGCGGAACGAGGAGAGCTGTTGCGAAGGAGCGAGGACATGCAAGATGTACCCCGGGTTGAGCGCTGAGCACCGTGACCTATATCGCGAGCTCGCGTCTCGATGACGTCGACGGGCGACATACAGCCAATCAGCTTGCGAGCATTTCGTCATGCCTTTTGCCTCCGTGACGTCGTCGACTCGGAGTGCATATTTGACTTTGGTTCATTGTGATCGAACGGCGCCCTCACAAAATGTACAGGTGGGCGGCATGGAGCATAGCGGCGCTCGGCACCTCATAGTGCGATGCCAGTCGCTTTCCCAATCTGACCATCAGTCACGAAGCCCACATACAACGAGTTCCTCCTGAGCAGGAGGGTTATTTCATCGATTACTGTCCATGGTAGCGAGGAAACGAGGGAATCACAGCAAGTATCGACCTCACTATCCTCATTCGGTAGGGCCGCCGTGCACCACTGTCGACTCCGAGTTCTACCGCGAGCTCCTGCCCCACCTTGCCTCATAATATGATTTGCGATGGCAGGTCTAGTCGACCCCGCGGATTGTAAACCAATACCGAGGAGTCTGGGCGAACAGTAAGCGAGACGAGTACAAATACCGATTAATGTCCTTCTGGCTGTTTAGCGTCCGATCGGCGTGCATCAGCGAAACCTCTGAAAAATGCCAGTGCCTTATGCCGGTGACCAATACGCACCAGCATTCCCGCCCGCAATAAACCCCTGACAAGGTATTTATAATGTAGGTACAATGATGATGATATTCGAGAGGCACTCAACATAATTGGAGGGCTGTTGTCATCCTGAGGCATAAATTCCCCGGTTTGACAGGGCTTGTATGAGGCTTGCAAGAAGGCCGACCGTATGCCGAGTGATTGCGAACGTGCAGCAGAATTGGGAGATCTGGTATTACCTCATGGTTACTCACGTGTAGGTTAGGGTTACACCCTCGAGGAATGCCGACGCATAACTATCCAAGCTCGATTTCCCCTAGAATTGCCATCTGAGGGGTATGGTTCCGCTCTGTTTCTTGGATGCAATCATTTTTGTATCTCGAGTCAAACTTACTATGCTCTTCTGTGGGCATCTCCCATGAAGACTGGCATTTGATAGATACACGTAGGGTCTAGCAGGGACTCGCTGGGCACTGGATTCCCGGCCAACACGGACATGACGTGAGTGTGGCCGCTGTCTCTATGCAACGCTGAGATCCGTATGTGAGTGAATTTACTGCCATATCAAATAGCCAGAGCTATGCATGGTCTAGGTTAGGGTGACTGTGACACCCTGAATTCTCCGCTGCCCCGCTGATAGCGTGGAATTTTCAATGTCTGACTGCTTTGGAAAAGTTCGACCCACACTCTAGACATATATAGGACCATGGTCCTTCCAAGCAGGACCTCCCATACTCGACTTCGAGTCGCTTTTGTCTTTCCAACCAACTCAAGTCCGAGCTTTGAGGAACACTCAATGATATCTCCGATCTACTGGCCGACTGCTACATAGGCTGTGCAGTTGGAGTGATCCCGGTACGTTGCTCGCCATTGTCTGTCTGGAGCAATAGCGATTTTTGACTGGACTGTTGCACCTCAAGCAGCCGAGCGCGCTTTCGCAGTGGTGGACTAAGTGAGTATGCATGTTATCTATCATAACACAAACTGACTCTATATGTACAGATCGGTTATCAACCGTGGCTATTGGTGCTTGAGCATGTCTTGCAAAGACCCAGTGATGTATCTTGCTCGTACATTGTAAAGTAGTAGTAGTACTTGCATTTCTGTGCACACAATACATCTCCTTGACTTGATGTCTGCGAGCTGTCTGAGCAACTGTGATGACTGGCAAAAAGCGCCTCAGCAATGTGATGCCCATAAGGAAACAGTCGCTCAGTCTGGCATGTTCTTAGAATCCTGGCGACCTCATATATGACAGCACAAACGGGAATAGATGCCATGTATGGGCAGTTCGTACATATCTTGTGATGTCTTGCATTGTATTATAAGGCAACACAAATATGGCATCAATTGGCTGGACGTCATCAGAATTGCACCTCTGGCATCGATTGCGAACATTGGCATTTTGCGTGAGCGCTATAATGCCTTATCAGACCACCGCAATAATTACGAGCGATTGCATCGATTGTGGCGCGTTCTAAAAGCCTTATAGAAGCCTTACAGGATAGAATTAGTTTTGCTGATGTGTGTGTCCTGATCCGTGTCGGTATTGGTAACATTCTGCTCAGTACAAAAGTAACTTGTGTACAATATAGAAAATTGGTAAATAGTCTCCGGAGTCATTTATATCTGAGCTTTCAATCATGCCTGTCTTTTCAAAGGTTGTACACTTGGAACCCTCTCAGGAATACCGCTTCAAAATCACTCCCCAGGCGCTCAAAACATTTGGGGTCACCCGTTCCTCTGGCAACTTGAAGTCGCTGCAGAGGTAAAGCACTTGCATCGCGTACCCGAAACCACTAGAAGTCGACGAGATTCAGAAGGCCTACCAGCACCAGACACACGGAGTATGCGGACGTTACGTAGCCTAGAATCCCATTTTTTTAGCCAGCCTTGATGTGAATTCCGAGTGCGTGTGAACATACCCGCAATAGTGAATCCAGTCGAGGGGTCGTCCATGACACCGCTATAAACAACCCCGATCGCCAGGGAAGCAAAAACGGGAATCAAGACTGCGATCGCGATGCGCGAGAGCTGCCATCGCTCAATGAACTCGATGCCGAGGTCCGGGTCGGCAGTCAAAACCTGCATAAATTCATGCCGTCCCTTCATGTACTCAGGATGGTGCAGGAACCACCGGAGACGCATGTTTTTGGCGGGTGACACACGGGCCGGCCCAATTCGTTGAGGGTATATGAAAGAGTGGTCCTCCTGCATGATACTGAGAAACTGTATCCGATTCGGTGTAACTGCTAACCACTCACCAAGACTATGGTCATCGACCTGTTGAGATTCCGCCGTCAATAAGCAGTCGCCCGGGAAATACTGTGTAATCACGTACCCGACGTTCCGCAATGAAAACCATTTTCTCCAGACCTTGCGTAGCCCGTCATAGGTCTTCCGTAACTCTCGCAGAAGCGACTCATCGTCCCAGTGAGCGGGAACCCTCACAGCACGATATTCCGCCCCTCGGAATACCTTCAGCGGGAAGACACCGTCCCAATCAGGCTTCCAGCCATCGCCGCAGCTTTTCTTTGATATGGCCAAGCCTGCAGCGAATGCGCGGTTTGGATATGGCTTAGCTAGTTGAGCGAACTCGGACTGCATGGATGCTTTTTCACTGAGGCTTGACCGTCCGTCACTCTCATCTCCTGACTGAGAGCACACCGAGGGTTCCATATGAGATGCCCCTCTCTCTGTGTTTATGCGAGCTATCCTTTCGATCAGCGTTAGAAGCTTCGCTTCTCTTTCTTGCCACTGCTTCATGTGGTCGCCCCACTCTTCCAGGGCATGAATGTAGGAACGCGAGACGCCGTGAAGCTTATGATCGGGGGATCCCTCTCGAGAGCTTGTACGGGTGACTGGAACCTCGCGATAAGAATGCGGGACAGACCTGCATTGCCTTGACGCATCTTCAGAAAATATTCCGGGCATGAAATCATCCGGCGATTGCAGCGGCGGCGTGTACCGTGAAGGGGACACCGCACGGTCCCGAGGCAGACTGAAACTCCGAGTCCTTGCAGACCAACGACGCATCCGATGGCTTTCCTCGTGACATGAACCGTCGGCTGTGCTCACGCGAGAAATTTCGGAAGGGGAATGAGTCTATGCATGTTGTGATCAGCGCAAAGCTTGTATGAACGTGAGAGCGTTCGAAATTGGAAGATGCCTTACCCCACAACGCTCATGAACCGGGGACGACATCTGTGATCGGCGATTTGCATGCCCATATGGCTCACCGTGAGGACGTACAACAGTGGGCACGCAGACAACAATTGGTGAGGGTGTAGTAGGGGAGTCTCTCGGACTCGGACTTCGAGCGTGGAGTCGCGCCTCGATAAATTCTCGCTCGTCATCTGATGGAAACCTCTCGTGGTGGACAACCGAAGGCCGAGGGGACGCGGGCCGATCCTCGTGCACGATTACAGGATCAGTGTGAGGACCTAAGGTCTGAGTGTCGTCAAGTTGAGAGGGAACTATCATCCCAGGCGGAACAGGGATCGCTTCAGTTGCTTGATATTCGTCAGGTTGATACGAAGGGGGTGTAGGCGGAGTGCAAACCCGCGGAAGGGGAGAGGAAGCAGGCAAAATCACCACAGGAGGAGTACAAGGTCGACTCGCGATAGCTTGAACATCGGGCGGATTGTTAAAAGGTGGAGCCGAGAGAGGTAGTGGTGGTTGGATTATAATTGGACGTGTGGGCCGTAGGTCAGGCAGTACCGAAGATATCGTTTGTGGGGGGTACGGTTCAGCCACTACTTGATTTCGTCGTGGAGCACGCATATACGTACTACGTGTAACTATAACGCTGTTGGCTAGTGCGCATGAACAATCCACAAATTAGAACTCACATCTATCATGTCCAAGGCTCCCAAAGTACGGATGAAAGACTCCAGTCACAGGATTAAATCCCCCAAGGGCATGACCATGCGCAACATGCTCTCGTCCGGCCTCAAGGTCGGGTCCGCTGTCATGCCTCAGCCGAGCGTCCTTGAAGGCTTGAGCAAGTAATCGGAATTCCTCCTCTTCACGTTCCTCACGTTGAATGGAATGCTGGTTACCCATTTAGCAGCAGCAGAGGATGGCACGGCTGGGTTGAGATTGCTTGGGGTGATAGTTAGTCAATCCTTTGTACAGCATATTGGGGACCCTTATAATAAGTCAAGTCGTGGGATTAACGACACAGCCATATTTCAAAGCCATACAACAGCTTTGACGGAACCTGTTCGAGGCAATCTATCAGAGACTTCTACACACAATGAGGCGAATGAACCCCGATCATATCAAATGGAAGCTTACAGTACTACAGTGCACGTGCGACGAGCCTTATCATCCTGCAATTGTTCATGTTATCGAGCCTGTCAATCGCCTTCTGTAAACGACGTTCCCAGCGTCTATGACGGGGCGTCATTCAGGAACCGCACGCATATGTTGCTTTTGGAAAGTTTTAATTCTCTTTCATCATTACAATTGACGTTCCCAGCAGCTTACACCGGTGAATGCAATCATACACTAGAGCGACAGTCTTGCACTGGTGTTGAGGGCCGCGTGTCTGAGTTGCTACGCTCCCTTCGATAGGGCAAGAAGAATCAATAGATATAGGTAAGCTAGAGCATTTGAGTACCGCTCACCTTTGCCCACACCCCAGCTCAAGTAGCGGAGCTAGAACACGAAATGCATATTAAGAATGGTCTTCCCGGCAATCTTAACGGCGTCAGGGAGATTGGCAACAAGCTCAATGACGTGTGTTGTCGAAAGTACACAGACCAACAAGGTACGCAAAGCCGTACAACACAGGAAAGCGCGCCCTGAGCGTATTCATACGGCTGGCGGTACAGAACTGCCCATAGTGAAGTAAGGGCTGAAGGGACGCTTCAAGCATTGAGCATTGATGTCCTGGACGCCGAGAGAGGAAGAGAAATCGTCCAAATACCGCCTTTGAATTCAGAAGATTGTACCCTATTCAATGCTAGTATCTTCGCAACGCGACCGCGCTATATCCATATGGTATTTATTTACTTTCAACGTCAGTATCAGGAGATCCAAGTACCAGGCACCGGGCCTTGCAGCATGAGGCAGTGTGAGAAACCCCAGGCACAAGTGGACATCATCATTTGACGACGAAGCCCAGGAGATGGGTCTGATCAATGCAGACGACTTGGGGCAGGACCCCGGCGAATCCCCCAAGAGCTCTGATCCCGAAAACCCCGAAAAGGGGGCCTCTGGAGCCAAAATCTTACATCTCAAACCCCCGAAACGGGGCCCGGACGGCGGTCAGGTTATGTGCCAGGTGCCCCCGAAACCAGGCGTCCGGGGCGAGGTATGATCCTCGACCCCCGAACATAAGGTCCATCCGGCCTCGGAACGGGTGCCGAAATGTGCCGGAAAGGTACGATGATACCGGTGACGTCTCACTCGATTGCTTCTTGATACCGCTTCGTCGCTATGTTACTTTACTTATCGGTTCTCATACCAAACTTCATGTAAGTAGGAATTTATAGGTCTAATGATCTTGTGCAAATACAAAGATCCGAAGTAGAGAGATTAGTACCACGTCAATCAGTGGCCTCAGTGTAGTAGTCGGTACTTCTAAATCTATGTACGGCCTTGTGACAATGGTACAATCGCGCGCGCGATTTTTTGCAATTTCTCGCCTTTTTTGCAATTTTTAGACGTTAGATCCCATTTACCTCCGAAACTGACCGGAATCAGGCGAGGTTATGTGAAGTTCCCCCGAAATCGACCATGGGCTGACCCCCGGAGGGGGGTCCGCGCGGGATCAGAGCTCTTGGGGGATTCGCCGGGGTCCTCTTGGGGCCCCACGACTATAGCGGATGTGACCCAGCTCACGTGCTCAGAGAACGCGCCGCGTCACACCCAGCCACCGTGTCATGGTCCACGAATCCTACTTCAAGTTTGTACCTCCCGACCTTCAGATGCCGGACACCTAGTTTGTCATTATTCCTTGACCCTTTTATTTCAATCAACAGTAATCCTCTGAAACTGTATACCGCCCTTTGCGAAACGGTAGGGACTCTTCCCTGAACACCGCGGTATGTCCAGTCCTTTGATGTCATGTTCTCGAAGTGGTTTGTTCTCTGGGAGATTCTTTTGATACTCTGGCACGCCAAAACTGCCTCGGCTTAGACTGCAACTCTTACATTCGTCTACTCACGTCATGAGTAATTCGTAGAAGTTGGGATCCTCTTGCCCGTCCGAATTAGTCGACTCCCAGGAACAGCCATCATGTCTCCCCGCGACCTAATGCGGTCTTTGAAAGGGCATATCCTTTACAAACGCGTTCACAATCCTGATGTTCTCCACATCAGTCTACTCTCGCTCTCTTACGAGATGATTCGGGGTCCTAGTCTAGGTATCGCCTCTGTCTGTTCAAGCCATATGTTCATGATAGAACATGTCTACATGTAAACGCCATTTGTCTAGTCTCGAGAGATTGACAGGTCATGCGATTGTCTGGCCCGGCGGGGCGTAGAACCCTATGCGACGAGCGTCTAATGTGGTCTCGGAGAGCGTGTAGCGGTAAATGTTCCCATCTCTGGCGAAACCATCAATTCCGTGTCGACTTTCCACGGCACCGGTGCTCTAGAATCCTGAAGATGATAAAGTCAGCAGACGTATATTGCTGTGTTACCCGTTATACTGGGCGGTCGCAGCCTTTCACGTCCTGTCTCGTCGACCGCATTGCTGTGCAAGTCTCGGTGCTTCCCTCGGTGGGTTGCATAGCCCTATACAGACATTGCAGTCTAGCAGAATGAGACTCAGCAAGTCTGGCAGCTCCTCGTGAGACGGAGGGTCTCTCCTTGTCTCCTGACACCACCGCTCCTTGGGCCTGTCGATCTGCCATCCTATCCGTCCTGTATCCACTTCCGCCATGGGTAACAACGCTTCTGTTGCTCAACAAGATGCAGAAGCAGATATGCTTGGTTTGCTGACTGAGGTTGAACGTGGTCGTCCGGGGGTTTTCCCAGCTGAGCCCACCGGATATCTGAGCGAACCGCAAGTCCAAAGATTTCCTCCGCAGGTGAACCAGGCTCTCTTTCAGGTCCCAATCAGATCGTCCCCGTCCTCCATTCATATGCCCGGTAAGTGGGTGTTTCGTGTCCTTGACAGTTGGGCTGATTACCAGTCCTAGGGTCATTCCCTACTCAGACCGCCCCCGCTCCACCGCCAGTGCTATCAACTAACCACCAGCCATCTCCCACCTACTACGCATTGCAAGCCCCAAATACAACGCCTGGCATATACTATGCCACGCCTGCCGACTCTCGACAGAACACACTTTCGTCGGGTTCTCACTTTGCAACGCCCCACTCGCAGTGGTCATACAGTAGCTCTCCCGGATCTTGGATTCATTACTCTCCGGGTACAATCTGTGCCCCACCAATACTCCCAGTCTCCTTGCCTCAGTCTCAAGATGCAATACCTTACCTTCCTCCTGGGTTTATTCCGCAGAGGATTATATCTCCAGACAGAGATACCGCTCCTTCCCGTGGGCAGAGCCTGCCTCCCCTTGCGGGCTCACGGTCCTCGTCATCAATACGTACTTCGAGCAATGTCTCCCGAGAACAACGCCACCCTCTTGCTCAGTCACCGACTGTGCATGTCACATTGTACGAATCGCCGCGCTCGACGTCGCCTACTCAATCGCCAGGCTCGGGGCCCCCGGCGTCGACGGCTGCTAACGTAATCCACAATGTTCGATTCTCGGAGTCGGCAGAGGGCATCTCAGATGGTTCACCTGATGTTCAGTATATCTCAGGCGAGGGGTCGCCTACCCCGCCCATCCCCGGAAGATTGTCAACAATTTCAGAAGCCGAAGAACCGTGCAACAGCCATGTTCAGCTGTCCGTTGAATCCCCCAGCTCTGCGGAACGCTCAGCCTCACCCGCATTGAGTTCCTTTGAGGACCCTCGGCCCGATTCTCGTTCTAGCCATCGCTCAAGCGATACGCACATCTCATCAACTTCTTCTCTCGGGGACTTGCTCAAGCCATCTCCCCAGGGAGGCAGCGAGCATATCCCGCTAGCGCCCGAACTCGTAGCACAACAAATCGCCTCGCTTCCGGCCGCCATGCAAAGCCGGGTCGATCTGTCCACATTTGCTCAACCATTATCGGCTACCGGTTCGTCGCAGAGTGCAGACTTCATTCCTCCACGATTCAGCCCCGCTGTCAACGGCAGTGATTTATGGACTGACTCCTCAGCGTCTCCCGTTCCGTTTCCGTCCTCGGCGCCCTTGGTCTCGCCTCCGGCCCCACCGGGAAGCCCTTTCTACCAGCCTGTGATCCCACCTTTCTCGTCGCATTCAGCGCTGCCTCCCCAACAGCGTGGGACTTACTCAAGCCAAACCAGCACCCCTTTTGCAACACCTCTGTATACAACTCCCCCGTACCCAAATCCATCAGTCGCCACATTTGCTACCACGCCCCATAGGTCCCCGTGGTACAGTGCCCAAGTATCCATGGTGGGGTCCTCGTCCTCAGCGTCGCCTGAGTACTCGACGTATGCGTCCTTCCAACATGCTCCTCATCCCAACTGTGCTACCGCGGCCGGCTTCTGTGTCGGGACGCCATTCCAGAGTGTCGTGATACAACCTGATCAACCGCCGCATAGCGTGCCCACAGCGACAGGTGGACCTATGCAAGGATTATTCGTCAAGGCCTTCAGGGGGTCCACCCATATCAGAATGGTTGTTGATACAACTTGGGACGATGCCGGCCTTTTCCGCGAGATGGGCAAGACGTATGACAAGCTACGAGCCTGGAGAAAATGGACATCATTGAAGAGTGTCAGGTGAGCCAATCCTCACAAGTGAGTTGAACCAACGAATGCTAACGCTCGCTGATCAGATCCATAACTCTAGTACGAGTCAGTAAATCCTCGTGGACCTCGGTGGTTTATGTCGCTGACACTGATGAACGCTACACTAGCATGACGAGAAGCTCGTCTACCCACAGCGCGTCGGGCCTAAACGCGTAAGCCGACACCGGCAAATGCGGCTGCGGTACTATCTGCAGCACCCAGACGAGCTGAAGGACAGTCGTGAATTCATGCAAGTTCTCATACAGAGACCAGATCTTAGCATCGAATTTCTCGAGCGCTGGCAAGCGTCGCGAATCGGACTGCTACTATTGGTCCTTGTCTTTTTGTCCTTGGCCGTTGGTGTCATCTACACGGAGACGACTGGAGACGTCTCGAGTGGCTTCACGATTGCAAGTACGTCTTTCCCATTTATGAAAGGAGCATCACAGTTTGACTTCATCCGTTCAGGCTATATGACTTCCGCGTACTCAGTGTGCCTTGTCCTCATTGGTGTACTGAACTTGGTAGACCTCTGACCCTCCTGCACGATTCAACACTTCGCATCGGCGCGTAGCTCTTGTACCTAGGATACCCACACGCTGCACTGTTTCTATGGGCATTCACCTCTGCGCTATTCTCACATTGCTGTTCATTGCTGTCGTCGCTGTTACTCCCCCTCCAATTATGGAGACATCGTATTAACCAGTTTATCACCCACATATACATCCTCTACTTACATTGCATTCAACTAAAGCACAAACTGTAGTATATGAGGAACCTGTACATATGGGGGTGGATATTGGCGCTTACATTATGCGTCACGGAGACGTTCTACAATCTTCTCATCTGCGTATCACATAATCCACTCATGTCGCATAGCACGTAAGTAGCAATTGAAGGGACTTTCATGAAATTAGTACATGAACGGTGTTCTCCGCCACCTCGCGAGTGATGCTCGCATAAAAGCTACACTTTTTTTGGATAAAACAAAACACGCAGCACGGTGTAAATATAGGGCTCGTTAAACACTACATCAAATACGGGCATTGCCATTGCTGTCCACCCGCGGGCGCTTAGACGACGGCTCGCCATCCGTGCCATCTGTCGACGGCTTGGGGTACTTCTTGAACTTTAGCAGGATCGTACGTTTCAACGGGAATGATGTCTGCGCGGGGGGCGACGCTATCTCGACGAGGGGCAGTGGCCGGCGCGTTGAGGCGGCAGGCTTGGGCACCGAGGGCCGCACTGCTGTCTGCGTAGATGTGCCACTTGCAGGCAAGGGACGCCGCGGCACATCAGGGGTGCGCTGGAGTATTGAAGACTCTCGGGCATCCTGCCGTGCGCCAGACGTGGGGACTGGTGCCCCGGGTGGCATGGGACGCCGAGCCTGGACATCCGGAATGCGAGTTCTGCCCATAGATGGTGCGTCCTCCCGGCGAGCAGCAGTGGCAGAGCCAGCCGGAACGACACGATGCGGTAGCTCAACTTGTGCACGATGCGCGACGTGTGGCTTCGACGCTGAGGCCACCGTGTCCTCATCTGACTGAGTCTCCGAAGCGTATACGTCGTCGTCCTCATCGTCCTCGTCACTCACAGGTAGCGGCCGCCTGATTATGCCAACAGCAGGGTGCAGCGGACCGCGGCTACGAGCCGTCGATGGACCTGCCACAGGTATTCCCTCGAACTTGGGCTCAGGGATCGGGGTGGTCTCCCGGCGTTTCGCATTGCGATTCTTGGGCAGCTTGAGCTTCCAGTTGCCCTCGCGACGCGGAATGGGCGGCTGGTCGGGGAGGCGCTATGAGAACGAGTTAAGATGTGGTTCACAATGACTCAGAAAAGGGTAGAATACGTACGACAAATTCGTACTTGCAGACGAGGTGGCCTGCTCGGCCCTGCTCACGCCATGCCTACGAAGGTTGTTAATACTAACTCTGATGCGAGAATAACCGGGGGCGCATCGCAGCAAAGTATTGGAGATGAACGCTAATGGTTATATGTGGAAACTTACTCTTATAACTTTGTACAGTCCATCGTAGCGGTACCTAACAAGGCTTCAGAACGTCCGAGTGCAACGAAGGGGTAGGAAGACAATGTACCCGTCTGCAGGCGCCCAGTCGGACTCGAGTTTGAAGCCTCTCACGACGCGGACAGGCTTTCCCGTCATGGAGGACACCTACCGATGCGAACGTCAAGCCAGCCAGACTCAGAAAGTTCGAATTACCTTCAATGCCATGTTGCGCGGATTGTCTTCGAATGTCTGGTCAACCACTTGAGGACCCATTCGGAGCTGGGGGACCTACAGGTTCAGTCAGCAGAACTTTACTAGATTAACAGTATCGCCCGCCTTCTTGTCGCCCCCAGTGTCGCGTCCCCCGCATCCAGTATACGTACTGACCATACAGTAAGATCATATGCATTTAAAACGAGCGGATGACATACAATTTATATCCGTAGTCGACATCGTCCTCATATCCTCCCGAGAGCGCGACGCTGAACGCGCCAGTGTCTTTGCGACCGTATATCCCGGCCAGTATTCCGGGGTGCACGGCAGCGTCGCTGCAGGCTTGCCTGCTCCGGTAAAAACATGTGTCTTCTAGCCACAACGCGAGAAATGGCCTACCTTGATTCCCAGCGCTCTCCCACAGGTATTCCGGGGATGTGACCGAAGACATCACTGCAAGATTCAGCGAACACTCATCGCACTACCAATGGAGCGTGCATACGGATTTTGTGTTCGCTTAGACACTTTATGAAGTACCCCAGGCATTCTGGGCACGAGCGATGATGATGGTAGAGGGAGAGGAAGGTTACGAAAGGCTCTGAACAATAGGCTCGTTCATGGCAACACGTGCCGATCTCACTGATTTGGCAAGCGATCTCACATCACGCCAATCGTCCACAAGCGCTCGCATCACAAAGCGGCACCGCGTCCACGATTGAGTCCATTCCCGACCAACTTTCGCGTGTCAGGGCAAGCTACCTCTACATCTCGGTTTTGAAATTGTCTGGACTGCTATCTCAATACCGCATCCAGTCGCAGAAGGTAGGACAAGCATATTCGTCAGAATCGGGATCGAATTTCCGGCAGTCGAAGATATCAGCCAGCTATTATGATCCGGAAGTTGAGGCGAACGCGCGGATGAAATCATGCACGATTGCTACAATTATATTCTACAGTAATTTAAACTACGATATGCGGTTCACAGACTCGTCTTAGAGTTCGTTAAGTTCACCCGGAATCTTCGCCGTGCGATAGCGTCCCCGGGTTGTGTGCGACCTTGTGTCCATGCTGATGAAGTTCAGATATGGTTAGTATCGGCCAGTATGTCCTTGATCCAGCGACCTGCCTGGTCTGTGAAAATAACCTGACGGTGATTGTTGATGTCAACAGACGTAAATGCACGGAGAACGCATCCACTTCTACCTTGGGTGGGTTCTTCACAGTCGTTCCAAGGTCCGCATTTTGGGCTTCCTGATCATTCTGTACCACGGCTTCGACCTGCGCGAGACATGAGCGCGGAGCGCTAGCCTCGCTAGAGATCTAAACGCCAGCAGCGTATACCTTGCCCTCGCGCTTCCCTCCTCGGAAGCGTGTTCCGACCATGTCTCCCACCTCAATGGGCTCTCCTTCCTTTGTTTGAATATCTTTCTGTTGCCAACATGGTCAGTCATACCAGCGCGGGGCGACCCCGCTGGTTACTTGCCGGCATGCTGATTATGAACGAGCTATGGCTTGTGGTCGAGTTCTCTGGTTTGATGAAGGGAGAAACATTGAAGACTGTAGGTGTTATATGGAAACCCCACGTCGATGAAGTCATAGCCCACTCCGCGCCACTCGTTGACAGACTCGGAACAAATCTTGGGCGATCGGGGTAATCGATCGCCGATGTCGGATGACCACGTTCCCTACGCAAACTATTATTGTGGCAACAACTACAACAAAAGAAATATTGATAGACCTCCCCTCGCAAAGTATACATTTTGGCAAATTGGGGCGGAAGCTCGCGGCAGGAGTCGGCAGTGGTGCAGAGACGGCGACGGGCAGCCGATCAGAGACGGGCTACTGAGTGAGGATCATGAGGTAGTAGGCGCTTGTTGTAATTCCCTGGTCCTCTCGCCGTCATGCTCAGTAAGGGACGTTATATCCATCAGAAGGAACTCGCCGTACACATTTCTAGCTCCATGACAAACGGTCAGATTGAGGAGGCTATGCTATTGTTTGCGGAGCCGATAGCGGCGGGGCCGGGGGTAGACCTCGACAAACGGACGAAGATTGAGACGTCGGCGTGGCTTACTATGCATGGCTCGCAAACAACCTCTGAGAGATGGGAGCACGTCAACCCGAGGTGTCGAGCGCCGCTATGCTCCATGCCGCCTATCTGTACTTTTTGCGAGGGAGGTCTACCAATATTGGTTTTGCTGTTAACATGGGCATTTGTTTTATCGGGACATACACGAAATCGAATACTTAGACGCAGGCTTTCATGAATGAAGGAATCTGTCAACCGTAACATGAACTGCATTCTGAACTCAACCTTCGGTGTCCTCAAGGCCCATGAGTACAGGCAGGTTATCCCAGATGCGCCGTCGAGTTTTGAGGTCTCGATCCATAATCTCCTTGTAGCACGAGGGGCACAGATCTGCTAGCCCTGCAGCAGGTAGGAAAGTCTCAAGTGCGCCACCTACGGTATATCCACCTCTTTCAAACATCCTCTTCACAGCTATACGCAACGCCCGCCTGCAGGAATCGTGGCTCTTGCACTTCTGTATGCCGCCCCAAATCGTACCGTTGACGATACACGCCGTCGCTTCCTCTTGTGCGGCTAACAACTCATCTCTGCCTTTTATGCACTTCACCAGGTCGTCCGGGTGGAGCTTCTCTCGTTCGCCGTCCTGTCGCCGAACCCCGAACACTAGGTAGGAGTTGTCGAGAAGGCAACATTCGTACAAGACAATCGCTTGCATTCTGCGCTGTTTTATAAGACGTGCGTTGGCGAGCACGATGGCCTCCTGTAGCTCCCATGAGAGATGTTCTCGCGTACGTTTGAAGGGAGAGCTTGAAAACTTTAATTGATCGTAGCTTCGCGGAATGCAAGCATTGAGTCGGCTCATCCCCTCATACAGCACGGGCATTTGCTTTAAGTGCTGTTTTGTAAGACGTGCCAAGTTAGCGACAACGATGGCGTCCTGTGGCTTCATTGACAATTGTTCCCGCGTGTGTTTGAATGAGGAGCCTGAAGACTTGAGCTGATCGTAGCTGTCAGGAATGCAGGCATTGAGTCGGCTCATCCCTTCGTCGCGGATGGTGCTAATCTGGTAATTACACCCCAGGCGAACGGCGCTTGAGACCAGCGAGAACGTCCAAGGACTCTGATGAGAGGAAGTTGTGCTACAGTATATATCCATGCCCATTTCAATGCGTAGCCGGCGAGGTTCATAGTAGGCGACTTACGCATGACTATCATACAGAAAGGATAGCAGGTTGGCAACATCCCCTGAGAACGCCCCCAAACGGACGACCGGCAGACCTCTCCACCTCTCTGGCTTACGCGAGGAGAGAATGGTGCGAAAGACTCTGGATTTCCGACTCAAGACGGTACTGTGAACGCGGAACATGGTGGTTGTAGTCTTTATGATGACGTCGCCATCTTCGAAGGTGAACATTGTGTGCCAACGTTCTTTGGCTAAATCAACAATCCATCACTACGCGGTCTAAGAGGTCTACGTGAAGTGACAGGAGCACTTACGAGGCTGAACACTCCGGTAGTCGTGCAGCGTTTTGAAATCTAAACTGGGTTGCTCAGGATCTATGACTTCCATGAGATCAGCGAGCTCAGCCCATACGCCACGTCGGCGCTCGACATCCTTCTCTTCGATCATCTTCCGGCACGCTTTGCATAGGTAAACAGGAAATCCAGTCAACAAGTCCGCGAATACGCCACGTCCATAAGCAGAGATTTTTCCGGCTTGTAGAGCTTTCCTGCCGAGGCGCCTCAATTCCTGACGACACGACTTGGGTTTGCTGCATAATGTGCTACACCCCGGGGATTCGTCGAACAACCACGACCGCGAGACTGCATTGACAGACGCCAATTTACGTCTGCAATCCAAGCATCGTCGTATATCGGCGTCAGATAATTTCTCCGAGGTGCCGTCGGCGCGAGTTGTCCCTGACAACAAGATCGTATGGTCCATCATTGTACAGCAGTACAATGCAGTGACGAGGAGGGGTAACTTCGCTGCCGCACGGGCAAGGTGGACTATAGCGATGGTATCTCCTGGCTCAAAAGATGGAAAGGAGCATTTTTCCCAGCCTGGGTTCCTCCATAAATCGATCTGGGTGAGTAATCCCGATTCTGAGCGTTTGAAGGCCTCCCTTCCGATAGAGTGTATTTGGTAATTGTGACTAATGCGAGCAAGTGCCACGACGGACGAGAAGGAGGAGTAAATCTCATTCTCTAGTTGCAAGCTATGGCTCCAGTGTATCAATTGACCGCAATTATCATGTGGTGACATACTCACCTATGACCATCATATAGGATGGAAAGTAGTACCGCAACGTCGTGGGAAGATTCTTGGAGAAAAAGAACAGGGCAGCCTGATATCTTCCTCTCCGCAGAAGTCAGCGCATCAGCGCATAGTTGTTGCAAAACCGCGGATTGCCGAGAAAGTAAGCTTGCGTGTACACGAAATGTCGTGCCTTGGGCAGAAAGAACGAGGTTTCCGTCGTCGAACCAGTACTTTTCATGCCGTTTCGACTGCGCCCCTTCTTTGCAGACGCCTGCATTATGTATAGTCTGCAGAACCCTGCACGAGCCCGACGACTGTATCTGGTGCCTTGTCGGCTCTCTAGCTGGTTGAAATAGACGACTGCCTCCAGTACGATACTCTTGCTCCTGGGAACACATGATGTAGGAACCCTTATGGATTGTGAGTGCGACTTCTGAGTATTCAAGTAAAAACGGCAGCGGCTTCAACCTTTGACACCCGCTGGACGTCACTGACTACTTACCTGGTCAGCGCCTCGATGAATTACCGAAGCCGAGATGCGGGTTCTCAGATGTAACAAATTGGAGGCCGCCCGGACGAATGCCCTACTTGAGTGGATTTGAGAATATTGGCTACCTGTGGGTCAATCTTCACTCAAATCTCATAGGCTGAGGATGATGGTCAGTATATAGTTGAACATAGACCCGGATGATCCCATACTGATACATAAAAGGTAAGGTCCTATCATGAGACTGTTCAGGAACTAGAACGAATGACTGAGCCGCATCACGTACGTTGGGGTCGTCGTTCTTGCCTAAATCGAAAGTAGGTCCTTGAGGGATAGATTCTAGAGACCGCGTCGCAGGAGATGTACACCGGCATGTGGTAGTCGTCCTAAGTATTTTAGAGTTCAGGGTCATGTGGCAGACACCTCTTTGAGGCCGTCACACCGACAGATATTCTCGCTGCCCCGGGTGCCAATGGTAACATGCATAGCATACATACTAAACTCCAGTCATACTAAACTCCAGTAATATATCAATGGTATGACTTTCTAGGATATCTGAAGGAAGGATATCTGTAAACAGCCGAGATTCTACCAGTGATCGTTCAAGTTTATGCACAAATAATCCAAGGTGAAGACCCAGACATCGCCGCCACGCCTCAGTATTTCTGTAATGGCGACACACTCCCAGTCTCAAAGCCTACAGAGGATGTCAGCCTCACGAGCGTTCCAGAATACCATAGTACACATACCCTATCGCCTGCGCGAGCAGAAAGCCTACCGTCGCTACAACCTGGACATATCAAATCAGCACAAGAAACTCGTGTCATACGCTGTATTCAACTTACCAGCATCGCAACGACGCTTGCTGGTACACCGTTCTTCAAAAAGTCGACATTGGACAGATATAGCTGGCCCATGTCGTCTTCTTGGTTTGCACTGATCAAGAACTAAGTTACACGAATGCGAACACAAGTGGACTGCGGTGCGTACGCTGTCTGGTTTGGGAATCCTGACACAGGCATACCCATGCCAGTGGAGCACAGTAGGCCGGTTAGGAAGATAAGTAGATTCTCGCGGTGTCCGGGCATATGGCTCCCGACTTCCTTGGCAATGGGTACCAACAGCACACTAGCGATCGTGTGACTAATGAAGGTGGAGACGACCTGATACACTAACGTTAGCCACCGATAACTCGTGGACAGTGTGCACTCACTAGAACGATCACGGACAAGACCAGTACGACCTTGTACAACGATAGGTCCTGTATGATACTGCGTATATCCTCATCCATGACATCCAGTAGCCCGCTTGACGTCACACCCTTGCCCAGTGCAATGCCGCCCATAGCCAAGAAGACGACCGTCCACAGGAACTGCTCAAAGTCCTCCTAAAGGTGCATTGTCAGTATGCACGCATTATATCCAACGCTGCGCCTCACCTTCTTGAGCACACCAGTCGAGAAGAACGCTACTATTGGGATAATCGCGATGATACCCATATCGCCGACAATATTCTCTAGCCGGTTCTCGAAGCACCACAGCCCGATCGTGACCAGACACACGAGGGACACCCAGTACTGCTTGAGCGTGAACCGCTCCCGCGCTGCGCGGATCGGCCGAATGACAATGTCGCCCTCCCCGTCAGGCGAACGCGCGGGCCGGTAGCTCACGAGCAACAACGCCCAGATCAGCAGTATCGAGATTCCAGAGACAGGGAGCGCGACAGCAAACCAACTAGCCCAGTCCAATGGTGGATCCATCGCCGCGAGCGCAATGAGATTCTGAGGCGATGAAATAGGAGAGCTTTGTCCACCGATATTAGCCGCTAAGGCAATACCTATCTAGCAGGAGAGCACGGTAAGCTAGTGGAGCTACGCTCTTGAAGGACGGGCTCACAATAAGACATGGCGCAAACTTGGACTTCGGAGGTAATGTACGGAGGATTGGCTATTGAATTTCATGAGTCCATGGTAGACTCCTACATTATGGCGACTGACCTGAATGAGGGAGAAGCACAGTGTCGGTGCCGCAACATTGCTAGACAGTAATGAGTTTGATACACAAACAAGATTTGGAGATGCTCTACCTGATCCACATACTTGCGAAACACGCTACAGCCATGAACGCGAGAAGGACGACGCTCGGGCGTGTTCCTGCCAGGCTGAGCACTTTCGTGATCAAGACACGATCAATTGCTGTCTTGCTCAGCGCTGAGGCAATTGTGAAGCCGCCAATGAGGAGCATGATGGTCGGCGAGAACATCACTGAGAAAATGTATCTGTACACCACATCAGTCCTCGCACTACAATCCAATGCACGAGCCGCACTCACTTGGTTGCGTCCGGGGTGCTCAGCCGTACCTTCTCACCGCTGTCGTCCTGCTGACGAATTACACGCAAGCAGACCAGAAGTAGTGGCACCAGTATTGCCGTCACGAACAGCGGGATTGCCTCTGTGGCCCACATGATTGTCGCAAAGACGAGCACCGCTAGACAGCGATTCGCCTCCACACCTTCCACAGTGTGCACGTTTAGAAGCACCACAAAAACGAGCACCGCGATCAGCAAGTATAGCTGCTTCGTCGTCACGCGGAGGTGCCCCACGCGTGTGCGGACACTCACTAAACCCTTCTCCTCTTCTGCCACAAGGGTGCCTGGTGCGCCCCCATTTGCCTGGCCACGACGGGCATCACCGATCATTTGCCGCCATACCGTGTCGCGCTCCCATGCAATATGCTCGCGCTGGTGAAGCTTCAACTGTCGCTGAGCCGCCTGTATATCCCCGCGAGTCACGCACCGCGCGTACAATTGTATCAGCAAATTCGCCGCCGCCGCTATGCGGTTCTTCGACGCCTGTGAGAACGGGGGCGCCTGCTCGACGACGTCGTGTATATAGTGGTCTTGCAGAGAATTTTCGGTGACCTTGTCATACCTATACAATAATGAGCGCGAGAAGATTGGCGAAGGGGTCACGGCTACTTCTTGAGGATCTTGCGGAATCCTGAATAGTTCAACTCGATGTACGACCGTAGCGAGGTCACGGAAAGGTACAGATTGGTGATCCGCCGCTTGAATAAGAGTTGTACATCCATTGCGTAGTTGTTCTTCGCCGTCCATACCGTTGGTGGGGCTACCATGGACGTGATACTGTCCTTCATTCCCTTAATCTTGCTTGCAATCGCATGCGTAGTAGCCTTCGGAGACGGCCCGGGACCGATGGTGGATGAAGTCGACGCTTGCGCATCGTGTTCCGCGTGTTGAGAGCGCAGGGAGACGATGCTGGCTTCGAGGTCCCCATGGTCGTCGACAGAGGATATGCTATAGCGGTGCCCTGGAGGAGCGTCTATCCGTTTCCTGCTCCCTAGGCACACTGAGATATCACAAAGCGCACTTGAATATGCCTACTTACCTGAAGGACCTCCCGCAGCACTGCTCAACGACCGAGCGTGCCGCCGACCCGGACGACGCGATGGCGAGCGCGTGTGATCTCGGCTAATCGGAGGGCTCATGGTGTTGAATTCATCCCCTTCATCGTCCTCGTCCTCCTCCTCCGTGTCCACATCCGGGTCCATGTACTGGTGTCCTGCATCTGGCCCGGCCTCTTCCTGCTGTTGGGCCAGCCGCTCGAGCTGAGCGACCTCACCGAGCAGTTCCCTCTCCTGAGACTCGTAGAAGACGCAGATCTTCTTGAGCTCACGGTCCAAAAGCGGTACGAACAGACTATCCGTGTCGGTATGTCTTACATGACCCATGAGCGCGGTTTCCTCATTCGCTTCAAGATCGCGGAGGTCTCGTGTAGAGTCTGCGAGCCCAACCTGCTGCTTCTCGAGTTGGTAGATGGTCTTCTTGAGTGCATCGTAGCTGACGAGGTCATGAATACAGGCCGAGGTAAAAGGACGACTGGCCGCTCACTTGATGTACTCGTCCCACCATTCTGGGACGGCATTGAACTTGAGGGAGGAGCTGCGGTAATTCAGTTGCCAGAAGGACATAATGAGAAGTAAACGCGCCTGAATTTCATGGCGAACGCAGCGAGGTCAAAGTCGGATGGACCAGGACAGCGCAGCGGCGTCAAAGGAATCGCCTCTGGAGTAAGTCGCGACGTGGTGTCACCCGTGCCTGCACAAGCCACTCCAGGCGAAAGGTGCGAGGACCGTTTTCCACGTGTTCAGGAACGATTTTGATTTCCACCAAGCGGCGGTGTCACTCCTTGGATATGAGAATGCTGGGTGCTATCCTACGGTAATTCATGTAATTCAGCCCTGAGGTCTCGACTGGTCAGGTACTCACCTCGCCCCCACAGTCCGTCCAATGCACCCGCCGTACACCTCTCACCAAACCCCTTGCTTAATGCTGGAAGTTTGGGAAAACTCTACGCCTGTCCAACTGGCCTCTCAATAGGTATCCAATCAAACGAAGCTCTTGGGGGAGGCGGACAAATTGTTATGCATCTACAAGAGATCTATGCCGTCGCTGTGTTCTGGCCGTCGAGGATAAATGAACCGGTGCAAAAGACAAATGGCGAATGATACGGGAGATACGGCTTCCAACCCCATTTGTCCGAATACTGAGGTGCGCATTGCGGACTTCAAAATGTAACACATGCAGCCTTTAGATGTAATACATAACGCATATCACGTTTCAATCCCCGACAATAATTGTTGCCACTAATGTATACAAACATGTAAACATGGTGTGGGATCGTTGGCTACTATTATGTACATCCTCTGACCATCAAAAAGAGCGCTCTATTGTAGGCTGCCTAGGGGAGACAAACTATTATGGGCGGTAGGGAGTTGCTCACGACTGCTTTCGGTTCACGATTCACTGCGTCTTTGCTCATGATTCTGTCATCAATCGATACGTTGAGGTCTTCTACACAATTGTAAACATTTACAGTGTGAGAGAATCAGTGGCGCTTGGGGTGGCACGAAGCCGCGAGGACAACTCGTTCAAGGGTGCAAAGGCAATCTAAAAAGAGTTGCTCAAGAACGTTACAGAATGTCATGCATTCTGCTGCTTCGCTTCCGACACCACACTCTCCGAGCCTCGCCAATCACCATCCACCGATATGAAGTCTTTCAACTGCTCTGCATGTACAAGTCCTGTGGCTCTATATACCGTACGCTGGTGACCATGATGATGATATTCCGTGACCTTGTCTTCATCGGTTTACTTGCAATTATTAACGATTTGATCATGAATACAGTGACAATAGCAATATTTTCCTGCGATCATTGCTACCATGCAAAGGTCTCACGTCCTCAAAATGCGAATTGCACTGTAATGCGTCCAGACGAGCCCATAGTGTGCTACTTTGCAGTCTCAACCTTTGGCGTCAATACAGCGTCAATTCACGAATTGCAGCTATCGTGATGGCGAAAATCTATATTTCAATCAGACTTTGAAGAAATGGTTATATGATGTATGCACTGAATCATAAGTTGAGGTGGTCCACTATCAGTCAAATCTGTTATGCACCAGAGTGGCTGACACCGTGAACGCAGATTGGGAAGCGAGCTTCAATATCATTCTCATCCTGACCTATGGCTGACAGCCTCACCATACTTCGTCTTTCAGGTCTAGGTTAGCCTCTTGTCATCCGCTGCGGCTGGCAGTCCCGACAGGATGACCTCGTCGCTGAGACGATAGCCTCTCCCTTGTCTGCTCCACCGTCCTCGTTTTGTCTTTGTTTCCCGCACGTGCAACAAGGTACACGCACACAATAACGAAGATGGCGACCTCTAGTACCGGCAGTCCACCTCGATGGTCTGTATCAGGCCCCCCGTCCAAGGCGGCAGGGCCCGGGCTCAGCACCGGAAACTCTGTGTCTGCGTCCTCACGTTCCTTCGTCAAGGTCTCTGGTCGCAAGCTGTCCCTCTCAGAGGGCCCGTCGGTCACCAGTAGTTCCCCTGTCAAGCAGGTGCTTTCGCCACTCGAATGTGTCTTCCCTCTATTACTTAGGTCGACTAGCGCTAGTGCTCTCGAGCAGTCCTTTCCCGCGACGGGCGCGGTGAACATACCGTCCTTCGCCCGCCCAACGAAGACGTCAGCCTCTCGCACTCAGCATGCACCAGCTATATCCAAGACTCCACCCAGACCTGGCATGCGCCCCCTGGCTTCAAGTCCTCCAAGATATGGCAGCACCGCACGTCAAGCTTCAAGTCCGAAGGCGCCAGTGACTTCTCCCAAGCACAAAGACAGCCCTCGTGCACTGGCCAACGCCAACGCCAACGCCGCTCCTCTGTGCGTGACTTTGCGGTTCAACGCTAATTCATACCCTGATGCCCCTAACATAGGACCCCCACCGCGACGACCACCGTTGCTGCTGCTCCTGCCAAGGTACAGGGCTCATCGAACTTCCTCACGGCTCCAAAGTGGCAGTATGGCTCGTCGATACCACTTCCAGCCGTGGCAGAGAATGTCGAGACTCGGAGGATCACCAAGGCTCGACGTTACGCTGACGAACGCGCCGTTCAGCCAGGGCGCCTCGATTCTGCAATGAAGACGGTGGGCTCGCGGCCTTCGCAGGTGTTCACCTCGATGTTGGAAGGCCTTCAGGAAGACGAGGAGGAAAGCGAGGATACCGATGAGCCCGTTCCTCTCATCAAGGAGACCATTCAACCTGCTCTCAAGCAAGAGGCACCCTTCGTACATGACGAAGATGAAGACGAGGATTTGGAAGTGCTCAGGTTTGTCATGATGTCTACGATCCAATAGTTGCATGACTTCATCTCCTGTGCAGACGCATCCGCGACAAATTCTCGAAGGTGATTGCGGACGACATGGACCAGGACATCCAAAGCCTGTCGTCAATGGTCTTCAGGCGCATCAAATCGCCCGACTTGAACCCCGAAGCCTACCCTGCGGTCTACGGTGAGCTTATGCGCTCGCTCGGCGGGCTCGCGTCACTGGTGGAGGAAGTCAATGGGGCGTTTGGACTCGATGACGACAAACATAAAACGTCCGCTGCCACGGTCGGCCCACTTGTGACTGGATGCGTCGATACGGTCGTCGACAGTGGCAATATCGATGGCGGCGTTATCAGCGTTGTACCCCTTGCAAATGACGAGGTACTCCGCCGAGTTGATGCTGTGCACGTTCTTGCTCCCACGTCCATGTTCCCATCTCCATCTTACGAATCAGCACACTGCATCGTTAAGCAGGCCTGCTTTCCGACCGAAGCACTTGATATGAACCCAACTGCAATAGAAGATGAAGACGATGGATTAAAAAGAATAAGGCATGTATATCGTTTTGCCGTCTTGTTGTTCGTTGTTGACACAATGACAAATCGTTATTTGCAGCCGCATGTTCGCGGATTTTCCCCTCGAGAATGACTTCAACTACGACTTTGACGATGACGACCAGGACGAGTATTCGTCCAGTAAGACCTCCAGTATTTGCTTTAGCGAGTGCTCTAGTACATCCGAGGAAGACTACAGTCGGCTCTTTGAGAGCGGCGGTCCACTCACAGCGTGCATTATGGAGGCGCAAGGTGAATTATATACGTTACCCGAGCGTCTGCATATGCTATCAACCGATCCGAGAAGGCTTGGAGGGAGAGAAGAGATTTTCAGCACTCGCCACCGACGAGGGCCTTCACCAAGGAGTCGTTAAGCAAGCCGATGCCGCTCGGATATTCACAAAAGGCCACGTCAGGCCCTCAACGCTTGACATCCACCCTGGTAGCACTGCCGAGTACGGCTGCATCGGTGATGTTACTGAGCAAGACATCTCCGAATCTGCTTTCCAGAGTGAGCGTGCATTCACTTCGGTGGAGACTGACAAGCACATATCTATCACGGGTGAGCAGCGGGTCACGGCCTCCAAGGACAAAGCGGCGCTGACTCCTAGGCTTGTTGAAGGCATAATCTCTCTTCCCTCTGAGGATATTGCTACTGCAAAGTGTTTCTTAGTACGTTCATGTGTGCTTCAAGCCTCGGGCGTTGTCCTCATACTATGGTTGATAGAGCACATCTGAATTGGTACTGGGTGATCATTAAGGCTCAACGCGCTGCATGATCCAGCTTCATCACTCACAGTCGAACCACACATCAGGTCCAACTGTGAGGCTGCTCCCTGAGCTTAGATGACGACGAGGTTGACAATGCCGCGCAGTTGAATGATCCTAGGCCAGCATCAATCGAGGATAATTCGCCGCCGAGGTCTGAGGTTCTGTTTCATTCAGTGTCTACGAGTAGTGGCTCTGGTCTCTCACAGCCGACGTCTCAGTCTGGCTTCTGGACCCGTCTCTTTTCTCGGTCTTCACCTGGCTCTTCCAGCCTGACGGCTCTCTGCCACCTGACGTTCTGGAGGCACACTGTGGCGACAAGACTCGCTGTCAAAACTCACTTGTCCCTGCATTTTCTGCGGCGTCGGCAGCAGCAGCCCTCTCTAGCGCCTCTCGCATTTCTGAGGACCGTGACGAGCCCGACGCTAGTGACTCGAGCTTCGCGTCGGCCCAATATACTGCTTCGTCTATGCCGTCGCCGACTGTGCCAACGTCAAGATTTTCTTCTGCTTCTAGTATCCGGCTGCCCTTGCCCGACTCTGAATCCAGCCGCTTCAGCCCTATCAAAAGTTTCTTTCGCCGTCTGTTCTAGCTTTTAAGTTCGCAATGCAAGATGGTTATGAAGTCGCGGTAAGAGTTCATCCAGTCTCGAAGTCTAGTTGTCGATTGCTCATGCGTGATCTCCGCATCAGCGCAGGATTCTCTTTGTGGTCGAACATCTAGTGTCTCATCTTTTTAATTTTATATCGCCCGTTTCGTATACCAGGTTTCAGTCGACTGCGCCTGTGTGCTGGCAGATTTGTCTGTCCCTCGCTGCTTTCTGTCTCTTCATACTTAGCTGCTAATGCACGGTGTGGATTGGCCTACAATTATCCCTGGGGCCTGCTAGCCCGGCCATTCGATAGACCATTACATGTCGGAACGATCCGCTGATACACATCCATTTTCATACAATTCCCCCTTCTTACAGCATCCCTTCTGTCAACACCTATCTGCAAGCGGAGCAAATAGCAGCACAGCTAGCAGTATATTACCCTCTTCAGACTGTCGAGCTTGGGAAAGATGTGGGCTGGAGCCGTACTTGGTGGCGCATGATGTATTAAGGCTCAAATTCGGAACGAGAAGGCTGTCGGGCGTATCCTATCTCTGTCCCGCTTGGGATGACGGCTAGAGCGCGTTATATGGATCTCTGCATAACATTTCATCCCCCGATACCTCATTTATTGGGGGAACCTCAAATATCTGCTTCCATGTCATTCTGGATGCCAAACGTCAACAACCAGTTTGCAGCTCTGCATTCTGATGCTCAAGTGTAGTTATCGAGACTAGAGTACATGGTTCACGTGCCGTTCATCAGCATAAAAGATCTACAGCCGTGAGCATCCAATGCTCGTCCAGAAATGTGATACACTGAAAAACGCGTCATGGTTCATCGGGTTCGGCGACCGGCGAGAAATCATTTGTCAAAATGCTCTCTATATCTCCCCTCGGTTCGACGTCATCGAGCTCCCCCAAAGCCTCGACATCGCTATACCCGGTGTCGATAGCATTGTGAGATGCCGCCTGGCTCTCAACATCTCCATTGGTAAAGAACGTTGAGGAATAATTCAGTGGTGCTCCTAAATTCCCGACGACTGTCGACGCGAATCTGACATCCGAAATGCGCGAGGTCGATCCCACGAATGACGGCTGCTCGTCAGGATAGTTGTCTTCCATGTGGACTTGCCGCAGGTTTAGGAGGAATCGTGAGACGATCACGGACGACATGCTACAAAGATCGACATCAATTTCACGTGGAGAAGTTGCGGAAAGGGGTGTCGCTGACGCAGTGGAAAAGTAGGTGACATCACTGAAGACCTGCAATACAGTTTAGTGTATGATATGATACGTAGGGAGGATTACGCATACGTTGGTCAAGGATAACGTAAGGTGGAGCACATTTATGACGAGCAATACACTAAAAAGGATACATAAGTCAAACGGTGAAGTGGGTCCGCACGTGCCCACGTACATGAAGTAGAACGTGCCTGGAGCAAGGGCGTAAGTTCATGGACCACTCACTTGTCGTACACTCACCATCTCTCAACAACAAAGTAACAGTTGTTGTTTTCATGTTTGCCTCGACCGCCTCTTGTTTGATTCTGTACGTCTTGACCCAAGTCACAGTAAGAACGATGAGATCAGATGTGATGAGACTGGCTCGGGCGACACATAGTACTATTTGCAAAAGTCAGCGCGCCGTTGCAAGGAAAGCATGGCATAGACGCAGTACATCTGTACGGTTGTGGACGTCAAGCCTTGGACGGACAATCAAAGAATACAGAACGCACATTACATTTGTTGATGTTGAGAACAAAGGGATATTGTTACATACAGTGCCGAAAGATGGAATATACGCTGTTGTATAGACATATCGAATGTCGCTGAACTGCGGAGATCCTGTCAGCGTCTGCAGCAGAACTAAAGAGTGCATCTCACCAAGTTGAGACCCACGGGGACAAGACCCAATGCGAAAGTGACTATTGCCAATTGCCATGCCCGTCCCCCAATCGCGTACACACGAGTGGCAGAGAAGGCTGTATCAGAAATGTGTAATCAACATTCAGAGACGAGATGAAAATTGGCAGGGACTGCGACCTGCCCAGACAATAGCTAAGGCCAGTTGAAAGATGGGAAGCAGGAGGTTTACAGCTTCGCAACTGCTCAATTGAACTTTACAATTAGATCTGCTAGTATAAGAGAAACCCGATAAATATCACCTCTGTCAGACGAGAATGTCAATCTATGCCAACAAGTCGGTCTGGGGATGCTCACTGTGCTCGTACTCCAATTTGGTAGTAATAATATCATTGCGAGGGCAAGCCCGATTGTGCAGCATCGGTTCATAATGTAGAGTACAGTGGCCCCCGTCTTCTTGCGGGTCCATATCAGATCTACTTCCTGAGAGAATGTTATCGCATGTTCATACAGCACAAGTGCTGTCGGTCGATGGGTAATTAGTATTATTGTGATGAAGTAACTCATAGAACGCTTGCCAGCCATTGCCACCATACAATAATTTTGAACGAAGCTATCAGATTGGTGTCAGCTATTCGAGATACATTCGCATGCTAGGAGCTACAGATATATCCCTTACCCCAGCTCCAGTTGATAGGCGATCTCTGCTGCTAGACCACTTGACGACATCCGGAAGAGTCAACGGGGGATGAGGATGGGGAGGAACGGTGGCCACATTTCCTCAAGACTCAAAGTACTACCTAGCTTCAACTCAAACTAAGCTCTTCTGCTGTCGTAAGTCAGGCCAAGCTCGGACTAGTAGCTCGATGGGTATATCGGCGACAGATTGGGACCCCAGAGGCTTGGTTGAGAGTGCTTATCGGACGTCTTGCGCGTCACGTGTAACGACCTCACGTCAGACTCGAGCATTGAAATATTGACTGATGGGAGCAATGAAGGAAGCCAAGATCCGTAAAGCTTGCGGACAAATGTACTTACACGACAATGACATGGCGTTTCAGCCGGCGGGGCGTTGGCATGAACAGATCGTCGGTGGTTGCGATGCCACCGTCAACATTGAAATATTGATCAAGCCTTCAAGCAGATCAATCAGACTCCGCGACGATCAAACGAACGACATTCTGATCGTAGGAGATTGCGTGCACCTCGAAGATTTCATTGTGCCCTGAGATCTGAAGCATGTTTGCGCCACCTGTCCGCAGTGGGGTAACAAAGCATAGCATTGCTAGAACAAAATGATGAGCATCGAACACGGCGTAAAAGGCGTCATATCAGTCATGAGTCGTCATTAATCGTAAAAGGTGATGAGAGGCCAGACCGAAACCTTCAAACAAGACTTAGTGAAAGAATGAAGGTCAGGCAGAAGGTAATCTATCAGGGAGGTTGCTATGTCTTCCACGCAGCGATGGCACTTCTGCCTGCAACCCGCTTCAGAACCACACGCAACACAACAGCACAGACACCAAAGCCAACCAGGAGGACGTAAGAGGGCAGATCTGCCAAGGATGGCGTGTCCTCTTCATCTTCCCCGTCGTCAGTAGAAGTATTTGCGGAAGAGCCCGTGAACCGTCGCAACGCTACCGGGAGAAGCGCAGAGGTTTGAGAAAGAAAGGTCGAACCGCCGGGCGGAACTGGGCTGCTGGGTCTACAGTCATCACGATGTGCCTGTTCCAGTAATAGTGAAGCTTCTATAGCTTGCGTTTCCCCGGTGCCTGCGACCGATCCATGTTCTCGCCCAGCCTCGAGTAGCTCGAGCTCTGCAACTTTCTGTTCCACTGTTTCCAGCCGTAGCCGAAAAGCATCGACGAGTGCGCGAGTCGCCGCGAGTTCAGCCTGGAGACGTGATGCCCTGTCAGCGTCGTCAGCATCATGGCGTCCGAAGCTAGCCTCCGTCTGTGCGCCCTCTTCCCGGGTCTCGAAATCAGTCGCGACCGCCGCCTCCGTGCGTTCCGCGACGTTGTCCGCACAGTTGGGCTGTGCAGGAGTAAATATTGCTGTGACGACTCTTCTCTCCTCCCTGTCCCGCCTGCCTCCGCTCTTCTTCCCAGATCCATTACCATGTGCTATAATCGTCTGGTGGGCCTCGATCTCGTTTGGTCCCGTCGAGACCTCGGGGTTGGGAAGCCGTTTGACGGTCTCTCCAGGGACAAGATCCATTTCTTCCCACGCGCGGGCTCCCCAGGTACCCGTAGGTGGTACGTCAGGAGATCCTGCTGCGAGGAGCGCTTCGATGCTGGGTTCTTCAGTTTCGTCCCTGAACGCGTGTCTCTCTGGTGAAAATCCCCGCGTGACGGGGCTCGGACTCCGGATCGGCTGCTCCTCGATAGGCCCCTTTTCGCGAAGCCAACGCCCGAGCTTGGATCGCTCGTCCGTGCCCTCATCGTCGATGCCGCCTTCGGAACTGAAACTCCCGCTGCGCTCGAATGTCTCTACCATCCCTCTGACTCGACCACTCCTATAACGTCTCGGATGACGCACGTGTGCTTCGCCCTCCGCTTCGTCCGCAGACAGTTCGAGCGAGCTCGAAGAGGAGTTGTAGAGCGAGCTGGAGAACGGAGCCGGTGGGAGGGGCGATGTGGACCCTGGTGACGGCGTTGGTGACACTTCAGGGCCCCAAATTCGGCCCTTGAGGACATTCTGACGTAGCTCGTGCGATGCAGCCAGCAGAGCCTCGCGCCATTTTCTGTTCATCCCCATGCTGCGATGCAGTCGGAACAACTTGAGTAGAGGTTTGCCAGTTAAATGGGATCCCAATTACCTCTCCAATTCAGCTTCACTCAGCCTGAGGAACATCCTCCCCGTAATCATTCGAGACTTCGCGAAGGCCGCGATGTCCTTTGCGACACGAATTGGGAGACCTGCGGACTCGCTCCTAGAGTGATCTGTGACACGCAGAGCCATGACGAGGTAGGTAGACAGCTGAGCCGGTGCCCATGTCTTCGGATTGCTAGGTAAATCCTCGGGTATGGTAAGTAACTGCACCTCCTCGGTTGAACCAAATGAAGGGAGAGTATCTGCGCGCTTGTTGCGTCGTGGTGAAACGTATTCATCCTCAAACACCCCAAAACTGCCAGCAGACTGGCTATGTAGATGTCCAGGAGGTACAGGCAACGGCCGAGGAGACGATCGCGTTGGGGATTCAGCGAGATTGTTCAGAGATTTGGAGGCTTTGTGTCCGCGATCGCTCTCGGGACTGCGACTTGCTTTAGGGGAAAGCGGGACATAATAATGGCGCGCTGTGTCGGCATTGTGGCTGGACGAGTTCGAGCGTGTGAGCAATCCACTGGTAGTCGTCTTGACGGCATACGGGTGCGGGTTTGGCTTCAAGTTTGGGTCGTTCCTGATCGGTGACGGGAAGGTATATTTCGACGGAGATGGGCTCGGGGAAGGCGGGATGGGGAGAGGTCTTTCGGTCGTCATGCTGTATCTATCAGTACGGAGCACAGCGCTATCGCTGGTGCCAACATACTCCATCTTGAACTGCAAGGTACATGCTCAGTGAACAAATGGCTCACCAGTGTGAGATAAAAATGATAGTGTGAGGTGCTACAACCCAATCGCGTGTTGATTCCACTCAGTCTTTTATTGTCATTACTGCAGCTAACTCATAATGCTCACAAATTCACCAGAGTGAAGCGTGAGGGTCGTGAGACGCGTCTGAGCTCGATAGCGTCTGAGCTATATGGGAGGCCAGTCGTGCACATCGGTTACGGTGCATGAGCAGACATTCCTAAATGAACTCACATTATGGTTGTCACGGATCTGTTGCCTACAGTCGAACCTCGGGCCTCACGTTACTGGACACTGTTTGGAACCGATATCGCAATGATTCAGCCTTATAGTCTCCCAGCAACAGAAAGAAGGTTCGAGGACCAGAAGACACCAGAAGACACCGCTTGGCGGAAGGGCCAAAATCAATACCGCACCCGCAGAGACGAGCTGTTTCGGGGGATGTGACCGCTGCGGTCATGTGCATTGTGACATGCTCGACGCGGTGTCACGCAGACGCCACACTAGCTGGCGCATTGGCATCCTAAACGTTGTCCTCTACACGCCATAAGCTTGTTCGACTTCCTGCTAACTTCGTCCTTTGAATAACAGCAGAAGTAGCCGACGACGTAGACTAGCCGACTTTTCACGAATGTCAGTGTTACGATACGCCCACGCACTGCCCTAGCAAGGATGCCGCGTATATTATGATCAGCTGGGATTCAGTACTACATTCTATCAGCCACCGTCTATGGCCAATGTATACGGCGCCACTAGTAGTACATAATTTGTGCGTACCGTGAATGAACCGGTTATGCTTACCTTGTCTACCCTTATTTTTCAGACTTTGTTTATAGGTGAGCCATTTCTGTGGCTTATCACATCACGCCTATTCAGGCGAATGTTGTCGCTCTTACAACCCTTGAAGGAGACTTCCAAAAGTTTTCCACCCAAGATGAACATATTCCTTGAGGGCAGCCGCTGTTTGAAGCCTTCGTTTACTGAGAATTCCACCGCAACATCCCCGCTGCCCTTCAGAATAACTGTGATGAAACGTGCGGATCCATACACACAGGTCGTCGTTGTCTACTGTGAAGCGAAGCTATTTACTTGCATTTTTTCTGTAGTAACATCCCTCACCTACGGCGCGAGTTTTACAAGCTTCGCATCGACTCGAGGCATGGGCTCGCCCTGACACATTTGTAGTCTCGGCTCAGCCATTACCTCAGAGCGGTCCCTGTATTGATCGACCTCATTGCATACTCGCGACATGTGAATGTGGATCGCATGCATACTAGACCCTAAGACAAGCCGCGTGATGGCTCAACAGAGCGCTAGAACCGGAGTACACGACACAAACAGATCCCCGAATTGCATGCGTCGTCGTGCAACGTGTTTTGCAGAAGCTGACGCACCGACAGACGTGCAGCACCGTCCCCTGAGGTGTCCGCAAAGCGTTCGGCCTCGTGCACGTCCACAGACGCCGTCTATCCCAGCTCACAATAACGACTCGGACCCTGTTACCGTATCGGCGGTTAATCGAACAGACATGTGTACCGACTTCCCATTTGAATGAAGACCCCTGGTACGTGACAGGCTAGAAGGCTACTTGCGTTTACTTTTGGTTGTTCGAAGCTGAAAGCCGGCTCGACCCAGGTTATGCTAACTGTCATTCATAGTTCCACCGATTCCGGCGTGACCCCAGTAGACAACGTCTGGGAATCATCAAGGTGAACAAGCACACCAGTGCCACCACTCTGTAGAACGTCCGTCAATCGTGTCTAACCTGATAGATACGCCGATCTAGCACGGACTTGGTTCGGACAGTCTCCTGACGTGTTCTTGTAACGTGCCCAGGGACCGACCCACGCTAGGTCCATCGAGTCCGACGGATGATAAGGATTACCGAGACCCCTGAAGCGAACCATTTCCGGAGGGTATTCAGATAGGCGACATGACATGTCTTCGAATCACGGGTTTGGCACTGTTGGTCCTCATACCGAGCATCTTCCTCCGGGGAACAGTTCTTTTCTTGCCTAATTTCGGAACTAGCCGCGGAGGAACCCCTGGTCATCCGACCCCGTCAGCTATGGATAACCTTCCACTCCGCTGGTAGTCCCTTTGTCATCGAGGCCTGATATATGTTATGCCTCGCGACGTCCTTGCCGCATGCTTGCCTCGGTGAGGTTACCGCCGAGCGTCTTGTCTACGTCACGACACGACACTCTGAAGGGGCTGGTCCACCAAGACACAAAAACATGCCTCTGTCAACCTTATTTTTCAGGGACATGTTCTATGTACATTGCAAGCCCACACCCTGGCTGAGCGAGATGTTTCCCATGAGATCTGCACCCACGGTGAGCGTTCGAACTGATCTCGCCGGTGGTAAAAAGGTCTTTCCCGCGGTCGGATTTCTGCACGGTCTCTTCTCATGAACCTTGTCCTCGCGAAAATTCACAGGGTGCGGATGCGACGAACTTGCATTCTGATTGGCCTTCGGTTTATCTGATACGATTAGATGTCCTTAGCAATGCTTCCGCCTCGCTTCGGCGAACAGAATGTGCCCCGTGTTTCTGGAGATCTCATTGCACGCAGATACGCTCGAAGCGTACTAGCAGTGCGTGCTCTCACCAGGCGACCTCATGCAACGCCCTGAATCCAATCTCGTGCCCTCGGTGAAAATACACAGGAATGAATATATTACAGGGGTGCTGGTTGATTAGACAGCCATATGCAGTTCTTCTACACCAGGCGAGAGGAACCACTACAGGGGGTACTACCTGACACGTACGATTATGGTCGGAAAGCAATAATACACTACTAACATGCAAAGAGGCAGAGCGAGAGGGGGCAGCATTGGATCATGCGTGAGACAGTGTATCACCATGGTCTCCAGGTGCGCTTTTCGGATTCGCGGTCGGACTCGCTCTGAGCTGTATTGTAATAAGCACGCTCATGGCTCCGCTCGTAGTCCGCCACGTCACGCGTGTACGCGACATTGCGAGAGGGCGAGGGTGGCGGGGGCATTGCGTATCGCTCCCAGCTCGGAGGCATCGGCGACAAATAGCTTGCAGAGGACGCAGCGGGCGTCAGGGGGCTGCCGTGCGATGACGACGATAGCGGAGGAGACAGGGTCGAGCTCGAGCTCGCGCGCGATGACGCAAGGGGCGCGAGCCCACCGTGGGGCATGAAGCCGTCCGATCTACGGAGGGCGCCAAAGGTCAGCACAGCGATAGCGGCAATCTCGCCTGCAGCATCTCACTCACGAGCGATGAGAGTGCAGCGCATCAGGAATGCTCTGCCGCCGCGGGGGCAGTGGCAGCGGTGGCTCTCTTGCAGAACGCTGCAGGGTGTCGTCGTCATCCGAGCGCAGTCGCTTCAGCACAGCCGTCGAGTCGTCCATGCTGCCGCGCCGCCCGACGTCTAGACTGGATATCGGGGGCAGTGTCACCGCCTCCGCGCGGAGCGAGTCGCGTCGTTGAGAATGTATCGACGGCAACGTAAGAGAGCTTGTGCGCTGTGGCAACAAACTCTCATGTGCGTGCCCCATCGCAGGCCGAGACGTCAGTGGACTAGGAGGATATGGCGAATAGCGCATCGAGCTGGTGGTTTCCACGGGCGGTGACACCCGGCGTGCCACAGACTGTCTATAGCTTGTCGCTGGCGACGCTATCTGCTGCTGCAGCTGTGGGCGCTCAACGTACGGGACGTGCAGCATGACAGGCGAGTCGCCGCGAATGACGGCGTGCTGGTCCCCGGCGCCAGCGCCGGAGTAGAGGGCCTGCTGCTGGTGGAACTGGCGCGCGGAGAAGGCGGGGTCCGCAGCATTCGAGGGCCCGGGCACAGAAGAGATGACGGTCCAGCTATGCCGCGGGTCGGCCGGGAAGTCGGCCTGCACACTGCGGCGGGCTCTACGCTTTCCGGTCCCGGGGCTGACAATTTGACCGTACCCCGGCTGGTCCGGCGATAGACATGAGCTCGGGAACGTTGGTCTGGAAAAAGTGGGTGTATTTGAGATACAAGCGACAGAGCAACAGACGAGGTGAGACTTACCCAAAGAGCGGCACTAGGTCGTGTCGAATAGGCCATGCGACACTGCACAGCATCAGAAAAGTCAGCTCCAGGATACTTGTGGACGAAATCAGGAGAGACTGACCGACGTGCGAGGCGCATCGCTGTTTCGTAGGGCATCCATGTCCCTTGTATCTTCAAATACCCACCGCGCACCCGACGCAATTGAGAGGCAAGGTCAGGTTGAGAGTCAATAATTTTCACAATGTCAGCTGCAGAGCGCCGTCAGGAGCCGCTCGAGTCACCATCAGCGTACGCGCGGACTGACCCTTATTGTTTCCAAGTGCTAGCGGCGAGTGAAGACGATGAGAGGAAGCAACAGGCGACAGAATATGTTCAAGCCCACCTTTCCAGATTCCAGTCCACAGGACGTAACCATCGTCCATGTCCAGCATGATCCACTGCCCATTGAGCGGGTACTCATACACAGGGCTACGCGCTGGTTAATGTCGCGGTACGATGACAGAATGCGGAACTCTACTGACATATAACCCCGAGGGTCGTTGCTAGTGATATAACGACCTTTCGTTACATGGTGGTTTGGGCTCGCATACGGCCGAAACCGAGGGCCAACGGGTGGCGGGTCGCTATTTGGGGAAGGCATGGGATCCTGCAAGTTGCAGCTAGCGTTTAGCGGCGACGGCGTACGACGGCGGGGCACATTCACTTACGAGGAGAAGGCCAGAGGACATGCTGGCGGAGCGATTAGGTCCTAGAGCCATGGAGACGCTGGGTCGGTGGGTCAGGTCAGACGGGAGGTCGTGGCGTCCGAGTTTATCACCGAAATGGGAGGCGTTTGAAGCTCAGCACGGAGATCTACAACGATGCGACACTGCGGAACAAAGGTACAGAGAAACGCCACGATAAGGGGAAATTCTACGCAGGGCGGAGACAAATAGGGGATGGCAACGCGACCCGGGTCGGGAGAATTTCATAAAAGTGATGAAGACATCACCAGACGGACAAGAATATATTGGCATACATGGGCTTCCAACGGTCGTTGACCGGATCCCTTCTATTGGAACCCCAGGTGGAATGTAACAGATTAGGCACCGAGCCTCGGCTGTCATCGGTTAGATATAGAACGAGGCATGATCAGAAATGTTTGCGGCAGATCCCATCTGTAGTTCCAAGCCCGCGGAGGCCGGGTCTTCGCGGGACAGTGGCGTCCCCAGATGTCTCCGGTTAATTGGCTTAAGCCGCCAGTGTGTCGGGTCGGTAAAGGCCCACTGGCTGCGGACATCAGCTACGACGCCATGGCCGCTTTCCCCACGAGCTGTTTGATACGTCTGGCACGGGGATGATGCACGTCTGGCTCGTGATCCGCGTTGTGAGCGGGGCAGGAGGCAGCCTCGAGGGGCGAGCCAACGGCGGTGACGCTGCGAGCGGGGGCTGCTGGGCTGCGGCCGGTTCCCTGGAGAATGGAGGTCGGGAACCTGGAGAATGAAATAGCCGGATGGGGAGCTAGGGTGAAATGGGCGAGTCGACTACTGTCAAGGAAACAGCATTCGGGCCAGAAGATCAAGGCGTGGAAATTCTCGAACATGCGGTGTGGTGCAGGATTAGAGTTGTCTGTTTGCTAATCCCCTCGCAGGTCGGATTGGGCGACGGGGATGCCTGCGAGGCTGTGGCACGCCGGCCTGCTTGCCACCGACGGCCGGAGCGGCCGGGGAATGTCCCTAATATGGGCGGAGCAGGACACGGTGGCGGAGTCGATGGGCGCGCTTCGATCAGTCGCAGATCATCCGGCCTCGAGGGGGTCTCGATGGCGAAGGCTGCACGTACGTCACGGGGAAATCGCCCTGACCCCGGTAGTGCCTTGCTCCCAGCCAATCACAGCCCCCCTTCCCGCCGGCTCCCCCCCGCGTGGCCGCCACAGCGCTGCGGACCCGAGACCGCATGCTCCGGAGCCGAGATCGCGCTAACTCCCGCGATCACAGGCACGCACAACCTCGCACGCTCTCAAGCTCACTTATCAGATATACCCGCCCTGCCCTGCCCAGCAACGTTAACATGCTGCTCACCCATTCATTCATTCACACACCAGTCCATTTAGCATCATCACCCACATCCATCATGTCACCGGGTCCTGTACACACACGGGCATCTCCCATCACAAGAGATCCCGCTCGACTATCTCGCCCTCAAACGCCCTCAGCACCTCCCGCACCTCCGCCGCACCCGGCCCCACCCCCGCCGTATAAATCACCTTGCTGACCTCGAACCCGTTGAACTGGCTCGCCGCGCAGATCGTGTACGCGCCCATGTCTGCGAACCCCAGCCAGTCCCCCACCTGCAGCGTCGTCGGCAGGGGCGTCACTGCGCATACACAGTCAATCGAGTCGCACGTCGGACCCCACACGCTGCTCGCCCGGAGCGGCACAGATGCCGGGACGTGGAACGAGCCGTTAAGGGATAGCACGAACGGCTGCGGAGCCTGGTGGTCGAACATAATGCAATTAAATGCCCCGTAGACGCCGTCATTGATGTAGTCTGAAGTTCACATTTAGTCAGCAAACGTAACGCCCGGGTGCAGAATGCCCACGTACACATGACGCTAGGCTGCTCGGGATCCACCTCGACGTCGCGTCCTTCCTCGACCGCAGGCGGTGCGCGGCGCGCAATCACGTTGGCTGCCAGGCTGAACGCTTTCGAGACAAAGTATCGCCCAGGCTCGGCTATGATCCTGATGTGTTGCCTGTCGGGGAAATGCTCGCTGATCGCATCCTTGAGAATAGAAGCCGTCGCCTCGAAGGTGTCATCCTCGAATCCCCCGCCAACGTCGAGTAGGGTAAACTCATATCCGGCTTCTTTGCCCATGTCAAACGTGGCGCGCGCGCGTTTCACGGCATCTGCAAAGGCCGACGAGTCGTAACACCCGCTTCCCACATGGAAACTCACGCCAATGACATCCAATTTCAGCTCCCTCGCCTTCTCGAGGAGCGCCGGGACGGTTACAAGCGGCGCACCAAACTTGAGGCCCAAGCGGCAAAGGCTCTTCGAGTCGTCCGTGAGAATGCGGACGACGAGTTTAGCTGCAGGGTGAACACGAGCGATCTTGAACAGCTCATCGGTGTTGTCGAACGTCATCATGTCGACGCCTGCCTTGGCAGAGTTGCGAATGAAGGACGCTGCCTTGCACGGGTTGGCAAAAATTATTCTAGAGGGATCCACGCCAAGCTGCGTCACTCGCGAAATCTCGCCCATGGACGCGCAATCAAAACCAGTTCCGAGGCCCGCAAGAAGGCGGAGGACGTAAGGATCCGGGTTGCATTTTATGGCTAAAGAACGCCATCAGCTTCGCGAGACGACCAGGCTACGCTAGTACGTACCATAGAAGGGTTCTATCTCGGGGAGATACGCTTTCCACCTCTTGTGTTGGTGGAGCACGTGGCTCAAATCAGCGACGAAGAAGGCTTTTTCAGCATCTGGCTCGCCAGCGGCGGCGAGCTGCGAAGCGGTCATTACACCATTTCTCATATGCGAGTCGGCGTGCCCACGCAACAGCGATGGGAGGCCGGCAATGTTCACGTCGTCGTCGCGACGGGTATCATGTTCGGTTGTCGCGGCGTTGTCCGTATGAGACGGAAGTTCAGGTCCGTGGCGTACATGAGGAGGGAAGAGTCCGTTCACAATAGCATTGGCGAGAACTTTCTCCTGGAAGGAGCGCGGAAACGAATCGAAGCGTGATGGCGAGCAGGAGACAATGTCGAAATCAAAGTCGACAGGACTATGGGCGGCAAGCACTTCGAGTTGAGACATCCGTTCCGGAAAGGCGATCGGCTCGGATGGGCCGGCGAGGTCTGGGAGCGGATCTATAGCTACTGCCTGGCGAGTGGGATCAACAAAGGCGAGAGCGGGCGACTCGAGGCGAGACGCGATGTGACGAGATCGAGAGGTTGTTTGAGGAAACACGAGCTCTTGGTCAAGTTGAACCCGAATTACCGAGCCTACCGCCGTAGCGGGTTAGGGACGGTAACGTAAGGGTAGCTACAGTCGCTGGGAATCCTCGCTGTGGCGCAGCGAGGACGAAGCGTGACGCGATGAGTAGTTTTTCGAAAGGGGATATGGGAGCAAAAGAGACAGCTGGCAGGGTTAGCTGTGGCAGTAAGGCGAGTGCGTTTAGGCCTGTCAGGGAGGTTCGCCTGGGCCACCGCCACGCGTCAGCACACATAATCGATGCGAGGGGAGAAGGTTGACACACCACGAACAGATGACCACCTGCACACCAAAAATAGTCAGACAAATAGTCCGAGCGGCGCGAGTGCATACATTTACGTACTCGAGGGTCAACAGACGAAGATCGTCGTTGCGCGCTTGGTCAGGAATGGTGGCGGTAACTGGTCTGCGTCGCAGCTAAATGAGCAAAACGACGGCAGAGGGATACACCTGGCGGCTATTTATGTGCTGACGGTGGTGGTGGTGGTGGCGACAACAGAGGGAACGACGAGCGGGGAGCTTTGTGGCTCTGTTGACTTTTTCATCGATTACACTGTCGCGGCGTTTTCCGAGGCTGTAAGTATTGCCACGTGCACGGACCAATGGCGGTCATGACGCACAGGACCTCCGGTCCGAGGTTCGAACACAGCTGGTAACATACACGACATGTGTATGTGTTTTGTTGACCGGGTTCGTGAGGTCTCTGTTTATGAAAAGTTTCTGTTCATCACAACTTGCAAGATTTATCAAGTGCCCCGGAAGATTGACCGCAGTCACACAAAATAGGCACCAGTCAGGCCTCTTATGGCAAGGTAGGGCGTCCGGAGAAATCAACGCAGGTACATGAATGATCTCAGAACGCCAGGTGATAGAGTAAGAGCGTTTGTTATTGCCGTGCAATCATCAGTAAACTACAAGTGAAGAACAGTGTCCTGTCCGTCTTTATATGCCATCCTCGCCTTGTGGTCGTATTAATTTCTACGCTCCCTCCCCCGCGTCATTCCGGACTTCCTCGGCATCAGATGTAGACGCAGAAGCAGAAAAAGATGTCGGAGGCCCCATAGCTCCGATGCGTGGACGCAAGATCGTACTAGCAGTGGGTCCGAGAGGCAAGCGTGCTGACACGAGCGCGTCACCTACCGCCCGTCGCCCGATGACATGATTGTAAGAACTAACGTCCGGCGACGGCGCCGCTCTGGCGCTGCGAGATGCGGTGAGCGGCAAACTCGGGTGTAGCGTCTCGTCTGCAATGGTCGGCGTCATCCCCCGCGAGGCGCTAAGAGGTCCCGGTGGCACGTGAGATGATGTGGAAGGGGCTGTCGGCTTCCTGAGGAGGTTCTCGTGATGGACGTCGGGGCGTACATTCCATTCCAGAAGGCCTCCCAGAGGAACGTGTTGGACAACGACGCGTTTCCCTAACACTTCGGCCTGTTGTACGTATATGAGAATTCAAATATCTCGATCGCGGGAATGCACGAAGCGGGATAGTGATCTTCGCGATGAATTAAATGTATTGCCATTTCGCGGCTCACCTCGTACATCTTGAATAGGCCTGAATTGACCTTGGCCCAAGAAGCCACACCAACAGCAATAGAGTGCAGCTGCGAGGAGTGTTCATGGAATGGTCCATGTTTCACCTCATGGATCCGCATGATCGACATGAAATATAAGTTCGTCAATGGAAGTGGTGGATGCAAGATGGCAGAGACCGGTATTTCCGTTTGATCTGTGCGTTAGGAATGCAATGAGTGAATATGTCAGTAGCACGCATGGGGAAATATAGTGCTAAATTGACCTCGAAGCTGGCCGCTGCCGAAGATGTACCCGAGAAAGCTGTAATCGTCCAGCCCCCAGACCCCGTGGCTGCCCGCTGGCTCGAGCTTGTACACATCTTGCAGACGCCAACATAGTCTGAGGTACCGAAGGAAGACAACTAGAACCAGTTCTCGCTCTGTGCGAGGCTCCGGAGTGAAGAAACGAATGAGGGTGAGACACAAAAGCAGCAATGCAAAAGACGTCTCATGGCCTGTGCCGTAGTCGATACGCGTGAACGAGCCAAAAGACGTCAGGAGATAGGGCTTGAGAAAGGGGGCGGCAGGCCGACACGAGGCAGGTAACAACACGGCAAGAAGTGCATCCGCTTCCTGCGGGCAGTCCTGTGTTAGGGTGATCTGCATCACTGAAACAGGGCATGATTGGCGTACAGATTCCAGACGTTTTCCCCAGGTACGGAAAGCGAGATTCCCGAAACGTTGGGGAGTCGGGAGAGGTGGAATTTCATCGATCCAACCGTCTAGCGCATCCAGCATGGCGAGCATGGAGACAGTTGCCTGGAACGTATTGAGTTCGGGAATTCTGATACGAAAGAGAGCGTGCCGCTAACCTCGCCCACAGGCTCGGTCCAGGGCAACGGACAGCCGACAACTGCTTGAGTCAAGCGACGGAGAAAAAGTCCGTAATCTTGATATCCTCGAGTCGCTTTCCACATCTCGAGGTCCTCGTCGGTGCGGATTTTCGGGGTCGGCGTATCATCAGGGGAGAGATCATTCACAGAGACATGGCGAAGAGGAGGCAGATCGGCTGCCGTATACATCGTCTAAGATGTACACAGAGACTCATGGATACACGTGCCCGAGCACTGAAGCGACAGCTCCAAGCCAACAGACCCAGCCCGCAGCGATCAAATCTCGTGGAAAGATAGGTGTGAGAGAGTCACCGTAGCGACATGCTGATCAAGGGTCGAATTATCAACTTACTGCACGAATATCCACAGCGCGTACAGGCGCGTCACGATGGTTCGGCAGCGTGTAACGCCACGAAGTGAAGGGGTTCTATTGAGATCGTTGTAGCCGCGATGCAGAGTCGAAGTGAAGTTGATCGCCAAATCAAATCAGAAGCGCCACACATAATCACGTGCAGCGCCCACATGCGCGTCGATCCATGAATCGCGTCGCGTCTACGCGTTGCAACACTCAGCCACAACACCCTATATCCCTCCTACTCTGTCGGCGTACTTCAATCACTACAAACGAGAGGTTTACCAGTAAAGCAGCATGTCCGCATACCAAGATTGGAATAAACTCGATGATGACGAGGAAGACGAGCTTCAAGACAATTCTGTGAGCGTGTGGCATCTCAGTTCACGCCGACTTCCTCTAATCTTTCATGTTCGTGTCTATTCACAGGCTTATGAAGGAAGGAAGGATGTAATACTATTTTGCATTGACTGTTCCCCGTCCATGCTGGAGCTGCGCGAGGATCCAAGATATGAAGACGTTCAGACGTGCCACCTATTCACCGCCCTAGAAGCGGCCATACACATACAGAAGAAGAAAGTAATAGTCGGGCCTAATGATTCTGTTGGAATAATGCTGTTTAATACGGTAACACAACACTGCGTCTCCTGCCTCGCCACTCACATGAGCCTCCTTTGAGAACAGACGCGAAGAAATGAGGCTGGCGGTCAAGGTGCAGACATCAAGAAGGGCAACTACGTGTATCAGCCTATAGACACAATTAATGCGCCTACTATACAAGAACTCATGCGTTTAATTGACGGTCAGCAGCATGTCTGTTCATCTATACAGCAGCTGACCTATGCTTCGCATGTTGAACAGCTGCTCGGGAAGACCCGCATGTATTGCTAGAAACATTTCCGTCTTTGACAGAGTCTCGTGTGCCGACAGGTGATGTCTTCACGAGCTGTAACTGGGTCATGCGTGACGGGTGAGTAATGCGTTACTTAAATCAAGTGGCGATTTGCCCACTCGGCATTTGTGACGTTAGCGCACCAAAGACTGCAACCAAGCGCGTCTTCCTCATCACAGATGAGGATAACCCACATGCGGGACCCGGAAAGGAACGATTTATTACCACAGCGCGAACCACGCTTATGGTACGCATAATCTCTGAGTACTCGCGCCTCACGCCCTGAGCTGTCAATCAACCCTGCATGCATAGGACCTAGTGCAGGCCGGAATTGGCGTGGAGCCATTCTTCATTAGCACAGATGAGAAACCATTTGATCCTACCAAGTTCTACTCCGTGCGTACACGCTCCAGCTTGTCTGCTCCGGAGACTAACCGTTGTTACATACTCTCCTTACTCTATCCTGTCCTGTCCAGTCGGTGCTTCTGCCCACCAATATCACCGACGACGATGGAGCAGAAGGCACCATTCTCCCAGAGTCTATCTCGATCACCCGGGTGGACGAGTTGTTGGCTCAGATGAGCTTCCACGAGGTACCGAAGCGCGCGCTGTTCAGCGTGCCGTTTGAATTCGCCAAAGGGTTCACAATAGGGGTGAAGGGGTAAGATTCAATTGCCTGGTGGTTCCACACGGGCTGAAAAGCCCTCGACCCAGATATGGCCTGGTGACTGAGCAGAAGAAGGGCTCGTACAAGTACTTCGTAGACTTCGGCGATCGGATGGAGGTCGCCGTGACTCGCACGACCTATGTCGATGAGGTACGTCTTGCCTGATCTCGCAATTTCTGCAAACCACATCTCTCCCCATATGCTGCCTTCCTCAGGAGAAAGAGACGGAAGCAGACAAAGAGAGGCTACTATATGGTATGGAACTGGGAAGCACGGCTGCAACCGAAGAACATGCACACGAGTCCGCCGACGAAGGGGGTGGCCCTGCGAGAACTGTGCCAGTGAACAGTCGGGTATGTGATACATTACCGGGCTGAGCTGATGCTGAACGATCTTTGTTGCTGTGATTTGCCAGGTATTCTACACATTAGGCGAAGTACGCTCATTCCGGACCATGGGTCTCAAACCCAGTATGTAGCCTCTGAATTACAGCCGCGATCATGCTCATGGACGTACACAGCGATCAAGCTGCTGGGATTTAAGGATCGTTCCGAGCTAGCCTTTGAGGACAACGTGAAGCATTCCTTATTCATCTATCCCGACGAGATGGTACGTGCTCACCCGCTCCTCTGCGCTTCCCGAAGCTAGTCTATTCTTACCCTACTTGACACTCACGCCCGTGGGACAGAGCTACTCGGGCAGCAAGCGTACATTCACTGCGCTCCTCCGAACCATGCTCCGGAAAAAGAAGATCGGTCTCGTACTGTCTGTAGTACGGCGCAACGCCTCGCCAATATTCTGTGCTCTGCTTCCACAGGTACGTCAACCACCATATGCTCCCACAGGTGTTATGCCCCTCGCTCTCATTCCCGGAGAACACGTCGCACCCGACTACCCCCGTACCCATGTGAACCTGCGGTAGAAAATTCATGCTGACACTGAGTCGCCCTTCAGAAAGAGAAGACCGAAGAAAGCGGCTGGCACGAGCCACCAGGGTTCCATCTCATACCGCTACCATTCGCGGATGACATCCGGGCAGCCCCGATAGAGGAGACCGTACGCGGTGAGCGGACCCACGCAGCATCCGTTGCCTAACCCTACTTACTTCCCGTGTTCTCGCGCGCGTTCCGCGTTCCCAACACCCTGTCTGCGTTCATCACATGGCCGCTCTCTTCATTCTTCTCGCGCGTACACCCACCGATGTGGGATAGCCTCCGACGAGCTGAAAGACGCCGCGCGCAAGTGGGTGGACAAGCTCACCGTCAAAAACGGCGCGTACGCGCCGGACGCGTTCCCCAATCCCGGTGAGATCTGCCACTGGCCTCGCTGTGATGGTCCCACGCTGAGCTCCATGCCCTTTTCTCATCGCTTTCATCCCCTTGGACCGGCCGGCCGGCGCCCCGCAGCTCTGTCGTACCACAATGCCCAGCTGGAGGCTAGTGCATTCCGCGAGGAATTCGACCCCACATCGTTTGAGGATCCGACGGAGCCGAAATACGATAGGATGCACCAGGTCCAGTGCTCACTGCTTTCTCATCGCTCTTTCGCTGATCTGAGCATCCTGACAATACGACAACGGTGTTCTCCCGTCGACAGCGCGCGGGCGCACTCATGAGATCGTGGAAAGAGGCGTTGCTACAAGACGAGGCCGCGCACACGAGCATCGTCACCGCTGGCTCGAAGCGCAAGGCGGTACGTCATCCTGTGCTCTGCCCCAGACGGCCGAGCAGCATTGGCTGATCAACCCGCATGCGATAGGACACCAGTGTCGACGAGGCGGAGATTCGGAGCAAGCACGAGCACGGGATGTTGACCAAGGCACGTCTGCGCGGCATGATTGTCTCATGCCCCTCCTTTGCGGCTGCCTTCTGATTGCGCTATGCCCTCCACAGCTCCGCGTTGATCAGCTCAAGGTACGTGTGTCTCCGTGCTCGCTAGTGTGGCGGCTCTCGGAGCCGCCCCGGGACGCGTTCGCACACGCCTGGGAGCGCATCTGCAGCCCGAGGTGATAGCCGGGACCTGACCTGGACATGTCTCGGCGGCTGCTTCATGCCTCATCATTTTCGTGCTGACGGCTACTAACGACATGAACTTCTCAACATTGACTTCCTTCTCATCGCGCAGGACTTTCTCAAGAGCAAGAGCTTGTCGGTGTCAGGGAAGAAAGCCGAGCTGGCGGAGAGGGTTGGCGAATGGCTCGACAGCCACCAATAGGCCTGGGCGCAAAGCCGCGGTGGATCTTTGCGAGAAGACTGCTTGGGAACGGAGGCATTTCGCGCAACGAGTGAGAATGATCGTGGCAGTTGCCAATACAAGTTCTGGCCCAAGATGCAATACGTGTGGGAATGCGACGGCCGGGGCGGATGCAACCTCAACAGACACGCCGATACCGAGGAAGCTTGTCTACGGGCCCGAGCCGAGGCACAGGCAGTTTGATTTGTGGGAAGGGCTGCATTGCTGTATCTCTGCAAATGTTCATTTCGGTGTCCACACTGTTCACATGACTACCTCTCCGTGTAGCATGAATCATATCCGTCTTACCGTGAGATATTCGAACGCGAAGCTGACTCAGAAGTCAGGATGACGATCCGAATTTATTTGACTGGCTTCGGCCTATGTTCATGGCTGGTGCGAGTACCCTGTGGGTTGAAGGGCACCCAATGGGAGACGAGTGATCAGATAAGCAAGTTCGTTCGGATCTAGCCGGATTGCGCCATCTCCATCTTATCAGACCGAGGGGGTTAGTCATTCCCGAGACTATAGTGGCGGAGCGACCGCCCCCCGCTCTGCCGTCCACACCACCACCACCACCGCCCCCGCCCCCGCCGCCTGCCCAGCGTACCCCAGAAGCCACCATGACCGTTGCAGCGCCAGAGAACGTCCGCGAGGTTACCTCGCCCGAGCACTTCCAGGAGCTCCTGTCGGCTGATCTCGAACGGGTCTCCCTGATCAACTTCTGGGCACCATGGGCAGAGCCATGCAAGCAGATGAACGACGTCGTGCTGGAGCTGGGCAGGAAGTACCCCCAGCTCCTCGTCCTCCAGGTAAGTGGGGTGCGCCCCTCTGATCGTGCGGTGCTGATCGCGGGATCGCGCGCAGGTCGAGGCAGAGACACAGTCAGACATCTCCGAGTCGTTCGAGATCGAGTCCGTCCCCGCCTTCATCATCCTCCGGGTACGTTGTTTTTCGCCTCGATCTTTCCGTGCGCCGCTCACGCCCCAGCGCATAGGGGCACACCCTCCTCGGGCGCATCTCGGGCGCAGACGCACCCGCGCTCACCGACGCAGTCGCCAAGCACACCAAACCCCCCGCTGCCGTCAAGCCCCTGGCGAAGACCGACCGCGCCCCCGCCGCGGCCGAGGCGCTCTCCGAGAAGGAGGAGACCCAGGAGGAGCTGAACGAGCGTCTGCGCGCGCTCATGAACAAGGACAAGGTCGTCCTCTTCATGAAGGGCGAGCCGGACGCGCCGCGGTGCGGCTTCTCGCGACGCATCGTCGGGCTGCTGCAGGACCAGGGCGTGCCGTTCGCGCACTTCGACATCCTCTCGGATGAGAAGGTGCGCGCGGGGATGAAGACGCTCAACAACTGGCCGACGTTCCCGCAGCTGATCGTCAACGGCGAGTTCGTCGGCGGCCTGGACATCGTGCAGGAAATGGTGGAGAACGGCGAGCTCAAGGAGATGGTGGCGGCGTGAGGCCTGGTGTACGAGTATGTTTATCCGCGGTTCCGTCGGCTGTACCATTGCTTTCGCCATTGTAGACATGTATCACATGCATCCGAGGATAGGACGCCCAACAGAATGTAATTTACACCCCTGTATCTTGAAACCCGATCGTCTCTCAAAGATCACGCGTGGCAGGATCGTACACTCCAGCTATGTCGAGCAAAGAATCCAAGGCTATAGTACAGATCTGCTGATAATAGTACACCGAGGTAGAGGCTTATATATAGTACATGAAGGTCACCTCATCGCCTTACAACATCATAAAATACCAGGCATGTGCTGATAGACAGTCACTGAAGTACAGTCAAAACGGTGCTATAACAAGCAAAAGGTAATACAGCACTTGCCTCGTCCACTCATCAGCGGTGTCAACGGGTTGGCGATGCCCTGGTCTTGACTTGACATTCAAGTTCGCAGCAGCATTAGCGGGCACGGCCTTCGGCGCGCGGGGTCCATTCCGCCTCTTCACGGACGCTGTTCTCTTACGAAGACGTATGATCCACGCCGGGCCAAACGAACCGCTCTTGGGTGCCTCGGTCTGCGGGTCGCCATCCCCGAGAGGAGCATATGAATGTCTCGACCGGAACATCACTAGCACTGCCGGCACTGCATGAAACAGAGACGTCAATCAAGTGCTGCTCCTCCGCCCAGTCTGGTACTGAGAGGCTGGCTCACCGCAGCGGTACCTGAACTATCAGACCGGACGGGGAGGGATTAAAGTGGTGGACGAAGGAGCCCGGACTCAGGGTGGGAGCGGCCGCTCGAGTTTCCCCAACGCTCCCGCGGCACAGGGGCATAAGTATGCGGCGCCTCAGCTGCCAAGGCCGCGAGACAGGAGACGAATAAGCAATGCTTGCTCGCACGTTCGCGCGCAGCCGGATACTGGCGGTCAGGCGATATGGCGCGATCAATCTGGGCACGTCCGGGAGCGAGGAACGGATGCAGCTGCCTGTTATGTGCGATGCATGGCACGAATTTGACGTCCGCCGCCGCAAGGGGGTCCAGCAAATGCTTACTTAGGGGCAGCCAAGACATCCACTTCGTGCGCCGCCGGCCCACCCGTACCCGTACATGGCCAAGGGTAACTCGACATCCGGGGCTGCGCAGTCGATGGCTGGACTATATCTTTGCAGGGTCAGCCTGGGCGTACCTGTTCCACCCTCGTATGGAATAGCGTGTCTTCGTGGTGATCCAGAACATTAGAGAATCAAGGCGGCCTCCGGTGAGTACGAACCGGAGTGTATCGCCAAGTTCCCACTCTTCAAACTCAAATGCGACATGAGAGACTTGTGTGTGCCGTCCATGGTAAGCAGACGCACTTCGGTCAAGCGCGCAGATCGCCCCTGATCGGGACACGTGCTGGCGCGCACACGTCTCCTTTCTGGGAAATGCAGCGCGTTGCCTCGCTTGCGCCACAACTCGGACCGTCTTCGCTGCACGTTTATCCTGACCTGAAGATCCTTTGATTAACTCAGCCATGTTCAAATTCCTCTCGGAGAAGCAGATATCGCTGCCTGAACACAACTGCGTACTTCCGCACGCACTCCGCGTTCCCTCCCTCCAGAAGCTCGTAGGCAAGCGCGTCGTCCTCGCGTCGAATAGCCCCCGACGGAAGGAGATCCTCCAGATATTTGTAGGATGCTTTACTGAGATCCGAGCAATGGAGGCTCACGCATCCGTCGAGGCAGGGCCTTGCCCCGGAGATCGTCCCTTCGACATTCAATGAGGATCTATCTGTCGGCTCCTTTGAGGATATACACGAATATCCGGTGGCTACCGCCAGTCACAAAGCCGTCGAGGTATATGAACGACTGGTGGTGAGTGCATTAGATTCTCCTCGACCATCGCCCATCTGGGGCGCGACATGGTCGACTTTGGTTGTATGATCGACCAATGCCAGCTTCTCTACTCGTACCTTTACTCGAGGGCGGGTCTGATCTACGGGTGCGCCAATGCAGTGATACCCCTGTTTGCCAGTCGTTCAGCGGGACGCGTCTTGTCCACGACAAATGGCGCATATAACTGCCAAACTATGCCCCCATCCGGCCTGCATGCAGTAATACTGTTCATATTGGGGTATGGGATGGACACAACCGGGTATAATCTAGCTGTCCACCACCGCCTCCCAGTCGTCCGTACGTGCATTTGGCCATTTTGCAGCCCTTGGTTTGGCAACGTCCGTCCGTCCATTTACGGAGTGTATACGGCGGTGCTCTTGATGAGCGTACCCAGGACCGGCTTGTCAGGTTGAATCGTCCGCAACCCGTCGCAGGTTGTCCTGCGGGTGTGTTGTGTGTCGGACGACAGATAGGCCCTCCCCAAAGCAACCCTTCGCTTGAATGATCAGTACATGCAGATGCGACAAGCATGCGCTCTTGTGCTTGCCTTTCCATGGCCGACCTCGGTGACATTCACTGACATGATCGTCCGCTCTGCGCAGCGCACAAATCCCGAGGACGCCCCTGACTTGGTCATCGGAGGTAAGTCTCCTGCTGTGGCGTTGCTGCCCTGCGTCGTCTCAAGCGGACAGCCCAGCGGACACCGTCGTCCTCACACATCCGTCGCCTGGACTGGCGAGTACCTCTCCCTCGGACGTGCCCCTTGAGGCCCAAGACCTAATGGAAAAGCCCATCGGCAAGAACGACAACATGCGGATGCTGCTCGACCTCAACGGGGGCGTATGCGAGGTCGTCACTGGCGTGACAGTCGGTAGGTCCGCCGCTGACTGATAGGGCATCGGCTCACTTGCCCGAGATCTGTAGTCTACCCCGTCCTAGAAGCGCCCGGATACAAGTTGAAGTAAGGAGCAGGAAACTAGACCGTGAGTACGTCCCTCACACGCGGTACATACAGATCAATAGAAGAGCGCACGCTGGTCTATTTCGCCGAGAATCCACGGGAGCTCCTCGAGGCATACGTGGAGAGCGGCGAGGGACTCGACCGCGCCGGCGGGTTCGCCGTGCAGGTGCGTTTCCCCCTGTGTCCTCCTCCACATCCCCGCTCCCCCGTAATTAGTAGCGCGCTAGATGCTAAATGACATTATAGGGTCTGGGCGGCATGCTAGTCCGCAAGGTGGACGGCGACTACCAGAACGTCGTTGGCTTCCCTGCCGCGTCCTTCTTTAAGTTCTTGGACATGCTTCTCGAGGAGGAGAGTGACTTCCTTGCCGTATAGAGTATATCGCGTCCCGGCGCAGCGACGTCGTCGTGCTGCCGGCGCCGTGGCATCGCAACCCGCGCGTGTTGCCGTGCAATTACAATAGACATGGACTGGCTCAACCGTAATACCCGCACAGCGCGCCCGAACACCAGATGCCGTAAGCCGTCTGGCTGGCGCGACCTGCGATCAGTACGTCAGATCGTGCTGGTCGATCTGCCCGCCCGCCCAATGACCCTGTTCGAAGCCCGCGTGCCTCGCAGAAAGCATTGCCGGTTTGCTGACAGATCTTCTGTGGGCGCAGGGCTTCGTGTCATCCAGCGTCCTGCCTCGGCGCCAGCGCACTCTGATGGTCGGACAAATGTCATCGCATCCTGGATCTCTGCACCAGATCGCAACTTGCGGTGCAAGGCCGCCCAAAGGCCTCTTGACCATGTCGTCTCCGCGACAGGTACCTGTCGCAAAGATTCTCCGAGACGTCTGTTTACGGCAGATGTCTCGGGACTCAGACTAATGCTTGAGGCTCGAGGGTCTGATACAGCTAGATCAAGAACTCTGTCTCAATTCTCCCGCGCCGTCGCACTGACCGATGCAACGGTACGAGGTTAGCCGTGGAGACCGCTTCTCGACGTTGCTTGTCTACACAATCCGTTGCCGTCGCAGTCCGTAACGAGACCGCACCGGACAAGTATCTGGAAGCACTAAGACATCGCTAGTCGTCGTTGCCGAGGCACATGGTTGGCAACTAGTACCGTGAGGGTGGCATCACTATTCCGAGTCCTACTTCTATGGTAAAAAGCGCGTGAGAACATTGACGCAGGAATCTCTTCGTCATGTACATGTCTACTTCCCCGCGGAGCGAGAACGGAATTGGTTAAAGCAGACTGACGAGATGTCGAGCTGCCTGTACGTCCATCGTCCATTATGATTTGATACTTCTACATTTCTCTAACGCCACCAAGTCAGCGTCGATTGTTGCCATCACTTTGTCGCGAAGTGGTGTGCAAGTCGGTACGATAAGCTTTTCCATGCGAGAATAAATGCTCTTTCGCAATAATGTCCGGGTCAACAATGCCATATGGCTAGCTTCATGGGACGTAGGCGCGTGTCTACTCATGCATGAGGCATCAGAGGAGAGCCTATGCAGGCTTACCAAACTTTCTGCCCGCCTCGACGTCTTTGATCAGAACCTCTTCCCATCGCTGTACAACCGGGTAGTCGAGTTTCTTGATGGACCCAAAGGGGACGGTCTGCACCGCAAGCGGCGGGGACTCGACCATCGCCGCGGCGACGTACCCGCGCCGCATGCTCTCGCTCTGGTCCTGCATCTCCCGCAGCGCGGAGAGACTGGCCGGCCAGGGCTCCGCCCACGTCTGCGCCTGCGCGACCTCCACGACCTTGGTGCGCACGACGCGGAAGTACTTGCCCACCGCGCCGCCGTGGTCCCAGCGCGGGAGCAGCTCGATATGCAGGACGTGCGTGCGCGCGCGCGCGAGGGACTCGGGGAGGCGCAGCGCGTGGATGGTGGCGCCCATGAGCGTCGGGTTGTGGAAGCGCACCCACTTCTCGAGGCGCTGGTCGAGGTCGTAGAGCGAGATGCCGTCGGGCAGCATGAGGCGCTCAATCATGCCCAGCGGTGATGCTGCATGATCCTTGAGCGCATCGGCGAGAGAGGCGTTGTTTTGGCAGTTTTGCTTGTGGTTCTGGTGATGGCTCCATCAGACCGGACGAAACAGGGGCCACGTGCTGAACACACACCTTCCAGTCCGCCTTCTGGCACTCTTTGGAGCAATATTTTGCCGCCTATGATACAGTTGGATGTTCGCGCTGAAGGGGAAACAAATAGAATACCTTGCATCTAGAGCATTTATGCAGGTCTTTCACGGTGCCACTGACATAGCAAGTGTTGCACTGCGAAGGTGTAGTCAAGTCATGAGACCCGACGTGGTGTGAAATCTATGAAGCGCACCTTGCTCATCTGTGTCTTGAGCGACGACATTTCGACTTTCCAGGAAGACCCCTTGGATTCGCGACGAGGCAGTCTTCACGGTAAGTATGGGCTAATTAGGGGCTAGTTCAGCCACTTTGCGGCTTGCATACCGTGGGAACTATTTGATGGGATTCCCCGAGCGGTTCATTTTTTGGCCTGACTCTGCGAGCTGAAACGTTTCTACGAAGTCGACTATCACGGCGTAACTATTGCTAGTAGCTTAGGACAGATGCGCTACACTTGACCGCCGTCCAAACTCTGTCCGGACAAGCATTCGCGGCCAACGAATTCGTGCAGTACGCCTACGTGGAACCTGAGGCTTGTGATAATATCACGGAGCCTCGAAACGAAATCTTCACCTGCAACGTCTGTCGTGATGACCGTATAACTTGACCATGACAGGCGGCAGCAATTACGTTGAATCAGCTACTGAGAGTCTAGATATTCAGACATGAAACTCGGAAGTTTTATGCCATGGCTGAACCGGCCTCCGCCAGAGGGTGTACTAGTGGGAACACCGATGATACATGAGAGCCTGATCTCCGTTGTGAGGCCGTCTCTGCTTCGCCCATAGTCAGTATCTCCACCACTTTTTCCCAGTGACTTCCCGGACAGCCACAATGATAGCTTCGTGAGTACCGGCTCCCACCATGGTCCACCAAATCACTAGAGCATGGATCGCGTGAACATAAATGCATAGATACATCCTGCATGGGTCTCAGAGCCGGGGGGGGAGGGGGGATGGAAGAGTGGAGCCGTGATCTTCTGGGGTGCGTGAATCGCAATCTGCGATGCAAGCTGCCTGATGCCGAGGAAGGCGCATCAGCCTGATCGGTCAGAACACAAATCGGCGGCGGCGGTGACACAATGATGGATATGATATATATGAGTCCGTCTCGGGTTCTCCGTGTCCAACTGCCTCGAACCATACAGTTACCTACGTACCCGCCCTCCGTTGCTCGGGCCAGCCGCGCCCGGTGATTGGCGGCCTGGGCCCCTCGTCGGCTTATCGTACAGGCCCTGATTGACTCCGGACAGCCCCGCCTTTAGGTTTGTTGCGCAGGTTTCTTCCAGGCTCCAGATGCGATGACGTCGTGGCTGTGTCCTTACAGCAGCAAACCCGGTCGCACGGAGATGGGCGGGTGGACGGTGCGTATAGCTCGCGCTCAGCGTCCATGCCATGGCAGCCATGAACCTTGAGATTCACCGCTCCTTCGATTACCAGCATGGAGTCCCTGCCCCAAGTGGAGGCACGAATTTCTTCTGAATTGCAACGTGCAGCCTAGTACATTCTGCACATAAAGCCGCGCAGTGTGTGGTCTCCTCCGAGTCCGTTTCGCGACTTGCAATTGCCATTCTACGAGGACGCAGCTATTGATGTCCGCCGAGATTGGCCCGGGCCCACAAGGCCTTCAGCTGAAGGTTGGTCGAAGACGCGGGTTCGCGAGCGATCTTCTCTTCCACAAGGGTCAAGAGAACATCAGACAGGCGGCCTCGAATCGGATAACAAACGCGCGAGGGACAACAGGGGCCGCTTGAAAGTTGAGTGGCTAGAGGTCTTCTGGGAGCCGGCACGCGCAGCTAGCGCATTACCCCTCAGGGTGGCCCAGAGAGACAACAAGGCGGCAGACACTAAGCAACTCCGAGATGGCGGCCGGAGTGCGCGCGCGGGTGATGACGCGGGAGATGCCACACAGAATAGAGTTAAAGTTCGGGGGCGACATCTCCGCGCTCCAGAAGCGGCGACGCAGAGCACGGTGGGCGTCGTCGTCCAGCAGACACCGACACTGGCAGAGACAGAGACGCGCCGGGCAGAGAGGCCAGAGACGGCGCGCGGGTCGAGTGCCGCGGCGATGCGGCTGTTCCCGCGCGACGTCCGCGGCTCGGGCGCAGAATTGTGGGGAAATGCGGGGCCGGCGGGACGCGGGTCTAGTGTCAGCACCAGCGTCATCCGCGACGGGCGCCTGCGCGCGGACGAGGGCCTCGGTCGATCCAGGCATGGCGTCACGTGGACCGCAGGGAGGATAGGAAGAGACGGGGAGAGATGCGAGATGCGCGCAAGACTATCGTCGGGTTTCTGTCTCTTCCTCCAGAGTCCACGCCCGGACGCCCCTCTGTCCCTCCCGGACAGCCTCGACGCCCCAACGTCGACGCCCACACGCGGTCTGCCCCGCCCTGCCCCGCCCACACAGTGCACCAGGCTCGCACCGCCCGCCATGCGGCCACGCTCCAGCTTCGCGGCCATGGCCAACAGAAACGGCTCCTCCTCGTCCCTGTCCTCGTCCTCCGAGCCCGCCCTCGAGAACGGCGAGCCGGTCCTCCCGCGCGTGCTCCTCCTGCTCGGCGCGCAGATCGCCCCGCTCTCCGACCCACCCCTCGGCGTCCCCTGCGCACGCGCCGTCGGCCCAAATATCGCAAAGGTCCTGGCCGCCGCACGCACATGCTCCCCTCTGCTGCGCCCGCGCATCATCCACGTCCGCAATGCAGGCGGACCCGGCGAGCCCGACGAGCCCCGCTCACCGGGGTGGGAGCTGATCTACGCGCCGCTGCCCGACGAGCACGTCCTCGACAAGCGCAAGAACAACGCCTTCATGGGGACGCCGCTGAGCGATCTCGTGCCGCTAGACGCAGAGCTCATCGTCGTGGGGCTGCAAAGCGACTTCTGCGTCAGGGCGACGTGCAGCGCGGCTCTCGCGAGGGGAAACGCCGTGTTGTTGATCCGAGGAGCCCATGCAACATACGATCGGCTGGAGGTATGGGACGGGCGAAGCAGGACGCCTGCCGCAAAGGTGGAGCGCGAGATCGAAGAAGAGCTGGAGGAAGCCGGCGTCATTCTCCTAGAAATGAAGGACTTAGACGACCTGTTCGGGGAACTCTGACCTTGGAGTCGACAAGGGAGACGGGCTGAGCGAAGCTCCGGGTGTAGTGAACGCAATAGCGTCAAAGAAGATAGTGCAGTCGCACACACAGGTGCAACAGAATCTCTGGGCGGGCTCGCCGACGGACGGACATATATACGCCCTCCCCCGTAGCTGTTCACTTTTCTTCATTCTCTGGTACCATCATCCTGCTTCTTCTCGACCCATGATTCACGATGCAGCACGCACTTACCCCACATGTATTCTGTTTTATCCTTCTCTTGCGTCCATTCCATTCTCGGGCTGCTGTGGCGTCATGGTGATACATATATACAGGCTGCATGCGTCTTGCCGCGTGACGTCGAGTTTGTGACCATGCGGAACGTGCCAGGCCCAGTTGCACAAAGCGCGTCTGGCGAGGGGAGAGGCGGCATGTCCGGCGGCGGGCGCATCACCTAGCGGAGACGCGACGAAAGGGTGGGCGGCGAGGAATGGCAGTCCGTCGAAACAAGAGGCCCGGCGACCATATAAGTCGGTGAGGGAGTCTACAGCCGCTCAGAGAAGCGTTCATACACGGGCACAGGCGCGCCCAGTCCCCGTCCCTAGGTCCTAGGTTTCCGCGCGCGCAGGGGAGGCGGCTCGCCGGGCTCAATAAGGGCAGTTCTGGAGCGGACGGGCCCGCAAGGGACACACGGCGTGGGCCAGTGCGAGGGTGTCACAGGTATTCTTGTGGCGCTGCGGTGGGAGATACGGGCGCGGCGCGGGGCAGACTTGCCTGTTCCTGCGTGCTTCGCGGGGCGATCCACGGCTTCTCGGTGTGGCGGCGCCTCGGGGGCGATTTTGCCAGGTCCAGGAGGCTCGTTCAATGGGCCACTGGCCGCATGCCGTGCGGCGCGAACCCCCGAGCGGCACATCCTCGCAGGCGACGTAGGGGACATGGGGATACGGCGGGGTCGAGTGCCGGCCGCCCGACATGGAGTGCGTGTTGCGTAACACAATATGCACACCGTTCCGCGTACGTCCTGCAAGGCAGAGGATGCCCGCACGTGGGGCGCGCATGGTAGTCGGCCGCAGCAAGGTGGGCGGCGGACCATAGGCTCCAGAGCGGTAGGTATGTTTACTCACGGGTTGAATCGCAGATGTCCTCCCGTTTGGTCAGCGCACGCCTATGAGCTATCCGGTGCTCTGGTAGCTCGAACATCGTGCGGCAAGGCGGGGGCGCAGAGCGGGCCATGGAATGCGGGAGTGGAGGGAGAGAGGAGCGAGGCCGGTCAACAGCCTGAGGGTGCAGGTACACAAGCGCCTATATCCGATCAGGAACGCGCTGTGATCGCTAAATCCTCGACCCTGATTGGCTGATGCTAATTTGTCGGCACGGGCAAACTAAGGACATCCCGCTTACTGCAGGCGTAGTAATATGACAGCACATATTGAATAACGCTCCTGAAACAAAAGTCCCGGTGCATGTCACTCGATAACGTATCGTTACACGGCCCCCCATAACAGAAAATTAGAGATACAGCACAAAGACGGGAGAAGGCTCGGGAGCTGAAGCTAGAAATACGCTTACAGTGGGTATAGTGCGGCTCCGGACGAGCGAAGAGACAAGAGTGTCAGATGGCATCGATGATGGCGGGAATGTAAAAGGTCAGAACCCCTCCAGAGTCGGCCACCTCGCCTATGTAGACATACAGGATAATGCAGTGGCCCTTGCATATGCCTATTCACGTCAGTACGCGTGGCTCGAACAGCAAAAGAGCGCACACACAGGCAATCGTCGTCGTCGACACCACGTGGCTGCTCAAGAACTTCTGCAGACTCTTGAGGGACACCAGCACGCCGTGCATCTGCTCCGGGTCGCGCGACTCGTCTTCGGGGTCTGCTGCCCTGTCTGGACATCCCTGAGTTCGCCGGCAGTGCGCGCAGGCTGCAAAACAGACACGCACTCTTGCCGGGGTTCTGGAGCCCCTTCCACATCACGTCCACCCGCGCGCTCTCCGTCTGCGCGCATATCTTCACGCTCCCCGCGTGGTTGGCGTAGATGGCGACCACCTCGTCCGCGAGCGGGCGCAGCCGCTCCACCACGGTGCGCAGCTTCGCCAGGGGCGGCAGCAGGATATGCACCTGTGTTTCGCGGCGCAGCGCCGTCCGCCGTCACGGCATCGCTCGGGCGCACGGACGTAGGGGAGAACGCACCTCGGGCTCGGGGCACATCGGCTCCCGCAGCCTGCCCGCGTCCTGCGGCTTCAGGACCTCGATGCGCACGTCGTGCGACACGAGCACCGCGCGGCCCATGCGCGTCGTCCCGCTGATGTGCACGCTCAGCACGGCCTGGTCGTCCTTCTTCGCGAGCCTGGGGAGGGGAGAGGGGCGCGCCGCGCCGTCAGGGGCCGCCGCGGACGCGACAGGGAGACTGCGCGCACCGGAGGATCACTTCCGCGTCCGCCGCGAGCGGGGCGGACGCGCCCGCGGGGGTCGCCGCGGAGCGCAGGGCCGCGAGCAGCGCCTCTGTGGAGAGCGCGAGCGTGATCTGGTTGCCTGCGTTCGACTGTATGCGGTAGTTGCTGAAGAGCGACGGCACCTTGATCTGCCTGCGGGCCGCTTGCGTCAGGACGGGATGCACCGCACATACAGGCGCTGAGGGCTGCACGTACGACCAGACCTGGATGCTGCCGTCGCTCACGCCGTTGTTGCATATAATGTGCATCTCCTCTTCGCCGAACCGGATGATGCATCGCTTCTGCAGCTTCTCCATTGCTTGGGCGATTCCTGGCAATGATACGAGACCTGAGGCTGCGTTTGAGTCTTCAATGAACAATGACTCCTCACGGTAGAATATGTTGACATTGTCGACAGTGGCTTTGAAGCGCATATCGCGACTGAGTTTGCCTCCGTCCGACGCCGCGTCGCGCGATGACCACCGCGTTTGTTGATGGGCGATCGAAACGAGACACGGTCACGTGCACGTAGACGCTCCCTGACCACGAGGTGAACATCAAATGGGCAACGACCCTGTCTCGAGACCGCATCCGCAAAAGACAACTTAAGTATGTAGAATACACAGGAACCCGACACGTTGCATGCAATAGTAACGACACGGACGGATCCCACACCATCCCGCCATCCTCAATCATCCTTCGCCTTCGGACTGTCAACGCTCGTATGCCGCAGCCCGCTCTCTCTTCGCGGCGGAGGCAGGCTCTGCTGTGCGGCGAAGTTAGTTGCAGCCATTGCAGGCGAGCGAGGGAAGCCCGCGCCAGCCCCATTCGCCGTGTTCGGCGTGGGCGGGAAATGCGCATAGAACCCGTTGCCCGACGTGCCCGGGGTCGACGGCATGGACGTTGCGCCGAGGTACGGCGAGCCTGCAGTCGCCGCCGTCGGGAAGGGATACGCGACACCTGGGGTACCAACATGTGCTGTGCGTGGGGTGGGCGAGCCCGAGGGCGGGCCGAAGGATGGCGACGAGATCCCGAGCCCGAGGCCCGACGTGTTCCTGCTGTGTGCCGGACTGGCGTACGGCGAGGCGGCGTAACTGGGTATCGCCGGGCTAGCGAACCCGCCTGAGACCGGCGTGTTGGCGTAGCTTCCGTACGGGCTGCCGCCCTCGACAACCCAGCCGGCACCCTGCCGCATGACGTTGCCGCCGGGACTCGAGCCTGGGCGCAGCCTCAGGTCTGCGCTTCCGAGCCGCTTGCGGATGCCGACACCGACACCGGACGCTTCGGCCGCCACGATGCCCTGGGTCTTGTCTGGGCCGGCGACAGCCTCCACAGCACGAGATGTTATACGGACCGCGTAGCCCATGCACACAAACACGCCGCCGATTACCCCGCAGCACCTGGTCATTTCAAGTATGTCAGCGGAGATGACTAGGGCCCTGACTCTGGAAACTTGCCTAATCATGAGTTGCACGAGCGAGGTTGTGCGCTGGTGTATTGTCAGACTAAGCGGCTCCATATCGAATTTGAAGAAGATGCCAGGTGTGCCGTGGTGACTGTTCATCTTACGCATGTAGTTGGTGGCGCTATATTGGTGTGTTTGCAGCGCGGCGGACCGTGCAGCAATGTACGTTGTCGGTACAACATGGATATAGTACTGGTAAGCAACGAACGCTGTTTTCAATGTCAATGAGTGTCTTGGCATTGATTTCTAGGACTCACGATCATACGTCAGCTCGAACGAGTTATCCAATGGTTGAGTGATCTCAGGGAAGAAAGGCCCGAAAGAGAACTCCGAGATAACATGGGATAGGTTCATCACTAGCCATCGAAGACGTCAGCAGGCGCAATGGAAGAACATTGATATACGCACGCTTATGCTCAACGTGTTGATTACTCGCATACCCGTGTCCGACAGTCGTAATGTGTAGATTCGCTAGTTGACATCAGCGCAACGAACCAACCACAATACTCGATGAGACTTACCAGTCACCTTCTTCGCCGTGATCGTGCCGTAGATCCTGCAAGCACTCCCATCCTTCTGGTGGTTGTATGTCGGCTTGTACTGGGAGCCCCCTCCCCGGAACCACGTTGAAAACAGACCGCGAGACTTGCGCGACTGGGCTACCGCCTGCTGTGCAGACAGCATGGCCGCATGCTCATCCAAGCTCGTCGCTTGTCCGATATCGAATTTGGTACCATCCCGCCTGAACCCGTTGCTCAAATATAGACGGTCGCCGACGGCATCTCGCAAGTCAATGCTAAGGACTGATACGAGTCAGTCACATATCAGGAACAAGCAGGTTAAGAGAAAGCGGTATTGCGAGTTCAAGGCTGAATATGGCCTTACATATTCACCATGCTCATGAGTCTAGACTCTATACACAATGACGATCCATAGTCATGTTATGGCGCAGGCTCGTGACTTGCGGGAATGTCTACGACATATGAAACGGCCGACGCTGCCCCTCCACCAACTCCGAGAGTAGAAAATACGCACATTGGCAAGGCATCGCGACTACAAGGTCCACATTAATGTTCAAGTCACTGGAAGCATCAGGATCGACGCTGAATTCGTAGTCGGGCCAACCCCAGATGTACTCCCCAAGGTCATTCAGGACCAGTAAGAAAGCGATGAAAGCAACGAAGAGGGTGAGAAAACCACGAGATTCAGAGCGTGTCTTGTAAGTCGACGGAAGCTTGGGAAATGCATCGAACTGGGCTAGCGGTGCAGGCACCATCTCGTCCAGTTTCTCCAGCAGCGTCGGAGATCCCGGCCTATCAGGGCCCATTGTCGAGGACATTGCGAGTAACCTTGCCTAATGGCTTTTAGGCGTTGGCCAGCCTGCCAGCGCAACGGAGAATGAATGGCAGTGCAAGTGTGTGTAAGCGCTAGCACACTGAAACCAGAAGAGACGTGTTCCAATATAATCACGTGCGCGTCGCATATCGGGCGCTAAACACGCGCCACAGTTGCCTGTGCTGGCTGTCGAAACTCCATTTGTCTCGTCAAACCTCTCGAGGTCATCTAGTAGCCTCAGACTCGATTCTTTTGCATACTGATCCTGGAAACTCAGGGCGCGTTGAACTTGACCATCGCACAGGATACTGTAGGCTTCAATTGCGTCTAGCAACTGCGGTCAATTTGCTGCGAGCTGCTCTATACTTTGTTGTTTCAATCGGCCTCAGTCCGTAAGCTGCTTCGCTGACAGGTTGGTTCAATAACTGCTAGAATGTTATTGAACTCACTAGAAATATGTCTACTGTCTTGGGATACTCATATAAGTTGGCAGCATGGACATCAATGCGCTGCTCGACTCCGCTCTCACGTCTAACGTGCCCTTGCCAGCTCCAACTACGGTCACAAGCAGGTCACTGCGCCCGCGCAGTGTGGGAGGGCATAGTACTCGCTCGAACTCCATATCCACTCCCGCATCTCGCTCCCAATCGCGATCCAATTCTGTCATGCCTTCGCAGGATGTGTTTGAAGCGAGTGTACCGACTGGCGACACCATCCATACGAGCGTAGAGAGTGTCATGAGTGAGCCGACCACATCCCATGCACTCCCGTCTCGTCAGGCCGACTTGGATGCCGACATTTCCCGCGCCGATGCTATCCCCCGAAAGAAGCGCAGGCTTAATTCCGAGGAAACATCTGATGCTTTCGCTGTGCCTACAGCAGGGCCCTCGTCCTCAAGTCAGCAATTAGAAGACTTACTTGTGTCTGCGCTAGACGAAGAGCAACAGTTTGCTTGGTCAGGAGGAGCCGTTCAAGGAGGGACATGGGGAAATGATATAGAAAGCCGCCCGGACTTGCCGGCCTTCCTCATACCGCCTGATGCCGAACCTGCGGAAACTATCATTCCCAGCATCGCTACAGCCTCTCATCTGGTCGGAACATATCCACAGACACAAGAACGCCCCCCTGAGCCCGAATATACGGGAGAAGCTATTGCTTATGCAGAGGCACCACGCGCACCGATCGATGTGGACGCACTGCCCGGAAATTCCACTATGGCTGGACCATCATCGTTGTCGCCTCCAGTGATGCTCGGCGGTAGCTCGAGTCGGACCACATCTGAGTCGGCAAATACTAGTCGCGCTGCTCAAACATTTTCGCCAAAATCACGCGAACCGCTTGAGAGGCAGGACTCGCCAGTTTCTGGAGACGAGCCGCTATCTGCCTACACCTGTCCAATATGCTTTTCCCCACCGACTCGCGCGACGTTGACCCCTTGCGGGCATATCTGTTGTGGTGAATGCCTGTTTACTGCTGTCAAGACAACCATGCAGCGGGCTGGCCACGCAGTTCCCCTGAATGAACGCTCAATTGCGCGGTAAGTTTAATCTATCGTCCCCATCGTGGACATGCTGATTGAACGGCTCCGTTGCCCGTGTTGCACGAACATCACGCTCGGCCACATGAATTCCATCTTCTCACCGATTGTTCGCCGATTCTCTGAACTCTCCCGCATCCATACTGGCTGGCATCTGCATCACATCTTTCAGGTGTCCTGTGTGCCGTGCGCCTATACCAGGATGGGATGGAAAAGGCGGAGGCGTGATAGGATTGAAGCCAAGGATGGTTTTTAGTCTATGAATCATGGTATCGATGCAACGGCGTCGAATTTGGCAAGTAGCACCCAGCAGTGCGAGGTGAATCGATTTACATTTGGTACATCGAACAGGGAATGCGACACATTAGCACGCGATCGTTCCTATAAGCAGGCACACACAATAGCGTTACCCTTAAATGATATTGACATGCTCGGTCGTCGAGTTCCAAGAATTGTCACGCCCACCAGTCAAGCGCGCCGATACCAGTGCACATCAAGGGATCTCGAAGGATCGAATTTGACACTAGACTGATAGATCAACGCGTGTGATGATAACTTCTAGTGCATCTCAATGTGGTATGCCTCATCATTGTCTCGCCCTCCTTTTTCTCATACTTTGTATAGGATTGCTATCGCGGACAAGAATAAAACGATGGCATCAGATGCTTGTCGCGAAAGAAGGCGTCCGACATTACTCCGATTCGGACGGAGATCGTACCAAACAAAGCCAGTGCCCTCCATGCCGATGCTGTTGAGCGCAGAGCAAACGTTTACGGTTCAGAATCTTGCGGGAAGCTGGGGTTTTGCAGTGAGTAGGTCCTAGTGCGATCACCAACGTATCCTACGCATTACGCGCGTCACTACAACAAACCTTGTTACATAACTACTCAGGATGAGAGGGTCTCAAGGGCGGCGTGCGACTGGAACGAGAAGGCTGGAACCCGAGTGGTTTTCACCAGAGATGTCCTCATTCATCAGTGCGGAGTGATGTATTGACCTGCGGAATTGACAGATCGTCAAAATATCATAGCACGCGGACTCTGACATCGATACACAAGCGGAAGTCCGCTGTACTTCGGTTGCTGGTGGATGCATAGGTCCCCTACTGTTCGTCAGGAGGCGGGTACGCAAAAGGACTCTTCAAAGTTGTGGACGAGATTCACGTTAGGCGTCTGGATACCCGCAATTCGTCCAATATCAAGGCCTTCGGATCCATGCGATTGGGGTCTTCCTGAACCTTGACTAGGCCGTATCGCTCCACGCACGGCGGTTTGTGTGTTAACTCCCGCTATTCCCGCTTAGCTAAACTTCCGGCTACCAGCAGGTTTCGCGCATGTGTTGCCGGCTCACCTCCAGACTTAGACGCAATATGATTCCATTCAAGTAGCACCGTCTGTTCTCTGGGCTTGGATTGGTGGGGCTCACTTCCTTCCCGCTCGGAATTATCGCCGATCCTCATCCCGCAGGAGCAGGAATTCTAAGTAGCATTGTTCAGCTATCATGGCTGGTTCGGGAAGTGTACCTTCCCTGACTCTTGTTCGGTGTATGTTTCCTCCGGTGGCTACGAGACCACATGCCCATCTCATGTCCACCTCTAGTTCTGTGACGAGCGGCGATCATTCTAGAATCAGGAGTCGAGGCAAGCCGCGATGCGCTTTAAGAGTAATGACAATCCCATTCGGTAAATAGATGCCAAAAGCCTACATGGCATTGATGATAGTTACATCTCGCTGAGATATAGCGGCGTCTGGCTAGGAATCTCCGCTCCAAGTGCGAGCTTCACAATATTCATTCGCGACTACTGGTACGGTAATAGTTGCCAATGCCTTACACCTTGGTTGTCGTAGAGTGTCATGAGCAGATGGGTTCTGCGCTGCACTCTAAAGGGAGACATCGCGGGATTGAAAAAAAAAACGGTTATTGAACTTTCTGACGGGAAGGCTGAATAAAGCACTAGAATCTGACTCGCCCACCGGGCGTGTGAAGATGAAAGTGTAGCCGAGCCATCTGCTTCGCACTGCGATGCCCTACCTTCGCGGCACATTACATAAATTGTGAGTTGAAGGTCAGCCGGCGCGCTTTTTTTACTCCGCCACAACTCAGATTGGATGCTACAAGGCCGCCGTACACTGGGATTCATCAGGTCTCCCCGATGACATTCTCGCTAACATCGCCTCGTTGCCCTGTTGTCCCTCGGAGCAGAGCCTGCGGTGAGTGAGCATTATGAGAGACGGTGTTTAAATCCCGTATGCGGGTGGTCTCCGGATCCATGGTCATCAACAAGCTTTTAACGGCCCAAACTTACGGCAAACCACGCTCCACGATCTATATCCTTTGGTAGCACCAATAGTCAACAGTGTGGGTTCTGTGGGGGATTAGAGCGACATGCAAAGCATATTGGACCCATCATATGTATAGGAAGTTCGGAGCAGGGAGTCTTTTCATTGTGCCCACCGTGAGTGAGGTTGTAGACTCAGACACAACGGTGATTACTAAAGCGGACTTCCCGCGAAACATGGTTTGTGGTGGCAACACCCATAGGACCTTACCAGTGCCGCCAGCTCTTTGGCCATGGACATGCAGGCAACCGATGTCAGTTGGCTCCGGTGGATATAAAACTGGATTTAGGAAAAAGTGAGTTCGTACCTGACACGAGTGCAGACGCTCTCCTCCCTCCCCCGCGACGAGTTGAGACATCAAATATCGGACAATCAAACTCAGTCTTGGCCACCAACCGTTTTGATTTCCGCATTTCACGGTATTTTGCTCTCTAAGGACCGGTTGGCGCTGTGTATTACCCGCGTTCTGCGACATCAGCGCTGGCGTGTCTCCTGAGACATTCGACAGCAAGCGCGTGATCTGTATGCCCGCTCCTCATCTCATCGTAACAATCGCCGCCATGAGCCCAAGGCTTTCCGCCAGAGTATTGTCGAATATGCCTTTTTGTTCCAATCCCGTCATACATGGATCCTCCTAACCGGTCCCTCATTTTTACTTCGTATTCACCGTCTCGCGCTACATATCATCTGAAACCGACATCTTGGCCACGATCAACCACCAACGTCGGCTGGCGTTCCTGATTCTAGATAATTGCCACAAGTACTAAGCCGGTGCTACCGCTTGTCATCATGTCACATATGAGCGCGTGTTGGTCCGTCTTTTCCTTATGCGTGAGAATTCTCGCCAGACCTGCCACACAATTGATTACTTGTCCGGCAGGACTCGCGGGTTGGCTCAGTTGAAATTGCATTCGGCCTCAGTAATGCTGTGCACAATTGTATAGACTACGATGGGAACCAGCAGTAGGTTGCTACTGTACACGAGAATTGGCAAGATTAAATAGCTTCCCTCTCTTGATCATCGCCGTCGCTGACCCGCAAGGAAACGTGCCCCTGTCAAACCGATGGACATCGGCCTTGATAACATGGGCGTCTCTGCGCGCTGTTACCGCCATTGACTAATAAGGCACTCTCTTGATGGTGTGAAAATACCTAGTGTTTTGATGTCGCACTAACAGGAACTGGATCCGCCAGGAAATCAGCATTCTCGGCACTCGTCGCGGCGGCATTTGCCAACTTGGTGATGCTTTATCTCCCCAAACTCTCATGGTCTGGTTTGTGACACACCCATGATTGATTTCTCACCATACACGATCGAAGGGGCAAGCCTCTGGCTGTGCTGTGCTTCTCTCCTTACTACCAACGGTTTCCAACCATCACTGAGAGAAGCCCTTAAGCCGTCGTCGCTCCCACAGTGTTCGTCACCGGCACATAAGGAGCCACTCACAAATACCAGTGTGTTCTCAACTTTGATCCTTTACAAGACTCTTTCTTTTATCCGTCTGACGTCTCGACCCGCCCACCGCCGATTGTCCGAAGCAGGCTACTATTTTTTGGCTTGACGACATGCTGCAGGACGACTTACCATGGCCGGAATTAGGTAACGTTTCACGCGGCGCTACAAGAGGGAACCAAGGCCAGAAGGGTGTCTTGGGACCCCCGGATTTTGAGGGGAGATGTGTCCTGCAGCTGCGAGTGCAGCCGGGTGTCCTTGCCGTGCGTTTGAACCGCCAAGCAAGCGAGTGGTATCGCATGCTCGACGACGAGGTCAATCGAGCCCTGAAATTGACGAAGACGTACTGGCGGAAAGCGAGGCGGCGGCAAGACTACGACGCGCGCGCAGACCAAGACCACATGGAGCTGCATGAATGGCTCCAGCAGCTCAAGGACAAAGTCATGTCCCATCTTGAGTTGCTCATGCAGAAGGGCGAGATTCAGGGCCCGCCCTATGTGATGCCTGACCAGGTCGAGCTCGCGTTTCTGCGCAAGTTCGTTGAGCGGCAGAGAGCGGGCATACCACACAATCCTCGTCTGCGGCGGGCTTACCTTCACACGAGTGCCGGCGGGGCCGAGCAGCAGCATATACAGGCGCAAGCATCGGTGGGGACATCGACACCGCTATCGACGAATGCATGGGACGGGGCTGAGGACGCTGCTGGTAGGCACCTGTATTTCTGAATATGCATCACTACTCGACTCATCTTGTATAAAGATGAACATGACCACCCAAATGGTGCTGCTGCGGGTGTGATGGAGATTGATGACGTGCACGCCCTAATGCGCGACATAGAGTCTAGTCGTACGCCCTCACTACTCTCCACCGAGATATCCATTAATGAGCAGGCCAAACGAAGGTACCGACCTGGGGCACGCACGGAGTGAATTTGCGCGCGCTCGCAAAGAAACGAAGGAAGCATTCTCCCGATATACAACATGTCTCGAAGCAGAAGACCGCGCCCGCCAACGCGTGACCACAGCCGAGCAACGCCGCGATGCACTGAGTAGGTCTCCTACTTTATGATGTTATAGCTCAACTAAGGCCTTCGTAGCTTCGAGGATGATGCAGATATACCGCAACGAGTACGGAGAAGGTAGCGTGCATCTAGTCGTGATTGGACGCCGTGCTGAGTAGGCTCAGCCACAGATGCGTCCACTAGGTCGCCGGGGCAGACGAACCATGATATCTCTCAACGGCGGCCGCAGTCCCGAACGAGCTCGAACGATTCTCAGGATGATGTGATGAGTCCTATGTGAGCGGCCTCGCTCATGTCTTTTCTCTGACTAAAGGGTCTTGGCAGGCCTAATAATGTTATGATACAAGATAATACTAGTGGCTGGCGGGACATGCATTGGCCACAGGTCAACACGATGGGGGAAGCCGCCGGTCAGAACACTGAGTTGACGATGCTGGAGCGCGTGGGTCTTTTCACTCTACTCGTAACCACAGAGAACATAACGGCTCTTCGCCAGACCATGGGGGTTCCTTCCCGCGAACACGAGATGCAACTCAATCACCTCAGTGCCGAGCGCAAACACGCGCGTGGGTGGGACCACCTGCCACAGAGTGAGCCCCACCATCTGCCAGTTCCCACTGATACTGACGCCTCATGTGCAGCCCAGGGTCGAGAGGGGTTCGAGGTTGGACGCACTGTCTACACGCTACAGCCATCAAGCTCATATCACCCGCAGGACGTCTCCCTGTTGCCGCCGCCCAAGCGCCATCAAGTCTCTCCCGCCATGCTCGGTTCCACCTCGACGTCGCTGCCGCCGTCGCTACGCCAATCCGCCTTACCATCAATGACCGCAGCCGATCAGCAGCGGATGGATCAAAATGTTGCCATCTTGCTGAATGCGCAGTCTGGCTCTCACCTAGGCAATGTGCCACTGTGATCGAGGGCTGTGGTCCGTGTTTTTTGTTCCCCAGAACTTTCGCTAGCCTTGTTGACGCGCTTCAACATGCCTTCCTAATCGTCTTTACATTACTGGCGTTCTGCTACTGGCTCGTGACATTTATGTCTATGCTATTCTCAAAGTATTTTACTAGTATCGCTATTTGCTCTCGCAGTGCTGTCAAATGCAGGTGTTGTATCATGAATGCCTTCCGGTGTGCCATGCGAGACCGCTCGGCGTTTATGGCAGGTGAGCACGTCCGGTTGTTTTTGTCAAAGATCGTTTCTGAATCAAGGACTCCATTGATTTAACATGAGCTTCTTGTTTGTCAGTATTACTATCCTATGATAATGGCTACGTTTATCTAACTTTGATTTTTGCCGTACTTTCTCCTTTCCCCCTGGCGAATGAGCCAAGACTGTTGTTACCTGTCGGTCCTCGAGCCTTTTCTTGTTCTCTTGGACTTTGGCAAGCCCTCGATCGCCATCATTTCCGAGCATCACGACCGATCGAGAGCATGCTTCCGGACGACGTCAGTGGCTATACTCATTGCTAATCACGCCCACAATCGTCAACGACGGGACATGTCCGGCTCGCAACATTTGTCCCGACTCGTCTTGGGCTGTAGACACTGTTTTTCCGACGGACACGGAGGCGAATTGATCTCCAGAGTTTTGCCACAAGCCGACGGTCCCGGGTACAATCCGATCTTCTGTTGGCGCCCGTCTGCTTCTCTGCCCTTTCGTCCTTGGAATGCTTCGATGGAATAGGCAACACCGTCATCAGCTCCTGGAACACGCCTGCAACGCCGCGGCCGTGGCTAGTTTTGCCACCTCGCTTTGTCCCCCCATGCCCGCCACAGAGGCCCAAGCATAAAGGCCCGTGTTTTTGTCGACACAGATTCCGGCGACGACCCGGGCCACAACTTGCGTCTTTTGGCGCGAATGGGGCGGTGGTAGAGCCGGATACGTATGTCAGTCTTTACTCACCTCCGACTGTAATGAGCACTGCATTACAGACAACAGGACACGCTTCCGAGACACGGGGCAAGATCGCGGCCGATTACAGCTTACATAAGATGATGTTCTTACACACGCCTTCCTTATTTGGAACGTGGTATGGCTCGTGTAGACGGCGTGTTTGTGGTGTCGAGCAGTGCTTTTCATGGGCAGTCCAGAGGTAGATGTCTCCCCCGGTCCTGACTTTGCAAATGGCTGTTCCGCTGTCCTCACCTGTACCACATCCACATTTTTCCCCGTCCGTACCCGCCACACTCGATGTTCACGTCGATCCTCTTCACCGCCTCACTATCTCTCTCTCTTAATCCCGTGATGACACTTATTGTCTGTCCGGAGCTATTCATATGCTCGTTGTCAACCCTGAGTTTTGACGTCTGCTTCTCTCATTGACTACGCAGCACCAGCTTTGATACTTCGCGTGATTCGCACGTGCAAAGTGGCCAATCCATATCTGAGCTTCTTACGCTTTGTCCCTATACACGGCATATAAACTCAGACGCGTCAGGAAATCGGAAAGTCTTCTTTTCCACTCCCTTGCTTCCTCGGAGATGCATTCCCGCCGAGATCGTCCCCGCTGTACGTCTTCTCTTCGTGATTCTATATACTGATTAATCACGGTTCTCCAATAGCCAAGCTGTGCAGAAATTTTGCTCTCGGATACTGTGCGCAGGGAAGCCACTGTCAATATGAACATTCAGTAGCTGCCCCGTTTGCGATGAACTTCCCTCTCCTCAGCTCTTTATTGAACACTGTGAGTGCGTCTGCTCCCGGGACCGTCTGCCGCCCACTGACAAGGACAATTCGGAACATTGCGAAGTCAAACTTGGATGGAACACAATTTCTACTTCCCATGCCTCCCACATCGTTCAAGGGTGGACTGTCGGCGGCAACCGCCAACCTCCTACAGTCCGCATCTCGAGCAGCTGGCACAACTCCTCGACCCGCATCCCACCATACCCCTACTCTCGGTGCTCCGCGGTACAGGCCACTTTCATGGCGAACGGCATTGTGCAGACATTTCACAAAAAATAGAGGATGGTGTCCACTGGGAGAGGACTGCAACTAGTAAGCTGATCCGTTGCATTCTCAACAGTATCTCACACACAGTAATTCTGCAGCATACATGACTTGCAACTAGCGGAGATCGCCCTCCAAGACGCCCGCTTTCCCGGGGGGCTTCCGAAGACTAATGGAAGTGGCCCCGACAGCCGTAGCAAGGCAGCGACCAAGCATAGTCACTGTTGGGCCTACGTCCAGGGCCTGTGTCACGTCAAGGATTGCGCCTACCTACATCCCGTGGCAGTCCATCTTTGTACGTTCCGTCTATTGACCTGCCCTTGCCGCCACTCATTCTTAGCTCGACGTCCCAGTTATCCGCCATACACCCTGCCTGGCGTGGCCGAACTGTCCGATGGGCGCGCTGTGTCCCTTCAAGCACCCGGAGCCAATCATACCCAAGGTGCCCGTCCTGCCCACCTCGCTCGAGTCCACGCCGAGCATGCGGCCTCCGAGCCCAATCGACAACGCATTCTCCGGCGCCGTCCAATACCACGGCACGACGTACTTCCCCCTCCAACCCCAAATGCCACTCTCCCCGCCTGCGCCGAGCGCGTTCCAGCCCTCGCCACAGTTCTACGCCCAGAGCCCGCCAGAGCTCAGCTTCCGCCACGCGTTCGGCTCGCCCCCGTGGCACCCCGCGCTGTCGCCACTCGCGCTCCGCGCGCACGCCCCGCCGCCCTTCTTCCACGACGCGCCTGCACGGCCGCCGCCCCCGCTCCTCCCGCTCCCGCCGCCACACCCGTTCCCGCCGCCGGCGTACCACTACGGCCCACCACCGGGCGCGCCCATGCCGAAGAGCCGCACGATCTACGCTACGCCGCCGCTCTCGATCCACACGCCGTTCTCTGGGCAGATGCGGCGCCCGCCGGCGCGCGACCCGAGCGTGCCCCGCTCGAGCGTGTCCTTCGACCCCATCGTCGAAGAGCTGGCCAAGGCCGACGCGGAGTTCAATGTGCCCCCGCAGCGGCAGCGCGCCGGACACGCGCGGCGCGTGACCGTTGCGCTGAGGAGCAAGGAGGACACCGATGCGCTCGGGCTCTTCCCTCGGAAGACGTCGAGGGAGAGCTGGCAGACGCACGGGAGCCGCGGCACGCATAAGGCGAGTTGTGATCCCATTCGCGATGTCTGCGCAACTGACATGTGTTTCTGCTTTCACAGAGCTGGGCACCCGCATCCACGTCTACGAGCATTCTGTAAGGCGACGGTCTGACTCCTGCGTGCCTATCTACAACACATCTAGAACTGTTTCTATCTTTCATTTCCATTCACTACTTTTTGCGACACTATTTTGTTACCGGCACGGATCCTCCACAATACACGGTCATGTACAGGCTGGATCGGACCATGGCATCTATTCCGGAGGGACCTCTTTCCCGTCGACGAGTACCGCGTCTTTGCCTTCATTCAGTGTCATTTTCCGCAATACCTACGCGTTCATTCGGTACTCGTCGCGCTGTTGTATTACCCTAGTGCCATATTTTTCTCGACTGCACCGGAACTACGCCCTTCAATGGCGATTGCGATGCATGTATGTGTAATGTCTCTGATAGCGCAATCCAATCCAATACTATACTACTGTACACACCCCGATGCTTCCGTGTCCTGCGCTTTCATCTCACCTCGGAGCTTCGGCCTGCTTTGGGCCCGAAGCTGACTGGCCCGTCGGCGACATGCAAGCTACGAGTTCGCAGCCGACACGCTCTCCGCAGGAGCGGATACCGCCTTGGGGCACAGCCACTCGGCCTCGAGACACGCGCGAGGGAGGGTCACGTAAGGCCCGCGTGAACCGCCACGATCGGCCTGAGATCCTGCGAATCTGGACGCCGTGCATGACTACAGGAAGACCAATAACGACAGACCTCCCCTCGCGAAGTATACATTGGGGCAAGGCGGGGCAGAACCCCGGAAGCTAGCGGCAGGAGCCGGCAGCAGTGCAGAGACGGCGACGGGCGGCCGATCAGAGCTAGACGCTTGCCGTTACCCCCTCGTCCTCTCGCCGTCGCGCGTCAATGCGGCGCGTCCTGCTCAGAAAGAATTCGTCGTGTACATGTCTCGCTCCATGACTAATTGTCAGACTGAAGAAGCTGCTGGTATCGCGTCACAGCAGGGTGCCGAGCGCCGCTATGCTCCATGCCGTCTATCTGCACTTTCTGCGAGGGAGGTCTCTCAATATTCGTCTTGCTGTAATGAATCGTGCGCGCTCCCAGCGTGTTCCTGACAGAAACGCGGCGCGCGGGCACTGGCGGCGGCGCCGGGTCCGGAAAACACATACACACGCACACAGAGAAATAAACCAGGAAAGAAACGTGTGCTACTGCGCGATATGATACAGACGGGGCCGGGGCGCGCGTGCAGACCGCCTGGCGGACGATAATGTTAGCGGGCAAAACGTGAACGTGAGCAGAGCGACAGCCCGTTTCCGGGCTGCGGGAGGGGGCGTGCATGCGTGGAGGCGGAGACAGAGCAAGGAAAGCAGGCGGGACATATGGACAAGCAGATGAGGAGGAAGAACAGACGCCCGGGAGGAAAGACGAGATGCGATGCGATGCGATTCAATGCGACGTATTGCGATTAGGAGAGGAGCGGAGATGCGTGGAGAGATGGGGAAGAGGCTTGCGCCGCGCTCAGCCCAGGGCGTGGCTGAGCGTGCTGGAGACGGGTGCCTGCGCCTGCACCATGCCCGGCGCGGGGGACGGCACGCCCACACCCACACCCGGGGCCGCCGCGCCGTCGCCCCCGCTCGGCGCGCACCCCACCCCGAGCAGGCACTGCACGAAGCTCGTGTGCCACGCGCAGCCCGTCGGGCTCGGCGTGCCCTCGCCGCCCGCGAACTGCGGGGGCGTCGGGTCGTGCCACGCGCGCGGCGCCTGCGGGGCCGCCCAGAGCGACGGCGCGAACACGTAGTCCGGCGGCGGCGCGCTCGGGCTCGCGGGGGGCGCGGCGGCCCACCCCGCGCGGCGCTGGCGGTCGACGGGCGTGCCGCGGCCCATGTACGCCTTGCCCTCGGGCGTCAGGAACGTGCACGGCTCGAGCCACGGGACGCGGATGGAGGACAGCGGCGGCAGCCAGTACGCCATCGCGAATGCGTAGGGCGTCGCGACGGGCGGGATTGCCTGGTCCGCTGCGACCGCGGGCTCGCCGCTCGCCATCGGGGACGGGGGCGCCGGCTGCTCGGTGAGGTCGACGTGCATGACGTCACAGCCCTGCGGCGCCTCCTCGTCCGTGTCCACGGCCATGTCGTCGTCGTCCGAGTCGTCGTCGTACTCGTCTCCGGACGTCTTGCTCTCCTCCGTGTCCATCGCGTCGGGGCCGGCCTCTGCGGAGTAGCTGTCGGGGGTATAGTGCTGGAACTCGGTCGGGCGGTAGAAGTAGTGCTCGGCCTGCGCGGCCACGACGGCCTGCACGATCTCGCGGGTGTATCGTCGCACCCTGCGATCCGGAGTCAGTTCAGCGTCAGTATGAGATGGCCGGAGCGCGAGAGGAGCACTTACAGGCATGCGACGCGCTCCTGGCAGGCCAGTTTCCAGACGTTCATGTCGACCGTTTCCGTTCGGCGGGGACGCCGGTGGATGATCAGCGACTTGAAACCCGGGGCGGGCATGTCGTCTGATAGCATGGCATCATCCGAGACGTCGGCGTCACCCACGCCGTCCATATCGGAGGCAGTGATCGGCGGCTGGGAGAGCGGGGATGGGGCAATGCGCCATCGGAACGGTATTGAGACGGGCGCCGGAGGAGGTGCTGGAACGGGTATCGGGTTGACAGGGCGGACCACTGGCGGAGGCGCGAGAAGCTCCCGGTTTCTGTCATGTAAACTCGGTCAGTGGATATTGCAAGATATCCAGGCACCACATAGAGGACGTGGCCAGCAGAGAGGCATGGAAGTGGATAGACTCACGTTAAGTCAGGGAGAACATTGACATTGGTATCAGAGATGGTATCAACGGTGATGGGGGTATCGTTCAGAACGGCAGGCGTTTCCCTGCGAAGCACGTCAGCTGCTACGCTCTAATAAAGGGCTGACGATCCAACTGACAATTCTCGCGCAGCAGGAAGGGTAGCATCAAGCGCAGGGGCGTCTCTGTTGGGAACCTGCGCATTTTAAGGTTACACAAGATATAAATATGACAAAGAAAGTATGCTCACTGGTACCGGCACGGCGGTGTGAGTGTCTTGTGCGACAGCCGAAACAGTGTGGTGACCGATATCCGAGTGACCTCGCGTCTCCTCTTGCCAAATTGGGATAGGGTTCTCCAATGTTCCTGCGGCGTCCGCAGGAATGGGCGTGAGCGGGAGATCGCGATCGACTTTGTCGGACGAGGGGCTGAGATTCAGATTAAGATTTGGACCCGACCTCTCAGCATTGCCAAGACCAGTCTGCGTCCCTTGCGCTGGGCCTGCCCCTATCAGTGCGCGGGGTTCATCGATGGCGACTGGTGGCGAATGGGCCGAGGACGACAATCGTCGCCGCTTGAGGGCACGGAGGGCGCGCGGGGAAGAGGGTTCAGGCGTAGTGTCCTCGAGTGGGACGGATTTGGGGGAAGTGGCAGGTGTGGGGGAGGAGGAGATGGTCGCGGTCGCACGATCGTTGGGATCGGACCCACGACGTCGTTTCCGCGATACCTGCGAAGGAGGGGATCTCGATGTTAGAACAGGCTCAGCCGGGGTCTTGAGAGGCACTGGGCTCGATTCGGTCATTTTCGCAGCGGTCACACTGTCGTCTGCGCAAGGGTCCATGCTGCTGCCATGCTGACTGGCGCTGACGCGTCGCCGTGGACTTCTGCTTCGCCCTTGGCCGCATCTGTCTACGCTGGGGTTCGCACACGGTTTGGGAGAGCTGTTAGCGTGGACATGGAGGCGAGGGGAGCGGCGTGGGGCGTCTGGGTGGGCAAGGATGCCGGTGGCAGGAGCCGGGGACTGTACTATTTGCACGGCTGTGGCCATGACGAGCCTTTGCAGTGATGATGCGAACAATGGGATTCGGTTGAATGGAAGAGTGGACTTGCTTGGGTTAGCGACTATCTGGTCAGACACACAGACGACGTGATACGATGCATTGAGCGGACTAGAAGGAGAGGAGACAAGGAGATGGTTACATTTGGCTACCACGGAGCGGGCTGTGCGCCACGGCAGGTCAAGGCTCCCGTTGATGGTGGTTCTCAATTGAGTCTGAAGCGACTCCTGTCGGAAGCGGGGGATATAGACTGTCCCAAATGCAGATCGGATATCGATGATGGAGGATCGGGTTTCCGAGAACGGGGGGGCAAGTCGAACGCGGGCGAACGAGAACCACACACGCCACGTAGCAAAACACAAACATGCGCAACCACCGTGCCGCCCTCGGCACACACCACGTGACCCCCGCCCTGCCGTTGCCCGCCCTTATATACCCATTCTATTCCCCGTGCTGTCACCGAATATAGCATCAATCGAACCACGCGTAACGGCAACGCCCGTCGCCGCTGTCAGACGCTGCCTCTCTTCTCCGCGGTCCACCTTGTGATCCCATGCTTGGTCACACACAAAGCGCAAAATGCAGGCAATCAAACGCCCATACACGTCCCCCGCCCCGGGCCACGAGTCCTGAGCTAAATGCTATGGCGCCGTTCTCACCCCGACTCTGCACACTGCCCGCGTCGTTGATATATACGCCGTTCACACACGGTTTCTGCGCAGCACCATCACGCTGCCCATGTCAATCTATGCTCCATGCTCTGCCGGCCAGCGGTGCGCCCGCACCTGGACATGTGCGCACGGATATCCCTCGCTTGGCGCGGACCACGACCAAGCTCAAGCGCGAGCCCGGCCAGCGGTCCTTCTTGCTCCTTTCAGCGGTCCATTCTTGACATCATCCTGCACGCTCCTCGCACGGGAGATTCCTCTCACGCGCGTTCATAGAAGATCATACGCCATTAGTACGTGAACCCGCAGGTGGTTCTGCATCTTATGTGTCCGGTTCTGTGGTTCTACGAGACTGCCGAGATTTCGACGGCACCATTATGATATATATCAAGACGTCCCCCAGCTCGTGTTGGGTAACAGCAAGCCCTGGCTGAAACGGGAAACATCCCGCATCGTATTCTCGTCGATTCTGAACCAAGACCCTCGCATGATACCTCTCAACTACAGCGGCCGAGACTAGGACCTAACTGGCAAATCATTACGGCGTCGTGTCTTGATCTCTCTTGTGCAGCAACCATTGACGCGGACGAGTTCTCCAGACCCGCGGCTCGTTCACTCCCTTTTTGAGCAGCGTGCACGAGTATATATCGTCCCCTCCTTTGCTCACTCCTGTTCAGTGCTAAGCTTTGGCCACCGTCTTCTGTCCGCTGGCCATCTCCGTCCGCTGTCGCTTTCATACCCCTAGAAGCCGGAGCGCAGGGAAGGCCGCATTTGAATTGGCTTCGCGATCAGATCCTTCGGCGGGGTTCTAGTCGCTGGACCCTGTATCCCTGGCAGCAGAGTCTGGGCTTGGTTTTGCCTATATCTGCTCGCTGAGTTCGCTTGCCTTGCATTCGATCAGGCTGGCGGCATCCTTGGCGCAGACATTCAGTTGAACCTCCTGTTCACTTTATCACATTACTGCCATGACACCACTCCCCTCGTAGTCGCCCTCAGGTGGGTTCTGCCTAAACCTTTCGCTATGGAATATCTGCTGTAAGTCCCCACAGTCCCTCGTGCGCGTCTTTCGCTCCCAGCGATGGCTGGCAGCCGGGGCAGGCGCGTCGCAAGACGCGATGATACCACAGTGTGTGGTGCGTGAACAAGTTCGGCCGCTAGCCACGCTACACGGCTAAGCTGGTCTCTTAACGGCTACGCGCGGGCGACCTGCCCAGGCTGCATGCCGAACCGGTCGACATTCTGGCGTCGGCTGCATGTGTCACAATGCCGTTGGAATAGTCGACTGGCCTTGCTCTGGTGTCTATTTACGCCCAAGAGGCGGCTCCTGATGTGACGATGTCGCCCTGCGTCTAAACCCTGGGCGACCTTCAGGTCGAACGGGGCGTGGGCGCATATACATTGCTGGAGGGATTATGTTATGTCCCCGATGGTTCCCCCGGTATTTCATTGCCATACCATGGTTTACGTTTGGCAATGGCGTGCATGACGTGCGACATCTGTGACCACACGTGATGTCATGCTTGTGGGGCACACGAGCGCCTGGTCATCTCACTCGGTCCCACCACCGAGTCCGGTGCAGCATCTGGTTACTTGCGCTCATCCTGACCCGTGCTCGCTTCGCTAGCACCTGCACGTTATCCCCCTCAGATTCTGCTTGTGCCTGGGGACTCGTTTCTGGCTTGTGACGAACTGCATCAGCGAAAGAGGCTTTATCATACACGGTCCGAAATGGGTGCGGAGGAGAACAAGGAGCCGAGACGTCGCCGAAAGGTAACCTTAAAGGTGCGTGGCCAACCTTACAGGACTCGTATAACAGGGCTGACATTCATCTCGCAGAAGGCCTCTGTCAGGAGTCAGCAGGACGGGCTGCTCCGGAAGCCTAACAATCCCCGCAGGCACGCAGCCCCCGCTGCGGCCCGCGTGCGTATGCAGAGCACCGCAGGCGACCTGAAGCTCCCGATTGAATTGTGGACGGCAATCTTCGAGTATCTCGGCCACGCAGACCTCCGGCAGGCAAGCCGCATCTGCCGCGGCCTGCAGGCAGAGGCGGAGACGGTGCTGTACCGCAGCATCAACGCAGAGATCCACGTGCTGCGCTTCCACCATGCGCTGAGCGCCGCGCCGCGCCGCGCGCACGCCGTCCGCGCCCTGGCCCTCCAGCCGCCGTACGAAGAGCTCCGGACGCGCACCAGGGTGTGGAACCAGGTGCTCCGCATGCTGGCGAACCTGCGCACGCTCGGGATATGCAACGGGGAGGTCCCCGCGCACCTCTGGGGCCCGCTCGTCGCGGGCTGCGGCTTCCGCCTGCGCGCGTTCGGGAGCGCGTTCGGCGTGTCCCCCGCCTTGCTGGGCTTTCTGGGGCGCCAGACGGCGATCGAGGACCTGACGCTCTATCTGCACGACGCGCGGCTGCCCGCGCTCGCGCCCGGCGTGCTGCCGGCGCTCCGTGCGCTCGAGACCTCGCAAAGTTGCGTATCTGCGTTCGCGGCCGCGCCGCGGAACATCACGCACCTCCACCTTGGGTGCGACGATCCGGACGCGATACGGCCTGCGCTCCGTGCGTTCGCGCATCAGCTGGTCAGTGTGCGGGTCGATCGGCAGTTGCGGCCAGGCGACGTCGGGCGGCAGTATCCGACGGGCGTTGTCGACGGCATTGCGCTGCCTGCGCTCAGGTTCCTTGAGGTCAGGGACACGTCTTCTAAGGTGCGTCGCGCGTGGCGAGCAGGGACGCGGGGGTCAGGGGCTTATGGTGGTTCGCAGCGTCCGCTCACGCACATGGACGAGGACACGATAGCGGATGCGCTGGCGCGGCTGGACACCGGCTTGGAGACGGTCATATGGCATCCGGACTGGTTCTGGGCGCATCCCCCGCGCGGACGGAAGACAGACGACTGGGAGACGTGCATCGGCGACATGAAGCGCTTCGCGGCCGCGCTGTTCCAGGCCGCCCCGACTCTGAGGCGTTTCGCTTACCGTCCGATGAGGACGGCGATGCTGGTCTCGTGCACCCTTGAGCGGGGGGAGGTCCGCGAGGACGAAGGCGCAGTGGGTAGCAGCGACTTGTGGAGAACTATCAGCGGATAGAGAAGCTAGGTTGTATGCATCCGTTCTTCTGCCTCTGCGGGCGTTGCCCCGTGTCCTGCGTTCGTGAGGTGCTCACTTGGTCTCTTCATCATACTCTACAGGGCCATCCCTTCGCAGTGATTCCGACATGACCACGCAAGTGTAGACTTGGCGAGACCATCACGTCACATGATTCACCCTCAAAAAGAAATAGGAGATATATTTGAATAGCGTCGACCAGCTCCAGATAACACGAGGAATCACCACGCCCACAGGGCATCTTTCCACCCACTCCCCTTTGTCTTTGTCTTTGTCTTTGTCTTTGTCTAGCCTGTGCTGCTGCCTGAAGCGTGACATTTGTGTCTGGAGGTGTCTGTGTGCTATCCTATCTGCCTTCCCATAATCATCAAAACCCGAGATTTGTGCCAATCTCACCGTATCGCATCCTGCGAGTACCTCAATCATGTCTCCGCTACGCCAGTCTACAACACGCTTGGAACAATGACAACTTGGTCCCTCACGGCGCCCATGCATTGCTATGCTACACGGCACTGACAGAGCTCTAGCGCGGCAAGATCCTCTCTGGCTTCTGCGACCTTGCGGGTAAGTGCACGAACCTGTACGTCCCGCTATTGTCCTCTCAACAGCCCGAATATCAGATATCAAATGAATGACGTACAGCTGGATGGCCACCTGTCGCGGATCAGGTGGTTGGGTTACTGGAGCGTAGCAGCCTGTACTCAACAAGGAAATGCGGTTCGGTGTTCGGCACGTCTTGTTTCTGAGTATGTCACGAAAATGCGAGGTGATTGCTGCGTGTCAAACTTACTGTACATTCGAACATGGGGTGCGTGCTTTCACGCTTGAACTGCTGCGTCCCGTCCAGTCACTTCTCTGCATATACATTCCAAACGCAAAATATGTGACTGTCCACTGTGACTGTACCCGATATTTCTATTGATGCCATTTGTGATCGACGTTTGATGGGATGATGCGAGCACCATGCGCGGCCTGCCACCACACCCCTGCTTCATGACAACGTCCACATTCAGAGCCGCTAGCTGAACACGCTTGTCGAGCATGGAGACACTTGTGGACGATCTTGACTTAGCGCGGGATATGATTCGACTTCTCGGAAATGAAGTGAAGCAGCTTCGTCAACAGTGCCAAAGTTGCCGGTGCAAGGTGTGTTAAGTAATGTGACGCAAGTGTCTACACTCAACGTGCATTCATGACAAGCAGGACAGATCAATTTCCTCTCCAGATGCTGGCGACCGCGCCGAGTTGGCGGAACGAAACAGACAGCTGGAAGAGGAACTACGCGAAAGCCGACTACGACTGCAGGTGGCTCTGGAGAGTGAAGACGTCAAACAAAATACACTGCTCGTGAGTTTGGTCGTTCCATAGACTGCTATGTCATGGCGGGTTCAAGTACAAGGTGGACGTATACCCAGAAATCGTCGAGAGCGTTGCAAGGGCAGGAGGAACAGGAACACGTACGAGATTTGTTCCCGCGGCAGCTTATAGTCGTTCGAAACTGTTCACCTCTGTAGGCGGCTGCGTTCGAGGCGCTGAAGAATAAGTGGAAGGCGTCGCGGGAGAAGTATAAGAACGCTAAGGAATCCATGAATACTCTCCAATCCGTACGTCTACCCCGGCTTCCTAAGTTGCGACCGTTAAGCTTTATCTTCAAATTGAAGGACCTTGAAGAGTCTCAACTAAAATGTCAGCGGCTGAAAGAAAAGCTACGAATGACAAGGGAGCAGTTACCGAAGCCAGAGGTGTGTATCTGATGACTCAGGATATGGCAATCTGTTCATCAGGGTGTCATATCAATAGTTCGATGCTCAGCAATTCATAGAGACCTTAGTTGTGGGTGACTTCCAACCGAAGACTTTGGACCACTTTTCGGCGGAGTTACGGCTATCTATTCCTCCTGTAAGAACCTAATGTTCTTCCCTCAAAACTACTGCCTGACTCACACTGGTACAGGAAGTGCTACAGACATTGTGAGTGCTGCGAATATCCTCGAAGTCCACACACGCTTGACATCGTGCAATAGCACGCAGAATGCTATTATTAGCTCCAACATCGATGAGATAATTTGGTCTAAGCACGGCCAGAAGCACGGCCTAATGATTGTTCCTACATATCGGTATAATGCGAAGGCCCAGAGAGGCCAGGGCTCCTGGCAGGCATCTGGACTCCTCGAGGATCTTGTCAAGAATGTCGGACAGAAGCGAGAATTGTTCTACATGCACGACCGCCGCTGGTTCTATTATGGTCTCTACGAATATGTCGGTATGACGGCAATGACCACGCACGACGTGCGCCATATGGGTTCTACGGTGGGTCATTCCGGTGATGAACAGGTGATAGCGTGGCTGATGCGGGTTTAGAGAGTTACAGACAATGCCATAAAACGAACGGTACTCTTTCCTGACCTTGTGCCGCCTATTACTAAGACGATGGTACAAAATATGTACGAGGAAGGTGTCCTCAAAGTCAGTTGCCTCGGTCTCAAGTGTGTCGGCTTCAACCACAACTTGTATCGGGCGTTGCAAGAAGAATTCGGCACACGGAACAAGAGGGCAACGATCATACATGTCCCTCAGGAAGGTGCTACGGATTCGAATACGAAAAAGAGAGCTCACACGGCTGGGGGTCATCGTGACCAGTCTAAGAAAGCCAAGACTGATGCCAGCTAGCTCTTTATACTTCTTGACTCGCTTGCCTAAATGATTTATTCCATGTTGTTAGACCTGTTGAGCTTGAGCTTGAAGCTTGAAGCTTGAAGTTTAGTGAAGCAATTTTTGCTGCAAGCCCGGTGACCATGAACACTATAGTTGCTATATTAGGGATCCATGACGCCATCGTCAACTTGCTCACATAACCACACACACGCCTCTCTCCTCGACGCTCAGTGCTCAGCGCTCAGCGTTGGCTCGATAAGTAATATGACACGTCCCGAATAAGCACTTACTGTTATCTTCACAACTCCCGTGTTCTGACAGACATCGTTGCTGGAAGATGGGGAGCATAAACACGACTTTGCCACCTGAGATGGGTGATCGCATTCTCGACCATCTCTGGACCGACCGCAAGGCGTTGGTGGCGTGCAGCCTCACATGCCGCGAGTGGCTGCCAACTACTCGCCTGCATATGTTTAACACAATCACCATCGATGCAAACACAAGGCAGCGCTTTGAAGAGACACTAGAAGAGTCCCCCCACCTCGCACTGTATGTGCGTCATCTTATCGCCCATGTCTCTCCTGGCTCTGGCCTGTCAGAGCAGATTGGCGTTCTCAGTCGGCTCGGCAACACCGCCGATCTCACGCTGGTCAATTGGCATGTCTCCTCCATAGACAGCGAAACCGTGACAGTTGTCCAAAACATCCGACGCCTCTACCTGCGCCGCTCCTCTCTGGGCATCTCCGACATCATCATCCCCCTGCTGTGCGCGTTCCCCATCCTCTCTGAGTTGCACATACAACAGCCGACGTACTCCCGTGCCGGGTTCAGGTTTGACCTCGCCGTAGATTGGGCGGCACAATCAGACACTAAATTCGCGACTCTCACCCTCCCGGAATCCCTTCGAACGGGTTCCCTCCATCTCGCAAACCCGCCCATCATGCTCATTCAATGGCTCGCTGAGGAGCAGCTGCAGCTCCGCCCCACGGCACTCCATCTTTCCTGGGCCCTAGGCAACGACCCGCTCTGTTTCGCACCACACTTTGTGATGTTCCTCTCCAGACTGTTCAGGGCGGCCGGTAGCAAATTGCAGCACCTGACGCTTTCGCCGGTTTGGGTGTTGAGAGGCTTCCGAGTTCCATGGGGCCTCCAGACCAACGACCATCTCCGGAGCTTGCACCTTGACGTGACGCCATTCTTCGAGCGCGCTCACTGGGTGCACCAGGCCTTGCAAGAGATCACCTCTCATGTGCTTGCGCGCATCGAGATCGGATTTTGCTTCGACTGTATCGGCATCGATGTTACCGCTGTGCATGCCGTGGCTAGCTGCCTAGTCTGGGAGGATGTAGACCGCTGCCTGGCACGCCTGGCAGAAGACAATCCGGGTCTCGAGATTGCGTTCCTCCTGCCTATCTCTGAGCACGATGCGGTTACCGCCGTCTTCAATCACCTCCCTCTCCTACGCGAGCGGCAATGCCAACTTGGGGTATACTTTGACGCCCAGAACCTAGAGAAACTTAGAGGTGACCCTCAGACGGCGACGCTTACGAGGCTTGGGCGCCGCGTCTCATGCCCTGAATAGTGTTGACAGTAAAGCAGATATCACGCAATGCATATTTAGCCTTAGGTAGGACGGACATTAACGGGACGCGACCATATGGTAGATTGTTCCACGTACTAGCTCAACTGAGATTTCTAGCGGTGTTAGATACAGATGACCCACTTGATGATCATGTAATCCAGAGGAAATACATGACTACTGAGACAAGACACAAGTATCTTACACGTACACCAGGTCGCAATGAAATCATGGCGGGCAATATCATGCCTAGGTGAACGAGACCGCATACCTAATGATGTTATAGCGATGGATTCCACACACTCCGACCGTTGACGCTCGAGTAGGGCGTCGTCTCGCGCACCACCGCGCCGGGTGCAAACTTTTCCGAGAGGACAGCGAGCTTCGAGCGGTACTCATCGATGCCAATGTACGCACCGCACATTCGTCGCTTGCCATCAAACGCAGAGCGGCCATGTAGTACTCGATGGTTGTCGACAACTGCGTTGCAAGAATCTCATTATGTCTGCGTGCAAAATAGCGCGGAGGTGCTTACCGACTGCCGTACCGGGTGAGAGCTGCACCCAGTATTCGGAATCTGCGCTTGTCAGAAGCTGGTGCCACTTCCGTATTGAATCATACCTAATACTTGTCAAGTTTTGACCGACGTTTCTGATGCAAATAACGTACCACTCCTCTACTAGTCCGGGTTCAAGGTGGCTCATGACGCTGCGGTCGTCGTTATTCCACCGCACCTGTATTAGCTCATCATCTGCGTGTCGCAGAACAGGATACCCTCCCTGGGGAGTTGGTGTATACAGTGCACTGGGCTCTCCTGCGGCATGTGCAGGGACGCGCACACGTGAGAGGTGCTCATACGCGGTGGGATGCAGCTCCTTCAAGATAGAGGCGACATAGAAGCCATCCACAAGGAGGGTCGCACCGCCTTTGCCACCCGTGTGCTCGAGGAGATGGAATAGTTGTAGACCACATGGGTCGGTCTACCATGTCCTAAGTTAATACTCTGTAACATAGTTGAACAGACAGTAAGGACATACGTAATAAGTCGTATCTGTATGCGCTCCTAATGCCATCGTGGTATAAGCTGTATCTCCTTTGGCAAGGTCTGACGTGAAATCCCAGAATTTGCCATCTGAGGGACACCGTCAGCTGCGATCTACAAAGATTATTTGAAACACACATTGGGTTTCACGGATGAACCCAATTCGGCAGGAGAGCCCTTCGGTGGCTTCGGGGGTTGGTGGAACACTGGTAACAAAGCAGAAGCCGAATTTATCCTGAAGGAAATCATCAGGCTGGACATGTGCACCGGTGAGTATAGGCCAAGCGTACCACATTCGATAACCACTTGAACAATCCCTGCTCGTCCTCTGACATTACTTCTTCGTATGTCACAGTAGGCGGTGATTGCAGGATTTTAGAGCCCCATAGGATCCTCCTTCACCGAGGTGAGTACGATCAGACCAAGCACAACGACCAGACATACTCGGGATGTGATGGCTTGGATAATGGTGGATCATACGAATTCTGCTGCAGCCATGACCACGGATAGAATGAGGTGTGCGGTTGTGATGACGGCCCTGAATAAGACAGATATAGAAGGCTGGAAAGTAGAACGCACGAACACTACTTGCATTTCACTTCCAAACCGTCAGCCTTCGACTCGACTTGTACAGGCTTGACGTCTGGAGGAATCTACGACGAACGTTATTAAGGACAATCTCAACAGAATACTGTACGTACTTCGAACGTGTTGACCAACCGCTGCTTGGTAGCTGAATGAAAACATTGCGGGCATCGGCAATGATCCCGCAGCCAGATGTGATGACTGTCCGCCATGCAATCCGTCAGGTGGAATATATGAGAAGGATGCCTCGGCGTACTATCGAGAAAATATGTGGGCATCCCAGCCGATGATGACCTTGCGGTCATCAATCCTGCTAGTTGGTAGGTCAACGGAGCCATCTGGGGACTGGTGAGAAGATGATGATGGTTGAGGTTGAGGTTTCAGAGCAGCAGCAGCAGAAGCCCAGCGGGAGAACGTGTTGGTGGAATATGATCGTTTTGATAATTGAGTACCATTCCGTGAGCGTGGCTGTCGTGATCTGGTGAGGCCAGCTTGCACAACGTGAGAGAAACAGAACTGACCGAGACACGCGCTGCAGAAGCTTGCAGGCTGCTTTTCTTCAGGTCTCTCGCTGCGCAGCCAAAAGGCCTCTTGGCCGTCTCAAGCCTGAGACATGAAGCAGAACGCAGCATGGTGTGTCACACAGACAAGGAGTTAACAAGCGTCGGAGGTGAGCTTTCGACAAAGAGAGCCGAGACTGAGCTCACCAGAGCTAGAGCGGCGGAGAATTCACGGGCCATCGGCACTCTGCTGACGCGTGACTATTTCTTACGCGCCTCACGTGCCGATGTCACGCACTCAACGCGTCGCGTCAAAGCGCGACATGGGACTGCCGGCGCCGTTCTCGCCGCGGCCATCACGCGTCACGCTCAGACATGAGAACCCTGAATGTTAAAAGTTGTCGTGAAACGAATTCTGTCTAAGATATACAGAAATACATTTTAAGCAGACAGTGCATGTCCTCATGCTGCCGCCCGGATAGATTTTAGCACATAGCCCTCCAACCCCCCACAGACCCAGAGCTCTTGCACGCTCGTCCCCACAACACCGACGGTGTAAGTCTTCCTCGACGCGTCAGGCCAGCTCACCTCAACCCGGCCTTCCGCGACCCTCACGTCTATAGACAACCCCTCGTTGACCGTCAGCTCGCCCTTCTTTCCTCCCGCGCCGCGCTTCCCATCCTTCGCATACTCTCGAGTGAGGTCCGCAACAAGTTCCGGGCACTCGATGCAGACAAGGCCGTTGTTGATTGCGTTGCGCTTGAAGATATCGCCAAACGAGCCCGCGATAACCAACGGGACGCCTGCAGACTTCAGTGCCGTCGCGGCCTGCTCTCGAGACGAGCCAGTGCCAAAGTTGAACCCGGATACGAGCACCACGCCGCGCTTGGTATCCGCAGACTCACCACCTCCGCATTGTTCATTGCGGATGGACGCCACGAGACCTGCAAAAGTAGTGTCGTAGTTCTCCATAACAACTTCTGCCTGCCGCTCGAGCGTGATGTCATCCTGGTACGTGTACTTGCCAGGGTACAGAGCGTCGGTGTTCAAGTTGTCTTGAGGCGCGAAGAGCAGTGGTCCCGCAAATGTCGACGGGAAGCCGGGCAGGACAGCCTCTTTTTGTGCAGATTCGCTGCTGGCGGAGGTGTCTGCGGAAGGTGTGATGATCGCGTGAGTCGGCGCGTGAGCTGGAGGTTGTGTCTGAGGGTCAAGAGAGTCCGGGCTGCAGATGTATCCCTTCACAGCGCTAGCCGCGACGACCGCAGGGCTCGCCAAGTATGCCTGGGCTTTCGGGCTGCCCATTCGTCCCTTGTAGTTCCTGTTCGTGGCGCTAATTCCGACCTCTCCATCCTCAAGCAACCCCGTCCCGAGACCTATGCATGGGCCGCAGCCAGACGGCAGGGGCTTCGCACCAGCGGAAATGAGCGCTTGCCAGTCACCGTTCTGCTCAGCATCTTGCTGCACCTGCGAGCTCGCCGCTGCGACGTAGAATTGCACGCCAGGTGCAACCTTAAGGCCGCGGATTACGTCCGCCGCCGCCGAGATGTCGGACAGACGAGCGTTTGTGCAGCTCAGGAGGTACGCCTTTTGGATGGGGATATGTTGTGACTCGAGCACGGGCAGTGGGGTGGAGATCTTGACGCTGTTTGGACCGGAGACATGTGGGACAAGCGTTGACAAGTCGAGCACCAGATGTGACGAGTAGGCGGCGCTAGGATCGGACACCATGGTGTTAGCCCGGAGCTCGTCGAGCCGCCGGCGGTTAATACGCTGGTGTTCTGGCGGGGGCGGAATCGACGATGCAAGTGCAGGGGACGCGAATGTGCGCAGTTCCAGTCGCTTCAGCGCACGCTCGTACCATTGCAGTAGCGTGTCATCAACGGGGAATACACCGGCAAGTGCGCCCCACTCCGTCGTCATGTTCGCGATAGTAAGCCGATCGTCGACTGTGAGAGCCGACACACCTTCTCCTGTAAACTCGATAGCGGCGTTGAGGACCTCGTCGTTGTTGAAGACACCGCACAGTGCGACAATCACGTCCTTCCCCGTTACCCCGGGAGAGAGTTTGCCCTTAAACTCAACCTTGACCATACGAGGAACCTGCCACCACGTCTTGCCAGTCGCCCAGAGCGCCGCCGCATCTGTGCGCACTATTGGCGTACCGACACAGCCGACGCCGCCATACATGTTGCTGTGACTATCGCTCGCGACGGTGAGTGCATTCGGGAAGGCATAGCCCTCTTCGACGAGAACCTGGTGACCGATTCCGCGACCTGCCGGATAGAAGTCTATACCGTGCTCCCTGGCAAAAGCCTCGATGGAAGCGTACTTCAGCATGTTCTTCTCAGACCTGTTCTGCACATCATGGTCGAGTGTGAACACCAGCTGCGAAGGATTGTTCACCCGAGCTGCACCGAGAGACTTGAATCTGTCATGTTCTGGTCAGCGTATTTGTACAAGGCATGGTGAATAGTGTAGACGAGAAGCGGTAATATGATATCCCATTCCGGATAGTTTGTATGATTGATTGCTGCGTCAAGCTGTGCTCAGTGACCGCTCATAGGAGTAGATGGTTAGAAGTCGATAGGCACCCAATTCTATGCACACTACGGAAGCTTGTTGTGATATGTCCGAAGCATGTATCACACGTTTCGGTCATATTCCATCAAGTACTCTAAATCCACCGGCAGGGAAGGAGCAATCACCATAGAGGTGATGAAATCCTCTCAGGAGACAAAAATGCTGCCACTTACTTGGTTATTACCGGCCCAGTATTGTCATGCGTCATGACATGCTCTGGAGATATCATTACATAGTCGCCTGCCTTAACCACTTTGCCCTCAGGTAGATCGACAGCATATTTTTGGACCACCTTCTCGATTACAGTCTGAGGGATTCGAGGAACACGAGCATCCGAGACGGTCGCGAATGACCTTGCAGACAGATGGCGAGCTTGTCTGAGGCCAAGCGAGAGAAGCAGCCTCATGCTCGCTACTGTGCGCACCCCTGGCACAGTTTGTCTGGACGGTTAGCTGAGGGCCAAGCTGAGTTGTCGCCTGGAAAGAGACGAGGTTTACTCGACAGTCGACTCAAAGCTCGAAGTCAATTATGTCAAGTCACGTGCGTTTAAACTACAGGCTGAACCAATCCTGCTCATTGAATTTGAACTCGCGTCCACAGCGTCCAGGACTCTATGTACGCCCACCAGGCCTTCTCGCTGATAATGAACCATGTTTCAGGCCTGCAAGACTCAAGCTTCAGGAGGTAATTAAACCTTACTTGTTCGCATGCGTCTACTAACCTTGAGCATGTTCGCATGCCGAAACGACGAGGCCGGGGCTGACATGCCAGTGCCAGCCTCCCGACATTGTCAGCCAAGATACTTATGGCCTCAGACCGACGCCTTGTCCGCTCCTCAGACTACTCTTGGTCTTTGCGTTCACACAACTCCCTCACGCCCGCACGGCATTCACGGTCCTTCCTTTATACGATGGTCTCAGCGCACTTGCCACTCGTTCCATGCCTCCTCTTGTCTTATTCTCTTGCTGGTCTCGCAGCACCTGCTATCTCTGGTTACTCAGCTTCGATTGTCACTGAGTCCATAATCAAGCTACCCACCCTCCCATCAGGACCCAATGCAGGTAGCGCGACCCCAAGCCCAACGTCTCCGGTGCCCAGTGCCGCCCCATCGAGTGCTGTGGAAGCCATAGACTCGAAACTCTCAGCAGGCTCTCTGACATGGATTGCGACGACGGAGACCATCCTGCTTATGCCGTCACAGCCCGGGATTTCCGTTTCAGGTAACTTGGCCAAGCCATCTCCTTCGCCTGTCGCATTCAACGCTGCTGCAACGTCGACCGCACGGATATCAAGCTCCCTTCATGAAGATGCTGTTGCCTCGAGTAGTACGACAGATTCTTCTGCGACACGACTAGCGTCAGGGTCCTCAGGTGCCATTCTGTCGGCTTCTAGGACCACTCTCTATGTTCCGCCCTCATTTTCAAGCACTAAGTCTGCAGGTGTGCAGGCTATGGTCTCGTCACCATCAAGATCCATCTCTGCTACTTCAGAGACCCCCAGCAGCTCCTCAGCGACACCCTCTTCGACAATTTCAAGACCTGTCGCTACGGACATTACCGATCCCAATCCGACAGACGAAGATCAAGCGACCTCCAATGCAGCAAGCCAGCAGGCGCGCAGATCAGCTATCCTCGCAGCGTTCTTAGTCATTGGAACGTTCTCCATGCTTGCAATAGCTATGGCTTGTATGCGTTGCAAGCTTCCCTCACGGCTTCGTCGCGTCAAACGGCAGAATCGAGAAGTCCGTTTCGATCTTTCGAATCTTGAAGAAGGGCAAAAGGTCCCTCCGTCGCCTGCAGCTGTGGATCTGGATGAGAAGAATAGCCTTGTTCCTGGTCCCCCAGAAATTCAAGACATTACGCTACCCACTTTATCGCAGCAACCTTCTGCCATCGGAAACACTAATGCTTACCTGGCGTCATCTGAACCATCCTCCGACTGGCGAGTGTTCGCGTCAAATTTGGACGGTCAGTTTGAGGACGTGACACATATACTCTCGTCAAACGTGTTCGCGCCGCTCGATCGTACCGGCGGCTCACCTGGGAAGAACTCAATCTTGTCAGCTTCATCAAATCCGGAGTCCGAGGAATCGCGCCCTTCGGGTCGTGCTAGCGGCGGCTCGGCAAGCCTCACGGGTGTGTCCTACAAGTCATGCGAGTCGCGCTACTCCACTCCAAGCATCAAACGCTATTCCCGTGACGGCCCTCAAAAGTCGGAATCCATGACGCCCTCGTTCTCGTTCTGCGACTCGCCAGCCACATCGGACGCCGTCCGGACGCCTGACCTCAGCAAAACGGCGGATGCCACGGCTGGCGTTGTGGGTAGCGACGAGCCGCACGTCCTGACTCGCGGGCTTCGCGACTCGGAGGATGTGGACTTTAGCTCCGAGTGGGACGTTGCAAGAGCATACGGTGCACATAGCAGTATTGGAAAGGAGTCTGTGCTTGGTGCTGTTGCTGAGACGATGGAGCCTGTCGAGGTTGGTGGGCGCAAGTGTGTTTTGGTACAGGGATGAGCGCGTTCACAGCGGTCGATATGATGCGCTGTGTGAGTAGACGAGTCAAGTGATCGTAATACACCTTTGGCACGCATCTTGCACAAAAAGTCGTTGCCGAGACATGAGTAGATGGCCAAATCTCAGAAGGTGGCCCTGGAGTGAAGAAGCGACGCGACGCGACGGCATGTCGGTCACGTGGGACGCGTCGTGCGGAGCGCGATGATGTCGACCACCACTACGACTTCGACTTGCGCCGGCGCAGAGCATCTCTCTACATCATGTCTCGCTTGACGCAGTACCTCAATCGCACCAGTAAGCTTGTGCGGGACAATACTTCGCGCGGTGAGCATTCTGGCGGCGACCACATCCGTTGTGCAAGCATCTGACTTGCATTCTAGTCCTGCTTATGCAAGGCGCGGACGAACCCTCGAGAACACCTAAGACTCTATTCACATTCAACTCGAACGAGGATATCCAGCAATTTGCGACCGGATGTGACGCCGACGTCGGCGGCACCTCCACTGTTCATTTTGGTCTCGATGACTCCAGTGTCCTGCCCACAAAGAACGGAGAAACAACCGAGCAGATCCGGCGCTCGGCAGGAAAGTTCTGGGGCGAGATGCGTCTCGGGGTACGGGGCGGCCTTGAGGGCAAGATTAGGGGTGGCTACGCTGGATTCCGGAGTAAGGCACGCAGTGGCTTATTTGGTGAGGACCAGATCTTTACATTGACTACTTGCAATGGTTGCAGCCAAGAACAACGCTATTTGGTGAGATGACGGACGATGTCTCGATGCATCGCTTCCTTGCACTGCGGCTCCGAGCAGCTGGCCATCCCCGGACGCGCAACTCGTACTACGTGAATATCCAGACGGACGGGCCTATCACCACCGATTTGTGGCAGCACCGTCTCTACTTCCGACGCGACGACGGGGGTTGGGAAGATATATTTGTGCGCGCGTATATGCTTTCTGATTGAATGCTGATTCGACCGCGTATCAAGATCCCCTTTGCAGACTTCGTGCTCACTAATGCGGGCGAGGTCTCGCAACATCAAATAACCATGTTCCGGGAGCGCGTCCGTACAGTTGGGGTTTCACTCCTTGGAGGAAATAGCGGTGTTGAAGGACCATATGAACTTGGCATCGACTCCATCCGTGCAGTGAATGACGAAGATGTGCCCGCCGAAGCTATACCTGGTACGTACATGTTCTCAATATTTTCCTGTGCGCAGTATGCAGACCTCACTCGATGACTTCCAGAGAAGCAAGTGAATGAAGGGACGCAGTGGCAGCGGCCGACTGTGTGAAATCAGTCTTCTAGCGGGCCGCAAAGTTCCGGTTCCCGTAAAATGTACCAAGAACTTGACTCACTGTTGATCCATGCATTCCTGCCATTGAACATCGGGTGACCTGAACTTGTCTATACAATGCATGCATATAATATCCGCGTGTGACAAGAACGCGAGCACTAGTCCTTAGATTCGGCTGTTTCACATCATCCTCTATCAGCGATAGAGGATTATTTCCCGCGACGGCGTCCTAGAAATCTCAGTCGTCCTCCTGGACTGCATCCTCACTGTTTCACTATCCGGCCCTGTATTCTACCTGTTTGGCTCTCAGCACCATGTCTGCCGTGTCAATCTCAGGCCCATCAAGACCAGGATCACCAAGTTCAGTGACCTCTAAGGTATGGCACGACATCTGTTTTCAATAGGTACAAGCTGACTTGACGGCGGATGTTATTCAGAGTTCCAATTACTTTGATCAGCTTGAGAACATAGACCCATACATGCCACTCCTCGGTCGGTGTGAAATGTTTTCCCTTCATCGCGAGTACATGACCTCCGTACCTTCGCACACAGACGATACTGACAATCCTGAGCATACCACAAGTTCGTTTGGACAGCCTCTAGCGGCTACCTTTCCGACTACTAAGCCTGAAAAGCGAAGACGGCTTGATGAGGCCAGCAATTCAACAACAGGGAGACCTGTCAAAGTACAGAAGACACAGAGCTCGCCGAGCGTTATGCGTGGATTAGCGGCCGTAGCATCGCCAGAAGAGCGCGATCACTCTACTCCATACATCATTGTTAGTGGAGGCATAACCATAAAGGCGTTGATTCTGCTCATTGACTGGGATCACAGGCTGAACTACCTGAGTTCCGAGAGGAAACTAGGCGTTTACCATATGGCGCTCAGTGGGAGATTGCACGTCTCATATCTGCAGGGATCAGTCGCGATGCCTTTACGCCTGAGGTACTGCTACGCTTCCGCGGCGAGAATGCAACGGCCGCTCCGGAGGTTGCTCGGTCCGTTGGGCGTGCTACAGCGGGAGTGTCGATCACTGACGATGCCTTCGCGGCTGCATTCGCGAAGGAGAAGGCGACTCAGGTGCGTTTCTGTTGTCTCTCTAGCATACGCTTACACTGATAAAAACATGCTCTAGTTGCCATGGGATGAACTGGACAGAGAAGAGCGCATACTCAGATATGATCCGTATGGCGGCCTTGGCTGCAACAGCGACAAAGAATATCTTCAAAATTACCCTGATTGGTATGGCGGTCGGATCCAGTTCACTGGCAAGCTATCGTTAGTCAACAGGACACCGACATTCAAGGTGTCGCTCAATCGACCGGTGCTTGGTGCATCGAATCGTTTTGCCCGACGCTTCGGTTCACGCCATCTTCTACGTCTCCAAATCCCTGAAGATCTTCGCCTCGCCCTGCAGAACATTCCTGGTGGTGACATCAGTCTTCTCTCCTTCTTCGGTCAACCCCTGATCGTACACGACTGGATCTTTCGAGCGTTCTATGCGAAGGAAGACAATGTTTTCCTCTACCAGACAAGCGAACGCTGGGACGGTGACACTATCCAGAAGCGCGGATCAATCAAATGCCGTGGTATCCCGAAAGAGCTGACTTTTTATGACTTCCTGATGTGGCACAACCCAATGCACTTCAATTCGAATCAGGCAAGTCCAAATAATACCTCGAGATTCACACAGAATAGTGAACATGACGTGATCATCCATAGCCCATGGTCAAATGGGTCTCACGTTTCGCTCTCGGTTTATCGACATCAGTTCCAGGGATTCGTCTTCAGGCTGAACGGATCAGAGAAGAGGAAGATATTGGTTCGTTATTTGTTTGTATGATGTTGAGTTGTTATCCCTTACGCTGCATAGTCTGCGATGCCTTCTGTGGCGAGGGTAAAATTCCCAGTGAGATGATCATGACAGATGGCTGCGGGTTTATTCATCGGCAAGCTTTGAGGCGGATCGAAGAGCAGCTCGGATGGACGTTAGACACGATGGTTGTGCAGATGCGCATAGGGGGTGCCAAGGCATGTCCGTTTCCAGAACAGTGTTTATCTCGACTAACGCGTGAACAGGGACTACTGCTGGCTGATCCGCGTTCACTTTGCGGAGAAGAGACTGGTGCAGACGTCCGCCTACGCCCATCGCAAATCAAGATCAAACTGTCTCAAGACAGCGAGAGCATTGATCCTGCAATGTTGACGGTCGACATCTTGCGTCCCGGACGACTCACCGGTCCAGCTCGCCTATCGACCGAAACCATTGTCAACTTCACTGAAAATGGTGTTCCGGCGCAGGTAGTATTCCAACTCATGAGGGATACAATGCAGGAGAAAGTCGACCGCTTGACCACATGGAACGATCCGGCCAGTGTATATGAGTTGTGGTGGAACGTCCAACAGGCCGGCGGCGTCATTATGGAAAGATTGTCACGGGAAGCACGTGGAGCTGCCCGAGCCAAGGGCTACACAAGTCGCGATGGAATCTCGCACAAAAAGGGTAGCTCTTCCGACGCTGACGAGGATGATGATCTTGACAGCGCACTTCAAGAACGATCATTGGCATGGTGGAAGGACCCGATCAGTGGGTGTCCGTCGAGTCTGGAGGAGACAGTGCTTGTCCTGCTTGACAGTGGCTTCACGCCGGATGCATGTCCCGTTTTGGCCGCCAAATTGAGAGAGGTAGCGAAGAAAGCGCTGACCAACTACGTCGACAAGTTTCACATTGACGTAATGATGTCGTGTAAAGCGTTCATGGTCCCCGGTAGACGTATATACATTTTGGATGCCCTCGCGAAGCTGACATAGTTCTCATAGATCCATGTGGTGTTCTCAAACCGGGCGAGATTCATGTAAGGAGCTCGTCCAGGAGTTTGGTAAACCAGGATGGAGAGAAGACTGACCTCGTTCTGGGAGATGTCTTGGTACATTACCAGTGCAGTCGTCAGTGAAGGATTTTGACGATGCATTGTGGACAGGTGACACGGCACCCATGCAAGGTTCCTACCGACACTCAGAAGGTATGCATGCCGCATTAATGTCTCTTCATTGTGAATTCAATATGTGAAGGTGAAAGCGGTCTTCCACGAGAAGCTGCGCTCGTATACAGATGTAGTGATTGTATCGACCGAAGATCACTTTCATAACGGGAAATCACTCCACAGGCATCTGGCCAGTATGACCGGCGGTGGTGAGTTCTATGCTCTATATATTGCTTCTCGAGTCAGAATCACATATTGCCGATCTGACAAGGTGATTTTGATGGTGATACTCTCGAGGTATTCTGGGATCCAACAATTGTCTCAGAATTTAAGAACGCCGATCCTAGCTTTGCACAAGAACCTCTTGATGTGCAATCGGTTCTTGTCCAACAGCGTGAGACGGTCGACGAATTTGTTCAACGAACAACTGCCTTGAGGGAAGAAAGACTCACCTGGGAGTACCAGAAGTACCTCCTTGCGGCTTTGAATAATAGCCGCAGAGTCGGCATGTACTCGACATGGTGGGAGACCTCAATTTACGAAAAAGGGTATGACCATCCGGAAACTATTTTTCTCGCATATATGTACGCGGTTATTCCTCTTTCTAGGACACGAGCCCTTCAAAGTTCATGCCTTTTAGGTTTACGACTGTACTCGATGGCTCTAAGACAGGGGCTGTCGTATCACAGGACATCTTCTCGAAACATCAACGTATGTACGAGCGTGGGCCACTACCATGGAGCCGATTGGACACCAAAAGCAGCTCCCGGAAGCAGCCAACACGGAGTCCTGGACTCCCTCCATTTATACTGGAGAGGCTGAAGGAAGAGATAGACAAAGCAAAAGGGGTGCAAGAGAAGCTGATTGATGAACGTCTCCCGTACAGGCTATCGACGCTGCGGGATGAGGACCTAGCAAAGCCCTGGCTCGATGCCATGGCGCGCGCTGCAGAGGCCATGCAGCGCCACAACAATGAGAATATGCAGCAGGAACTCGAGGCCATCCGCACACACGTCGAGCAGACGTACACGCAGCATCGCCAGATGACCCTTCGCGGCCTTCGCAGACACGCCAGCGGTGGCGGCAGCAGTACGTTCGCGTCTGCGAGGAAAAGTTCAGACACGCCCATGACCAGCCTACCCATCGAGCAGCGCCAGGACATGTTGCGCGAACTCTCATACAAGTTCGCGTGCGGTCCGGCTGGCGCAGATGGTACGCCTACAGCGCTGGTTTACTTCGATGACGCGTCACTACGCCGTGTGCGCGCATCGTACGCATACGTCTACGACCAGAAGACGAGCTCGAAGGGCTGGTCGCGCTTCCCGTGGGACGTCGCCTTGGGCACGCTGTGCGAGATCAAGGCGGGTACGCTGGGCCCTACGAAGATGGTGACAGATGACTTCTACGCACGCATGACGCTGGCGAAGTCATTCCTCAAATGAGAACGTCTTACCTTGTATGCGCGATCAATTTGTAGTTGTACAACTGGGAGTGCGATATGAGCTCCTGAAATACTGATATGCATTGTTATTCTAAAGCTGTGCATGCAGCGTTTGTTGATATCCATTTGCTCGATGGTCAGGTAAAGCGAGGATAACGAGGGAGCTACGTCGGCAACTAGTCGACCATCGGAACGCGCACGCAGTGGTGCCTCATACCCTTCCCTGCAGATGTCTGTACGTATATCAAACAGAAGATCAGTCAAGGATGGCAAGGGAGGTAAGAACTCAAGCGGCAGTACCATATCGGAATCGGAACGGGCGATGGATAACATGTACACGACAACAAGGAGAAGAGAGAACAGAAGGGGTAACGCCAACAAGCCCAAATCGAGCGGTATACGATAGATGATAGTAACGGACAAGGGGGAAATGAAACATAAGCAATAGGATGAAAGAAAGATGGCTTCACGCGACGACGCAGCCGGAGCAGCACCCGCCGACGTCGTCCTGGTCTGATTTTGTCCCATTGTAGACACCAGGAGCGGATGGCATATTGGGTGGCACACCGGGACGTCCTGTCTGTTGTTCCTGTAGTAGATGAGTTAGCGATGAATACGCATGTCGCTGCTGGTTGAACCGACCTTGTTGTGCCGCCTGATCTCGCGCACAAGACTGTGAAACGCCTCGTCGACGTTGATCCTCTGCTTAGCGGAGGTCTCTATGAACTTGCAACCAAAGTGCTTCGCCAGATCACGACCCTCTGTGAGAATAATTCTATCAACGACCCGATACTACACATAGCCGCGAGCTGCTCACCGTTCATGCCCACTTGGCGCTCGTACTCGAGATCGCACTTGTTAGCGACGACAACGACAGGGAACGAATCCTGGTCCTTGACACGCAGGATTTGTTGGTGGAAGGTACTGATCTCCTCGAACGACGGACGTGACGTGATCGAGTAGACGAGTAGGAAACCCTCACCCGTGCGCATGTACTGCTCACGCATCGCACTGGATTGCCAGACTGAGCAGGAGTAACGCTATCGACATTTGATGAAAACGCACCCGTATTCCTCTTGACCAGCAGTATCAAGAACGTCGAGCAGAGCAACCTCCTCGTCGATAATACATTGCTTCCGGTACGAGTCTAATTAGGATAGAGTGAGATCGCTTGTAGTTCTGATTGGCTAGGGATAATGACGAAAACCGGCAGCGGCGTGCGAGGAACTACAATAGCTGTGTAGTCATTGGCAGACTATGCAAGTCCTAGATGCCTCTGCAGGCCCCATATCCCATTCCTCCACACATAGGACATGTCGTGCGAAGTGGTATAAAGACTCACCCTCAATGGTAGGATCATACTCATCCACGAAGTGGCTCTGGATGAACTGGATTGTCAAGGCCGACTTTCCGACACCTGACCGAGATCATGTTGGACAAGAGGGGATAACTTCATGAAATTCATGACATACCACCACCGCCGACGACGACGAGCTTGTATTCTCGGAGGAATTGAGCCTGTAACTTACATGTTAGCTCCCGCGCATCTAATCGGCGTCAAATGCTGACCCTAGACATAATGAAGAAAGCGAACAAGGAGGGGGGGTAGAGGACAGAGAGGAGGCGATCCGCGCTGGACGACGACCGTCGGACTCCTCTTACTATACTCCCGGTGGAACAAACATACGCAAATATGAACCCCGCATATATGCTTCCGTCACACATCATTCCGTTTCGGGTCAATCAATGTCACGGTGGCATACTGTGCACTCACGCTATCTCGCAATCACGAAGTTGCGCATGTGTACACTGGGGGCAAACCACAACGGTCTCTCTTCGAAAAACTGTACTCAGATGTTCAGTTTCCGAACACTGTGGATTGCCGCCAGTGCTCTGTGTTTGGTATTCTGCCCGGGAAAGCGAGGATATCAGTAAGTAACCTCTCGCACTGGTGCAAGCTTCGTGATGGCAATTCCATCAAAGGTCATTGTGTTGCATTGCCTCCCATTCAATTTGTCTGATATGTACCCACGCAGGCACAGTTTCTGTTCCCGGGATGACGTGCTGCTCAGAGAGGAGAACTGTATCTCCCCGATATGTGGTATACAAGATCACAGTGTGGCTTGATGTGCATGCGCCCGGTCTCAGGATGTCACTGATGGGCAAGCAGATCTGACAATCATTCCTTCGCTGCTTCCTACCCACTGAGGATGACTGCGTTTTATCGCCCTGTCATCGCGCCCTTATCTGACACTGGATTGACGGCTTGGTCTGCAATAGAGCCCACAAAATCTGTCGTTTCCCACTCCCGAGCGCAGTCTGAATGATTAGGTGGCTGGACGGCTAGAGAATCCACTCGGTTTACAACCATCGCCCGTATATGACAACCTGTCACGAACGGCCGGTGTTCTCAGGACCACATTCCTGTACATATGCGGAGGAAGTAGTGGGTAATGTTTTACCTAAACATTGACACCATTTCTGAGTCGAGCGTTTTTAGAACATCTCTGCGTTAGCATGAGGCTGATGGCATCCACCATCCAAAGTTGCAGAAGCTAGCCTTTATAGACTTTCCCTGATGCGCTGTAGTCATAAAGTCACCGCGCATTTTCAAGCGTCCGTAGTTTGTAGGCTTCGTATTCGATACGGGACGCAGACTGCGGCGGAACTGTGCACGAACTCCTGTCAAGCACTCAAAGCCAGCAAATGACAAAATACATCTAGCGAGAGATCTGTAGAGACTGTGGTGCGTAGGAATACAGGATGTGAGTGGCTGACCGGCCCAAAACGAGTTGTTACAATCTATTGTACATTCTACACAGCAGACTTCACTCTGGCATCAGTGGACGCGAAAGCATATTAACAATAAGCACAAGACCGTGATTCGCCCCGCGAAACGACTCCGCTGCCATCTGAGAGTAATATGTGCTCTATCTGATGAGAAGGAACAATATTAGATATAGCCTACGGGCTTTGCCCCAAGCCTTGCCGCAAGACGAATATCTGGCAGTGATATGTTCGCACGCAAGGCTCCAGGATCAACACCTGACCTTGGCAGATTGGGGTCTAGGCCGAGGATCGCCTCCCTGCTTGCATTGACAGCACCGGCTCCCGACGACATGGGGCGGTTGCTGCCTTGCACTCTGCCGGTAGCTGCAACAGCATCGCCGCGCTGTGCGCCCGCGTAACTATCGGACCACAAGAAAGACGCAGGATGTCCTTGGGAAGGCTGTTGCTCGTACAGCGCCTTGTACGCTCGCGGGTTGGAAGGCAGACCAGGAGGCCCGAACGAGCTTGCCACCGACGTCGCCCGGCTGCTCGGCGGGCTGAGCAGGCTGGACATCGTGGGCGGAGAAAGGAGTACGCCCTGACGACGTGTGGCGTTCACTGCCTCCATACTGGGTCGTGGGAAGGGTCGCGGGGGGATTTCCGCGCCGAGTGTGTCGCGGCGTGCTGGCAATATTGAGTCTGCCGTCGCGTCCTGTGGCATGGACGAAGCAATTGGAGGGTTGGCCGATGCAGGGGATATGTGGATGGAGTTGCTTGCTGGTATACCATCGTCCACCACTGATGGTTGACGCGCAACTGGCGAGCGCGTCCGACGGGGAGGAGCAGGCAAGCTTGGCAATGGACGCTCGCGATTTGACGTAGGTCCGCTTCGTCTTGATTCTGGTTCATTAGGTGTTGTAGGAGGGGAGACCAGTGCGTTGAGGACCGACACGGGCGTAATGGGTCGATACGAAGGCAAGTGAATAGTCGCTGCGTCTGTCTTGTCGCTGGAAGGCACTCCATCGAGGAGACCAGTTGGGGACATGTTGGGTAAACTGACTGTACTTCCAAAATGTTTGTCGCGGGGAGCTGCGAAGTAGACGGGAGGAACAGGACTTATGACGAGTACGGGCATGTCCATTTCAGTCAGTGATTCCACGTCGGAGCCACGTTTCGAGCCAATACGATCCTTCTCAGAGAGGTCAGGGGTAGCAAAAGTGCGCATTCCATCCAGCGGCGATGCTTGTCCAGCGTAGAAGCTATTTGAGTCGTCACTCATGATGCTGCCATTGTCCTGATTGCAGGATGTTAGGAGGTAAGGGCTGAGAAGCCGCAAGGTGTTCAGCAGAATGAGTGAGTTCGCAGAGCCTACAGGTGAAGGGTCAGGTAATTGATTGTATTCAGGAGATGCGACGAACCAAGTAGTGCTAGAAAAGCGTCCCCGAAAACATGCAGTCCGAACGGGACAGGATCGTCGGCAACCTGCATCAAATCGACCACCATTGATGGCAACGAGAGGAACCCGTATACTGGATGCAAGGTCAGTCTATGGTGAAGTAACAGTCTATTGGACAAGTACGGACCACCAGGGTACCTGCCAAAAGGTCAGTGAAGCCGGCTTAATTACGGAACATCCACTTACCATATCATGCTTTTCACCACTGCAACGATGAATTTGCGATATCCAGGAGCCCTCTCGCAGTTGCTCATAATACTCATGCGCATATCCTCCCTTAGGTTGATATGCAGACCCTGCTGAATATCGAGGGTGCCGCGCAGGATTAGGTAGATCATGAAATAGAAGACAATGGAGATGACTATAGCGAAGAATACCTGTAACATAATGTAGATGGGCAACTTCTCTAGCATCGGTGACAGATTGGACGTACTGGGATGAGTCGAAAAAGGACCCGTACAGCCGGGTAATATTTAGAAATCCCACAAGAGATGCCGCCGAAAGCATAAATAGGGCCCATAGGGGCGTTCTTGATCATCAAAGGAATGACGGCTGAAATTGATTCGTAAGTAAAAGTGATGGAGTAGAGAAGCGTAAACATACAGATGATCAATGAAATTACCCATCCAGATACGACCGCAAAGCCACAAAACCACGCTGGCAGCTTATGGTGACAGACGAGGCTGTTGAAAACATGAACTGCGATAGCCGCCGTGAAATACGCGGTCGCGGTGTTGGCCAATTCCGTCAGAGCGCCTAACTAGGGTTAGGAGTTTCATAGCCTGTTCCAGGAACTACTCACCTTGGGCAGTACAAAGGGAGCCTAGCAGCGCCCCCATATAAGCACTCCCTGCACATGATCAGAGTATGCGACATACCTTTGTCAACACGCTTCAGTTCGACCCAGCGCACGTTTATAATGAAGCCGATGCTCATGATGAAGTTGCTCATGAGTAGAGAGACGGTGTACGCTCCTAATTGCGTGCGGAAGAACGAGCGCTCCCATGTGCCGCCCCGTATGATGCCTCGTCTCTCCAAGAACGCATGGAGGGAGACCCAGGATACATACAGGAGGAAGAACCCGACAGCTAGAATAGACACAATTGCGAGGACTACAATAGCCTGTTACGTGTTCAGTCCGGTGATGAGATCCCTGAAGAACTCAATGGCCGCACTCACAATCAGAGAGGACGGCTGCTCCAGCTCTCGATGACGCGGATCGATCACTATGTGGTGCACAATCCCCCGCATTTTGTGAACACACTTAAGCCAATGATTGCATAACGCAATGGCTAGTGACAAAAGTGAAGAATTACTGTCCCAGACAGTTCGCCCTGCGTCGAAGAGTAGTCTGACCAAGAGCAGACTGAAAGAGCTGGCCTAGCAGCAAACAAGGGAGAAGCAGCGAAGAACGCAGCGGGAAAGAGACGAGGATCGGGCCTAGAGCATGACACTGGCTCTTAATGCACATAGGCTGTGCAACGCATCATACTCCATGACATCTGAAGGCGACAAGTATGGAAGAAACCTGGACTTCAGGCAACGGTACAATCTGTGGTCGGAGATATGATTGCGGTCCCGTGGTGCTCCACCCGAGGTTATTTGTGTGAACTGATACATTGCAACCATCGACGTCTATGATAGTCTCCCACCCGTACCAGCTGTTCAGGCTGCCTAAAGGCTCGATTAGTCCCACAATCAATCAATCAAGATACAGTTACATCACAAAAACCAGCAGGTCTACCGACGCCCTGCGTTCACTTCTTATTGAAGAACTTCGCGATGCCCTCCGGAGTCTCTCGCCTCCTGGTCTTCTTCGTTTGTGGCTTCTCAAGAGGGCGTATCTTTCGAGGAGACCCGTCGACTGAGTAGTGTTTCGCAAGGTCCTGGGCTACATGAAAGTCATCATGCTCCATGCGCAGTGCAACAAGCGCCTCTGTCCGGATCTCCGCTCCAACATTCGCATCTGTCAGTTCGCTTGGCAGTGCAATGCGCTTGCCACATCTGCCACACAAGAACGACGTGACCTCGTCTGGCGGGACATCATGTTGCTGTGTGTGTGGACCACTACGGGTAAGCGACGTCTCGGGCTGTGGGTCGTCCCGTGGGTCCCTCTTGCGCTTGGTGCCCGAATCGGGACTTCGCGGGGTGTCGCTCATCGTCGGGGGGTTCTTGAAGAAGCCCTCGATGCTTCGCTGTCCGATCTCCATGAACTCGACACCGGCGAATCCAAGCGCCACATTCGTGATGTTCATTGACGCTTTCCTGCTCGTGTCCGTGCCAACAAGTTCGCGCCACAGCTTGTCGCCTGCGGAAGCGATGTAGTCGACATCCGGATTTCGTGTGAATGGGAACGCGGCTTGCTTCGAACGGCCAGTCTCATAGCCTGCGGTACGTTTGCATTTAGTTGAGGCAAAGGCAGCAGAACGTCTGTGTCACCTTGTCTAACGTGCAGCACCAATGTCTTTGGCCAAAAGGCGGATATTTCTTCCCTTGCTTCCCTCAGCCGCAGTGCTAGCTCCGCAGCAAGCACTCGTATCCAGTGATGCCCATGCACAGTCTTTGTAATTGGCTTTGGCAAGTTCTTGGAAGCCATCATGCTCTTGTTGACCGCCGACTTTTCCTTCACTATAAGGTCGGACAGGTGAATGATACGCGTGCCAGTATCTCACAACCGGGGACGGTGGCCTCGGGGACCTACCTTCGGATCGATCTATGCCTCTGGAAACCTCCTCGATCAGCAACGCTCGCGAGGACGCGTGGATGACTCAGTATGACACATACCGAAGGATCTCGTACACCCAGATGGAGTTCTCGCCGAATTTGCGCTGCATTTCCTCTGCAGCGAGTTCATGATAGAATAGAATACGACGTGCAGAGAAACCATCAACATCGCTTACCGAGACTTATTGCCCTTTTCAGCTTTGTCAGTCTGGCATGCGAGTAGAGCGTGAATCGCAGACCTAGCACTTACAACAAGTCACCAACGGTGGAAGCATCATATTCCTCAGCGAAAGCTTTGCCAAGCTTACCACCGAGGAAGCGGATCTTGTTGGGGAGAACAAATGAGGATGCGAAACCCAAAGCTGACACCTCATGGGGAACACCTCTGACCTTCTGGAACGGCATCGGCTTCAGATAGTTCGGGATTGCTGCATTGCGGAGAATGCTCTTGACGACAGGCGCTTTCAATCAAGTTGTCGCTTGACCATCTCGTTATAATCAATTTACCTGACTATTGGGTTTTTTGTATGAGGCGGTGAGCTACGACGATATTCTCAGAAACAGTCCCCATAGGAATCTGTTGTTTCCCCAGTACCTTTGCCAGAAATTTGTTTCTTGCTATACCCTGATCCGAACGGTTGAGTGCGTAGACAACTATGCGAATAACCTAAGAGTGTATGACTCACAGCAGAAGTGCTATACCCAAGCGTTCGATAAACATCACTTCGAACCTTGCCCATCAATTCGGCGGCGATGGACAACGCGACGTCGTGCCATGTCGTAGAGGCGTCATCTTCATCAAGACCCAATCCCTCGAGACCCACTGCAGGGGTGTCTGATGGAGAAGGATTGACCTCTATAACAGTACCGAGGCCATGCCAGGATATAGGAGGTGGGTTGGGAAGTGGGCTATCTATTCCCCGAGGCGCATCAGGAGGGACTTCGGCAAGATAGGGAAATCTCCTCAGGATCTCTTCACGGACAGGGCGGGTAAAGTCAATGAAGGCTTCATCTATGGAAGCTTTTTCTATTCTCTCGAGATAGACATGAGTTGGTGGCCGGGACTGCAACACGCAAAGTATCGAACCTATCTCGCCACCCGGTAATCCTTCTTGGAACATGCGGAGAATCTTCATGCTCTCCCGTCTGTAGTGATCCAATGACACCTTGAAGATCGCAAGCTCATGGTGGTATCTACAGGTTGAGCAGCTGCTTCGTATCACAAACTCACCTTGTGAGTAAGGGTATCTGGATTCTGCCAATAACCAGGCTCAGCCTCGCCCTCCTTGTATGTCGCGACGTGCACGACGACAAGTTCCGGGCACTTCCTTCGTGCTTCCTTGATCTTCTCCATGCGAGTAATTCCGAACTTACGTGCCGGATAGTTGACAGCGATCAATGAATCCCACTGCTGCACGACCAACGGGCGCGACGGGTCGATACCCAAGCGAATTTGCTCGCACGCAGCATAAAAGGCATCGCTGTCACACAGTGCAACTACTCGCAAAGGATCTCTCACGCCGAGGTTGTGAGCGTGAAGATGCCGGTAGGTGATGACAAGATGGAGGTCGTCGAAGTCAGCATCTGTTGCCTTGGCTTTGCCTTTGGATAACGCCGAGAGGGGCTTCGCAGATGTATTTGCAGCCATTTCGTTGCATTGAGGTTTCTCAGAGTATTCGAGAATGCAGAGACAGCCAAGTTACAAGAAGTGTTGACAGTGGCGAAGAGACAAACTGTAATACCGACGCGGCGAGCGTTACGCCAATATCGTGACCAGACGCGTCGCGCCTCACGTGATTGTATGTCACAGCTTAATCACATTGGTCGATGACCGAGGCTTATGAGGAAAGTCATTGTCGTTCGACTCGTCACCCGACCGCTAATACGCTTTTACTGTCGACCGTCATCTCTACGCTGGTGTCCATGGATTCCTTGTCACTAGATGCGCTCTCATCTCGGTCCCGACTCTGCATCGAGCGGCTGCGAGAACACAAAGTCGAAGAAGTCGACTTGTACGTCCGCACTGTCGTGCCCACTCCCGGCAAGTCTAACAAAACACGATTCTGCAGGACTGGTCACTCTCGTCTGGCTGCCGTTCTTGTTCTCTTGTATGAGAAATCAGACGAGTTGCGCGTGCTGCTCACAACGCGTGCGAAGACACTACGGGCTCATCCAGGGGAGACGGCACTCCCAGGCGGCAAGGTCGACGAGTCCGACGTCGATACCATTGCCACTGCGGTACGCGCCCGCGTCATCCAGCTCATTCCAACCTGGCCACATCCTATGGCATTCTAATTCTTATTTCCCTTCGTTCTACCCTTATAAAATGACTTGCAGCGTCGTGAGGCAAGTGAAGAAGTGGGGTTACCACTACGTCACTCTGCAATTCATACAATGTGCATTTTGCGTCCCTTCCTCTCCAACCGGAAGGTCGTCGTGAGACCTGTCGTTGCGCTGTTGACAGATCTGTCCGTGCTCGAACAACTCAAAGCGAACGAGGACGAAGTGGCATGGATCTTTGATCATCCCCTGGAAGCGCTTCTTGACCCGAGCATCGCAAGCAAGGGGCCCCTTGCAGAGAAGGGCTCGGAGCATTGGCCATACGAGGAGGAACTGCATGTATGCGGCGCCCTGACTGTCTCGCATTGCACCGAATTCACGTTGCCCGAGTAGAACACAGACGACCGGGTCCTCGCTTTCCTGGGTGGCGCAACTTACCGCATGCACCGCTTCCGCAGTTCGACGTCGCCAGTGAAGGGCCTGACGGCTGAGATATTGGTCCGTGATCTCGCTCTGTCGTAGCACCTCGGTTGACCGCTGATGATGAGAGCGGCTTGAACAAGATGACAGTGGCTGAGGTCGCATACGACAAGAAGCCTGTATTTGAGCGCTATGCTCCAAGGCAGATGTCTACATTTGAGGGAATCCTCAATGCGTTGGAGACCGTTGAAAGTACCAAGATTGCGGCATCGGAAACTTCAACGCCTATTGGCGTTGCTCCTCGCGTAGTGCATCCCACACCGTAAGCAGAATGTATGTAGCGAACAGTGGTATAAATTTATGTATGCATGAGTATTAAATGCGCGTTCGAATCTCATGGGTCGCGCATAGCAGGCACAGGGGTTCGCTATCAGAACCCGGTTACCCATCGCCTTGATGCATGCATGCACCGGACCTGTCACAATGAGTGGCTAGCGGCGGTGCTGGAGCCAAGGTGGCACTACCTCACATTTTAGAGAGAAACCCGGGTCACCTTGAACTTGTATGCATGATTCACTAGTATTTTCAATTGCGCCACCGCCGTTTTGGCAATGGACCTGCCACCGGGTCTATATATTACTGGTGATCTGTGTACGAGACCGACGACCATATACCACAGGGCTGACGCGGCCTGTCTGTCGTTCGGGTCAAGCATATGTCTAGACCGCAAGCTGTGGAACAGTCCACATGAGTTTTCAGCGCAATAATACAAACTACTTAACTGCTTTCAGGCAGCAGCGGAACAGTACTAATGTCATGGTAGACTTTTGCTTCAATCATAATCGTTCAGAATATTGCTGTACCCGTAAGGCATAAAATCCGTATTTTGAGGTCCCATATCTGGGCATATACGACATGATCTCATTTCGGTATCGATTATTTAACATGTCTGATATCATACACCTGTATTCCGGCCAAACATGGACCCGCTTGTGCGGTTTTTGAGCGGTCGCCGCCACTGCCCGAAGTGTGTTCCTTTCTTCTGGGGGACACTGAGAATACTTGCGGGCCTTAGTGCCTTCGTACGATATCATGTCCATCCTCTTCAAGCACCTCAGGGTACATCAGGTCTTCGGTGCTAACACGGATGTTGGCAAGACCATCCTAACCACGGCCCTTGTCCGTGGGTCTGCAGCTAAAGACATCCCAGTCCATTACTTGAAGCCAGTCAGTACTGGTCCGATGCAGGATGCCGATGACGGGTAACCCGGACATATCATTCTCTCATTTATTGTCTCACAAGAGATTGATTGCTCAGGCATGTTGAATATTTCGCCGGAAAGCACAAGGCGGGCGTGCACGCCGCTTGTCTTTTTCGGTTCGATGAGCCAGTAAGCCCCCATCTAGCTGTACAATTGGCGCAAAGTCAACGAGAGCACAAGGTGATTCCTGCTTCTGATTATGTCTTGCCGTGCTTATATGCCTTCAGACAAATGCTCCATCCGACGAGGAATTTGTTAATTCAGTAGCGGCCCATATTCGAAAGTCTGCATCTCTTACAACGCGACCAAGTCACATGTATGTAGAGACCGCGGGAGGTGAGATTGCACAAAGACTCCTCAATGGCTCGATCTCGATTATCCCTAGGCGTCCATAGCCCCACTCTATCTGGCACCACACAAGCGGATGCCTACCGCCCGCTTCTGCTCCCAACGATTCTTATTGGTGATGCGCATCTTGGGGGCATCTCCTCCACCATCGCTGCATACGAATCCCTTCTTTTACGCGGCTACACCATTGACCTTGTGTTACTCTTTCGCGATGCGTATTATCGCAACAGCGAATACCTCGAGCCCTTCTTCGCTGAACGCGGCATACACGCACTTGCGCTCGCGCCTCCCCATGCCCGCCTTTCTGACGCGCGTGAGGAACGCGCCGCCATGGAACAGTACTACAAGCAACTTGTACCCGCCTCGCAGAACTCTGCCATATTCGAAGCCCTACATCATCTCGATGTCCGCCACACCACGCGCATCACAGAGCTCGACGCGATGGCCGAACGCGCACTCGATACACTGTGGTGGCCATTTGTGCAACACGGACAGGTCAAAGGCGCGGCCGACGTGAACATCATCGACAGCGCCTCTCGTGACTTCTTCTCTGTCTACACCAGCAACAAGAACAGTGCCCATTCGAGTGACGCAAAACAAGGCTCTCTGTTGGAGCCCCAACTCGACGGCTCCGCATCCTGGTGGACGCAGGCGCTTGGTCACGCACACCCCGCACTCACTCTCGCGGCCGCACGCGCGGCAGGTCGGTACGGACACGTTATGTTTCCGCAGGCAGCACACGCGCCGGCACTGCGTCTCGCAGACCGCCTGCTGCATGGACCCGGCGCAGGGTGGGCGTCGCGTGCGTTCTTCTCGGATGATGGCTCGACAGGAATGGAAGTCGCACTCAAGATGGCACTCCGGGCGTATTCGGCGCGCCACGGCGTGACCGGCGCAGCGCGCAAGTCATTGGGTGTGCTTGGATTGAAAGGGAGCTACCATGGAGACACACTCGGCGCGATGGACGCCTGCGAGGAGGGCGTGTATACGTGCGAGTGGCATAATGCAAAAGGCGTTTGGCTCGACCCACCTGCGGTAGCGATCCGCAAGGGACGCGTCGTTGTATCGATTCCTCCTGCTATGACTGCCGATGAGGATCTGTCGACGCACGTCACCATGGCGTCGCTGCAGGAGGTGTACGACGTCGAGGCGCGGCTGCAACATCCACTGGCAGGCATTTATAAGCGCTTCATCGAGCGATCCCTCGCGAAGCTCAAAGAGAATGGCGGACCGCAGCTCGCGGCGCTGGTGCTGGAGCCACTGGTGATGGGCGCAGGTGGCATGATCTTCGTCGATCCACTCTTCCAGCGCGTGCTTATCGACGTAGTTCGCGCGTCCGAGCCGGCTGCCAGTACAGAACCAGGATGGTCGGGTCTGCCTGTGATCTTCGATGAAGTGTTTATCGGACTATACCGCCTCGGTGTGCGCAGCGCGACGTCCATCCTAGGGGCACGTCCCGACATCTCCGTCAATGCCAAAATCCTGACGGGCGGACTGGTACCGCTTGCGGTCACGCTGGCGTCGGACTCGATCTTCCGCGCGTTCCTGAGCGAAAACAAGACGGACGCACTGCTACACGGACACAGCTACACGGCATATCCCGTGGCGTGCGAGGTGGCAAACGAGACTCTGGACATCATCGAGAGGATGGCCGCCAGTGAGCAGTGGGACGACGCGCGACAGCAGTGGGACGCCCCGACAACGCCGGAGGCACACGAAACGTCTGCATGGAGTTTCTGGGAGCCTGAATTCTTGCACAAGGTGTCCCAGCTAAACGCCGTCAACGAGGTGATGACTCTGGGCACAGTGTTGTCCATCAAGTTGGAAGACGAGGCAGGCGGTATGATCACTGCTTATGCACTGTGCACTGTAGTGAGATACTGAGTCTATGATCACAGGATACCAGTCTCTCTCCGCCCAAAAGCTCCTAGAGCCGATCAAAATTGCCGACGCTGAAGGCAGCGAGCTATCCGCAGCCCCTGGTGGCGCGCCCTTCGGGATTCACTTCCGGACGCTAGGCAATGTTGCGTACTTCATGCTGAGCCTCAACACACCTCGCTCGGTGGTACATTCAATGCAGGACAGGATATGGAAAACCCTTGCTCGGGCATAAATCATGGCCACACATATCTCGATCCTGCAGTATTGGATATCCAATGACTCCAACATAGGGAATTGTGCAGATCTAGTGCAGAACCTTAGAAACAAACTTCCTTGCTAGTAATACATTATCCATAACATATGTAGTACACGCACGTATGATACAGTCACCAAGACCAACGGCAAGAAGACCGTAGCTAACATCCCTGACAACAGATATTGAACATTATATTGCAGACTAATATGGTCTAACTTTTGCTTTGCTACTCCTTCCTCGTCGCGGAGGTGAGGGTGGCTCATCGTCTTCATCATCGCCATCTTCAGCACCTTGGACGTAGCCGACGCCCATAAAGACGGGGGTCCCAGCCGCACCTCCACCTTTCAAGAATCCCTTCTTAGTGCTTTTCGTACCTACGCCGGCCAGTTCCCCGCTATCCAGATCAGCTTGTGCATGCAGTGCACTATCCTCCTTCCAAAGGATATCGCCAGCCCGGCGGAGTTCTTCATCCAATGTACGCCGTCTGCGAAGCTGATTCGACACAGGCTGTTGGATTTGTGCCTCCAAGGAACTTTCTGTGGATGACACGTTGATAGTCCGGCCAGGTTTCGAAGGCGCCCTCGAAGGTGCTTTCTTCCCTGCTCTGATGGGCAGCCTCGATGGTAGAGGATCTGGACCCACTGGCACCACAAGAACGGCATTATCGGACAATGACGCTGGATCATGTCGCGCTGAGCTGTCCAGAGGTTGTATCTGGAGCTGCTTTGCACGCTTGCGGGCGGGCGGCACAATCCTGCGGGGCGCCTTATCAGGCAAAGGTGAACGGGGCGGACGATGCGCGAACACGTCCTTCTTCGGAGGTGTGTCTCCGCCTGTCCCCGGTGGATCGGGCGGTGGTGATCGCGAGGGTATAGGCTGCGAGTCTGGTTCGAGATCAACGTCGATGACTTCGCGAGCACTACAAAGCTTCTCCTGTTGGGACTGTGTAGGGAGAGCTGTCTCGGAATGGTGCTGCGCAGAATGAGGTGGTGTGGGGGGCAAGATCCGTTCTTCCGTATCGTGCTCGTTCTCGTTATCTGAACATAGAGATGGGGTAGTGATATCCGTCTCTGTGGTCGCGACTGACGGCCATGTGCGGGGCGGTAAATGAGCGGGCGGGGGAAATGATAATGATGAGGCGGATGAGACGGCTGTTTGCTGTGTGTCGTATGACGATTGTGAGGACGTAGAAGAGCCTGTGTCATTGGCAGGCACTGCAAACGTAGTGAGGCGGCGTTTTCCAGGAGCAGCGGATATGCTCTCGAGGGCATCACGCTTCCTTTTCTCTCCAATCCTGGCTTCGACCGCACTGAACGAGCGCTCGCCGTACACATAGGCACCATCCGCACTGCTGCGCGGTGGTGGAGGTGGTAGCATGGCTCCACTTCCGGTCGTACTGCTGACCTTGCGCAAACGCACGGTCTTCATTTCGCTCAAGAATGCGGCCATTTTGTCTGATGGGACGTTGACAGTCGGCTGGCCAGACCTACGCGTGCGACCCGCCATGTTGTTGATGGGTGCTTCGACAGGAGGGACTGTGGGTTTTAGATTGGCACGGACGGAAGCGAGGAACGAGTTGGCGTGCCGTGGTCCTCCTGGACGTCCTATTGAGGATATGCGAGGTCCAGTCGAGAAAGGTCTCGATATTGGGGGAGGCGGTGGAGGCGGCGGGGGTGGCATCTGAGTACTGGTGTTATTGCGCGTTGCAAGCTGTTCTCGGCACGTCAAAATTGAACGTTGATTATCAGCCACACAGAATAGACACACCTGCGCCCTCAGTCTGACAATCTCCTCCTCGAGCATTCGTATCCTCTGTTTGTCGCGCTCGCGCTCTTCGTCGTCGCTTCCAGGTTCGTTCCGCAGCTGTGCCTCGCGTGCAGCATGCAACTCGCGTTCCTTGCCACGCACCCGTATCTCACCAGACGTATCGTGCGCACGCTCCTTACCCTTACCCTTGCTTGTGGCCCAGGATGCACCCTCCACCTCAGTCTCGTCCGACTCGTCCCTAGCATCCTCCGCGTGCACGTTCCTTGCCTTCTCCTTCGTGTTACCGTCTCTCGAGCGGCTCTCGTCTCTTCTGTTTCTGCTCTTACTCCTGGCGTTCCTTTTTCTCGTTTTATCAGGGACGTCGGCATTCTCAGCCACGACCCGCCCCCTATCGGTCTCTGTATCATCTGAAGCCCGCTCATCCTGCTCGGACCTCGTCGTCTTCTCGCGTGTTGCTCGAGTTGCTCGGGGAATAGGACTGGGCGTGCGTAAGGGCACAGAGCGGCCTGCAAACGGAGCTACAGGGGGCGAAGACATCAGATCTGGCTGGAGCGACTCCGAGCGCGGGAAGAGCGAGCCAGGCATAGTTGCGGCGGCCCGACGCGACTGCAGGAGAGCAGGAAGCGGCGGGGGCGTCCGCGACGGCGAGCGGGAGCGCGAGCCTAGAATGAGACGCGTCAAGCATGCCTAGCATGTTGCGCAGGCGACGGGACGTACCTTCGTCGTTGCCTGCCTGCACACGTCCTCGCGCAGGCGTGGGGGAGGGCGACGTGCGTGCGGGGGGGATCCTCGACTTCTTGCTGCGGCGTGGGGGCGTCAAAGGCCCGCCCGACGCGCCGTCCGACTCACTTTCGTCGCGCGCAGGGCGGCGCCGACGTGGGCCGCCCTCCAAATCCTTCACGCCCTCAGCCATCCTCACGCGCTTGCGCCGCGGGGGCCCCTTCTGCACACCATCGAGTGTGACGCGCGATGTCGACGCCTGAGGGTGTGTCTGCACCTGCACGACCGGTCGAGCATCCGACCGCACTCAGTATTGCACGTGCATCGATCAGGGGTGCGCGAGGACTCACCGTGGCGTCGCCGCCGACCGCGGTCGTGACAAACGACTCAAGCTCGCGCGAGACGAAACCAAAGACATTAGAAAGGAAGCCGGCGGGAGGCGATGGGTCGCGCGGTTTGCTAGGGGCCATAGCAGCGGAGGGATGAAGGTCAAGTTCAAGCAGTGGATCAACATGTACAAATAAAGTCGCGCGCTTATTGTCCGCCGCCGTTCCTTGTTCTCCCTCAGGCTCATACACAAACTATTGTCGTGTATACGTGAAGGATAATCATTTTGAGCAGAGGCCAATACTAGTGTGTGGTGGTACACGCGATATACCAGGAAAGACATGATCATAAGTTAGCGTATAGTACTGCCATCCAAAGAAACGAAGCAACGTGAGGGTACATGAACATGAACGTCGTCGCGCATGGGCCGAGCCCGGATCGTCAGAGATTACTATACTACAACAAGGCAGATCTCTAGTCCGTGTGTGCATCGCAGTGATCATGAGTATCCACCGCCGTACGACGTATACTCTGGCGCGGGCGCGGGGTGCTGCGGTCCGGTTGAGATCGACGCGCGCACTGCGGCGTACGGATCTGCATACTGCATCGTGCGGCTCACCCGCGGACTCTCTGCGGGTGGAGGTGTGGCCGCAGGACCAGCTCCGAAGCCGCTCGGGGCAGGATCGGAGAACGCGCCGTACGCATCAATGCTCGGGCGTGGCATCGCAGGTGCAGCATATGAGGCAGTGGGTGGCGCATAACCAGTCGGTGTGTTGCTATCCTCGAACGGCGACTGCCCAGACTCGGCGTCGGAGACAGGCCGCTTGCCGTAGTATCCCGTCGTAGACTCATCATCGTCTTCGGCGTGCGTCTCAATCTCAGAGAAGTCGGTTGGATGTGTAAAGGGTTGGTCGCGCGGGCGCGAGGACTTGCCGTTCCGCCAATCAAGGATGTTCAGGATGAGCGATGCTAGCCAGAAAACTGACGGCGTGTCAGCAAAATATATCAGGTCACAAATTGGTCGGCTCACCGAAAGTCAACCAGAAGAATACACCCCCTGCCTTTTTCGTGCTGCACCAGCCAGACAAGTCGTTCCGGTACGTCTGTCCTTTGCTAGCATGCGGATCATTGTTCGCGTTCTTGCACCCAGGTTCCGTCCACGCGGAGATGGTAACGATAAAGCTGCTGAGAGGTGAGATACAGACAGTCGGAAAGCGTGACCACGCGACTCACGCGATAAGTAGACTGATGGCCGTTCCCGCGCCCACCATGATGAACCCGACGCGTACTTCGTTGAGAGCGCGCGCAAGCCGCGCGCCCTTGTTGTACTTGTCGTAGATCACAGGTACGAACAACAGAAACAGTGGAAAACAAATGCCCGTGACCGCAACGAACAGCGCAAACCCGGTCAGCCCCGCTGTGAGAACGTGACGTCAGCGGCGGCGACGACAATGAACCAACAGCAACACTCACACGGTCCGACGCCCCAGTGCGCTTGGAAGGCTGCGACGCTGGCGAAGCAGCACATTGCAAGGAAATTGAAGAACGCTTGCGATGCATGGAAGATGATGGCGGGCTTGGACACGATCATCTGTCAGTGCGACGACGCGTCAGTCGAGATGTCGGCAAGCGCAGAGAGCAAGGAAATATGAACCCAGATCCATAACGTAGACAGGAGTGGAATGAAGAGGAGGAATACCAGATAGCCTCCTGTCTCTGCAGACGGCGCCATCGACGCGAGAGTGTATGTTGAAAGAACATGAACATTACGTAACCCAATCCCGCACGGCGCGAAGAAGGCACGCTGCTGCAGCGCGCCTGCTGAAACGTCGGCGAAGGCTCCTCATTGCCAAAGCTCGCCGTTTGATAGTTTTGGCTCGTATGGCAAAGCCATATACCATGGGTCGGGACCAGAAAAAGGAAGGGTACGCACATCATCCTCGAAGGGCATCATTCCTGTGTTGCCAATGCCGCCTGTGGTGGACATTGGCATGGGAAGGGTGGATTTCTTCTCGGGAAGGACACGGTTGACTGCATCTTGTATGGAGTCGAGTAGCGGCATATTGCTTCAGCAAGGCGTGAGCGTGGTCGACGATCCGCAAGCAATGGGAAGAGATGATCGCGAAGACACAGTAGCGACGTTTTACGAGAATGTGGTGAGTATGGGAAGGTCGTAAGAGTGTTTAAGATATGCTCAGGGTTGGACTGCGGAGGCGATACAGTTGAACAGCCTCGGCGAGACGAGAGAGACGGCTGCCCAATGGGTAGAATCGCAAGCGGTGTTGGGCGGCGCTCGCGGGCTGCGCCATCCGCCCAAATGATTTCGTAAGCAATATCCGTCAAATGGCCACCCCGTCGCACAGCCAACGACTTTGCACCCTGATAGACTGCGCATAGTTCTTGTGCGTCATCAGTATTGTTACGATTTCACGGTGTCTTCGACTAGGCCAACGAGCTGTTATAAGCCCTACTTAGCCGATTCCAAGGAATAAGGGGACGAATCCACGTGATCAGGCGCGTCCCTCGATCGCCCGTCAAGTCGCGTCGCGATCGAGAGATCCTTGTTCGCGCTGCCACACTGTGACACGCGTCAACCTCGGCTAGTGCCGTCAGACAAAGGACTTGTATGGCTCTGAAGTATTCCTACGGGCGCTGCCACCTCTCGGCCTGGAAATTCCGCGATATGTAGTCGTTGAGCTTTACAAACAACTCGTCCAGGACCAAAAATACGATGCTGAGGTATCATGACGGTGGCTTGATCTTCCCGTGGACACAAATGACGACTCTGATTTACGCACGCCATTTCATCGTCGCGACCTCCATACACGATGCTGTATACCAGAAGCAGAGCCAGCGATGCCATGTACAATCGGCATAGGCTAGTCCTCGCTGCTGCTATGTACCTAGACCTCAGTTTCATTCTTACTTTGATCCCCCTCAAAGCCTTCGTTGTTTGCTCCATGAACCCAGAAAGGTTTGCGTCGCGATGCTTGATGAATTCTATGTGACCTCGTTGTTAATATCACATGAAACGAGCGATTGTGAACATCGCCTGAGCCAGTCCCCTTTTTGGAGGGTTACAAGTATCATATATGCGAGCAACACTGAGTAGTGTTTCGCGCCGGCAGGCAGTCGCTGGCAGCCAGCCAGACAACATAAACTTCAGTTCAAATAACGTTCAAACAACTTGGCGGTTTTCTTGAACACTTGCCTTACTTGGAATTCCGGGGAATGCCGATATGCTCGATCGCGGTGCGGTTGTGCGCCCTGTATCCTACTTACAACTTGAGGCCATTCGTGACCGCAGACTGCTTGCAACTACATATACTTCTGTCGACCAGAACCGCGAGGTCCTCAGTACACGGAATAAAAAACTAGCGGCGAATCAAACAGATCAAACACATACACTGCGCTAACGGGAGGGGAACTATGGAGATCTCAGTGCGTCTTTGAATTTTTCGAAAGGTACCAGCAACTCATCAGCACTCAGGTAGGGCTCGAATGCCCTGAACAAATCAATGCAGGGCTTATGGTCGACGCATCGTCGCTCGAAAATCAACTTGAATGCCCCGATATCTGCATCCGCGCCCGGCTTGCCTCCGTCCATTCCTATGACCGACCCGGTGGAACCAAATGCTCTTGTTGAGCAGCAAGAACCGGAGGCATCTAACTCTGCTACCGCACCTCAAGCTCAGGACATTGATCCACCAGTATCCGATGTCCGCACTAGTACAACGAGTGGCAAACGACGACTACGGCGTCAGGCGGGTGAGGAGAGCAATAAGCGAGCGAAGCTGTCCAATGCATCGGGCTCGACGGCGAAGGATTACTCGCCCCCTACGATGCGTCTCTCGGACCTGGGGGGTGTCGATGCGTGCATCGAGAAAATGCTCGAACTCGTCGCCATGCCGCTGTGCCATCCCGAAATTTACATACACACGGGAGTGCAGCCGCCACGGGGAGTATTGCTGCACGGGCCCCCTGGCTGTGGGAAGACACTCTTGGCGCATGCTATCGCAGGGGTATGTTGTCGTCTATTAGGATGTTGTGTAGGCACTGAAGTGTCGCAGGAACTTGGTGTACCGTTCATCAGTATCTCAGCGCCCTCTGTAGTTTCTGGTATGTCGGGCGAGTCCGAGAAAACTCTTCGGGACACTTTTGAGGAAGCGAAGGTCAGCATAGTCGTAGCACTTCGAGCGTTCCTTGTCCTTGACTTATGCTGTCGGGACAGCGAGTGGCTCCTTGTCTTCTTTTCATTGATGAGATTGATGCAATTACGCCCAAGCGCGAGAGTGCGCAGAGAGAAATGGAGCGCCGGATAGTTGCGCAATTTCTCACTTGTATGGATGGTGTGTAACTCGAACCACTGTTATCCAGTCAGCACCTGACATTGAGATTTTATAGACATGTCGTGGGATAAGACGGACAACAAGCCTATTGTCGTGATCGGTGCAACGAATCGACCTGACTCGCTTGATGCGGCTTTGCGTCGTGCAGGTCGTTTTGATCATGAGATAAGTATGGGTGTCCCAGACGACGATGCACGAGCCCAGTATGTCTTTACTGTGAAATATCGAGCTATTGCTCATGACTATATCAGAATCTTGCGCGTCCTTTGCTCCAAGCTGCGGCTGGAGGGAGAATTCGATTACATAGCCCTGGCGAAGGCGACACCAGGATATGTTGGGGCCGATCTAACAGCACTTACGGGAGCTGCTGGTATCATTGCTGTGAAGCGCATCTTCAAGCAGATATCGGAGGGGACGCTCATCCTCCCAGATATCGTCGATTCGCAAGCAAACGCCACCGATGCAGACGCGTCTATGCAGATTGACTCACCACAGCTTGCATCCATCCCTCTAGCGTCGCAGCTGTCTGCACCACAAAATGCGCCCAAGGCGGTACCATTCTCCACGGTAGACCTGTCCGCGCATACAGCTGCGAGCTCCATCGTTCACTTTCTCCGTGCTCATCCCGATCCTCTCACCGAGGCACAACTCGCCCCGCTCTGCATCACGCCAGCAGATTTCATACTCGCCTTGAAGCAGGTGCAGCCATCCTCCAAGCGCGAGGGCTTCGCAACTGTCCCGGACGTCACTTGGGCGGATATCGGAGCGCTTCATGGCACGCGCGAGGAGCTGCACATGGCAATCGTGCAGCCGATCAAGCGGCCGGAGCTGTTCAGTGCCGTTGGCATCGAGGCGGCGTGCGGCGTGCTGTTGTGGGGCCCACCTGGGTGCGGGAAGACGTTACTGGCGAAGGCTGTGGCGAACGAGTCGCGAGCCAACTTCATTAGCGTGAAGGGTCCTGAACTGCTGAACAAGGTTGGTCGTTGAGTCTCCCTCCCTTTCATTACTATGTTGATTGTAGGGTTTTCTCCACAGTATGTAGGCGAAAGTGAGAGAGCAGTCAGACAAGTGTTCTCTCGCGCTCGTGCTTCTGCACCGTGTGTAATATTCTTTGATGAGCTGGATGCACTCGTCCCTCGCCGCGATGATAACATGGTATGTGCCACACCAATGACATTTTCGCTGATGCTAACTCACGTACCCCTCTTAGTCCGAATCCTCCGCCCGCGTCGTCAACACCCTTCTGACCGAGCTAGATGGGCTTGACGCACGCAAGAGCGTTTATGTCATTGCAGCAACCAATCGCCCAGACATGATCGACCCGGCTATGTGCCGTCCAGGTCGACTTGATAAACTGCTGTACGTCGACCTGCCCAAGGCGAGCGAGCGCACAGAGATCGTGCGCACGATGACACGCAAGGTGCCCCTGGGTGATGCTGGTGATAGCGCGGCGAGAGCTAGGGCAGCTATCGAGACCCTTGTCCGGGAGAAATGCGACGGCTACAGCGGAGCGGACCTTGCAGCGCTAGTGCGAGAAGCAGGCGTTGTAGCGCTCAAGCGCACGTTGGGTACACTGGATGCCCTAGAGGAAAGTGGCATGGACGGCGGCCCGACGAAGGAGATCCGAGTCCAGGTGCTTGTCGACGACTTCTTCGCAGCATTGGAGAAGGTGCAGCCAAGCGTCTCACTCGCGCAGAGGCGGAAATACGAGGCGCTCCGCTCCAAGTTTTCTGGTCTGCCCGTCCGGGTAGGCAAGGAGGAGGACGAAAAGCGGGTTGAGGCGACTGTGCGATAGAGTTGCTGGAGTATATCCAAAAATATTGTACAGTAACCGTACAGTAACAGGCTTTCGAATGCTTTATCGTACATCTACCTTCATCGTTCTCCCACCTTCTTGACTCCTGCAATGACACGCTCGTTACGTCTCCAGAACTCAACGAGGACCTCGGCTAATCGCGTTGGGTCATCCTGGTATTTCATCCGTCAACTATCTAAATTCAGCGAGGCATTTTGCGTACCTCCTGCAACATGTGGCCTACGCCAGGAATTACGACCAGTTGGAACTTCCCCTGCATCTGACCAATCATCAGCTCCTTGTCAAGCCGCTCGGTGCCCGCGAGTACGAGCAGCCTTGCTGTACGAGCTGACAGGAACTTGCTGGACAAGCCAGTAAACCAACCTATTCATAGGTCAGATTAACGTCGCGGAAATGAGCAGTGACATACTAGTCCAGTATGGCGCAGTAAGTCTCAACGGTGCCTGCCACACATGCGCTGGGGTGCCTACTGGAGCATCGTCTGGGGCGGGCTTGATTATCGCAGGGACGGACACGCGTGCGGAGTGTGGATTACGGATTGCATTCGTCTTCACACTGTTTGGGGCCGTGACAGGCATTAAAAAGGACGCTGTTGAGATAATACTACTCACTGCCACTCGATCGCTGCTTCCTGGCTGTCAAATCCTTCTGGACGTACATCAAGCAGATTGTTCATCATAGGAAGAGCCTCAAGAGTGAATTCTGTAGTCCGTCCAACGTACACGTCTAGTCCAATGATATTTGAGTGTTTCGAAGTTCACTAACCTTCAACGATGTCGAGAACTGCGACACCAGTAATCTTGTACTTCTGCTCTTGAAGAAGTGTGCATGCACGGACAATGACTGAGCCGCCGAGACTATGTCCAGCTAGCTGTTCCAGGTCACGGCCCGCTGAGAAACTGTACCGGATATATGCTTACCAGCAAAGTCGGCGCCGTGGTGGGGTCTGGAAAGATTGCCTCGATCGTGTTGACGAAATCTGCAGTCAACGTCTCGATGGCGAAGTCCTCTTCAGCCGATCCGGACTGGTTCGTGCGCACTGTCCTCCCTATAGCCATCATCAGCCCGCCGTCTGGGCTCGCATCTTGATATACTCACCATGTCCCCGACAGTCCAGCGCGAGGACACCGCACTCTCCACGACTCATGTCGGTCACCTCCTTCGCGACGCATGCGAACGTGAGTGCCGACTGGCCCGCACCGTGGTGGCACACCATGACCGTGCCATCTGCGAAGCGCGGCGGGGTATAGTACGCACGGACGTCCAGCCCAGAGGCGGGCACGGCAACCTGGGTAGCCTGCTCGAAGAAGGACGCAGCAGAGATGGGCGCAAAATCCACGTTTGGAGTACGCTTGCGGGCGGACCGCGGGGCGCGTGAGGGCCTTCGAGAAGGTTAATATGGTTCAGACTCGGAGGGGAGGGGGAAATACAAGACTAGTGAAAGGATTTAAGCTCTCCAGGTCTCTTGGTGAAGAGATCATGCTGCATTCGTGGTAAATGCGCCATTGGACATGCTCTCCCAATGAGCTTGCCCATTAGAAGATGCCCAACGGGAAAATAGTCTTGCACCCAAGAGGTGCGCCAACAAGTCACTATGATCCCATGCCCCCTCTGCGCAGACTTAAGATTAAACTTGCATTGGTGCAGGCCCTATGCCGGAGGGCAGAGATCCTAGAGAATCGGCTGCTTCTGCCTCTTCGTCGTCATCATCTGGCTCTGGCGGTAACATAGGTAGCTTCGAGATGCGAGCTTGTAATGCCGAGCGATAAAGGTCAGACATAGTTCCACAGAGGACCGCTTAAGATGGTGGTTAGATGAAAGCAAGATGTCTCAGCCACAATTGTCCGCCACCACCAACATCTGCTCGTCCCGTACTTGAACTGAACCATTGTTCCGGATCTGCAGAGGGTGCATGAAGGCCACAGAACAGGGTCATGGTCGGCTTCCAGCCCCGGTGGCTCAGATATGGACGCAACGCAAAAAAATAACCACTCGTCATTCCTCATGATAACCAGATACACAGAAAATAAGCTTGGATCTATGGTACGTTACTGTAAATGATATAACATCGATGCGCAGGACTTGCAGAACAGTCAAACCAAATGAGGATTCGAGGACCTTTCGAGACGGATGCAGGAGGGTTGCGCCGAGTCACAGTTCATGAAGGATGTGCGTGACAGTCAGTAGAAATGTATGCAGGCTGGACTGAGGAATGGCGTAGAGAGAATCGGCCGGGTAGATGAGGATTGCGGTTGGGGGCATCGACGGCTCGTATGACGTAAGTATCGTACATCGATGAGCAGATATACCGGGGATATGTCGAGTGACGCTTAAAAAGCCGGAGCACTTCGAGAAAACCGTCATGGGGTTCATGCATCGGTCAGCCAGCGTCGGAGGCCGTCGGCGATACTGTAACTTTGCACTCTCGATGTAGGTCTCCGTGGGAGACCTGGACAGAGAGGCTGCGAACTCGTATGAGTATGGGTGTAGGGGAAGGATACTGGGAATCGAGGAAGTTCATCGGCAGTTATTGGCGGGAGCAAGACTCCTGCTATGCGTGCGGTGTCGGCTGTTGGACAGGCATCTCTCGCGCTTGTCCATTGATGTCCTGGGTGCTGATGATGAGAACTCATCAATGCCAATGAAGAGGCTAGGTAAACACACCTTGCGCTGCTTTTTCAGCGGCCGGGGTCGCACACCTGCATTGCCTGCCTTCGCGCCAGCCACCATCGGCGTTGCATTCCCGTTCCCATTAGCACTATGTCCGTTGGCGCCATATGTCATGCCCATTGGCACTGCTGTGCCATTCACGCCCTGCACTGCATCACTGGAGTGCTCTCGCTCCCGTTTGACGCCCCGCTTCGGTGCGGCCGGATCGATGATCGCCTGTGAGGGTGTCGGCGTACTTCGTCCGGGCGTGAACGCAACAGTCGCCGCTGGCGTAGGCATACTGACGCTCGCGCTCGGAGTGGGCATTGACTGCGGCGTGCCGATCCCGACGGGTGTCCGCCCGCGCGGCTGACTAGGGTTGACATTCTGCGGCGGTATTGTGGTCGCTGCAGGGCGCATGGGTACTACACCAGGCTTGGGTGTACCAGTGCGCGTCGAGGCTGGCGTCGACATCGTAGGATGGGCGGGTATGCCCGGTGCCAGTGGTATGGTTTGTCCTTGCGCCTTTGCAAGCTTCTTGAGTTCTTTCTGAAGTCGTTATACGCATGAAGACGAGCTGGAATCGTAGAGGGGGCGAATAGACTCACCCGCTTCTTGCGGTCTTCACGAGCTTGCGGAGACTCTGCCACAAGCGCGTTGATGTTCCACTGAACACAGCGTCAGCTCGGAGCCAGTACACATGCGTGAAGTGCAGCCATACGCCTTTCAAACCCTCTAGGCTGACAGAGAAGGCCTCGCGCTGTGTCCGCAGGTCGAATGGCGTTATGGCAATCTTCTGCTTGGGCGGTATTTGCATCATCATCGTCAGATAGTCAACGTCGTCTTTCTTCATGGAGTGTTTTCCTGGTACAGCGGACAGTAGAAGAGTAACGATCAATAATTGAGCGATGGGGCATGATACCTGTGCGTCAGAAATCACGCACCTGGGATGCCCTTAATGAGACTCCTGTATGTGTTCTTCCACTTCTTCTCTCCCTTTCCCACCTCCTCCTCCCCATCCGCACCCGCTCCTGGCGTGGCTCCTGGGGGTGGTGACGCCTCCTTCTCCTTGCCCTTGCCCTTGTCCGCCACATTGGGGATCGAAGGCTGGCCGACAGGCGGGGCGTACGGTCGGACGTACTTGTTGTACGCAGGGAGAAGCTGAAAGCGCGATATGAGGTCCTGCGTGCTGGCGAGGAGGGGGCGCTGAGGTGGGCCTGGAGGCAAACATGACACGATAGACAAGGTTAGTTTCGCAGGCACATGGAGAACGTTTGGCAGAGACCTGGTGGCAGGAGGTACATGGGCGGAAGCTCTGGAGTCGAAGAGGGCCCTGCGAGTGCATTTGTGGGTTGTAGTGTGAATTTTGGTGGCTGCTGGTCGTCGTCGACGTCCATGTCGGGGATGGCGACAAGAGGCAAGACGGCGGTGGCGCCTCTCGCGCCCCGGTCACGGTTGGCCGCGTTAGATAATTCAAAGTCCGAAATTAGCACAGGTCTTTCGGAGTTTATAGGCAAGGAACTATTAGGCATAGATATCACTTGTACTGCCTCTTATTGATATCATCCTATTTGTCTCCAACCGACTGCAAGTGTTTCTACTCTTGCTCTTCCCGCCTTCCTCGATTCTGTAAGGCTAAACCTCTGCTCTCGAGTTTTCCGTGGCCCGGACATCCTCCGTGAGTTAATAGTGTTCGGTGGCGGTTATCTTATCAAATAACGGAACGACGGGCCAGGCTGACGAGTCAATTGATTAGTGCCGCGGCGGGGAAGCCACGCTGTACTAGTACTAGTACTTTGCCGCATGTTATCCACAACTCTCCCCACTCTCTTTCAGTCATGGAGGACGACTCTGTTTTCCAGTCGACTGACCCTATAGGATCCTCTACTGTCTCTGTTTACACCTCTGTCTCGCGAGCCAGGCTACCAACCGACGAGAACGCTGGGCGCGCCATGTCTCACGCCCATTCCATCATAGACTCCCGTCAAACTGGTGGCGATGAGGCGACACCTCTGTTGAACGGAGGACAGAAGCGGGTGAAGAAGAAATGGTATCGTGCAAGGCCACTTTGGTAAGTGCAGCACGCATGACTCTACTTCCAGGTGTCCCCGGGCTCGTGTGACTAGGCAATTCAGCTCTGGATACACTACTGTCTGGGCGCTGCGCCCTGAGGGAGTGGATGAAACGCATACAAGGACACACCATCGCTATGCGACCCAGTATTCCTGAGCTGACCAACGGATCCATTCGGCTGCCGACGCGGCGATGGTACTCAATATCATCACGCGCCGAAAGGCAATGAACAAGTCGTTGGGTTTATTTCAAGTGTCGCGGACACATTATAGAACCGTGTGTGATGACACGCCACACACTGTCAAGAGAGACATGATATGCTCCGACAGAATGAGGTGCGAGGTGCTATACCAGTTCTTCAGCTGAGGATAAACCGCAGTTGAAGGGGTTGTCCCACTGTACCTATGCCGTGTACGTGTACGTCCATGTGTTGCGCCGAAGCCATGCGGTCCTTTCGCCAAGTCTGCTGTGGACGGCGATAACTGAATGACTGTTAAGACAAGTTCGTATATATCCAAAGTGTGGATACGTCTGACAACTCGCATAATCTACATCGGGAGTGTCAGCTGCAGGCGTGCCTTTCGGACGTAGCTCATAATTGCACATGACGCATCTACATGGCAGGCAAACTTCAGTCTGCCATATACACATGATGATATATCTCACTGTTCTGTCGTCTGCACATTTTACGGTCCTCACTGATGGACAGAGCATGTCATCCTGCTATCATTTGGAGCCTAATACTGACGCTTTCAATCCGCTTTCAGGCTGGTGCCTTTCTCCGTGACTGCCTCAATTGTCGTAAGTACGCGCACTCACATTTGTCTCTCTTTGGTATTTACTTTCAACCTATAGCGTGGAATGACTCTCGGTCCTCGAGTCGAGATCTTTACCCAACTATCATGCAATGCTATTTATGGTCATGATGTGTACGACCATACATCGGCCAATATCACTTTCCTTGGTTCAGACACATTCCATGCCCCTCTTCACATCGACCCTACAGGGTCATATTTGCATAGACCGTACCTAGACACATCTAGATCATCAGACGAGCTCCCACTCACTTTCACTGCCCAAGATATGCCCGACGATGACGATGGCGATGACGACGGCGAACCTGACCCGCGCATCATACCGTCCAAGCGGTGCTTACAGGATCCTGCCGTACAGTCGGGTGCAGCACGATTGCAGACAATCATGACCTTCACAATGGGCGTGCTTTCTGCGTTAACCACCGGCTGGTGGGGCCATTTCGGTGAACTGCACGGTCGCACTCGGGTCCTCGCTGCGGCTACAATGGGTCTTTTCTTGACGTTTGTACACTTTTGAGCTTGTGTTGATACTGGCTGACGGACGATATTGCAGGGATTTGACCTTTATCCTCGTCTCTACACCACACAGCATTTGGGCATCGCACGGACATAAACTGCTGATCATATCGCCCATGGTCGAAGGGCTGCTGGGCGGCTGGCAGACGCTGCAGGCGGCAATAAACGCCTACGTCTCGGACTGCACTTCGGACGGATCGCGCGCGCAGATTTTCTCACGCTTTACCGGGGTATCGTTCTTTGGCCTGTCAATTGGTCCAGCGATTGGCGCGTTCCTCATTAGACATCCTATCTTCTCGTCTCCCGCGCACTCAAGCGCCCACGGGCCCGCACAGACGGTCACATCGGTGTTCTACGTGAGCGCGGCCTGCTCACTGGTCAACGTACTTCTCGCACTGTTCGTCTTCCCCGAGCCGCCGAAGAAGAAGGCTAAGCCGGGCCAGGAGGTACAGACAGTCTCTGATGCGGAAGGCTCGACGCCGACATCGGGAGGCAAGCATGGCTTCATGGCAGGATTCTTGGGTCCTTTTGCATTGCTAGCACCACGCAAGGTCCAACTGCCCGGTGGCGGTACCCGACGGGACTATAGACTCACATTGATGGCGCTTGCATTGCTGGTCTATGCCCTCTCGACTGTAAGCAGGTCTTGGCACTGATGCTGGTGCTTCCCGACCTCACTATTTGTTTGCAGGGTATCTTCCAGCTCAAGTATCTGTATGCAGAGCACATGTATGGCTGGGGTGCCGAGCAGGTGCGCCCGGCTATGATTGTTTAGACACCTTGCTGATACACCTCTCAGCTGAGCTACTACATCTCGGCCATGGGTGCTGCACGAACGTTGTATCTGCTTGTTCTGATGCCTAGTCAGTGATCACGATACTGCTGGACGGCATGTTCTGACGGCGTTTCAGTTATCATTTTGACTTTCAAGCCGAAGCCTCCGCCGGGCACCGCTACCGCGGTGGCCGCCATACCGGGCAAGAAGCCACCCCAGACGCCAGCACAGATCGCTGCTGAGATGCGCTTCGATTTCAACCTGCTTCGCGCCTCACTTACGGTGGACCTGCTTTCGCATATTCTCGTTGCGCTGTCGGCGCCAGACTCCAGCGCGGCTATGTTTACCATCTTCACCTCGCTGAGCAGCTTTGGTGCGGGCGTGGATCCGGCACTGCAGAGCCTCGCGCTGTGCATCATGCAGATGAATGGCGAGGACAACCGCGGAAAGCTCTTCGGCATGTTCGCGATGCTCCGCACAACTGGGCAGATGATTATTGGGGTACGCGCCGCTAATAGTATGCCACTTGGTGAACGAGACTAATCTGCTGCCCTTCCAGCCGCTGCTTTTCGGTGTTGTATACAGCGCAACCGTCGCGCAGTTTCCGAAGGCCATCTTCGTCGCCGCGGGCAGCTTTGCGTTCGTCGCATTCGCACTCCTGTGCATGGTTCGGCCGGACGTGGGCACCAAAACACGCCGCAAGCTCTCAAGGCGACGCGATGACAGCGAGATCGAACGCGGGCGGTCGCGTGTCAGCAAGGATATCAACAAGTCGAGCGTGAACGTCGCTGTTGTACCCGTAGCAAGCGGCTCTGGCTCCAGTTCTGGCTCTGGCTCGCGGGCCTAGATTTGATTGTGTAAAGTATCGGAGCTGGTTTCGTCGATGATGATTCTCACATGCTATCCCCTTTTACTGCTAATCCTACTATTGTATGTATATATAGAATATCTACGTACGGTCTGCATTCAATCACATTACTGTCCTTTATATTACCTGTCTTAACATGGAGAAGTGGCCGGGTTGCCTCATGAAGTTCCCCGTGTGATACAGAAACATGTCCGCGTGAATTTCAATGTCAGTATGTACGGTACTCACGCCCTATGTACTGGCTCCTTTGATCCACGCCTTCTATATCCGGGGACGTGACCAACTGTGGAGAGCAGCCAACGTCGTTCAACCACGTTTGAACACGTTCTGGCACCCATTTACCATGACAGTCCACGTCAGTCCACGCCGTGCTACGGTGCATTGTACATTGCTGCACACGAACAAAAAAGCCAACCAAGTCTCTGCTCCGTTGATCCAGAACCAGACTCCGACTTCTCTCTGGACGAGGTTGTGGCCCCAAGCCGCTCGTTGCTACACGACTCCTCCACTCTACTCAGCACATGTCTAAAGTCGCGCTCGACCGAATCTCGTCACTGACGTTCTACAAGAACGCGCTTACCCGTTCGCGCCGCGGGCAGCCTATCTCGCAGCTCGTATGCGTTGGGAAACCATGCAACCTGTACCAGCCGGAGGCCGTGCGGTGCACCAACGCCGGTGGGTCAGGCACGGACGTGGACTGGAAGGTGCGTTTGCGGCTGCGGCAACGGTTGTCACGATCCTCTCATCGCATTTACGGGATAGTGTGAGGCCGACCTGCCGGAGGCGCTGCGATTTGGTCAGGTCGAGGTGTCCTGCGAGGGGTGGAACAAGCCTGGAGATCCGTATGTCCTGAAGGGTGCGTCTTGGTACTGGTCGTGCCGTCGCGATGGGGCTGACTGGGCTCTTCCAAGGCTCATGCTCCCTCGAATACAGCCTCGTGCGGGTCCCGGACGCCCTGCGTCGGCCTGACGAGCCCCGGTTCCCGTCACGGATATCCAATTGGTTCGAAGGCAAGTATATATCTCCTCTTCTGTGTGGACGTAATGTGACCGGAGGACGCGCAGCTGCCTACAAGAACCCGTCCGCCATATTCTTCTACATGATTTGGACAGCCTGCCTCCTCTTCATCTTGTACAGCTTCCTCAAGTCATGCTGGGGGAGCCGCGCCGGCTCAAGCACCTCGGGAGGGACAAGACCTCGCCCATCTGGTGGCGGCCCTCGCTCTGGCTGGTTCTCCGGCTCAACAAACCGTCCGGGCCACAACAACGATCCCCCACCACCATACACGAAATATCCGGCCTCATCCGCCACGAATGCGCAGGCCGGCTGGCGACCGGGCTTCTGGACAGGAGCTGCTCTAGGCTGGCTCGGGAACCATGTAGCGAATCGCGCCCAGCGGGAGCCTGCACGAGCGTATCCGGCGGCGTATGACTGGGAGCACGATCGGATGTTCCGCTCGTCTCCAGCAGCTGGCGGCATATCGTCTATGTGGGGATCAACGAGACGTTCTGCGTTTACGTCCAGTTCGGACGACCGAGGAGAGGGGTCGTCGAACCTAGGAGCGACGAGGCGAAGTACTGGCCTCGGAGGCTCGAATGTAAGATGAGATAGTGTACCTCCGTTGTGTGCACCTTTCAACTGTACAGCCTCTATCTGACTGGCATTCCAATCGGAGTGTTGGATCACAGTGATACACACACTGGCAGACTGCGAGCACTTTGGATGCATTTCAGTCGCAAGGAACATCTACATGCATGTGTCGAGTGGTGTAATAATTATGTCGATTCCTATCCTGATTGCGACATGCTTGCCGGTGTCTCTTAGCAAGCAGGCATTGCAGACGCTTAATCCATGTAATGAGACTTAGATGTAAGGCCCCCGCTCAACGTCATAAATATGCCGCTATATACTGCTATGCCAGTATGTTCAATTATTCGCTACAGAGACCGCTGTTGCAAGATGAAGAATTACTTCGTTGCTCCTGCAAGCCTGATAGTAATCATGGTGGCAGGCCGAGATTCAGATCGAGGAGCATTAGTCACATGCCTTGACTCGAGTATGTAAGTCGATCGGTTCCTCCTTCCCGCTTCCACACCCGCCTCGCCGCAATTCATCTCGGGCCATGCAGCACAGTCCGCGCAGCAGTCAACTGGATATTATTATATAAAAATGAGCATTTCGGACTGCGTGAGGTACATTATCTTCTCTGCGTCTTCCATCGTGAATGTCTGCTCAAGGCCCGGTGATTGTCAGACAGCTCCGGCGACACGCGCGTCATAGTGCGGACAAGTTAGATGGCGGGCACCAGGAGTTTACGGTGTGTGCGGCGGAATTGTCACTGTTATTTCGCGTGCTAAACATGTTGTGCATGTCGTACACAGTTCCGAGTGGCTTTCTTCGGCCTGCTCATAGGATGTCTCTTATGCTTCACGAATCTCTATTTCGGCCTGCAGACAGGATGGATTAGCATGTCAGTATCGCTTTGACCTGTGGAGTATGCGTGAGAAGCTAACATCTTGCTGTATCAAGGATGTCATTACAATCAGCCTTGATTGGCTATCTACTGTCCAAATTCTTCCCCACACCGATGTCTCCTCAAGAGAATGTGGTTCTCCAAACAATCGCTGTAGCCACAGGGACTGTGAGTTTTAATCCACCTGGCACACTCGTGAATGACGCAGACAAACATCTCGATAGATGCCGCTAGCAGCGGGTTTCGTTGGTATTCTGCCTGCACTTGGGCTCCTCGACGAGGAACGAGATGGCGTACCACCGTTACATCTGTCATGGTTGGGCGCGGTAGGGTGGTCTTGTGCCGTTGCATTTTTTGGGTATGCTTATTCCTCCAAACATAATATCACCACATTAAAGTGAGACCCTGCAGAGTCTTCCTGTCTCCCCCCATTCGTAAACAGGTGGTAAGCATCTCTATCGATCGCGTACAGCCAGATAATCATCGTCCACATCTTTAAAGATCATTCAAGAGCAGTTGGCGTTCCCCTCAGGAACAGCTACCGCCCAGCTTATTTCTGTCCTACATCGAATACCGCCACCCGACACCGTCGTGCGCCAGCGGCACGGATATCGTGAACTCGAGACTGAGGAACCCCAGAGTATACCCACAGCTGAATTAGTAGCGGAGCACGTCGGTGCTGTCGACGTCGAGGAGCCCGAGGTTGTCGTGCAAGAAGGATGGGGCGCACTGATCTGGAGTTTTGGCGCATCAGGCGCGATGACAGTGAGGTTTTACTCAACACGAAACCTAAGCAAATTCCTGAAGCTTGTGCAGCTTGCAGCATATTTCTTCCCGGTCGTGTTCTCCATTCCCTTGTTCGGCAACTATCTAGCCAGCGAGTGGCTATGGACCTTCACTCCCAGTCTCTCGTATATAGGACAGGGTAGGTTGAGCGACTGTTTGCTGGCTTTTTTCTGACTCAGAGTAGGAATCATCATGGGCTTCCCAACTACCCTGAGCATGAATCTCGTATGTCGCTTGTTTGACTTGCCGCGTATATACTAACCTCAATCCAGGGGATGCTCGTCGGTTGGGCTATACTCTCCCCGGTTGCTAAACACGCCGGCTGGGCCCCCGGCCCCGTCGGCGACATGACCACTGGCGCACGCGGCTGGATCCTCTGGGTCTCGCTCGCGATCATGTGCTCAGACAGCCTTGTGTCGCTGGTTCCCGTCGTCGCGGAGATAGCACATAAGAAGCTCTGGCGCGGCGCGATCAAGCTCGGCGACATCGACGCGGAGCCCACGGAGCAAGAGGAGAAGGAGGTAGAGACGGCCGACCGGCTCGTGCCGACGCGCTGGGTCATTTGGGGCCTCGCAGGCAGCATCGTCGGTGGTACACTGCTCGTGTGGCTCGTGTTTGGCAACGAGGGCATCAAGCCGTGGGCGACGCTCATTGGCTTTGTGATGGGCGGGCTGCTCAGCGTACTCGGGTTTGCGATTGATTCTGTCCTTTGCGGCCGGTACCGTGCTGATTGTCCGTGATTGCAGGGTGCGGGCGCTGGGAGAAACGGACTTGAACCCAGTCAGCGGACTGGGTAAGATCAGCCAGCTCTTCTTCGCGTGGATTCAGCCCGGGAATATCGTCGCGAACATCATCGCCGGCGGCGTTGCCGAGGCCGGTGCCCAGCAGTACGCCCGACTCTTTGTTTCAAGTGTCCTTGCTGAGCATATTATTCATCAGAGCGGGCGATCTGATGCAGGACCTGAAGACGGGGCACCTCATCCACGCGTCGCCTCGAGCGCAGTTCTTCGGGCAGCTCATTGGCTCGTGTCTCTCGATAATTGTGACGACAACCGCATACACGCTATACAACCGCGCCTACGAGATACCAGGGCCGTCTTTCCCGGCACCTACTGCTTACGTCTGGCTAGGGCTCGCCCGCCTGCTTCGTGCGTATTCCCTGCCTACCTGACAAATCGCGTCCTCAGCTCGTGGTGTACAGGTGATGGAGAACTGCCGAACAAGAGCGGCGAGTTCATGCTCGCATTCGCTGTACTCTTCGGCGCTGTCGCTGCGTTCAAGGCATACGCACAGCGGCGCGGCCTGCGGCACGTGAAATGGATCCCGTCAGGTGTCGCGTTCGCGATCGGCTTCCTGAACACGCCGTCGTTCTCACTCGCGCGGCTCATTGGTGGCATCGTCGAGCACGTATATTACACGCGCGTGGGGCGCGAGCGCGGCGGGATCCGTCTGATCATTATTGCTAGTGGGTTTGTGCTGGGCGAGGGCGTTGTGAGCATCGTTGCGCTCGTGCTCCGGACATGGGGTATCGGCGTCGCGAGTTGCTGGGGATGCGGGCACGATATGTGTGGTGGCTGCCCGGCGTGACGAATCGGTGAGCCCCGATTCTTGTTCAGCACGGATGATCGAGTGACGTTAAATTTGTGCTCGCCTTGTGTAATGCTACTGGCGATTTCCCTCGAACATTTCACCACATAATCAGTGATAGATGTTACTGTAGAGCTTTTTTTGTGGATTATGTATCACCCGAATTATCCTTCGGATCCCCACTGTGTCGACTCCGCAAGACTAGGCCATGCAATATGGGCCATCGGAAAAAGATACTCACCCCTATAAGCAGTTGTTTCATTAGCAATATGTTGTGGATGAAGTGGATCTTAGATCACGATAGCTTCACCGAGCGTGTCGCATGCCATCAAGGGCGTTGGTCGTAATCGCCTGAGTGTTCTCTGTGAGTGGCAAAGATTCATGATACTTACTTCCGAGATTAATGAGATTAATCACTACTATGGTGAACTCGGAATCACCATCGACATCTGTCTGACGAGCGATAAGGTGTCAGATTTCTCTTACATAATGATGTAAAGAGTAATACATGGTGTATCCGCCACGGGATTGAAGATGGAGAGTCACGGTGTCGAACAGCCAGAATTAGTGCTGCTACAGAGGCCGCCTTGGGTCGCCCAACGCAATGGAGAAGGGCGACGTTAAAAAGCAAGGGAAATCATCGGGCACCCCGGGCATGTGCGGGCCCCATGAGAAGTCCAGAACGCCCGCCTACCTCTCGAACAATTGAGTCCAAGTGATATTTTTATCAGGCCACGTAAAGAGTAGTCGTGTTCGCATACCGACTCCGATGAGAGTCTGTGCTGCAGATATCAGATTACGATTAGCATGCACATACTTTGAACACGACGATAGTGCGCGCACCGGGTGACTAATGTGGCCCATACAGCAGGTACAGGCTTAATGAGGGTAGAGCCTGAGTAGTACAATTCCAATCAGGTCCAAGACAGTCTCTGACCCTGTGCCACCTACGTTGAATCTAACCATTGTGATCTCTGATCGCACCACACATGTACTACTCATTGTCCTTTCCACTATTCTATCTTTTTGCCTTCCAAACTCCCGGTAAGGCCAGAAGTACCCAAGGATAGATTTCCGTGACTGGTATGCTGACGGAGCGACAAAACCAATCCAGTGGTGACTTCCATAATCTCTGGAGTCGTGGAGACGCGCGTTATGATACAGTGTCTGCAGTCATCGCCGAACCGTTAAGCCACACCTCAGGTACGCTTGGCTCGCTCGGGACTACGCTTTCCATTACCGGACCTTCGTGAGTGACCTAGGTCCAGTCAGAACCATTATCCCGGTTTCAACCGCGTACACCCCTTTGCATACACGCAAAATAGGGGTGAATCCCAACTTTCAGCACCCACAATCAGGTCCCTTTCCGCATTGAGTCCAGAGGCCTCTGTATCTATGACAGAATCTTTCACGGGTCGGCCACAATCATTCCAGCCACCACTCCCATTCGAACTATTAGAGACAATAGTCGAAGACGCTTGGCTGACCTGCACCGGTTCGGCTGACCGCTGGGAACTCTTCGACGCCTTGCATCGCGTCGACCCGACTTGGGCGGAACTCGCAGACGTCGTCGCATCTCGTATCGTATTGCTGGAGTGCTCTTTCGACATCGCGCGCTATAATGCCCTCACGATCGCTGACGGTTCTATGTGGGAACATGGGTTCGCATCGCGCTCTTGCCTCCAAGCCGCGAGCCGTTCTCACCTGCGATACGCCTTGGTGCCAGAGTTCTCCATCTTTGGCGACTGCAACTCGTGGTCCGAACACTTCCAGCGGCTCCGCGTCTTCGTCCCACACTGTTATTCCGCAGAGCTCATCTTCAAGAAGGATACAAGTGACCTCCACAAAGAGGACGGAAAATGGGAGGCGATGTTCACCTTCCTGGCAACTCTCCCAGAACTCCGCCACCTTCACCTCCGGCCCGAGGTAGAAAGCGATGCATTCCTGCCGCGGACACACATTCCTCAAGTGACGCACCTACGCCTCTCCACGCTCAAGGCGTGCCGTTGTGAGGGATGGGAGAGAGAGCGCTGTCTCTTCCGTAACATCCTCATGCGCATGCCCGCAGTACGACATATCCGCCTCGAGGGGCCGACGTTTCTCAGACGCTTTACCCCGTGTCGCACGCCACTAGAGTCGCTCACGCTCGATGCACCACCCATGCAAGCCATAGCGCGCCGTGAACCATACAGCTCGGTAATGGAGTACAACATTACGGCTGCCTTGAACAGAGGCCTGATGCGCCGTGACAAGAAGGATTGGGGAAAGTCACCGCGGTGCATCATAGTCAATACGGGTGTGCAACTGCCGTTAGGATGGGAGCATGCCCAGGCAGCGTGTGTTGCCCATGGGGTTACCCTAGAGAGGAGATGCGTATGGATGAAGCCTGTGAAACGCGAGACGGTAGTTGAACTTGACGAATCCCAGGAAAAGCACAGATCGCGGATGAAGCCCGAACCACATATGGAGCCTGGGCTGCAGACTTGAGTTTTTGGCAACCAGCGATGTATTACATGATCTACGAGTGATATATGGTCCTTTTACCACCCGAAACGTTGCGTCAGAATAAAGCAAGGGAGGCATGCATAAGAAACCAGACTTTGAAACAATAACTTCCTGTGTTGGCATCACAGCTTGAACACTCGATCACGTGCATTATGCTTATCGCGTTATGGGCGCCCGTTGGTCCGTGTCTTCCGCGCTGAAGGTGTCCGCCGCGGAATGGATCTGTATTGTTTTCACGATATAGTTGACCCTTTCGGACGGCTAGTCATATTGAGAATAACCCTCCCTCAGCAATGTCCGAACCACCGTACTCTGCCTTCTTCTATGGCACACTGTTGCACCCTGCTATCCTTCGACGCGTTATCGGACACGACGGGCAGCATCTGCAGATCTGTCCTGCTCTGTTGTTGGTAAGCCATTTGGCTTATAAGGACGAACTATTACATATATCGTGTATGTACAATATGGCATATGATAGCTGGCGCGATTTCTATTGAATGGAGTCCAGATTGGGACCCTCACGCGCTTTGTTGGTCCGCAAACGCTTGAGAATCGCTGACGGATTTTCACAGGAACATACCAGGCATCAGGTCAAGGTGATGACACGATCACCGATGATATTAGACCCGATGCATTAAAACACTACAACTCTTCAGTGCGCGGACTATCCGGCGGTGCTTCCCTGGCACAAAAACCAAGAACTACTTTCCAGCGCAGGGGCGTCTGTCGAGCTACCCCCAGAATCGCGCACTGTGCGTGGTACCCTGGTCACAGGCCTGAGCACAGCGGACATCGCGCTCCTGGACATCTTCGAAGGCAACGTACGTTCGCGGTCATTCGAGCTGTACGACATGCCTGTATTGACTTTCAGGAGTACACCCGCGAACGGGTCAGCGTACATCCCCTCGGGCCCTTCACTGACCTCTCCGCCTCTGTGCCCGATTCCGATATCGCCCCTGCTGCGCCGGCGCCTCCGTCGCTCGATACGCTCGCCCCGCCACTTCCCGCACACACGTACATCTGGGGTGCACCTCTCGATCAACTGTCCCCTGAGGTGTGGGACTACGCTGACTTCGTGCGCAAGAATGCATGGAAGTGGGTCGGCGACGCGGCGAGGAACAACGCGGACTATCTAGAGGTGGATCGCCGAAGGGCCATGAATGGTGATACCCTGCGGCAGGAGATCATAGATGTAGGTGGCGATGATACAAACGCCAAGGCTGTGGTGGAGGTTGTGGAAACGTAGTATGATCATGGGGAAGGCATGAACGCAATATAAGAGACCCTGATGTACAACGTCTAACTAGTCCTCTAGCAGAAAATCTTTCAGCGTGTTTCTCTGGTCCTGCTCGTTCATGCGAGATGTTTGAAACATCTCCCTGTCCGTCATGAAAGATAGCACCCACACTGGTGCAGGTGCAACCGAAGACCGCGATATTTCTGGGTATAGTGCTGGCGGAGGCCGGCTGCTCTTGCTTGTGAGTGTTGTATGACATGCATAGCACAGATGCGGCGCAAGTGGTGCGGGAACCTGTGCGGACGATTGTTCCCCGGCGTCAGGAACGTCACGCGTGCGTATCGAGATCCGTGATTTCCACTCCTGTATGCCATGCTGCACGGGGCTAAGGGGTCATAGTACGAGTCAATCACAGCTCCCCTCTTCGCGAGTATGCCAGATGAGACGCACCGTGCACAAAGCAAACATAATCCAGATACCTCCCCCTTTGGTGCTACCTTCGCACACGTCCGCACAATCGTCGACACAGTTGACGGATAATCTCTCTCCAAGCCAGTGATGAAGTCTACGGAAGCATGGACAGCAATCAGCGATGGTCTCTGTCTATAAAACAGTCATATTCACCATGCGTCAGCGTCCCAATGTCCTGCCGCGCACCTACCCACGGCGGCCGTACGGCGGCTACTACGCGCAAGCCCGTCCACCACGTCCATAATGTGCATTCTTTCCGCCCGACATCGCGTAAGGGGCGGATCACGCGTACATATCGCCTCCGCGTCGTTATGCTCGAGACATCTTCCGCAGGATCAGGGACCGATGGCACCCACTCCTCCTGCATCTCTTCCTTCAAATTGAATCCGCGGCCTTGGGAGACGCCCGAGATGAGCGACATCGCAAGGCTTGTGAGTGACGTCCCGAGCACGAGATGGGACGATTGAGTCTGCAAGGCAGTATGTAATAGAAGCAGGCGGATCAGATTTTGGATTGTACTATGCACGGCAGTCGCGGTGGGGAGTGATGCGAGATATGCTTGCAGTTTCTCGAGTGGAGTCGATGATGAGGAAGGATTAAATATCAGATGAAGTTCTGTATGCCGTCCATAAGGATATGAAAGTAAAAGAGTCAGAGGGGACGTGCCTTCTGTTGTAAGGTCGAAATCTAGATCAGACAAGGCTGGTCGTCCGGCCACTCTCTGCCACCAGGCTGGATCGAATGCATCTTGTATCCGAAGGGAGATGAGGTCTACGCCGTCGTGTTGTGCTATGAGAGTCTCAACGTCCGGTGAGCTATCTTGCATCTACTTCAGCAATGTCAACACATTCGCCTAAACACGGCTGCAACATACGAGGCCGGAGTGACTTACCCCGGGGAAGGCACCAGCTATCTCGACGTAACACACAGACACTCTTTTCCAGATCTTCTCATGGCGTGGGTGCTGCTTTCCGCCGTCTGATGGCATAGTCGATTGATCCATAGACACATAACATCGATGAACCAGATCCAGCAAGACCGTCGAGCCTAGCCCGCCGGAAAACCCCACGAGCAGATTACCTGCGGGTTTTAGTGCTGTTCGTCTGGGTCCTTGAGGTCTTTCGTTCACAGAGGGCTCTAGAGACCGGCGGAACTTATGCGTGATGAGAGGGAAGAAACATTCCCTAGCAGGCGTAAGCTTGTGGTAGATAGAAGGGATAGAGATGCGGCGTACTTGCAGTATACAGCATATCGTATGACTACATTTCCGGTCGATAATTTGCATCTGACACACTGCCGTGTCTTGTCGTACTTCTTCCGTCCTGATATCCCGCTCGCTTAGCCTCGAACGGTAGTACAAAAAGGAACTCACTGGGCATCAGAGCATCAGACTCAACTGTAGGGTTTCCACAGGACATACTAGTTCTCGTTTGAGTCACTTCAAAGATTTTTTGAGGATGTTATAACGCGCAAAATGGAACCTGCTACAGAAATGAAAGGAAAGAGGCAAGTCTCGGTCGTTTGATGGGAAATCATCACAAATCTCAGATCGATCGGCTGTTGCCGACTCAAAACTCGTCATGGCTTCCGGCTCAGCGGCCGAGGGCAGAACAGAATCCAATGTTCACGAACCAGCGATAGTTGGGAAGAATCCGGCAGCAGAAAAATTGAAGCCATGTAAATAATCCCTTATGTGATTCACCCTAGATGATGTGTCACGGTGTCAACAGACAAGGACGCGAATAGTACACCGAGCGCGTGTAGACGCCAAATCCAACACTGGCAAGCTTGAGGTCTGTATGAGAGTTTCAGGTCTCTTTTAAAAGGGAATAATAATCAACTTTTCTTGATTGCAGCTATCTTGGAATATGTTTGGAGTGACGTATGCGTACGAGGCTCAGAGGTTTCCAGTATATCACTCCCTGAGACGCCCTTCCACTTGAATATCGAATGCTGGAAGGGATTGTACAATGACAGACACACGCGACAATTTCCACTGATCTGAAGTACGTGCCACACGAATTGAGGCGGTCCAATCATACTTACAGCTCTTCTGAGGCACCAGAGTTTGGCAAACTCAACCAGGGAGTACGTATGTATCATGAAGCCGAAGTATCCATGTATCGCACCCCCGCTAAGCGATCCTCAGCCAAACGATGTGTCTCACATCAATGTTATACTCATTGGCCAGTGGCTATTATGTCTATCGTCGTCACTGACTGAACACGTCTTGGCATCGCCTCCGAAGTCCATGCACACTGCACTGGAGGTGTGAGTGACCCGACGAATGCGGAATACTGTCTGTATTTACCTGCTGTGTGTATTTACGTGTACTTACTGGTTGTCTGCTGAACACCACTGTCGATGAACGCCTTGATCGGGTGCCCATTCACCTCTACCGGGATATTTCGCCTGAAGAGGGATGCAGCGCCTGATATACGGAGTCTGTCCTTCCTTGTGTGCATCACGTCATGTCTGCGCTGACCCTCTAGTTCCGATTGAACAATATGCAGCGCATTCGAGTACGTATGGACACACAATTTTTGTGAAAATGGCTATTTTTTATGCACTTGTTAATTTGATCTGTTCATCTTACCTCCTAAGCCGTACAGTAAGTCTGAGCTATCCAAGGGTCGTGGCTGTTAGGCGAACAACATACATGGCAAATATCAAGCGGAGGCAGTTGCGGAGTTGCCTACTAGCGCATTTGGGTTAAATGCCTTCGTTGTACCCGACTGAACTGCCCATTGAATCCCACCCAAGACGTGAGCCAAGAACAGCTCGTTCTGATAGCTAGAGTCAGCCCCCGATATTTTTCTTGTAGCGTTACACTCACATGCCACGTCTCAATGGCATGCCCAAGGCTGGTGTAGAAGCTGCGGCCTGCTATGCCACCTGGCTGAACACCTGCGCCACGCTCCTGGAACCATGCTGCGCATACCGGTTATCGTAGAGTTCACAATTAAGTCAGTCAGAGTAGACTTACCGGTGGGGTGAGGATTTCCGTGGTCGTATTTACGGACGCCATCGTCTAAGACACAACGCAGTCAGAGATAAAATAAAGTGAAGACGTCCAGGCAACAAACCGGTGTATGTCGATTCATCAACAGATAAGACTACCGTTGCGCCCACGTCGCGCGGGTCTGACATGAAATTATATCTGCGGGCAGCCGTCAGATTATCTGCAAGCAAGAACCGCATGCTAGCGTACACTTCATCGTGAAGCTCCCATCTCTTAGGCAGTATGCTCGTGCTTGGATGCGACGGACCGATGACATCATATACCTTCGATTTATCAGCGATTTCGAGCCTACCGCTGGAATGAAGGTCTACACACCGCCGCGCAAATGTCGGGATGATAGTCAAAAAGTGCGCCTGTCCCAAACTGAGAATAAGAGGTGCTTGTCATCGGTTGAGCACACCCGCTGACCTATTTCCTTCTTGAAGAATTCATCATTGTATAGACACGCAGATGCGCAATGCACGCCGATAAAATTCCCTCCAGAGTCCAGGTATCTCTGCAAACCTCCTTTCCCAGCCTCATCCAGAACTATGTGATATTCAATAATCGCCTCCTTGATATTCAGAAGTACATCAGATAAACGTACTTTCGCCTGAATTGTTCAAAAACAATACGGCATCATACTGCTTGAGGTAATCTTCGGTGAACAAGGACTGATCTTCCGTGACATCATATTGTACGTTGATCGAAGAGGCCCTTGACTTCAGAGCGTCAATAGAGGCTGGAATCGAATCATGACGATAACCCTGAGTTGCAGAATATATGAGGATGCGCGCAGTGGCTTGCTGAGACATAACGATGGGATACGGGGGTGGGCCTTGAGAAAGCGAGGCCATGACCTCTTATATGGATGATAGATGCTCTCCTGATGGTGGGATAAACGTTAGAACCTCGGGGAAGCTAAGGCCACGAGATAGCTGCAGAAAGGCGGACCGGACGCCCCCATACGACGCGGTCACGTGGTCGTGGTGTAGCCCCGCTCGCCGATTCCAAATAACCATTTAGCAAACACATCGAGTAGTATGTGTGAATGTATGATGCAACACGTGTTAGAACAGCAGTCTATTAATTTTATGGACAAGACTCTCTTACTGTTCGTGTTATCGCCCACAGTCACTTATAGGGATACGGTGTCCGCGATAGCCACGTGCCTATGTCGTCTATCTGCAAAACACAACCCATTGGTCTGTTTGTTCTGATATAATTTGATATAATTACTGCGTTCAGTAGTCTGCTTATGGAACCTACCTGTAATTCAATAGCTGAATTGAGTCAGATTACTTTCTTGCAGCCAGAATGCACAGTAGTACACTGCATGATGACTAGGCATGACTCATACTAGTATATTCACTGAATAATATTGCACTGCAGACAAAATGAGGCGAAGAGCCAAGGCGCGTGGTCAGCCACAGAAGTGCCGACTGAGCGAGCCACCCGACGCTAATGCGCCCATTACAGCAAGGAACCAAGAGAAACAAAGAAACAAACATGATGAGCACGTAACAGACATGTATATACACAAACTACGAGATCGAGTCCGAAGTGCATGCGGCGCAGCGCGTCAGTTTCTTTGTGGTGATTCGTGAAGGCGCAACACCTGGCGGCGAGCCATCCACGTCAGCCACAAGGGCAGCCACAGGTGCCACATTTTGATTCATCGGATCAACCGCGGCGTCACCAACAGCCACATGAATTTCGAGCACAAACGGGCGTCAATGATTTGATGCAGTGGCAAGGTGTTACGTAAGGTTCTCACTGGTGTGGCTTAGCCACACTACATATCAATTGGAATGTATGGCCAACTCTCGCTGACTTGAAGACTCTCTCCCCCACTTGAGTTTTGGTAGGAACTTGCTACAACACCCTCCGGCCACATCAACTTGCGCTCGCCAAAAGTCAGCGACCCTCTGCGTGCGTTCCTCTAGAGAATATACTAACTTATCTCGTCTCTGACCGCATTCAGGCGCAACATCACAATAGCTTACCATAAGATGCACCAAGCTTTACAGATCGTAGAGATCAGGCAAATGATCGTTGAATCAATGGCCAACGATCCAGAGCTGGAACGCAATCCAGCACTCTATGCCCTTGCGACAACGTGTACGGACTTCAGAGATTCTGCACTTGACCTCTTATGGCGCAAACAGAAGGGCCTAGGCAATTTGATCAAATGCATGCCCGCAGATCTGTGGCAGTTGCACAAGTGCTACGTGTGGAATAATGCATCCCCCTATCATCGTGCTGAGTATGACAGATTGGTGAGTAAAGCATTTACGTGGGGTCTGATGCGATTGTACTCAATGCGTTGAAAGTCATTCAAGCGAGAGCTAAATTCAAGCGACTGGTACCGCTGGGATTTTTATGCTTCCCGAGTACGCGAATTTCGTCCCACCACGAGAGCGGATGCCAGGTCCGGCGGGTCGCACATGGAAATGTCAAAGGCAACCTACTGGACCCTCATGGAGCATCGACCACATCCAGGTATCCTCCCTAATGTCATCGAACTTGATTGGCATTGGGCTTATTCACGTGTCAAATACCGCTTCGGTCGTGTTCTTATCGCTCCGAGCCTGAAGTCTCTGTCCTTGGCGTTCCGCAACCCCGAAACGGTCGAAGATGCGAAGGCATTGGTCGCAGCCTTGCCTCAATCCTGCCCCAGCCTACACACACTCAAACTTCAGTTCTCGGACGTGGCTGTATTTGATGAGCTTTCTGATATAATCTCAGGCGTGAGATCCTTACGAGAATTCGATTTAGAAACCAATAGGTCGCTTCCAGCAGAGCTCTTTCGCCAGCTATCCTCACTTCCTGAACTTACTTCTCTGGTCTTGATGGTCTGGACTCCGGACCATCTCGCATTTCGGCCTCAAACATGTACAGATGCCTCTCAGCTCCCATGTTTTGATTCTCTGCGAAGTCTTATTGTCAACTCAGACGATCTTTCTACTCCCACCACAGTTATCGCGGCGGGCCAGCTCCCAGATTTGCAGGATCTCTCTGTCGCTTCAGACACAGGTGACGTCATGGCACTGTTTCAAGTGATCCACGCCCACTGCAATCCCATGTCTCTGCAAAAACTCCGCATTTTCAGGCCTGAATATGGATTGAAGCACCAGACCCGGACAGAGCCGGCATCAACGTTACGCCAGCTCCGTCGGTTCCCAAATTTGCAGGACATTCACATCCAGGTGCCACGAGGCATACAGCCCAGCGATCACGATTTGGAAGACCTAGCAGCGGAGCTGGGGCAGATTGTAAACCTTTACCTCGCGGAGACATTGGCCATGTCTCCACGCTCCGAGGACGAGTATGGGAATGGTGTCTCGCTGCGCGCTTTAACGACTTTGGTGGAACGCTGTCCGCGCCTCGAACGACTAACCCTGGACATCGACGCTTCTACCATTGATGCACAAGCTACACAGAGGTCTGGAAAACACATTACAAATTCAAACCTCAAGTCTATAAGATTGGGCACCGCGTCGCGTCCAGGAGATCCTGGCCGTGTTCTTGCATTCCTCTGTGATTTGGCCCCGAAGCTTCAGAATATCGGCTTTGATTATTCAGGTTCAAGCCCGGAGGATCGGGAGGCTTGGCAAAAGGTCGTGTGGAGACTGCACTGTAAACGGGTCCGCGCGGGCAAGGAGCGCGAATACTGTTATTCTCTGCCACGCGACACAAGCTCTGATACTGAGACTGATACTTGAACGAAGTTCGTGCCTACAACACAAGTATATGGAAGGAGTCAATGAAGGAATCAATTTCTGACACGCACGTTCTGGTTGGCTCGAGATCTTGACCGATGAAGCTTGTCTCCTTGAAGAACATAGCCCGAGGGACTCTTGTCTACTGGGTTATTATTAGTATCATTGCGGCATGGAGTGGCAGCTGCCTTCTGACTATCACAAGGCCTCTTGAACGAAAATTGTTGACTTCGCGGTATCATGTTAAAATGCGAGATCTGTATCATGACGATGCTGGGGTCAAAATGCATTTGTCTGAAACGCATTTGTAGCGGTCGCACGAGAGAACTCTTATTATTAGGCATGTGACAACTACTGTAAGCGTCGAGCACACACGTCGAAGGAGCTAGAGAAGGATATCATTCTGCAAAAAAAACAGGACGTGTGCTAATGCAGGAGAAAATAGAGCGATATGCAAGATCACATAATAACACAGTCACCTTTCTTCTTCATGCGCTGCGGGTCGTCCCTAGTAGTTGCGGTCACCGGAGTACGAGGCTGCTGCGCCCGTTCGCGTTCCAGCCGCTCCTGCTCTCTTCGCGCGTAGATCTCGCGAGCACGAGCATCTTCCTCTTCCTGAAGCTGCCGCGCGAGCTCCTCGCTGCGTGTGTGAACGGAACTAATAAGCTATGCGTATCAACAAGCCAAGGGGTATCGGCGTACTCTGCGCTCTCTTCCAACGACAAGGCACGCGCCTGCGCTTCCAGCGCCTTGAGCGCGGTCTCCGCCGTGTGCCCGGCGTAGTCGCCGCCGGCGGGGCTCGAGCGCACGAAGTCTGAGTCGACGAACGACGAACTGCTGCCCTCGACGTCCTCGAGCCGCTCCCATACTACGGACGGCTCGTGGAGAAACACCTGGTCCGTGACGAGCGTGTATAGCCCGCCGTCCTCACCAGGCGGCTTGTAGAGCACCGAGAGGTGCGAGTTGCGGAAGAGCGCGACCAGCGTGCCCGGCTGCAGCGTGGACGCGAGCGTGAACAGCCCATTGTAGGTCAGCTGGGACTGCGTGCGGTCGATGAAGTCGCGGATGATGATGGCTGGATGGCAATCAATGTCACAGCCTCACAGGAGATATCGACTCACGCACCATCTTGTACTTTCTCGCGCTCCTCGGGCGACAGGTTCTCGTACACGCTTGCGACACCTGCCTCCGGGGACGCTGCAAGTACCTCCTCGGCCACAAGCTGTCCCTTCGTCAGGTAGTCTGCCTCGACCAGCAGGTTCACGGAGGTGTCGTAGTCCTCCGTCTTCGCGAGGACCTGGTATTCGTGGCTATCCGGGTCGGCCAGCCAGCCGTGCACGAGCCTGATCCCGGCTTGTTCAAAGAGCTTCAGCTCCCCTCCCTCCCCGGCGGGGCGGAACGACGAGACCCCGGTGAAGAGCGGATTCAAGTCCATGCCCTCTGCGGCCTAGTCCATGATCACGTACACCCGGCAGAGGAATGCAGATCGACGTACTGCGGGTGACCGGCATGATTGACAGCGCGGCGGAGGTGTCGACATGCGGACTCGAGGTGAGCAGGTATTCTCCCACCAGACGTGAGAGAAAGTCGTAGGACACGGTCGTGCGCTCCGGGGGCAGGATCTCGATGTCGCCGCGCAGGATGAGAATGTTGCCTATGAGATGCTGTATTCGACCATGCGCTTTACAAAAGCATGATTAATGCCTACATATTGCGATAAACGAACACGGCCTGCCGAGGAATAAATGCCACGCCTAACCTGCATCGCACTGACCGCACTGACCCATTATAGTTCTGGGTGATGATCTTCAGTGTTCTGGGCGCCGACTCGACATCATCAGGTTTGAATATTATATCTTTGAGATACCATAATTCCTCCAGAGATTCCCGCAGCGAGGTGTCTGCGTTTCCAGACATGGGTGAGTGTGAGAGGACACAGTGCTAGACGCCCATAAGTCACAGCCACCTACTTCCCGTTATGGCAGGTCTAGTACTTGATAACATATCATGATTCCATGATTAAAGTCTAAACAGTGCTATGGATACATCTTGACCGTGGTGCAACAAAGATACAAAGCAGAAAGCCAGAAAAACATGCAACGCGACACGAAAGCGAACAGCGTCCATGGAAACACGGTCTTGCGAGCGAGCAACTTGAATTAGAAAACCTCTATCTCCGAGCTCCCCGACTTGGACTGGACGGCCTCTCGGTCCAGAATCTTGTCAGCATCTTGCCATAGAAGATCTCTTGCGACCAGGTCCATCTCGCGCCTTGTGAGGATCCTCTTCAGTCGCTCCACCATTTCCTCCTTGGATCCGTCTGTGAGAATGCTCGCGTTGAAGACAGCGTGCTCAGCGAGGTTACGGCGTAATGCAGAGACGGACAGCTCCTCGCACGCTGCGGGGTCAGTAATCATGGGCGGCTGGGGATGAAGCATGTATTGGCGCTGAAGGTCTGCCCGCGTGTCCGTCATGAGTACCGACTGCAGAGGGGGGCGAGCGACTTACTTTCTAGATATTCCTCACACTCGCGAGGGACCTCAACTTGTATCCGCTCCCTATCCATCCTGCTTCGAAGAGCGACTGCCAGTCGCCGGAAGCCAGGCATACGCATACTTGTGTCAAACAGAGAGACGAAGCGCAGTTTCGGCAGCGTGATCAAAGCGGGAATAGCATCGTCGTCGACGCGCGGATTCAGTGCAATATCGAGCTCGGTGAGGCTACGCTTCAGCGCTACCAGGTGGAATATGCTATGAGATGCAAATACTGTCAATTGTGTTTAGGACGGCAAGCGAGAAAAGGTGAGGCTACCCCTCATTGCCAATGCCAGTATTGCTAATCCAGAGGCGGGAGAGGCGAGGGAGGTGGTGAATGTTTGTGAGATCGTAGTCTTGCAGCGTTGCGCCGCTCAGGCTGAGCTCACTAAGGAAGAGGAAGCTGTTTGGCTTCTCGAACACTACGGGATCTCAGTGTGTGTCCCCAGACGCGGATATGGCTATTCACCGTGTAAAAGCTCTTGGGCTCCTAGATTCAGTCCCTCTTCATCCATGAGCGATGCCGTCAGATCAAGACAGTCGATCTCGGACATGCGCAACATGTTTAATATCCGAGCATTGAGATGTCCTACAGAGAACTCGATGTGGCAGTGACATCTTGTCGTTGACAGATTCCGCACGCACCATCGATAGCTAGGATATCTGCAACTCGCTGGTGGTTCAGGACCTCAAGCGCATATAGCCGCTCCTTCAGTCTGATCCCGGGTAAGAGGACGTCGAGGCGTGCTACCAGTGTGTTGATTCCGCGCGGAGTCTCGGTGCCGATTGGTGGTCCATACAGCTCATCTATAAGTCAGTGGTTAGGCGCATATATAGATATAAATATTAGGCAAGCCTACCTAAAAGGCCAAAAGAGGGGTGCGCTCTGTTAACGTGACCCTCGGGGATGAAAGTACACACCTTCCAGTATACATATCCTCCTTTCCAGCTCGTACTTCGTCAGCGGACCATCTATCTCGGGTACTCCTCGGGCCCCATGGCTGGCTGGCGAAAACAGAGCGTCGGCGCTGCCTTTGAAGTAACGAAGCCGTTCCGCCTTCGCGCTCAATTCGAACGAGCTATCGTTCACACTCTGGAGCGAGCGCTCACGTTTGGGAGGGGCAAGGAGGCCGCTGAAAGTGTCACAGGAGCGAGAGCGCTTGCGCTTTGCCCTCACCTTCACGGGACCGGCAGGGGAAGCTACAGATTGAGGGACGGGTACGGGGGTACTGTGGCCATATGCAGGTGCAGATAGAGAGCTGTCTACAGATGAGTTGTGGTCGAGATCATGGGATTGATGAGGCTGAAGACGGAATAAGAGCCGGTAGAGGTCTTTCTCGTCCACAGACTGGTCGAGTCGTTCGGCGAAGGATATATCATGTCCCTCCGGAGAACGGCTGTACGGAGGCGGAGCGTCGCGTAACTGATGTCGGAGAGACTCCAGAAAGGCGACTGCGGTAATTGCAGGACAGTAGAATGGATTCTGGTCGTCGACGATTGGTTGTGTGTATAGCATAATTTAAAGCGGACAGAGGAAAAGGGTAACAGCAGAGCTAGGAAAGCGATAACAGAACTGGCATATAGGAAGAAAGACTGGCGAGAGATAATCGTCTATCAAAGACTGTAGTCCGTGGTTTCATTCATCAAAGAGCAGTGGAGAAGTTGCATGTGTCAGAGTGGAGGCGACCACGGGCAGCAGAGTATGCGCGGGCGCGCGAAGAGCGAAAGTGAAGCCTCAAGTACTAGGAACACCAATGATTGCCTTTTCGGGACACCAGTGTCAACAGTCACGTTGAACAGCTCATCCTCGACATCAATCGCGCTTCCATAGCGGACAGACTGCCATCTGAACTCGCATGTCAGATCCGACAGCAACTGGAGTGCGTCTACCGTAGACGTCTGGCAAGACACATCCAGGTCGGTACCGACAGTGAACCATATGCGTGATGCCGACGAACGACTCTGACAGTGTGACAAGTTAATACTGCACGAGGGTTCTTATAATTCGAACACGTATCAAAGTACTCTGTTAAATTTCATCGAATAGGTCACCAGCCCCTTGAGACTGACCGATAATTACGGACATGCCACGGATATGCCCGACCGTCTGTCTGTATGTACGAAGACCACACGGCAGAATTTGACAGTCCAATGACGTTGATGAAGAACGGTGTAATGGGAAGGCCGGGTGGAAACGAATGGTATAACATTATTGTAAAGGAATGCGATGGTTTCAGTCGTCGACTGCAGGTTGCTGAAGAGGATGTATTTCCATGACCATGAAAGACTAATACATGGCTCAGACGGGGACATACACTTACCTTCACTATTCCAAGGCTGTCGGCATGGCACCTCTCAGCCGAGTCCGCCCGTCCTTCAGCACCTCCGTAATGATGGGGCTCGCCGCAGGGCGATACTTATAATCCTTAGAGTACCTGCGCCGATCATAAGGGCCTGCAGTAATTCGCCGCAAGCTGTCTAGTGCATACCGATCGGCGTAGACAACGGTGGGCTTCCTATTCATCCGCGCGCGCGTGGCCAGCGCAAACCAGAATAAGATGACGAGGACAAACACAAGGGCAGCGCGCTTCCACTTGGACGGTGGAGGAGGATTGAAACGAGGGTCTTGGTTCAATCTGTCGGTCAACACGCCTACATCGTCGCCCTTGGGCTGCGTCGGCTGGTGAGGGTGAGGCCCCGCTTTCTCATCACGCTGCCCAAAGCTTTCCTGGGGATTTTCCGGCTGCGGCATGCTATGATGAATATATATGTCTTGGCAAGGGCAAGCAGCTCGAACAGTTACAGAGTGTGTCAGATAAGTAGAGTAGCAGTAGTTCGTGAAACTCAGGACAAGGAGGCTGGACAGACTGCGGACCATGGGGTCACGTGAATGGGTCGTTCTGTGTTGTCTTTGGGCGCCTACGCCGACACCACCTCAGCAAGTTGAAATTCTATGACATGCTGTGTAAGGCCTCAGCCAGCTTTTGCCGACGCAAAGGAAAGATTTGGAAGCATTTACACACTTCGCTCTACAGATTCCAGATTTGACAGAAATTCTCGTATCGCACTTCAATTATGAGGCCCTCCTGAGCACTCTTGACAAACTAGTATGGCACAGGCAGCGAACTAGGCAATCAGATCGAATACATGCCGCAAGACCATCAGAAATGTCCTGAGCTCAGACCTTCAGACTGCCTTGCTCCCTGACCTGCCTTTAACTTTAAAAAATGCACATAGCCCACACATCGACTGCAGGTGTTCCTGTGGCGGTGGCTGGATTCCTCTCTGCCACATTCCCAAACCCCAGAAGCTCTGGTGTTGTCGATCTTCATCGCATCACGGACATTTCGGTATGGGACGAGATACCACAACGACATCCCGCAGGCGATGCCGCACGAGGTCAACAATTTTCGTTCAGGAGACCTCGTGGCAATCGGAAGGCAGCTGCAACCCCGACCGCGGCAGTACTGGTGAGGATCCAGTAGACAAGGGTCCCCCGGGCTATGTTCTTCTCCAACGAGACAGAAAATAGCGAGGACGCTGTAGACGGGGCAAGCGCGCGGACAACAGACGCGGTCGTCTGTGCGAGTCCGTTCGTGAGGCCCAGTGCGTGCTGATTTGGTGCGGCATCGCTGATGTACATGAATATGCAGCCTGCGGAGAGGTTTGTATGGGGACTGGGACTGGCCCAACGGACTGACCCCATGTCATGAAGGTGGCAGCATACGCAGCGTTCTGCACCACGATCATACTCCACACCGCAGCGGAGACCCTGCCGTCGCGCTTTGCCAGGAAACTCAGCAAAGGGAACGCGCAGATGCAGAAGAGGTAGCTCGCGAAGGATGCGATGTAGAGCCTTTTCGTGCCGAATTTTCGGTGCATCCAGGCGAACGTGAAGATCTGGAGGACACCGCTGACAACGCCGGCGACCCCCTGGACAATGCCGATGGTAAACGAGCCGAAGCCGAGGCCCCCTTGGGAGATCGGGCTGGAGTACATGAGCGGGAGTAGCACAACGACACACTGATCCGTAAAGGCCAGGAAGCCGTAGTTCAGGATGGGTAATAGAACTCTCGGCACGAGAATCGATCGAATGCTGATCTTCGCATTTTGTCTATCCGGGAGGTTGACCTCTGCATTTTCCTCGATGGCCGTTGCATCAGCGATCGCAGCGTTGGTAGATGTTGGGCGTATTTCTCGTCTTGGCTCTGTCAGCTCGAGCGCTGTTCCAACCGCTGTGAGGTCTCCGGGCCCAGAGCCATGGATATGATGAGGAGGCCGGATTGCGTGGTGGTCAGCGGAAACCATGGTGTCAGTTCGGTGTTCGAGCCTGCGCTTTGTCCTCGGAAGGGTCTGCAAAAGCGGGCTGAATGACTGAATATAGCCTCTGATGAAAATTATAACGTACCTCTTTTAAGCCTAGAGAGGCCATCATAAAGGCACTGAGCGAAATGCATGCCGCGGCAATACATGGCAGAAAGTATGGATAGGTTGTCCAGAAGCGCGATCTGAATGTTCCAGGCCAACGCTCTGCGGGAGTTGACAACACGCCTCCGAGGATTGGTCTGAAGCCGGCAAGATGAGGTTGAGCGGGGCATGGATCGTGACCATACGTACCCAATAGTACTGCCCAGTGACCAGATCATGGGTAGGAACGCAAATCCTCTCGCTCTGTTTGTGCTATCCGTGATTTCTGCCATCATACTGTTCGTTACTCCTATGTTTCCGTTCAACGCTCCTTCGGCGCAACGGCTCAGGATGAGAGCCCAGTATGTCCTCGAGAGGCCCAAACCAAGCATCGATAGTGTCAATCCAAGGAGCCCACCAAGCATGACCGGCTTGCGGCCAATTCTATCCGACGCTCGGCCCCACTGCAGGACACAAATGGCCTCCGTAGCATAGAAAGATGATTCCTGTGGATCTATCAGAATCCCAGATCTCATCCTCATTAATATCGACTCACGATGAGGCCTGCAAAATATCCCGTCTTCTCGTCATCGCCACCGGTCACACCTGTTTGGCGCACGAGTTGGTTCACGAAAGGGTAAACAACAGTGGACGTCACCGGTTCAGCCAGCTGCAGGTACAGGAGTAGGAAAAGCTGTAGCTTCGGGAGCGGGGTCTCCTTGAGGTTATCAGACACCTGTTCGGGAATATGCCTAGACGTGCTGCGTTCTCCTACTTGATCGTCGTCCTCATCTACCCGTACTATGGACGAACTTCGAGGAGCTTCGTGTATGAGGTCCATGTCTTGACATTCACAGTCCTCACTGGGGTCGTGGCTAATGAAGCAAATTTACAGCCGCTGACGCAACGGCTGCCCGTGTTTCCGAACATGTGTATCACTACATAAGGAATGAATGAATGAGCAACACCCGTTGTGAGTGATTGCTTCCCGATACTTACCTCATATAGTAGTGAGCAGCGGATTGTCGATCAGACTTGCTGATGGCGCTACTGCTGAGAAAGACGTCATACGAGCGAGGCCCATCGCAATTTGCCACAACGGCAAGTATACCTGAACTATGAGTTTGCATCGAATCAATCAATAGAGAGCTCATGAATACGCGCTCACAATGATCGCCGGAGGTTGAAGGGCTCGCAGAAATGGACAGACTCCATCGCCTAGGGCGTGATTAGAATCCACTAAAGCAAATCCACCTTGAAGACGGATGGTACTAATGAATCATAGCATAGATTGAGTGTTGACATGGAGATGATACCGGCCGCGACATATGATTGACTCCTTGAAAAGGGCGTCGCGGCAGATGTGTTCCGTGAGTGTCATCTGAGACAGAATTGCTGTAAAAATACGCGTTGTATTAGACCTCACTGAGCTGCGGTCTTCTCTCGATTGGAGTCGCACGAAGGAGGGCCATCATAGACTTTATTACAGCCTTGCCCGGTCGATCAGTCACGCATTGACGGTAAAACGCGTGACGACTCGCGTCAGTCACGGAGCTTCAACGCCATCTGCTGCTGGCGGATACTACATTCATACCCGTCATGCCCCGGCTTCTCTCTCGCGGATACATTGACTTTGTCATCTTCCTGTCCTCTGCTATTCAAAACGTAGTAGCACAGTTATGATACCTCGTCCCTAGTTGAACGCAATATAGGTAGACGCCACCGTAAGTCACGCTCGTGACATTCATGCATTTTGATACGGTTTCGGGCAGGTACTTGTCAGGTGAAAAAATCCTGTTCGGATGATACGGGTTCTATGCAAGAAGGTGATTGAGATGCCTGAGCGGCAGCAGCATCTTTGTGAGCAAGCCTCGATGAAGTCCGATCTATAGCCGCGTCGCGTTGGGGAGCGGTCGTCTGCGCCCCATGACTCGCGCAAACGCCATGCTCAAAATGTTCTCTTCGTTTTCTTGCAACCCTCATCTTCCCCCTTCGTTCCCGTCATGTCTGTGCTCGACGCCAAGCTCGCCACCGCCCTTCACTCCCGCGAGCAGCGCCTGATCCGCCGGCGCCTCCCCGACCCTGCTGCAGACGAGGGCCTTGCCGACTTCTCGAGCAACGACTACCTCTCGCTCGCGAGCTCGCCAGACTTGCGAGCGCGGTTCCTCCGCAAGCTTAGTACCGCTCCTGCTGTGCTCGGTTCGGGCGGCTCGCGACTGCTTGTGAACGGCAGCGCACATGCGGCGCTCGAGGCGCGTCTTGCGCAGTTTTTCGACGCGCCGGCCGCGCTGCTCTTCAACTCAGGCTTTGACGCGAATGTCGGCTTGTTCTCTAGCGTCCCCCAGCCAGGTGATGCACTCGTCTTTGACGAGCACATCCATGCGTCGGTGCACGATGGAATGCGCGGGTCTCGCGTCGCACCTGCTCTCCAAAGACCATTCGCACACAACTCAGTAGAGGCGCTCCGGGACGTGCTCCTCCAGCTGTTGCAGGAAAATCCCGGGTTTCGCACCGGCAAAAGCAGCGTTTTTCTTGCTGTGGAAACGTTGTATAGTATGGACGGGACGATCGTACCCCTAACGGAGATGGTCGAGACGATGGAAGAGCTCTTCCCTCGAGGGAACGGGTATGTTATCGTTGACGAAGCGCATGCGACCGGTGTGTATGGACCTGAGGGACGAGGGCTGGTCGCGCTCCTGGGTCTGGAAAGAAGGGTATTTGCACGTTTGCACACTTTCGGGAAAGCGTTAGCGGGGACCGGCGGTACGTACTGCTTCAAATCACTCATAGGCATTGTGCATACTAACAAGAGAGAAGCCGTCTTGCTGGTCACACCGCTTGTCCGAGATTACCTGCTCAACTACGCACGCTCACTAATTTATACAACCTCACTAAGTTATGCAAACATCATCTCTGCTGACTGCTCCTTCGACTTGTTGGAGGACGGCACAGCCACACAGGTAGTCATGCTTTCCGAAATCGATCCTTCGCCGGTCTGACCTCTTCCAGCTATCCACGCAGCTCCTCGATCTCAGCACCTACTTCCTCTCCCTCCTCCGCCCGCAACTCCGCACCATTCCGCTCTCCCTCCTTGCGCTTCCTCCACATCTCGCTTCCCAGCCGCTGCCAGGCGCGCCTCCGCACAGCGCGCTTCCCACTCCCATTATTCCGATTTTGACGCCTTACCCTCGGCCGCTCTCGACGCACTTGCGTGCGCGGGGGGTAAACGCGCGACCGATTACGTGGCCAACAGTACCGAAGGGACGTGAGCGGGTCCGAGTGTGTCTGCACGCGGGGAACGCGCGGGAAGAGGTGGAGATGCTTGTAAGTGGGATGGTCGAGTGGGCGAGAGCGTGGATGCGGAAGAGTATAGAGGCAGGGGACGCGAAAACCGAAGTGGACGACGCGGTGCAAGCGAAACTATGAATTGTCACTGAAGCGTGCACGCCAATCGAGTCCTTCATGCATCATGACCCAAGTTTGGACATAGTTGTTGATCAGGCGGCCGTCGAGCTTATGCTGTGATGCAACGGTAGAATTGACGCACGGCAGTGTGCATACAATCTATCTACCGCCCATACTGATATACGTGGGATGATGCACTGGTAGCCAACGATCATGCATTCGAACGTCGATATCTCTTCATACTAAGCCTCCGAGGAGTGCCAACGAACGTCGCTGATATGTACTGGTCAAGATAACGAAGTACGGGACGCTAACCTTGCAATTATGTACCCCAGCCCAAAAATTCAGTAGTGAGGCTGGTGGAGATATTGCAGAAAGAATCGACATCATAGTAGGGATTGTGCAACCAATAACGACGGGACCGAAGCCTCCACTTCCGATGTACTTGCCAGAGTGACGATCGGACGACCTGCCATTCTTTCGATGCTTCCTGAGAATCAGGTCTGCGTGCAGGGTCACGCTGCGTCATAGACTCGTGCAAGCGCAGCAGAAACCCGACATTGGTGAATTCCTAGAACGAGTAATCAGTGGCGCTGGAAGAGCAAGGTGTGCGGCAACCACATACGTCGAGGAATATTCTTTTGAACATGTTGCCAATGATGAATATAGCCATTTTGAATGGGTCGTAAGGTGCGAATGCAGATAGCTCTGGCACGTCTCGATCCCGACCATCAATGCCTAGCGCAAGTTTGGGGTGGACGTGAGGCGGTATGTATATCGAAATCCCATAGCCGACATGGTAATGTTTCACCGACACTTGAGACCTTGCGAGAGGGCGCGCTGGTGTCTTGGCGTCGAGCAGAAACCCGGTTTTGACCGGATGAAAGCCTTGAGGGAACATCTGGTTTGCATCCATCATTATGTTTCATTCTGAACAGTCACTGTTCGCAGATTGATGTCAGGAGCATGGCCAGATCGTAACAGTTGCCTCAAGCGCTAACCGGTGAGCCACGCCTTGTTCCTGCATAAAGACCAAACCCTGTTCGTAGAAACAAAAATATCAGGGCGTCTCAAAACCGAGCAAGCAACATGATATACCTTCAAAATTTGGTCAATAAGGTTTATGACGTCCTCGACTATCTCGAATTCGGGGCGGTTTGTGAGGCGAAGAAACGGCATGACCATATAGGAGATCTCTTGGTCATCGGAATCCTTGAGAACATCAAGGATAGGGACGCTGTAGTTTCTGGGGTCGCATCTCAGCGTCTCCGTCGACAGCATGGCGGCGATATTTGATTCATTGTCGCCAGTGCCTACTCTCTTGATATAGACTGACTCTCCGTCCGAGATGCGAGTAGCATCGGTGAGATGTCTTCGAGCCTGCGAGCATGTTACAGGAGTGCAAAGAACTCAGTGAGACGAGCTTACTGGAGGAAGGATCCCATCTTCGAAGAGTCGTGGAAATTTGCCAGTCCCTCTCCGTGAAGGAACCCAACCCGGACGATAGCGCAGACGCAACGCATATCTTTTTCACTGAAGAAAGGGCTGTCGCTGTTGCCACCGCAATTCGTACGGGCCCAGAGATGACCAGAGGTCAGCATCATTTCGATCTGGGAACATAGCGCACTACGCAAGTGAATCTTGCAGAGCGAATCGCTCGCACCAAGTGATTGTTGTTGACCCGTTATGCACATGGAGTGCAGCGCTGTGGACGCAAGGCGAACAGAATCCAAATGGGATCCGAACCTGATTTAGGGCCATATTCACTTGTATTCTCTGTCACACTAAGCTTGGAGACGACTCGACAAGCAAACAATTCGCGAATGGAAAAGGCTTTGAAGGGCCTTCAAAGCCATTTCCATTTGCAAACTTTTACCTGCATACATGGGTCTATGCAACTGTCCGTTTCCCTCTTGGGGGTGTTGATTCATATAACAACAACGGTGACTGGTCCTCCCTGTCTTCCACTGAAATCTCCCAGGCATCCCAATAAGTTATGGGGATGCCTGGGAGATGTCGGTGGAAGACAGGGCATTAGGTACATTCAAGATTGCTGCTTAAATCTCGCTGGAAAACAAGCGACATTTAAGCGGCCAAAAGCAGCGAGCAGAATCTGAGCTCCCCTCCTCGAACAGCGACATTTAAGCAACTGCTCGTCGCAAGCGCTCACAGATTCTGGTTCACGGCCATGTCACGCTTGCGTGATTCGCCAACCTGATTGGCTGGTTAGCCCTTCGCAAGCCGAGAACGTGAACAAATTACAGCTGCATCACGCTTAGTTATCTGTGACGCTTTCAGCGACGTTTCAGCGAGCTTCAGCCACATTTGGGCGCTCAAAAGCAGCGAGAAGTCGCTTGTTTTCCAGCGAGATTTAAGCGGCAATTTTGAATGTACCTATTGTTTGTTATATGAATGAGGATAAGCAGAAACATGACATACTTATTGAGCAAGGTCAAGATTGCTCACTCTCATTGAAAGTTGTCGCTCACTGACTTTCACATGATTTCTCCAGCTAGTCCACTGGCGAAGATCGAGCCTGTTCCATCGCAGGCTCCTTCCCGCCGCTGTGGGAGTTATAGGGGACTTCATCCGAATAGCGTACTCAATGCTTTATCTTGTGTGTCCTAGAATAGAAATCTTGCCACAAATCATGTGCCATTCCATCACGTGCATATCATGTGACATCCCATTTGAACCTTAATCCCCCATAACTCCCTACAGCAGCTGGCACAAAACATCTACAAATAGCGGAGGACCGGTGCTGCACCTCCCATACGAGGCAGGATTGATTCCCGGAAATGATAATTGACATCAAAACATTTCAATTTCATCAATTGAGGTCATCGCAACCCCCATGAGTGAATGTAACAACGACGCGCAGAAAGCCCATTGTTCGCAACACTTTGCATCTTTGAAGCAACATTATCAGTGCAAAAGTCGAGAACCTGGATCGCAGATGCATAGAGAGTGCTGATGAAACATTTGTCTTTCCATTCTATTCCTTGTACTACTAGCGCCCATACTGGCGCCTGTCTTAGCGCTCACCTGCAGGTTGAACATTATGTAGCTTACATAATGGGGTCCATGCACACTTCGTACTCGGCATCGTACCACTACATTTCTTTCTTCACTAACACGACCACATAGACACAATGGTCCGTGCGCAGTCGGTACTTGTATAAGTAGTTGTACCATTAGTCGGTCGAACTCTAAGTTCGACCTGGTTATTCATTCAAGTCTCTGCTCCTCTTCGCTTGGAGTAGTGGTCATTCTCGACTTCCTCGCTCGATCTTCAGGACGACGTACTGTCCATAAGTCCTCGCTCATCATCTACGAGTCAGGCATCAATATAGGAGTATAGACCATTGTATCAAAAGGTCGAACTTTCTAAGCTACGTTCCTAGTTTTACCTAGTCAAACAACTCATCCACCATCACGTCGAACAACGCAGTAAACCCGGTTCCCTTGGGACTACCAGCCCTCGCAGGATCTCCCCTTCTCCAGTACGACCGAGCAGACTGTTGCTTCGTCACCACCACAAGAAGGACTCCCATCTATCCTCGAGGCGGCTCCTGGGTTCGCGCAGAAGGTTCCAACCCGCAGATCGTCGCCCATCAACAGCTTGTCAGCTATTACCAGAGACACCCTCCCGCTCACCCAGAAGACGTATTCGCCACCCTACGAATCAACGTTGAGCCAGCACAAATAACAGAGAACCTACAGTCACCTGTTAACGAACAATCGTTCAAACTCCCGGACGTTCAGTACGTTCCCATTGAGGCTCCAGACACCGAACCACCACCTGTTTCATTCGCACCAACCAACGCACTGGTTGAACCTCCGATGACGACGTTCACTCAAGCAGACATCGATCAGTGCATCGTGGCTGCTCTCGATACATACCGACTTCAACAATCAACCGCCAATCGACCCCTCCACCTCGACATCCCCGCTCCGGAACCCTTCAGCGGAAAGGCAGAGGATCTTAGACGCTTCCTTCAATGCGTCCTTTCCTACTTCGTTGCCACCAACAACACCAGACTTAGCGATGAAGCAAAGATCGCCTTCACGGTAGCATTGATGAGGAAGGACCTAGGGAAGACGTGGGCGGACACATACTACGAGAAGTCGGCAGGGGGAGTCCAGGTCTATCCTGATTGGGCAGCCTTCGCCACCGCCCTTGAGGAAGCGTTTCCTGAGCACGGAACGCGAATCAAGGCGCACCAAATCCTGATGAAGCTGCCCGAACGACAGAAGAACAAGAAGACGGCGCTCTCCCTTGGAAACTACGTCACCCGCTTCGAGCAGCTAGCATCGAAAGCCCAGCTCAAGGACGCTGAAGTCAATGGCGTCAACCGCACCGAGAATGACTATCACACTCTCCACGCCAACTTCATCAAGGGACTTCCGAAGGAGCTCTACGTCTCTCTCGCAACTAGGGTCGCTAGAGACCGACCCAACACCATGAAAGCCTGGTACGACGAAGTCCGAAACGCCGACGCTGCCAAACAAGGGGCCCTCACCGTCACAGACACCAGGGACTACAGTGAGCCAATGGATATCGACGCCACTGCAGTCGCGGCAACCTTTGCCTCCACATTGGGAGGAAGGAAGTGGGAACTAGGAGCCGTTCTCAATGAGGCCGACTGGAAGCTCCACAGGGACGGGAACCTGTGCTTCTACTGCCACATCAAGGGCCACAGTGCCAAGGATTGCCGCAAGAAAGCGGCCACACGACAAGGGGGTGGGAGGCCGAACCAGGGAGGATCTGGGAAGGACGACTTCCGTGCCAGAATCAAGGCACTCTCCGCTGACGAGAAGTGGGAGCTGTATGAAGAACTTACGATGGAGGATTTTTGAAGGGGCAGGGTGAGCCGATGCAACCACTGCCCGTATCCGTTTCACTGTCCCGTGTAATTCTAGTAGTCCGAAATGAATGCGCTCTGCGCATTCCGATTACTGTGGGACGAAAAGACGTCGAGGTGCGCGCCTTCATCGATAGCGGTGCAACAGGAATCTTCATCAGCCCAAGATTCATCCGAGAACATTGACTTCGGACAGAACCCCTTCCCCAACCCATCCCCATCTTCAACGTGGATGGAACCCCGAACAAAGAAGCACTCATTACGCGAAGAGCTCTCTTATCTTACAAGATAAGCGGAGAACCCCGATTTGTCAAAGCCTACGTCGCCAGCATCGGCAAGGAAGACATCATCTTCGGCCACACTTGGCTCAAACTCGAAAACCCCAAGATAGACTGGAAAACCAGACAAGTGGAGCTGAATCACCGGTGGACAAGAGACGAGACCAGGGCCTGGAAGATGGACCTGTACCAAAGGCGAGTGGCCCGGCTAGAACTAAAGAAGGCCATAACTACCCCACTCCCAGAACCAACGGAGGATGAATTCGTTGTCATCCCCACCTCAGAGCACGCAACCCTTCCTGAACGGAAGACTAGCGGCGCAGCAGGATACGATATCTCATCATCCCCGCCCGACGATGAGGCCTGGTCGGCACTGACCTTACCATGACTATTCCCAAGGGACACTACGGAAGAATCGCACCTCGGTCCGGTCTAGTGCTAAAAGAAATTGACGTCGCTGCAGGAGTAATCGACTCCGATTACCGAGGCAAGGTCTCAGTCCTGCTGGTCAATAACTCTGACCTCCCATTCACCGTCAAAGCCGGCGACCAAGTTGCCCAGCTCATCCTTGAAAGGATAAGCACTCCACCAGTAATGCTAACCGACTGCATCAATGAAACTGAACGCGGGGAGGATGGGTTTGGGTCAACGGGTATTGCGTCCATCGAGGAACAAGCGGAGGACATCGACGATGATGAGTTCATCATTTCCTACTTATCTGGAGCGCCAATGATCACCAAGTACGAGAAACAGGAACCCCTGGCAGTGAGGGACGTTCCGCTCAAGGAGCGACTCCCTGAACCCTCATCTGGCTACAAACGACTTCACAACGGCATGATCTGGAAGGTCCACCACGACATTAGGCGTGTTACCACTTCCACCGAACTTGCAGCCTCGAACGCCCAAGGCAAGACAGAAAGAACGCTACCACAGATGGTACCATCCTACCTACACGATCTCCTCCCCGTCTTCGACAAAGCCACGGCTGCGCGACTTCCAGACCACACCGAATATGACCACGAAATCAACCTCAAGGAGGGCTTCGCGGACATGAAGCAACAGGTCTATCCGCTCAACCCGCAGCAATGAAAGGAACTTGACAAATTCCTCGAGGAGAACCTGAGTAAAGGGTACATTCGCCCTTCGAAATCCCCGTTGGCGAGTCCATTCTTCTTCGTTGGTAAAAAGGACGGTTCACTACTCCCCTGCCAAGACTACCGGCTGCTCAATGAGAACACGGTCAAGGATCGATACCCGCTCCCGCTTATATCAGACCTCCTGGACAAGTTGAAGCACGCCAAGATGTTCACGAAGATGGATCTCCGCGCCGGATACAACAATGTCCGAATCAAGAAAGGAGACGAATGGAAGGCAGCGTTCATCGTACCCGGAACTGATGGCAAACCGCTGCAGCTGTACGAACCAACAGTGATGTTCTTTGGGCTGTGTAATTCTCCCGCTACGTTCCAGTGGATGATGAACACAATATTCGCAGACATGCTTCAAGAAGGCTGGCTTTGCATTTACATGGACGACATCCTGATCTTTTCCCAGGACAAGGCAGAACACGAAGAACGAACATGATGTGTTATCGAACGACTTCGACAACATGACCTCTACCTCAAACTGGAGAAATGTGCCTTCGACGTCACCGAAGTCGAATTCCTCGGCATGATCATCCGCCCAGGAGAAATCGCAATGGACCCCGTCAAACTAGCTGGCATTGCAGATTGGCTGGTGCCATCCAACCTCAGGCAAGTACGCACCTTCGTTGGATTTGGAAACTTTTACCGCCGGTTTATCAAAGGCTTCTCGGACAAAGCGCAACCGTTGGTTGCTCTCACCCGGAAGGACGTCACCTGGACCTGGGGATCTGACCAACAGAAAGCCTTTGAGACCCTCAAAAAGGCATTTCTAGAAGAACCGGTACTACATATGCCAGATCCCGACTGACCCTTCGCCATCGAAACCGACGCCTCAAAGTTTGCCACCGGAGCGGTGCTACGCCAATGTGATGACAACGGCAATTGGCATTCTTGCGGATACCTCTCCCAGAGCTTCAATGCGCCTGAAAGAAACTACGACATCTACGACAGGGAATTATACGCGGTCATCCGCGCACTAGATGAGTGGAGGCACTACCTCATTGGCAGCCCATACCCAGTAACGATTCTCAGCGACCACAAGAATCTCACATACTGGAAGCAGGCCAAAGACATGAACCGACGACAAGCACGCTGGGCGAGTAAACTGACCGAGTTTGACTTCCGCCTGGTGCACGTTCCTGGTACCCAAATGGTGCAGAGCAACGCTCTCTCCCGCCGACCCGACCATGACGACGGCTCTAATGACAACACCGACATTGTTATGCTCCCACCAGAAGTATGAGTCGCTGCCATCGACATCGACACCTGCGACACCATTCTTTCTTTCAAAGACGACCCAATAATGAAGGAAGGACTCACTGCGGCGTGCACCGGAGGAGCACCACACACTGGAACAGACTGGTCCATCGACAATGACCTCCTCTTATACCAGGATCGGGTCTATGTACCCCCAGATGAGTCTCTTCGCAAACATCTTGTCTCCCACTATCACGACCTCCCCTCCGCAGGACACCCCGGTGTTCAGAAAACCCTCCTCGGCTTGCGCCGTGACTACTGATGGCCGAGCATGGCCCAGTTTGTCGCTCGCTATGTTAACGGCTGTGGCATCTACCAGCAAATGAAGGTTAACACGCATCCAGCCCGACCGCCCATCACCCCCATTCGGCCCTGCGCAAATGCCAAGCCCTTCAGCACATTCTCGTGTGATTACATCACGGACTTGCCACCGTCCAATGGCTTTGATTCCATTTTGGTCGTAGTGGACCACGACCTTACGAAGGGGGTAATTTTCATCCCATGCAACAAAACAATTGATGCTCTTGGAACGGCAGATGCAATGTACCGAGAGGTCTACAAGTGGTTTGGACTCCCAGACAAGATCATCAGTGACCGAGGACCACAATTTGCGTCCAAAGTCTTCCAGGAACTTTGCAAAATGACTGGGGTCCAATCAGCCATGAGTACAGCATTCCATCCGCAAACCGACGGTGAGACAGAACGAGTGAACCAAGAGCTGGAGATCTACCTCCGCTGCTTCACTGCCAATGACCCGGATAAGTGGGCTGACCATCTTCACACTGCGCAATTTGCTCACAACTCCCGCGAGCACTCCACGACGAAGGTGTCCCCGTTCAAACTCATGATGGGATACGAACCTCGTGGAATACCCACCGCGCACCCCGGATCAAACACACCCCAAGCAGCTTATCGCCTCAAGGACTTGCAAAACATCTGCGAAGAAGCACATGCGGCAATGGAGATGGCCCAGAACGTCCTGGCCAAGAGAGTAAAAAGGAAGGGGGGTTCCTTCCATAAAGGTCAGCTGGTATGGCTAGATTCCCGGAACTTGAAGCTGCCGTACCTGTCCAGGAAACTAGCCCCGAGGCGAGAAGGGCCGTTCAAAGTCCTAGACAAGATCGGAACGGTCGCGTACAAGCTAGACTTGCCTAGCACCTGGCGAGTCCACCCCGTTTTCCACGAATGGCTTCTATCTCCCTACTCGGAAACGGAGATCCATGGTCCGAACTACACGAGGCCACCCCCTGACCTTATCGAAGGCGAAGATAACTACGAAGTCGAAGCCATCATCGGACACCGAGAGAACAAGAGGATGCGGTGCCGCGAATATCGCGTCAGGTGGAAGGGTTACTCAACAGCCGATGATTCATGGGAGCCCGAAGCGAACCTGACTGGAACGACTGACGAAGTGTTGGCAGAGTATAAAAACAGGAAGGACTTGAGCTGAATCGATAGCAGCTCTACCCAGTCGCTACATCCCCACTCGCACCAACATGTCTTCCACCCTCTCGTTCCTCGACCAGTTCAACACCCCCTCGACCGAAGGCGGGAAAAGGCTCTCAATCTACACCCCTAAGCACACCCACGTCGGCGACAGCACCTTGCTGATGCTCCTTCTCAGTAATCCCACCGACGTTTTCAACAAGCTCAAAGCCCACAACCCCGAGGCAACCAATGCCACCGACCGTGCTGCACTAGAAGCGTATCTCTCCGCCCGCCGCGACTACGACGAGGCTGTCAAGGCAGCTGATGAGGCCATCGACCACCACAAACAGCTCCTACGCCAACAGGACGACCGCGTCCTCACTGAGCTCATCCGGCTTGATAATCTGAAAGTTGCCCATCGCTTTCAACCACTCCTGCCGTGCAGTATCGGGGCCCGACACAACAAATTCATCCCGTGCGCCATCCCCAACGCGTACTTACCCCTACCCACACCCCTACCGATGACAGCCTTCAGGCGCCCCCTGATCCCATCCCCTTTCCTCCAAGCAACGCCGCGGAGCACTACCATCCCGGCTGACTGGCAGCCCAACCCTGGTTGGACCCCGAAGGGAAGCTGCAGGCGATGCGGATCGTCTCGACACTGGGTACGGGACTGTCCGGACATACAATACGCAGGATGCAGAAAAGAAGCCCCTGGACACCTGGAGCGAGAGTGTGGAACCAGGCTGATGAAGTGACATGTATCCGCACCACCTGAAGAACCTGCGCGACGCGTGGGGGTGGTCGTTGACAACGTGTTCCTCGAAGGAATCATCAACGAGGTGAAGGAGAGGAAGGAGAAAGAAAGGCAGACGAAAGCGATACCTATTCCTCCACCGCGCAGCGCTAACCCCGAACCCCCGACCAGTCCCGTCGCGGGACCTTCGCGCCCCCGCCCTGATACACCCGTCGTCTTTCGCAAAGTCGACCCCGACTGGACACCCGACACCACTCAATGGACATGGGACAGCTCCTGGCCGAATCAGAAGCACCTCTCTGGCGAGGAATGGACGAACGTAGGGAGGAACGCACGCAAGGAGTGGTTCGACGAAGAGGAGGACGACGGCGTAGATTGGGAGTTGTATGGAGATGGTGAGCAGTAAGTAGTCGAATGGGACTTCGACTCTGGCAGGGGGGTAATGAAACATTTGTCTTTCCGTTCTATTCCTTGTACTACTAGCGCCCATACTGGCGCCTGTCTTAGCGCTCACCCGCAGGTTGAACATTATGTAGCTTACATAATGGGGTCCATGCACACTTCATACTCGGCATCGTACCACTACATTTCTTTCTTCACTAACACGACCACATAGACACAATGGTCCGTGCGCAGTCGGTACTTGTATAAGTAGTTGTACCATTAGTCGGTCGAACTCTAAGTTCGACCTGGTTATTCATTCAAGTCTCTGCTCCTCTTCGCTTGGAGTAGTGGTCATTCTCGACTTCCTCGCTCGATCTTCAGGACGACGTACTGTCCATAAGTCCTCGCTCATCATCTACGAGTCAGGCATCAATATAGGAGTATAGACCATTGTATCAGCTGAACTTGAAGTGCCAGCCAGGCCGAGGATGGGTTATTCAACGAAGGGATGTTGCATGAGGCCTTCACCAGTCAGAAGGACGAAAATCAACCTCGGCAGGGATGCGCGCATCTGTGTCAAAGCCAGGTATAATTTTATTTATTAGAGGGGTGAAAGCCATGGTCACAAGGTTGCACTGAGGACGACAAGACTCGACGCTGGGACACATAAACGCTACTGTAATACACGGGACCATAATAATTATGTAATGATGGGCCAGTATCCTGCCTTCCTAATCTAGGTGACATGCGCCGCTCCTCCGCTGTTTGTAGATGTTTTGTGCCAGCCGCTGTAGGGAGTTATGGGGGTTTAAGGTTGGGATTCGGAGTTTGATCTTGCCTCGGATGTAGCCGGATTGTGGCGCAAGTGTGGCGGATGGGTTTGCAGGACTTAGCTTGCGTCAAGTTTGTCGGATTGAGCCCCTATAACTCCCACAGCGGCGGGAAGGAGCCTGGTTCCATCGGCGCCTAGCAACATAATTGATGTCACGCCAGATACCATTGTAGGATCAAACGGTAATAACACGAAAGTAGAAGATTGGCTCAATACAACTGACTACAGCTGGCACGAGCCCCTCGAAGAATTTCCCATAGGCAATGATGTCGGCTCTGAAGTCTTCAATGGCGATGCCCCCAACTCGCTGCTCGACAATCAAATCCCGCCTTCCACTCAAGCCCTTAGCGACGATGACGCCAATAGCATGGATGAGATTAACCTGCTCTTCGCCAGCCTCTTCTAACCATAGGTATCACATCGACGTCGACGTCGATGTGATACCTACGGTTGGTATTTTGTTCGACCTGACCGAAGTCAAAGAATTCTTGGATCCGCGTGGTTTCCTGGAGGAGGTGGAGGCTATGGTTGAATGCACGGTCTTGTCTCAATTCTTTTCATATTACACATGGTACGCTGACAGGCGCTCTGGCTAGACTTATATGTTCGGGAATCCTGCGCGGGCACGATTTTCGACGTCCCCGACTCCCATGCTCTTCCATATCACCCCACGGCGTCCCGTCTAGATGACCATACAATTCCTGTAGATAACCCGACGGCGGGTTCTCCAGCTGATCCCTGGCGGTAATTCTCTAGTGGCACTTACCAGCCATTCGTATGGAAGCAACACGGGCTCCCCTCGCTACGCCTGCTGAGCTGTTGTTCCAGCCAAAGGTCAGCTCTTTACCACCAAAAGAAGGATCGTTCGTGAGGCTTTCAGAGATTCAACTCCCCCCGGTGCCTCATGTTAATAACCTGTCAAAAACTCTTGAAGTGTTTTTCCCGGAACAGTGGTTTGCAAAGCCTGCGCTAGACCTATTCCGTTGACACTGTGTCACCAATCAAAGATCTGCGCCAAACACCTACTTGGGACCGTCCAGACGATCCTCCTATGTACTAAGGCTGGGGGATCAAACTGATGCCCGACTTGACCCTCGTGGCGAACGTCCATCAAGTGACTTAACATAAAATACTTCGCCATTGGGAAGGCCGCTGAGTGCATGCTATAATTACACAATGAGAGCTAATTTATCGCGTCGGTCACTAGGGCATGAGCATACTAACAAGAGAGAAGTCGTCTTGCTCGTCACGCTCACTAATTTATACGACTTCACTAAGTCAAGCAAACATCACCTCTGCTGCCAACTGCTCTTTCGACTTGTTGGAGGACGGTACAGCTGCACAGGTAGTCATGCTCACCAGAAGAAATCTCTTTTGTTGGTCTAACCGCTTCCAGCTATCTACGCAACTCCTCGATCTCAATACCCACTTCCTCTCCCTCCTCCGCCCGCTCCTCCGCACTATCCCGCTCTCCCTCCTCGCGCTTCCTCCACATCTCGCTTCGCAGCCGCTGCTAGGCGCGCCTCCGCACAGCGCGCTCCCGACACCCATCATTCCCATCCTGACACCTACCCACCTGCGTGCCCGTGGCTATGATGCGCGCCCGATTACATGACCAATTATGCCGAAGGGGCGCGAGAGAGTGCGAGAGTGCCTGCAGGCGGGAGACACGCGGCAGGAGGTGGAGTGGCTGGTGGGATGGTCGAGTGGGCCGAGGCGTGGATGAGGGAAAACGCAGGGCCACTGGAAATAGAGGAAAGGGTACGAGCAAAATTGTAGACAATTTGCAGGCATGTTGCGGCTCCCTAGCACATAATACGTAGACAGTGGGGCTTGATACGACAAGGGCTGAATAATTCCTAGTCTCGGAGAGCTTCGATCTCCTGTGTGCTCTTGTCCAGATACTCATGGAATGAGTCCTGGTATCCAGCTAAGAGCGATTGACCACTTTTAGTAAGACATCGCGATAGCTGCAGTACCACCGACCTGGCGTCCTGGCGAGGGCTCTATATCGGGCGATGACTTCTCTGTTATGTTGGATGGCGGCAAGCTGTGCTTGCTTAATGGTGCCTAGATATTGGGTTATAAGTCGATGCATAGGATGTTTAGGCGATGGTCTAACTTACCAGCGACATGGACCACGTTCGGGATATACCTCTGTCCTTCAATCGACGATAGCAGCGTCACACTCGCCCACGCTATCCGATGATGGTCGCGCGCAACACGGATGATACACATGTTCGTTCGCGGCGAGTAGTACTTGACTGCTCGGCCATGCATTCAACGATTGTGCATGGGAGCCCTTGAGCTGGGTTGAACTCACTGTTGAGCGACGCGCCGACCGCACCCCAGCCTGTATCACCGAAGTGGGTGATCACGCTCTGCTTCAGCGCAGACCATATTTGCTTGCTGTTCAGCTCGGCGTCGCCGGCACCTAGTGCAGCAGATGAGGTCTGCCCGCCCGACGCGTTTGTGCTCCCTGGGCCTGGTGTGGTGCAAGGGATGAACTCGACGAGGAGCCAGCGATTCTGGCATTTTCCCATTTAGGTGCACGACACAAGAGGTGCTCTGCAGAAAAACATACCTTATGGCGAACCATGCACAGTGCGAGCAGAGGAGCAAGGAGCTTGTGAGAGTAGCCGCGTGAGGTCCCGCACGTAAGGCAATCCGAGATTCTCGGGGTGACCGGGTCGGCTATTGAAGTTGGTAGCAGAAAGCCGGCGACCCCTTCTCAGCCCCACATTTCCCCGCTGTACACAGAGCCCGCGGCACGGATTCTCGAGCAAGGTGTGTGCACACAAGTTCTTTCACTCGGGAAACCCACAACACCGAGGCTACCCTCGCAGAAACAACATCCGAACGGGTCACAAGTCCACTGGCATCACACGCGCGCGCACGAGCATCGGAGTCAGTGGGAGCATAAAAGGAGTTCATTCGTGAGGACATAAGACAAGTGTTCTGCCACCATGTCGAAGCTTGAGTACACGCCAATCGAGGAAATCCCCAAGGTATGTTGGGGGTATAATCATAATGGTTCAACAGGACTGAAGTGAGGATACGACAAGATCCACGAACAACTTCGTCGGAGCTTCCGGTCTGGGAAGGCTAAACCCATTGCGTATCGCAAGGAACAGCTTCTCCAGCTTGCCTATCTCGTTAAAGACAACAGACAGCGTTTCCGTGATGCATTCCTGGCCGACCTCGGGCGCCCCTCCGGAGAGGCTGATCTGTGTGTCCTCTTGTGCCCTATGTGCACCGTTTGACATGGCTGACGCAGTACTATGTGCGTTAAGGCTTGAAATTGACCCCACTATCGGCGAGATAATCGACGCATACCATGCCGTAGAGAAATGGGCAGCGCCAGAGAAGGCCGCCTTCCACCACATGTGGTTTGCCATGTCTCCCCATACGAGGAAGGAGCCAAAGGGGACCGTCCTCCTCATCGCACCTTTCAATTACCCCTTACTTCTCATCATGAACCCCCTCGCTGGCGCAATTGCCGCGGGCTGTACTGCGGTGATAAAACCCTCGGAGCTGACACCAGCCGTAAGCGGTTTACTGGCCGAACTACTGCCCAAGTATGTGGACCAGGATTGCTATCGCCTCGTCAACGGTGCTGTACCTGAGACGACAAAGGCAAGTTCCCTGACGTTCATAACGACGCACGCTGCTAACCAGTAATGATAGCTACTTGGGCTCCAGTGGGACCACAGTGCGTAGATGGTACTTCATTTAAGGAGTTGTCCTCATGTATGGCTGACCATGCAGTATTCTACACCGGTATGTCCTAGCATGGCTTGATCAAGCCCATTTTTGACAAGTGCAGGTAATGGTCGCGTTGCCAAGATAATCAGCCAGGCGGCAGCACAATATCTCACGCCGGTTACTCTTGAGGTCAGATTTATTCAAAATATGACACTACGAGTGTTGACGTCTTTGTAGCTCGGCGGTGAGCTTTTGCATATGAAGTATGCCGCGGTGTGTACAAATCCAACGATCTGTCCTCTCTAGGAAAGAGCCCTGTTGTCGTGAGCCCCGACTGTGACCTCATGACGGGCGCAAGGAGGATTCTATGGGGCAAGGTCGCCAACGCAGGACAGGTATGTGCCGCGAACTTAGCACACGATCTGGTGCTGTGACTCCCACTAGACCTGCCTCGCACCAGACTACGTACTCGTCCCGCGAGATTTCCAAGACGATTTTATAGCTGCTCTCAAGCGCGCGTACGCTCTGTCCACAATCTTGACACGAACCTTGTCTTATTGTTTGTGACTAAATAGGTATAACGAGTTCTTCCCCACCGAGTCACCAAGCCCGACGAACATGTCACGCGCCGTTACGGAGCAGCACACCCGGCGCATCAAGCGGCTGTTGGACGAGACTCAGGGCGCGATCGTCTTTGGAGGGCAAGTGGACATCGAGAACCGTTTCATACCACCCACTGTCGTGAAAGACGTCAAGGGAGATGACGCGCTTATGACTGAGTGAGCATGCAATCAGACGCCTTGCGCCATTCTGTTGCTGTGGAGGAAATCAAGCTCACAGCGGTTCTCAGGGAGATCTTCGGACCTGTCTTGCCCATTGTGCCTGTTAGTGGTATCGACGAGGCGATTGAGTTCATCAATGCTCGGTCAGTCTGGGCCGTTCACCCGAGCGCACTCTGTTCATTACGTCAATGGCTAGGGAGCACCCACTGGCTGTTTATGTGTTCACGCGAAACAAGGCGATCAAAGCCAAAGGTAGCTCGCCACAGTTCTTCGCAGCAGGATCTTTGTAGTAATATCGTCCTAGTGTTTGACAATACCCAAAGCGGAACAGCAGTTGCAAACGAGGTTGTGATTCACATGCGAGGTGCGTCCGGATTGCGCAGTTCTAGCTATTGCCAACCTTCCTTTTTGTGCAGTGCATGGCTTGCCCTTTGGAGGTATCGGCCCCAGTGGAGGTGCGCGCCTCCCCTGATTACCGCGTGTACTGATCTGACGAGGCGTGGATATCCAGCTGGATACAGCACAGGGAAGTACTCATTCGACACGTTCACACACTTTAGGGCCACTGTGGACAACCCCAGTTGGTACGTAGAGCTCCTTCATGTACGTTATCACGGCAGACTCACGTACCGGTGTATCCAGGATTGACACTCTTGTCATGTCGGCTCGATACCCGCCATATGGGGTACGTTGCTGCTATTCTCGGACACGCGCCTTACTCACCCCGCATGACCGTGTGGTCAAACGCAGAATAAAATCAAGAAGCTGAACAAGATGCAGGCACAGCGCCTTCCGGCCAGGCCTGGGGCCCGTGTGAGCCCGTGGAGGAAGTTCAGGCTGTGGGTCGTGTTCGCTGTGCTCGCTCTGCTGACCAGGGAGGGTTGGCGACGGCTCATTGCCCGTCACTGATCGCCCGCGACGCCTTGAACCCCGGAATTGATCTGCTCCGGATTGGCTTTGGACTGCCTGCGTGGAAGGGGCCTCAGCTGACAGCTGCGACACGCGTTATGTGGGAGGCATGTTCCGAGTGGTGTCATGCAGACTGCGATGCACGACTGCGGTCAGAGCCTGCGCAGAGCGGTTGGACGAAGGCGGTAGCTTGCTAGCAACGTTGCAATAGCGTGTAAAGTATCAGATTGTGATGCATACAGATATAACAGCATCCATGCTACATCAATCAGGCGACCAATATTGGAATTATGAAGTACAAAATGGCAGATGAGTTCTATGGTGATATAATAGTCCTCGATTGTGTCAAGATAGCAGAGGGAGAAGGACATGAGGCAAAACACATAGGATGGTAATAGAGAAATAATTGCAGCGAGCATGACTACTGGTGTAGAGTAAGGCAGGACGACCGCCGTGATGTATCCATGAATCAGTAAGACGTGATGAGGAACGAGCGGTCATCTTGGAAGGCACTGTCAAGCATCTGGCGCCAATCCCCGAGGACATCATCGCTCCATCCGCCGACGTCGTCGAAGACGCTGGCATTCTTCTCGCCTCTATCGTCGAGGGCAGACATGTATAGATCGGCAGCGCTCATGACGGAGCGTCGCCTGCTTGCGGTGTTAGTCGACTTGGGAGGGAGAGGGAGGGTCTGGATAGATGCGCGTCGATCGCGTCGGGACGCCAGGTCGATGGAACTTTCCGTAGGCGATGTAGTGAGAGACAGGAAGGAGGAGAGCGGGTTCCGTTCTGTATCGTCGCTTGAGAATGAGTCTCTCCGACTATTTCTTTGACTCAATATCAGCACCATTATAATACGACTATGTGCTTAGACATACCGGGGGGTGCGTGGGGTGCGCGGTAACGGGGATACTGCATATCGTGTTTCCCAGGAACTAGGAATGCTCCTTGGTAGTGGGCTGTGTCTTCGCATAGTGGGGTGTGGACCCGCTCGGAGGCGATCAGGCCGATCTACGAGTTGCTCGTGTGTCGCCAGTTTTGGCAGCGCAGTCTGAGGGAATTGGCGCTGGGGGTATGAAGCATTTCGTACATGGCCTCGCTTTTCTGGCACATTGGGCGATTCGCTATCGTCTGGTGAGAGGGCCGACGGGCCCACTATCACGGAAGATGGTCTGCTGGTCGTCATGACCTTGAGACCAGAATTGAAGAGAGTCGAGTATCCGCAGTTTTGGGACTGGGGCCAGGCGAAGGCGGGCTGAGTGGAGGTAGACATGGCTGCACAACGGTGCATTCCGCGGTCAGAAGTGAGACCTTATGAGAGACTAGATAGCGCCGCGGCTATGTGCAGTGTGATCATGATCGGGACAAACAAGGCGTGCTGAAGTTCGGTGTTGCCTCGGTCAGAAAGACGGGCCACCGCCCCATAAGATACGATAACGAACTCTATTGTCCCGTGGGCCTGGAGATCCACGAAAGCGATATCATGAGGCGCGTCGGCTCTCGACGTGACCCAGCCGCCGTGGCACAGGAGCACAAAACTCACCTGCGGCGTCGAGACGTTTACCGAGCCTCGGTGACTGCATCTCGACCACTGACACGAAGAACCGACGTCGGAAATCAGGACTGCCGTGGAAATGGCAATGCATGCAGCTTGTTACAATGATAGACGCGAGTGGCAAAGTGCACGTGTGTGCCAGGATAGCTATGACTAAGCTGAGAATGGGTCCACGGAACATGGAGTGGGCAATGTTGATTCTTCGGTCGCTTGTGCGCAGTCATACAGCAGCCCGAGATCATCTGTGAGACCTGAAAATCAATGTAATATCAACGTGGTCAGATGTGGTGCTGAGATAGATGCATAACCTGAGCATCGTGACGGGTGGATATTTGCGCTAGATGTGATTGACCCTAGAAACGTCTGAGGGCGCGCTCCAAGTTGCCATGTGAAAATAGAACAAGCTGTGTCAGGATAGTCACAAAACGAACGTCGGCGTGTCCCATCGAAAGCTAGATAGTCACTATCATCCCGCGCTCCTGTCTCGTAAACGCCGCCTTCATTTCCACAGCGAGATATTGATCCATCGTTCTATCATGCCTGAAAATACAACTAATGAAGCGCATGCCACACAACCGCATTCTATCCAGTGAAAACTGTTGGGTGTAGCTGCCATGTGATATGACACTGTAACAATCACTGAAAACCGTGCAAACGATACATAATGGCAACTTACCAGTAAATGGTGCTCCTCAAGTGCCACTTACGCTTCATAGATGCCTTGTATTTTCTATACTTCTCCTACACTGATGCTGGCATATCCGCTGCTTCGCCCTGATTTGTTATTTCCACAGGTGATGTATGGCATACACATTATGATACCATCGCGCAAGAGACGGCGACAATAAGGTAGCTAGACGTCACGACCGACGTGCTGAGTTGGCTTGGGTGTTGGCCTGTGCTAGAACTCCTTGTTGCTGTTCCGCGAGCACTCGGCGTTTATTAAAGTAGTCAATCTATATCATGGAGTTGGTATCATCATTATGTGTGCACGAGATGGCGGAATTCATACCCAGCTTTTGGCGCAGTTCTGCTCGTAAGAGGTTTTCGACGTGGCACACGCTATGCCTTCGTCACCAGGCTTCACAATGCCTGCGCCATCCAGACAAGTAAAGTAGATGTCCCTGCTATCCCAGCACTTTTGTCTGTTCGTACGCGAGACCGGGTCTGGCTTTTCTGCCGTTTTGAAGCTGCCAAAGAGACCCATTGAAAGGGAGGCGAAGGATGGTACGGAGCACACGAAGAAGTGATAAGTAGCCAGCAGTTACTTTACTGTAGCCAGTTTGTACAGATCATCAATTGTGAACGTGGGAAAGCGATCTAAACATTGCTTACATCCGGTCGTTACAACCAGTCTCACTATCATCACGCGCCTTCCTTCCCACCGAGCACGTCTGCCTCAGACTAAATTAGAGGTTCACATATCCTGATAGGCTACATCTTGAGGAGGCCATACATGATCTGACAATTATATGTTCACTCTGGCAACAAACATCGGACCAAGTGCCGCTAGGCAACGGACACTGGCATTGACTGGCTAAGCTTGGGTTGAGCCAGTGCAGGAATGACCTCTATACCTTCTGGACAGCTCTCGACCCCTACACACTTGCATCCGCTGCTCCCAGAGGAAGGGTCTTCTCGAGGACGCCGATCGCGTGGAAAACAGACTGAGTCAGGCGACTTTAAGCCTGCTACAGACTACTTCACCTTGAAGGCACAGTTGGAGAGTAGCGCAGAGGAACATACGAAGCATAGCCATGCGAACTGGGATGGTAGCGTCCGTGGCTATGGCAAGGGTAGAAAGCGCAAGTCAGTGGTTGGCAGTCATGTTCATGTCACCACTTGACTGAATGGGGACATGGGAATAGGCATGTCAAACCAGCACCGCTTATTGTTGTAGAGTCTTCCAGCGGGCATTTTGCATCTCCATCTACCCCGAGTTATAACAACTTGGAACCCGTCTTCTCTGAGCCATCTACCCCGGCTTATAGCAACGTGGAATCCGTCCTCTCTGAGCCTGTCCTAGGGGAATCCGTGTCGCATAGTGATTCTCAGATTTTACTCACGACATGGCATGAAATGTCTGACAGTGATATCGAGTCTGCTATCCTTCAGTGTCACGAATCTACACCACAGTCTAGTGTTCCCAGCCACCCGTATCATTCCGTGTTACGGGTCCTGTCATCCGCCGTACACCATCTCACTCGAATACGCCGGGAGCTTGAAGAAAGCCGCCGGCTATTACTGGAGAAAGACGCTGCACGGCGGGACCGTGCAAGCCAGCTTTTACAAGAATTGCCACCATCCGAAAAGGGCGTAGCAGAACGTGTGTTACAGTCGCTCTTTCCGAACGATGACGAAAAGGGCCATCGAGTTCATAGACAGCATAGCCAACTTGTGAGGATCTAATTTCAGTTCTATTGGTCGAGGAATGGCTGATGGGTCTGAAGTCTATTGCCGAATCGTTGACGGAAGCCATCGAAGACGACAGTGCGCTTTCGCACAGTTACCCAAGCGATATAGTCACGCCCGTGGCATCAGCGACAACCGTACCAATTGACACCCACGCCGACATCCATATCGGCAGCCAGACAGATGGCGCGTCCGTGATAGAAGACTCGGCGCCGTTGGATATCGGACCCCAGAAAGAGGCTGAGGATTCCGGGGATGGTGGTTCGCATCACAGAGACATGAGTTCTTCGGGTGAGACTACCAGAAGTGACCAAGCATCTTTGGGCAATTGGATGGGCACATGGTGGCTGAAGGGCAAGAGGAATGGCCGTACACCATCTTCTCTACATAGCGAGGACTCCTCAGGCGCAGTCGCTTCAGATCTATCGACTTCTTCGCAGCCTGACACGGATGCCGTGGTCGAACTGCCAGCGACGCCTCAGACAGTAAACAAGACTGGTCGTCGGAAAGTCTCTCGAAGCGTATTTGGCACCCTAGGCTTCTCCATCCTGAATCCATCCGCCGGTGCTGCGACGTCCAGAAAGCGCCGTAACGTGTCTGTAGCAGACGTAGGACCTGTAGAGACCCCTCGACCCACCCAACGAAGCCAAACCGCACAGTCTGCTGCATCCTCTCCCGTCAGAGACACAGTTCTCCGTGCGGAATCGCCCCAACTATCCGTCTACCTATCGTCCTCGAAGCCGCCATCTGTTGTCTCCTCGGCAAAGCCGGTGGGCGATGAGAAGCCTCCACAAGGAGCTTCTTTGCGAGCGATCATACAAGCGACACGGGTTATGACCTCCGATCCCGCCAGTATCCTGGACGACCAGGGTCAAGATACAAGCGATTTCATCGCTCAGCGGGCGATGGAGCTGGTGCGGAACGCGAGAGAAGCGGGACTGGACTTCCGGAAGGAGCGCAAGCCGGATAAGCCAGACGGTCAGCACCAGCAAGGACACCCAGTGTCTCTGAGTTCCACAAACGACCACAAACCCGCTCTGGGCCAGGTCATCATTCAGGATGAAACACGCAAACTGCATACACGTCGAAAACCCAGCGTTAATCTGTCTTCGTTCGCTTCTCCTCTTTTCGGCTCATTTATGGCTCAGCAGGAGAAGACCATCTCGACCGTGGTGGGCGCTGTTTCGAGGGGTTACGCTTCTAATGCATCATCTTCGCATGCACAAGTCAATGGCCCTACCTCTCCTACGGTGCCTGTGCGCAGGCCTGGGTCTGTCCCGCTGGAATCCATCATCCCGACCAATGCAAAGCCACCAACGCAGTTCCTCTCGCGTACCTATACTCCCTTGACGTCCCGGGACTTCCACTTCTCCATTCCCCTACCTGATGTGGCGTCTGCACTTTCTGTTCCGCTTGACGAGCAGAGTCACGAGGGTATGACGGATAGATATGGCTTCATCTACGATGTGTCGAGGTATGATGTCCTGCTTCTCATCCGCGCGAAGGAATGCAGCAATACGGCTCCGGCATGTCTGACCGGTATCAAGATTGCTGACAGACGGGAAGACAACAACTGGCCTGAGGACGAGGCCGTACCGGACGACGCTATCGAGATCGTGAAGGAAGGCTGCGATCTACACAATGCTGGTGATTCTAATGAGACCCTCAGCATCAGATCCTCAAGTACCCGGCGCACGGTACAGAGCATGCCAACCGCAGACTCGATACCACATTCTTCGCAGGCATCTCGTGGGGTATCACCGTCGTCATCGAAGGGAAGAAAGCGCACTCCTGCAGCTGTGGCAGACCCAAGATCGAAGACGTCTATTTTGCTTGTCGACTCCGAGACTCCACGTCACGTCTGCGCGCATACCATCCGCAATCTCATGGCGCGGCTGGTCGAGCTTCATGATGAGCGACACGCTGTCCAGCGTAAAGAGTGGGATGCCTTTTTGAAACGCAGGAGCAATTCCAGGAAGGTTGTCAACTCGTCAGGCACGAGGACGGCCGCTTCAGCAGGCGCAGCCGCCCTTCTCGGATTGGGAACTGCTGATGCAGACGAGGAACTCGATCACAGCGGTGGTTTTATTGGTTTCGCACAGCTTGGCTTACCTGCATATCGCGACGAAAGGAAAGATTTTGTCCGCCTTGTACGTGGTGGCATACCTCTAGTCTATCGCTCGAAGGCATGGCTTGAGTGCAGTGGGGGATTAGAAATGCGAGAACCTGGCGTATTCTCCGATTTGCTCGCGCAGTCGGACGACGAGAATGGCGCGGTTCGCGAGATCGAGAAAGACGTTGGGCGGACGATGCCTTTGAACGTGTTCTTTGGTCGCACCGGCGCAGGTGTAGACAAGCTGCGGAGAGTTCTGATCGCATATAGCAGGTTAGTCCAGGTAGTTTCCCTGCTGATGCTTGACTCAATTACTACTCAGGCGAAATCCAACGGTCGGATATTGTCAAGGCATGAACCTCGTGACTTCCACCCTCCTTCTGGTTTTCGGGGATGAAGAGGAAGCTTTCTGGGTACTTGCTGCTATGATTGAGCGAATCCTACCACCCGACTTCTTCTCCCCATCATTGCTGAGCTCTCGCGCGTGTCCTCTGATACTGCTTGACTACGTGCAGGAGCATATGCCAAAGTTGTACAATCACTTGACACAACTAGACGTCGATCTTCCCGCCATCTGCTTCTCTTGGTTCCTGTCGCTGTTCACAGATTGTCTTCCAGTGGAGGTATGGCATTGCATCTCCATCGATCAGTATAATATTAATCGTCCCGTAGACATTGTTCAGAGTGTGGGATATCTTCCTTGTGGACGGCCTCGACGTTCTCTTCCGCATCGCATTCGGCATACTCCGGATGAGTGAGCAGGAATTGCTGCACTGCAACTCGATTCCTGCGGTGTACGTCGCCTTGGAGAGCCTACCCAACCGCATGTGGGAAATCGAACGGTTGCTACAGGTGATTATATTACCTGGCTGAAGATGTTCAGCTGAGCTGATAGGCCTATGCAGCATGAGACAGAGCTCCGGTCCACGATGTTGCATGCCGATCTCGTCAAACGCCGCGACACTCACATCGCGAGCCTGAAGGAATGTATGGCCTGAGACTCTGGCGGCCGCTTCGCTTCTCTAGAACTTACGCGTGGAATTGCACTATCTTGTACGGTAATGTCGCTTTCGTTGCATCGCTTGTGGACAATCATGGACTGCCGTTGGGGTTTTCTCGGTGTCATATCATACATAATCAGTAGCTCGCATAGAATCGGAACACATCAATATCCAGTGTACCTGACAGGATGACCGCCCTGACGGGTTGCTTCAGGGTCTGGTCAATTGAGATGGCCAGGAAGCAACGAAGCTAGAAATGGCGTGCTACTGCATACAGTGGCAATTTCGGCACAGGTGTCATGCGGTGTTGTTAGTCATGCCATCGCCCTGTTGAGTCGGGTGTGAAGCTTACAGATAACAGATGCCATCTATGTACGACTGTAGCTCCATCTCGTAACAACAAGCCGCCACATCGATGCCAGTATCCAAGCAGACCCTCAATGTCGGCGGCATTGCCGTACATGTGTATTCTACACCGAGCGCAACTGATGCCTCCGCGCCAGTCAGCGTCTTGTTCTTCCTCCACGGAAGGACAGGCTCTGCTCAGGATTCCGAGTGGGTCGCTGAATCTACACTCGGATGGATAGACGAGCAGCGCAAGGCCTCTGGCAAATCCGCTGAGGATCTACTCATCGTGACCTTTGTGAGTGGCAACCAACTACTAATCAGACAGATCTACCTTTGCGATGAAGTTGAATCGCCCTCATATCCGCAGGATCAACGTAACCACGGAGCGCGGGTAGTGGACCTGCACTCTAACAGTGGATGGAGAGAACAGCCACCGGCAAAGAATGATCGCCATGCGTAAGTTTGACTTACGGGCATTTTATATGAGCGTCAAGCTAACGCCGACAATCGAAGTCTAGACATGTACGCGATTCACTGTAGGTCGCAATCTTTGTGGACTAAGATTGATCCTCACGCTCCTGCCACAAGCCGGGACGGCGAGGGATGTGTCATTCCTCATTGACTTCCTACCATCCTATCTGTATCCATCTGGTGAGCGTACCGTGTCCAGTTGGCTGATTGGAGGGATTAGCCTTGGTGGACATTCCACATGGTATGCACTCCGCAATGGTGAACAACTTGGCTCGAACATGCATTGTACAGATCTAATGATGTCTGTAGAGCCCAGGATCACACTCGGTGTCCCTATCATTGGTGAGGATCAACAAGCCACGGTGATGCTTTCACTAATCCTGTTGCAAAGGGTGTCCGGACTACACCGCCTTGATGACCGAGCGTGCCGGACTGAACGGCATCCCATGGGAGCCTCCATATATCCCGCGGTCCCTTCTAGATCTCATCGAGCGGTATGACCCGGCAGCGGCCTCGTACACCGTTCCCGACGCCTCCAACCCGTTCCTCGGAAAGAAAATACTCGTCTTGTCCGGTGGGGACGACAAGCTTGTCCCGTGGTCCGCGTCGAAAACATTCGTGGACAGTCTCAACGTAGGTTTAGGCGGGGTGAAGGAAGTGATTGTTGCACCTGGAGTTGGCCATAAATGCACACGAGAGATGGTGCAGGCAATGTCGAGGTTCATTTGGACGGAAGCCTTGACGCAGTAGCGATTTCCTTGCGCCGCAGCCGCCAGAAGTTGAAGTTATGTCACTGGTACTGACAAATGTGTTTTGATAGGGTGTGGCGAATCTTGCTTCCGTAAATTTGCTGTCAGCCTGAAAGGAAGATGAAATCCAGAGGTGCTATTGCCACTGGTCAATTAACCAACGAGCATCCAGGGTGCAGTAGCCTGAATCAACTCTTCAAAGGGGGTCTTGACATTGACCATCGAGGTCCTCTCTTTGTCCGAGCGCGCGATGTAGCAATAGTGCTTTGGGAGCCATTATATGTTGAATTCAGTAGAAGCCACCGACTTCTACTTCTAGTATTCTCGTTACCCCTCTCTAGATATCCTCTTTGTGAGGACTGGGTACTCCCCTCATCGAAAAGGTCATAACCTATGGTCTGCTTACGGGAGTCTAGGATATCCGCAGACTGGGCAAGCATTATCCCATCGATAGCAAATGGTATGCGTCCTATTCATAGCAGACAGAAGGCTTGAATTTGTGGCCCATTGAATAACTCCGCAGACCTCACACTGCCCAGTACAGTGTTTCGTGCAGCCATTTTCCCGGTATGTAGCAGGTGAAATGACAGGTAGCCTGAGAGTGGCATCTTCCGCGGGCTTACGATTCACATACAACTCGCTTCCCAACTATGACGATACTGCCACAGATCTTTACTGTTCAAAAGGGTATGCTGATATCACCCTCCACGACCACCTAGAATCCAGAGGTGAGCATAAATGCTTTCCCCCGTGTGATACTCGCCGAAGAGCTGCACTTTTGTTTTCTTCTAGCTCTCTTGATTAGACCCTCGCCACATGAGTAAGGGACCGTGTGGCGGACCTGAGTCATGCAAACGTGTGCGCCTTGCTTGCTCTGGCCACCGCTTTGCCACCCATTGTCTGAGCTCAGCCGCACTGTATATAAGTCGCACAGCCCATCAATGCCTCGGCTGGCTTCCTAGAGTCCTCATCCCGGACCGAACCTTCTTCGTCAGCCGACAATGCATCGTGCTCTAGGCGTAGCAGAACTTGTTCTACTCATAGTCTCTAATGTTGCTAAGCGCCCCGACTGTCCATCATCCCGAGACAGGCACAGCCTTGCTATGCTGGCAAGGACATGCAAGATGCTCAGTGGCGCGTCCCTAGACCTACTTTGGTCTGCGCAGTTGGGACTGGCTAACCTCGTGAAGTGTATGCCTTCTGACCTCTGGGAAGAAAAGGTATGGCGGTACCCGTGGAGCGTTCCCGGTTGCAACGACCGAGTCGAGTCAGATCTGAGGCTGGTGAGCAGTGATCACGAAATATTATTCTCCGCATTGGACCTCATCACCTCAGCAGATGATCCGGAGGCCAATGTTGCCGGGAGACTGGACACGCTTCCATTTTTATGCGCAAAGAGTGCGTAAACTGACCTTGGACAACAACTGGAAAGCTGAAGGTCACTTGTCAAACGAAGACCTCATGCTACTTGGTCTGTTCGCACCGTCCTCCCCCTTACTCCCCAATCTACGTAAACTCGAGACAAAACGATGCTCTTCCCCGGTTCCTTTAGAGCTGTTTCTCAAGCTGCCAGGACCGAAATTAACCCACCTTGAGATGGTCGTTTCCGACTCGGATAAGGTTACAAATTCCGTTCTGACCCATCTTCCGACTCTCGTTCCCAATCTCCGCGTATTGGAACTCTACCAACACAAAACGCCTTCAAAAGCGCGGCTGGATCCCAGAGAATGTTTCTCCTTTCCTAGCGGGGCACTTCGAGGGTTAAAACACCTCGAGAAGCTTGCAATGTTCGTTGAGTCTCCTCTCTCACATCAAGCATTTGTCGAGCTGTCATCCTTACCTCAACTGTCTTCACTGGAGTGGGATGTCGAGGCGAATATCGATCAGTTCGTTATGCCCTTCCGTGGTTCAGAGGCTCACGGAACACCATCTGCTCTAGAGAACATCAGGACTTGGTCATACTACATAACATCCTCCCTGGGTTTACTGAAAGCGAAAAAGTGGCCGAAACTTGAGAATATTCAACTCACTGCGGCTGAGGCCGGCTGTGAAGACCTCACTACTATCTGTCAGACAATCCGGGACCAGTGCTCCGTCTCTACCCTCAAACATGTCAGCATCCAGTTTGAGAAGGAAGAATCTGCGGACAACGTGCCTGGTGTCTCGTTGCGACCGCTCTACGCGTTCCACGGCCTGGAATCACTTACAATCGATTCAGAATACAACATCGAGCTCCAGGACGCCGATTTAGAGGAGATGGCACTTGCATGGCCGGGCCTGCAGGATCTTGCGTTCGTACACGACGAGGCAGACTCATGGGTTTTCACACCCGCCGCCACCCTCGGCGGCTTGGTCCATCTCGTCAAATACTGTCCCAACCTCCGTCACATTGTGCTAGACGTTGATGCCTCCCGAACTGACATATCCCCAGGCGCGAAACCAGGTGGCGGTTGGTGTAACACGATGCTGACAGAAATTGGTCTTGGCCCGTCATCCATTGCAGGTGACCCGCACAAAATTGCCAAATATCTCTCGGACCTGTTCCCGAACCTAGAATCTATAGATTGCGATGCGGAGGATCCAAGGCATAGAGCAGCATGGGAGGAAGCAGAACGCCACCTGCCGGCATTTGCTGCGACTCGGACTGCCCAAAGGGCCAAAGGTCCTCCTATCCCCCGAGTGATACATCATCATGTCAGAGGAAGGGACAAGTAGGCTAGTATCTCGTCATATATTCCAATTAAACGAATGGTGTACTGCCTTACTTCGTACAGAATTTTAGTCGAGTGTGGGCGGCCCTACGGTGGTGATGACCTGTTACCACATAAGTCAACAACCCCTCGCACCGCATCCTCAGGGCTGCTGCGAATGAAAAGACCCTGAAGCGCCGCCATGCTGACCCTCCGACCTGTCCCCAACTCAGACTTGACAATGGCTTCCACTTCTCTCCCTAAACTCTCAAGCAGTTCGTCAGGTGGTGCATCGTCCGCTCCGCGGTAGAAGTGCACGAAAAGCTTCTTCGCCTGTTCTGGGGTGGCGTCATCTAACAGCACAGCAAGGTCGACACGCCCAGGTCGGATCAATGCAGGATCAAGCCGCTCAGGGTGGTTCGTTGTCATGAATATAATGCGCTCTTCGCCGGACGCCACTCCGTCTAGGGCGTTTAGGAACCCAGAGAAGGTCACTGAGGATTGATATCTAAGAGATCCATCCATAAGCTTCAGGTCATCGTAGAGTGATGACTGGCGCATACCCGTCTGCGGTCGTCTGCACACGTTTGTTAAATGCGGCGTCGACATCTTCGATGAGCACAAAGCTACGCTCTGGCGTATTCGAAAGCAAATGGATCAATTTGTCATCTGCAAGTCCCCGCTCAGACAGGTTGAGCAGGCATATGTCGTATGACAGCGCGCCGGCCAGAGCCTGTATGAACGACGACTTGCCTGACCCGGGTGGGCCGTGGAGCAGATATCCGCGGCGATACGGTATGCCTGGGCCATGTGTCAAACGGACTGGCATGGCAGGGATAGGTAGGACAGGAAGCTTACCGCGGTCCTCGTACCACTGCCGTCGTTGCAGGAATGCCTTGACATCTTCCTCAATACGATCCGAGACGCCTTCGGCCAGCACAACGCTGTGCAACGGTCGCTTCCGTCGTGGCTGCCCGAAAGGACGCCATTCGGTCCCCCAAGCAGTATGTATCACCAGCTTGCCCTGCTGTGCGCGCAATGCCATGTCCCGTGCCTCCGATAGTAGGCCACGAAACTTGTCGCGATCACTCGAGAGAGTGGTAAGCGTGACGGTCTCCCAAGGTATGCCGGACATGAGTTGCTGCGAGCGTGTCTCGCGCTCACGTTTGACCTGTGCAGGAGACCGCTCAGTCGTGTAGATTTAAAATCATACCGTTCATACCTGAATCCATGCCTGCCCATACCGCAACCAATGTGTCCCCGGTCCAGCCACCAGCTTAAATAGGACAGACGAGCTGCCATTCTTACGCTGCTCATGCATCGTCTGCACGCTGATCTGGTGACTTCGGGTCCATGAGCTCGGATGCCATAATTTTGTTTTCGCTCCAGCGGTCTCCGCGGAACGCTGCGACATCCATGTGAGGAACCAGTCGTACGCGGGATCCTTGTTACTGATCTCCAGAGAGACCAGCATCCGTCGGCGAAGCGCGATGGAGGACAACACGACGGCTTGACGAAGTGCAGTCAGGCCAACACCGACGCCCTGAGCATTTCCTTAGGCTACGATGCGGAAGTTGTGGACGATGCCATAACGCACCATAAGACCAAACCCTGCCTGAAAATAAGGACTATGCATCAGCTTGACTCTTGTTCAGAGACGCACAACAGGAAGCTGTATATGACGCACTTGTCACCTATCAAACTGGATAGTATACTGATGCCATTTGAGTTGTCCGGAACATGCGCTTGGGGTAGCGGTAGAGCGGCTGACGAATCCGTGGCGACTGTAGCCGAACGCAGCGTGTCGTTCATCTGGATAGATGAGTTCTGAAGCTTCACAGAGTTCGTGTGCACTCTTATGCCACAGAAAACCCAGGATAAAGATATTCGTGCCGCAAGGATGTCCTCTGACGAGCGCACGCCGTATCACCTACGCAGGTACCGCCAACACTTGGCCAAGGAGGGGTATTCGCTTCCCAGTCGTCACTGACAGGCTCAGCAAAAGCTTTTGATTTTTGTCCGCGTCGAGGCAGGTACGAAAGCCGTGAGGGATGAAGGTACCAGTCACAGAGCCGTCACAGGCGCGGGCGTCTCCGAATTTGACCGAATCATCGCTGAAGCGCTGAGCGCCGACTCCAGAGCTCGAGTAATATGGCAATGATACAAGGGCTATACAACAACATATACATCCTATGGACAGTGTACAAACAGCACTCAGCATACAAGGAGTGTGAAATATTAAGTAATGGATTGAAATCGACATCCATCAGTCACCGGGACCCTGCATAAATAGTACCCCTCGACAATTTCAGAACTCTACACAGCATGCCATGACTCTGTCTCCTGCTCAAACGAAGATCAATCATCTGAGAGCAAATAGTGGAATAGGACTATCATCACCTCAGCGGTTTGTATGGCTGTGCCCAATTTTGAATTAGTTACAGTCTGGATCTCGACTTGGATAGCCTGAGAGGGTATCGCGTCTGCATTCATAGGACAATCATCAGCAACGAGACTGCTAACCTGGCCATTGCTAGATCGGCGGTCCCCCGTCTTGTTACTGAATTTGCTCCCCGTCCCTGTGCCCGTAGAGCCACTTGGTCGGGTCATAGGGAAGGACACATTGGGGCCTGTGTGTGTTCGCTCGCGGAGGCTATGCCTTGCGTTCAACGTCGCAAGTAGCGAATTCAACAGAACTGCAGGTGCGGGTCAATTATGTTCAGACGACGATGGTTGGCTCGAGGGCTGGCTCACGTTTCGGGAGAACAAAGTAGATCGCGATGAAGGTGAACTTCGTCTCATTAGGCATGGCGGCATACTATGGGAGACGGGTCAACAAAGGTAACAATCAGGACGCCGCAGACTTACGATTGTGAGACAAACAATTGCACATATGCTTCCGTAGGCTGAGTACATCAAGAAAGCGAAGAAACCTGAAAACAACATACCTGGTTAAAGCTCCAGTGTTAATGCTGTATACCATGAGCATTCGGATGGCGGAGTTTGTCCTGGAACATAATATTGGCTTTTCGTTTAATCTCTGCATATGCTATTTGAACACATACCTTGCAAATCCAGAGCGGCGTTGGCTTAGCAGGACACAGAGTGAACCCGCGATGAGCAAGTCGGCGACGACACTGAGGATTAGGCTCGTGTAGATGAACCACTGAAGGAAGAACATTTTAGACTTGCGATACGTCTCGATGCCTGTGACTAACTGTGATCTTGGTGAGGTCAAAGTAGTCCGTGAGAGACAACCTGGTTCGATAATCAGCTCGAGAGGTCTCTGCCAGCATAGCGCACATTGAAAATGATACTCACCCCTTGATTGCAAACGCTGGGATCATGAATCGGCCGCAAGTTAATACACGCTCACACTCGAAGAATAGAAAGCTTACCCCAGCTACTGGCTGCAGGAAACAGTGGTATATCAGTGAATGGCGCGACAACTAATTGGCAGGAGCGCACCGAATACTCCAAGCGATGTAACAGCCTATGGGTTAACATGAATATATCTGTTTGTAAAGTAAATGTATTTGCACGGACAATCAGAGTGGTAATGAGCCAGTTGCGGCCGCTGACTGTATAAGAATCAACTTTGGAGTCTGAAGGCGACTGATAAGACGGAGTACGCACGCAGATACACCCTTTGACAGAACAAGCTACGATGGTGCCGATGAAGCCAGTAGAATGGGGATGCACGTTGTGACGTACCCTCTGACGATCGTGTCGCTCGTGCTCTGAAATAACATCAGGGCGTGAACCCACGACACCTCTACCGAGCTTACCGCGACAAACACATGTGCCTGGATCGTCGATTGTTACTGTATGTACACATACATCAATGCGAACACATACCATGACGCTCCTGCGAATACAATATGAGTTCTAGTTTGACTGTAAGTCGAAGTCCCAGCTCACCACTCTGGCGCGATCAGCGCGACAGGGTTATCGAAATCGGTCACAGAGTACGTGTAGAACGCGTGCGTAATGAACGCTTGATGTAGGCTGTCGAGGACCCTATATAAATCATATTAATGCCACCAGGAGTACTCGACAGGATGTGGACAAGCCGAACCACAAGATAGAAACCTGAGACGAAGCAGGTGGATATTGTATTTCTGCAGAAGACAGAGATTGAGGGTAAAACTCACGATCATCTTCAGGACTCTCGGGTCGTCCTTATTGCGCTTGTAGTACAAGTATGTTTGCACATTGGTGACGCCATAGAGACTACAAATGCATAATAAGTACTGAGTAGTAGACGGTCGTGTTCACCCACATCGCAGATGCGATGGTGCCTGGTTCCCGTGTCAAGAATTAACGTCGACAACAACAGGTAAATCACGACGTACCGAGGTAGGTGACGCCCAACGTAGGTGTAATGAATGAAAGACTGGAGCCGAGAGCGCTACCGCTGCTAGCCATAGTCACAATTAGCAACCTGTTCTACGAGTACTTCAGGAGGGGGTTCGGCCTGCCTGGCAGCGAGCACATCTTATGCATGATACTTCACGGCAGAATCAACCATCTCCATGGCTCTCACCATCTGACACATGATTGACAATACTCTAGCAGCGCTCTACGAACAAGGCCCTGAGACATCCAGGCAGAGATGGGTCTATCGGGACATATAACCCTTGAGCTTCTTGTCACCTTCCCATGAGCCGGCGCCACCGGAACCTTCCACACGACAGATGTTCAAAGCGCGAGAACACATGTCCCAGTGCTCATCGCCTTGCGGAGATTGGCGTAAAGCATATGGACACCGGATTCCCTCATGTGTCGATGTGTTGATTACAGCTATACGCCTGCTGATGGGTCTTTGTGACGAAAGAGAAGCGAATACTCGTGCTATGTTGCATGAGGTGGTGTTCGAAGGTCGGCTTGGTAGTTACAACCGCAGCAGGAAGGCCGTCGGAATAGGGTCCACCTGCTGGGGCGATGCAGCAGGTCAACGGGACCGACACCATGTTAGCGCTGCTGTCTGGAACAGTTAGATCGAAATGATACGCACACGATGTAAGGTTTCCCCCATGCTTGCATTCGGGTTCTCATGGGACAGTCAGCCATCCCAGTGCTTCCTTGATGACAAGCTTCTGCGTGAGTGCCGCAAATGGCTCATCATCTTTTGTCGTAGTTTTAGTCGTTTCTAAACTCGTAATTATCCGGATTTCTGCAGCTATGTTGGGAAATCTCATGCAGGGCAGAAATGTGCGTCCAGAACTGTTCGATCTCGCACGGACAAACGCTGTCTTATTAATGCACAATTAAGAAAGACTGCAAATGGCATAATTTACCCACCAATGAGAAGTCAGTGATTGAGATTTGCTCATGAGAACACCGAGAACATACCTGAATGACAGGCGCTCAATAGACGAGGCCAGATTACGTAGGTGTATGCCGTACAAACACTCGGACAAACGTAGTAATGCAAGTCGTGCCTTGACCTAAACAGGGCCGCTCTATAGGCTCGACAACACAACAACAGGGCAATTCTGACAGGTCGCACATGTCATGCATACTACCTCGGCATATGACACATATTCGGAGTGCAAAATGGGTAGACGGGCGCGCAGTAAGGGGCCTCTCTAGCGGAACTGAGATCATTATGTGTCCTTCATTTTGCGCCCATCTGCGACCAATAGCCACATATGCATATATATATAGATGGTGTTTAGGCTGTCATCGCTCGAGGGCACGGCCTCTGCGATTTCACTCGCCTCGTTGAACCTAGGAAAAACACAAGGTAAGAACGTTCCTGGCATCTTTGGTGTACTCACGCGGGTGTGTAAAAACAGTGCAGATGAGCATGCCAAACAGGCACAAGAAGAGTTAATTCCCATAATGCAAAGAAAGATATATTGGTGACTGATCGGGCTCTTCTGCTGCATTCAAGACAGGCACAGCGGTCGGCGGTTGAACGTGTGAACGTGAATACCAATGAGCTTAGCAAGGCCTTAAGGGAAAGGCGCCCCGTGAAAACTACTGGCTTGACTAGGCCGACGAGCAACACAGGCTCAAGGATGTAACAACGTGAAGTAGGTCATGGCAAGCTGGACCGTGCTGCCAGTTTCAGCAAGAATTTGTTTGTGTTTGCCGCACGCGACATCTCGCGTGAAAGCTGCAATCACATGATATCCTACGACATCTTGAGCCTTTCTATGTCTGCAGACTGCTAAGGCTTATGTTGTGTCGTAGTCATTCATATTCTAGTGACTGTGGTTGTTGTTTTTGCTATAGTATCAACGTTCAACTGTGCTGGCTATTCTGCACTGGTGAATTCGAGATGGTCCGCGTCCTTAGCTAAGCTGGTAGCGCCGAGTAGTCGTCTGCTTCAGACGTCTCGCAGCTCATCCGGAAGGTCTCGATACACACACTACCACGATACTTCGTATAGCATGGCCTCCAACGCTGAACCCAGCTCGAGCACTGAGACTCAGCCCAGCGCATCAGCCGCGCCTCAGCTCCCCACATTCAAGTATTACCGGGCTCCTCAGTCTACTACGGAGCGGAGTATGTGCGCTCTGTTCCCCTGCCGTGGCTTCGCTGACTAGGCTGTACACCTCATTGTGCTTCTGCCTGTGCCTGTGCAATACGACCCATTCGATCGCGACTATCATTGGTACATCTGGTTCCGTAGGAGAGCTCCCCGACTCGTACTTCCAGCCCAGCCCAGCCGATCTGAAGGCCGCCCAGGCCTCTCTATCTGCTCGAACACAAGCCCTGACCAATGCGCCGCTTCGCACGCAAGCGATGCGGGAGGCAGAGGAGAAAACAAAGCGGGCACGGTGGCCTACGGTACGTCCCATCTGTCTCGACGGGTCGCTCACATCTTACTGGACTCTGTTCGGCTTCGCAGACCACAATACGCATCAAGTTCAGCGATCGCAGCCAGCTCGAGAAGACGTTCCTCTCGACGGACAAAATCCGCACCGTGTACGCCTTCGTGCGCGGCTCGCTGCGCGAGGACGTGAAGCCGGTCAAGTTCGTGCTCTGTACGTCGCCCGTCCTCTCCGCATCGCGGCCCGCTGTTGAACATTGAGGGTGTGTTTTGATACGCAAGACCAGACGCCGCCGAAGCGTGAGTTCAAGGTATCCGACCCGACCGTGCGCGACCTCTCGCTCGCGGACCTGCAACTCGCGCCGTCGTCTGTGCTCCTGCTCCGGTTCGAGAAGGACGAGCTGAACTGTACGTGGTCGCTTCGCCGCAGTCATGCTGCAGTGAGCAATTGGCTTACCGAGTGCCTGTACAGACACCGACGTGCCTGCGCCCCTGGACGAATCAATATTAGCCCAGGCTGAAGACCTACCAGCTCCACCCAACTTCGACGCGCAAACGCCGTCGCAGCCATCAACGGCAGAATCCCCAAGAAACCCATCTAGTGGTTCCTCGAGCGGAAATACGTCGCTAGAGAAGAAGATACCCAAGTGGATGAAGTTGGGTCCGAGTATGTATCCGTGCTTCCCCGTCATGCGCTCTGCTGACCTTTTTTTGTGTTTGTAGAGAAGTAACTTTGTTCGAAGCGTGCTTCATACGATCCGTTATAAGGATGGTCGCAACTGTAATATACAACATCTACGACGTGTATCAGGCACAAATTGATAATTACCGCGTGAGCTGATCGTCATCTGTTGACTCCACCAGCGTTGAAAAATGCTAAGTCTGATCGTGCGCGCTATGGGGAATTGCCAGTCATACTTGAAACCGCAAACTGAGCGCGCGATTAACTAACCCAGGCTCGAAACTCCACAGGACGACCCTGCCTGACTTCTACAGCAACATGCGCATACCAGTTCACGTCCGTTCTCTTGTCACTTATGCGTTCTGAATTTTGTGCTTCTCCGTTATGTTTCGCAAATGTCTTGGATGATAATCGTTGAAGGTCAAGGCCCGCTCTCAGCGCTGAGACCTTGAGGTTACAGACAACATACATTGGCTTTTATATATGTAAGGACGTCAAGTCATTGCAAAGCACTAGGCCTCATCTAGCGTCATGACATTACAATCTAGGACATGTAACGGAGAATTATGGCCGACGACCGCAGCAGCAGGATCTATCAAGGTCCCCCATACGATAACAAGAAAGTGTTGCTGGGCGACACGAGCACCCTAAGCAGGGCCAAACAGCTCACCAGCGGTCGTTGCGACTACCATAGCCGTTGTCGTGACCCCCGTACCTGCCGCCACCGCCACCGCCACCTCCACCTCCACCTCCACCGCGACCACGGCCGCCGCCGCCACCACCGTAGCGACCTGTAAATAGAGTTTAGTATAAGTAAATCAATATACGGAGACGAGGGACATACTGCGACCGCCACCGCCACCGAACATCGACATTTCTTCTAGCTGTGGAGGCACGTCTGCCTTGGCCTCGCGCAAAATGGTGATCAGCTCCCGAGCGGACTTCGCGTTGTCCGTAGTGAAGTAGGTGTAGGACGTGCCCTTCATACCTGCACGCTGAAGGACGGAAGTGGTAAGACTTCTGAAGTAGACAAACACGTATGACTTACTCCCGTACGACCAATACGGTGAATGTAGTCCTCGCAGTTGTTGGGGAAATCATAGTTCTGCGCCAAAAATCAATCGTAATGCATCGACGTTCAACAACGATGACTTACGATGACGTAGCGAACATCCTTCACGTCTGTGTGCGGAACAGCAGATCCGATACGTCACACAAAACGTAACAGACCACGCACGAATCGACCAAGGAGGGATGGGCGAGACATAGAACAAACAGGAGCACAGTCAGACAACAACACAACATGACCACAGATCACAAGCGCTCGACGGCAGCAACCACAATCGCGTCCCAGGGTCACCTCAACGTGTACCAACACCACGGTTGAGGCGATAAGCATCCGAGCGGGAGACAGGCAAGCCTTGTACGCGCAGAACCTCTTGTCGTCGGAAGCGAACTCTTGTTTCCCAGATTCAGTTGCCAGTGTCCATAACCGCTACCATATCAAGAACGGTCGTAACTGTTCGAGCAGGTCACCCAGGGCACGCCACGCAACTGTAAAGAAGCGAACGAGCCGGGTCCAGGGTTAGAGGGAAGCTGCAGCACATCATCAGGGAGTCCGCCAGGTTCTCGATGCGCGCGCCGGTTATCTTGGCCTGTCTTGCTCCGGAAACGTCCCCAGACCTGTGAAAATACGATGACTGCCTCGGCAGTCAACAGCAATCACGTACGTCCTTTTGTCGTCGACGCTCACGGCGCCGCTGCAACGTAGTCGAAGCGCTTGGTCATCAGAAGTAAAAACATACCAAGACCACGGGACGCCACATCCGTGGCAATGAGGATTGGTGAACGACCAGCCTTGAATTCGCCCAGGACCCAGTCGCGTTCACGTCTACCTATCGCGTCAATATATGTTACAAGACAAAGGAAAGATGTGACCCACTGTTCCTTGTCACCGTGGATGGCCAATGCAGGCCATCCATCCTGACGGAGGTACTTTGTGATGTCATCTGCGACCCGCTTCGTGCCGACGAAGATCAGGACCTTTGCATTCTCCTGACTGATTTGGTCCAAGTGCTTGATCAACTTCGAACGCTTCTCGAAGTCACTGCAAACTTCAACAATTTGCGCAATGTTGTGGTTCGCAGTCAGCTCCATAGATCCAATGTTGACCTGAATAAAGTCTTTCAAGAAATCCTACGTCATACATTAGTGCATGAACGAACAGAAATAGATCTGTACTCACATTAGCGAGCTTTTGCACATCCTTCGGCCATGTCGCACTGAACATGAGCGTCTGCCGGTCGGGCCGTATCTGACCAACGATCTTGCGAATCTGAGGCTCGAAACCCATGTCCAGCATGCGATCTGCTTCATCCATGACTAGGTAAGTGATGCGGCGCAAGTTGGTCTTTTGTGTCTCGAGCATGTCGATCAACCGTCCCGGAGTAGCGATCACGATCTCGACTCCCCGCTGAAGGTCACGAATCTGGGGGCCCTTAGGGGCTCCACCATAGATAGCGGTGTTCCGTATTTTAGAATTCGAGCCGAACTTGGTGCATTCCTGCTGGATCTGCACCGCCAACTCACGAGTGGGGGCGAGGATAAGCGCAATGGGCCCGTCACCCGGCGCCAATAGCGGTTGCCTTTGTGAAATTTTAGGCTTTGAGCATTTCATTATGAAAAACGATACTCACGCATTTATGTGCAACATGGCGGGGAGAGCGAAAGATATGGTCTTTCCACTGCCTGTCTGAGCAATAGCGACAACGTCGCGCCCGGTCAGAGCCATAGGCCATGCCTGGCATTGGATGGGAGTGGGAGCAGGGAAGCCTTGAGCCCGGATAGTCGACATGATGTATTCGGGAAACCCGATCTCATCGAATGAGGTGACAGGCCTTGGGACATTACGCCCTTGGACCTGTGTTGCAATGAGCACACACTGCGCACGAAAAAAAAAGGCGATATTGGCTTACCTTCATCTCCTTAATCTTCCGGAACTCCTCAATCTCTCTATCGCTGCGTCCTGAGACACGCTTGTCTTCTACGTAGAAGTTCTTCTCGAAAGCAGTGAGCTTGTGTGCGCTCCAGTCGACAGCACGAAGACCGTTGCCCAAATGGCCCATCCGGTCGTCACCCCAGCCGCCTCCGCCAGAGTGACCGCCGTAGCTGCCTCCGCCTCCGCCCCCGCCTCCGTAGCCGCCACCGTAACCACCACCAGCACTGCCGCCGTAGCCGCCGTAACTCTGTCGACATGGAATGGGCCACAATGCGCATCTGATGGAAACGATCTGCTCACCATGTTGCTGTCAAAGAAAGGTCGAGAAAACTCGAAAAAGGGTCGAATATGAGAGACAAGGCTCGAAACGGCGGAGAGGATGAGGGAAGGGTGAAAAATGCACAAGCCGGCGTGTCGTCTTATATATGCGGGACTCCGTGCACCAAGCACTAACGGCGCCGAGGACCCCGAACCAGGGCGGGTCACCCCAATCACGTTTACGTCACACATCGTGTCACAGGGTTCGGCGCTTCTTGAACTCTCCCGACAGAACTGGTTACATACTTGCGGACCATACAGTGCAGCAATACTCTGCAATTTACACCGCAAGGGAACATCAGCATCAACAGCGTGTGTCTCCCAGCTAAATCCCCAACAATCCTTGGGCGGCATACCCGTAACATAACAACTCGCATCAGTGGAGATTACATAGAAAAAGCACGCACAACATCCCAAGTAGCAGCACATTCCGAAATCGTCCCTTCTGCATCAATCGTCTCTATGCCCGCGCATCTCTGGGTCCACATATTTCATCCTACCACGACCTGTATCCATGATGAGTCCCTTGGCCAAGATAGAGCTGCAAGGACACGCACCCTTGAACCGCACGCCGTTAGTCGTGGGCGCGTTCTCTTGATCCAACCGCCGCTTCAGCCGCTCGAGCTCCCGCCTCTTGGACTCTTCCAGCCGCTCCTTCTCCTCTCGCTCCAGCCGCGCATCGTACTGCTCCTCCGTCTCTTCCTCGGGGTCTGCCGGGGGCTTGTCTACGGAAGGCGACCGCGACAACGCTTTCTTCTGCTTGCTCTTGCTCTTCGCCTTCGCCTTCGACTTGTGCTTGGACTTCTTGCGGTGTCGGCGCTCGCGGTCCTCGTCTAACTCAGCACCAGAGTCAGACTGCGCAGAGTCGTCGGAGCGGTCGTGATGAGGCCGCTTCTTGCTATGGCTATGCCGCGCATCGTCAGAACGCCCATTCGCGGCCTCTAGTGCGGACGCTGCAACGGTCTCCACTAGACGGGCAAAGAGATAACAGAGCTGCTCCCATGATCATGATGGACAGCACTTGCCTTCAGGCGTCTGTGACTGTACTTTGGAACGCAGGACGAGCTCGCCGCAATTGTGGATGATCACAGGAACCTGCGGGCGATCCTTCTCGTCGACGGGCACATCAGTGATCTTCTCGACAACTTCGTGGTAACCACGGATCACACGGCCGAACACGACGTGCTTGCCTGGGGAATGTACGATCAGGAGATGATGGCACGGAGATAACAGACAACGCACCGTTCAAATGCGGACAGTCGCGTAAGGTGATGAAGAATTGCGAGCCGTTTGTGTTAGAGCCCCTATTAGCCATGCAAAGAAGCCTGCGAAAGATTGATGAGCGGCATGTAGGGTTGCACGGAGTAGAGAAAGGTGTTGAAGGCAAAGTTCCCGAACTATGCCAACTGCCAGGTAGGATGGCGCTAGGTGACGATATGCGGTAGATTCCTCAGCAGCATTGCTCGAAAGCACGCCAGAGTACTGCATCGGCTCGGCCGCCTCCTATAATCACTCTAGTAATTCTAGAGCTGAAAGCAAGGGTAGGGATTTGGCAGACTAACACCCGCGGCGTCACATTGAAATCCTCCCAGCTCACTGGCTGGTAGGTGCAGGCAACAGCATCACGAACAGAGACTGAACAGTGCACGCCCCCAACCGAGTGAATCACTGGCACGTATGTCTGTATGCTTAGCCTAGTGACGCTGCGATGCATGCTGTTGTGTCTTCGAAATGAACAAGCTAGCAGCATCATCGCGTATGCGAATGATGAAACGGTATGGCAACGAGTAGTCCACGATAATCCTCGCGCCGTGGGACGCAGCCCTTCACTGCCTTTGTCTTGCCGGGAGATTCTATGGTCTGTCATGCCATCGGTGACAAGCAGGAGGCTGGAATCTGATGGTCTGGCCACGATGTCGAATGGAAACCAAGGAACGCACCCTTCAGAATCTAGTGGCCGCGTTAGGTCCTCGTCTGCGAAAGTGCCGCCATAGATCGACTCTCCGCCGGTGCCGTTGCGTTTTGTGAAGTCTACGGAGGGTCGAGAACATGAGCTAATGCGTCGATATGAGCGGTGCTACCGATGTCCCGTGGAAGCTCTCATAGATAGTTCCCGCGTTTCTCATAGGTGGCACAAGGTCACGACGTCGAGATACAATCCATGGGAGCGAGCCAGAGGTATTCCACGGAACACGAGATACCATAGCCGAAGAAAGACGCGCCTCCGCCTTGGATCATGAATCCCTTGATCAACCTATGGATTATGCTATTCTTGTAGTACAGCGGCTTTTCCGAGAGGGGCGAAAGGCCCTTCTCACCGGTGCATAACGCACGGAAACTGCAGGGGGTGATTATCATGAGCGATGCGGCACGTCGACGGGGACGCTAGAAGGTCTGATGCATACCCACTTTTCGCATGTTTCGGGAGCGGTGTCGTTGAAGAGCTCAAATATTACTCTTGAAAGACGTGGGCATCAGCAGCTGGATTTACGGAAGTTCTAGCGCGTACCTCCCGACAGGAGCATTGTCGATAGAAAAGTCAAAGAATACGCGTGGCCGGACCATGGTAGCAGCTGTGAGCACGAGACGGAGGAGGGAAAAAGGCAGCGCGTTCAGGCGCGTCTGGTCGCGCGAGTGGCTGGGGTCGGCGTGCGCTGATGCGGACCGGCATGTTCGGCGCCCAAGCACGAGCTGGCGCTGCCCAGCATGCTCTTGTTCCTTACACTCATCCTGCGACATCCCAACTAGGCCATCTCAGCATCCTTGCTATGCATTTCCTAGATTTCTTCTCATTTTTCTGCATCCGCGACGGATTTTCGGACGCGGTGATGGGACTGCCGAAGCTGACAGACCCCGGCGGAGGACCGTGATATCGCGCGGCCCTGCCGAACACTTCTCTCCTGCAAGGATCTGCCAGGTGTACACGTTCGATGCTCCCCATATAAGCGCACCGCCCGCCTATCCCCACATCCTTCTGCGTATCTCCAGCCTATCTTTGTCATTTGCAGATCTCCCTCGACGCGTATGCGGTCACAGCGGAAGTTCAACGCCGTCGTTTTGGGAGGTGCGGACACACTATGTTTGGCGCATGCATGCGCTGACTTCCCATTTCAAAGCTGGCGGCGTGGGCAAGTCAGCTCTCACGATTCGCTTCCATCGCAATGTTTTCATTGAACAGTACAACCCAACAATCGAAGGTGTGTAATATGGGGCCTTGTCGCCTTCACTTGACGAGCACTCCTTAGAGGAATACCGTTGCGACCTCACGGTTGATGGCGAATCCTGCGTTGTATGTCTCGCTCTTCTAAGAACAAGGTGAACCGGTCTTGACGTTCTCTGTCAAGCTCGAACTCTTGGATACTCCGGGTACCGAACAATTCACCGCTCTCAATGAGCGCTACCTGAGAGTATGTGTGTTTCATACACGATCGAGTCTAGGCGTCCTTAGTGCCCTTCATCTTCTCCAGAACGGGCGAGGGTTTCTACTCGTGTTTAGGCAAGCTCCATGCCTGCTCTGTCATAAACTCTAATGATCGCAACAACTGCACAGCCTAATCGAAGAGAGCAGCTTGAGAGAAATTGACTCAATACGACAGCAGATTTACCAGATCAAAGGCACCGATCGGGTATGCGCGTTGCGGTCTCGCATTCCTAACTCTGGCGAAATGCTAACATCGTCTGTCAGGACATCCCCATCGTCATTGTTGGTACCAAACTGGATCTCGTACGTGTTTCGTTCACCTTGTATGAGACAACAAGCAACTGAATTGCACGCAGAACAACGAGCGGGAAGTATCGCGCGCCAAGATTCAAGAACTCGCCCGGCAATGGAACCTCCCCTTTTACGAGACTTCCGCAAAGCGGAATTGGCACGTTGAAGACGTTTTCCAAGACCTGGTGCGGCAGATGCGCAAGCGATACCCAGACGACCATAGCAGCTCTAGAAGAAAGAAGGACCCTTGTCTTGTCATGTGATCTGCCGTCGATACCCTCCCACTCCGTCTCTCAGGATACCGTCGCTTGGCGGTTTTTACACCACATTTTGCTCTCGTCCTACGCCACCTTCAATACATATGCAGTGGGTGAGCCGCGCCGCCTCTTCTAGAATAGCCATCATTCCATCGGACCTGTGTATCATATCGCTTACGCTGTCGTTTTGCTGTGACTTTATGCCGAAGTACATATGTATATATGCTCCTCGCCTGAATGTACATGTGGTGCATCATGTATGTCTTTATGAATCTATGTGCGAAATCACAACAACTTCATGTATTACCTGAAATTATTTCGTCGAATGTGCGCAATATGTTGAGGGCATAAGTAAATAAATACTCGAACTATTAGAATACAGCACGTTCAGTCACAGCCACGTGACTTAAAGCGCCACAGTCACACTCATAATCCCCGCGCGGCTGAAGCAATCCTCAGTCCGAGCGCTCACCAACGGGCAGAGTTGAAACTAGACTGCTAGAATGTCGTCCATTACCTCGTCCAGGGCATCTACACATCTATCTGTGACCCCAGGCATGGATTATGCCACAACGCCACCTTCCAGCCCTCCGCCGGCTCAGGAAGTCGAAGAGGTGCGCGTTCAGACGCGTCAGAATATGTGATGCATAACACTGACTACTATGTGCACCCACAGGTTGAGGAGGAGGATGTGCCATTGAATGAGGTATGTGTAGCGTCGTAATATAGTATCAACTTGCGTCGACCCTTTTCTGGCAAGGATACCGAGAAGCGTGTCCGCATGCTTGAGTCTCTCATCGAGAAGTCGTCTGCCTATGTATCCGCGCTGAAGCTAGAGATGGATAAGGCGAAGGTTCACGCGCGGGGAGGCTCAAGCCGGGATACGTCTACACGGCCACAGATGGAGAGCCAGTGTTCGCAATCTGAGAGCGGTGGCAAGAAACGGGTCCGCAACGATCGAGGCCCCGAGGAAGAAGAAGCACCGAATGCGAAAAGAACAAAGGTAGACTCTAGTGGAAAAATAGGACAGGCGTCAAGTACAGCCAACAGCGCAGACGGTGCATTCGAACAACCCGCACTTATCACGGGTGCGACGCTAAAGGACTACCAGCTCGAAGGTGTCGCGTGGATGGCTGGCCTGCACAAGAATGGCATATCCGGAATCCTGGGTACGTTACCCGCTGATGATAAGTACGACACCCACTGATTGCGTGACACGCAGCGGACGAAATGGGGTTGGGCAAGGTGCGCATGCCCGTTTTGCGTTTGGACATCGAAGGCTGACATGCCGACTGTGTAGACACTGCAGACAATCGCGTTCCATGCGTTCCTACGCGGGCGCACCGTTGCACCGTTTTTAGTCGTCTGTCCCCTAAGCGTGCTAAACAACTGGGTCGAAGAATTCCAGAAGTTTGCTCCCGACGTGAGTGTCAACCGGAAACTGCACCCATCATCTCAGTTGCTGATTGTGCGTGTCACGCGCTGCAGATTCCTGTTGTGATGTATCACGGCACACCAGATGAGCGTGCGGAGATACGGCGTACCGAAATGGTCCTCTCGGACACAGACATGAAGTATCAAAACAGAATGTTCGGCCGGGAGGGAACGGCCCTCGCAACCAGTGGGCGTGCATCAGCTAACAAAGGTGCAAAGAACAAGAGTGTCACGCCCAAGGGTCGTAAGGGCAAGGCTCCGGCAAAGAAGACCGCGCCTCCGTCTGACCAACGGCGAAGTGGCCGCTTGACCACACAGCGCGAAGAGGCCGAGTCAGACCCAGGTGAGCCAAGCGCGAAGCCAACCGCCCGCCGGGGTAACCACAGAGGTGTGAAGACCGCCGACGGGGACACAGATGTTCCTGTAGCAGTTTCCACCGAGCGTGCAGTGAAGCTACCCAGCTCTAAGACTGCCCGCGCGCTTCCACCACACCAAAAGACCAATTTTCCCGTAGTCATTACGACGTATGAGATGGTCATCAGGGATCGTGCCCCACTATCTGAATACTATTGGGGCTTTATTGTCGTTGATGAGGGACACCGTCTCAAAAACTTGGATTGCAAGCTAATGCGGGAAATCAAAAAACTCCCAGCGGCGGCGAGAATGGTTTTAACTGGGACGCCACTACATGTAGGTGACGCTGCGACGTAGAGCCGATTGTTTGACTGATCTTCGCTTTGTCGTTGTCGCGTAGAATAACCTCTCGGAACTTTGGGCGCTGCTCAACTTCGTCCTCCCTGACGTATTCTCCGACCTTGAAGCTTTCGAAGAATGGTACGTCAGCTCATCCCTTCGGCATCTACTCTATGCTGAGACTAGTACGTAGGTTCAACCTCCCTGTGCTACAGTCGATGATGTCTAGTTCGCGTTCAACACGGTTGATTCAGTCGCTACACACCATCCTCAGGCCATTCCTCCTTCGAAGACTGAAGACTGATGTTGAAACGAGCCTGCCTCCGAAGAAAGAGTACGTGCTGTATGCACCGCTTAGCGAGCGTCAGCGGGAGCTATACGATGCTATTGTCAACGGCGGCCTGCGCGCGCTCCTGGTCAAGGAAGGCGGCACTAGTAAGGGCAAGAACGCTCGTAGTAACGACGAGGAAGAGGATGTCCCTCTTAGCCTTCAGGCGCAACATCGATCGTCTGATGGCAAGATGAAAACTCGAGCACAGCTTCGCCAAAGTACAAGGAAGAGCTATGACGTTGACGGAGATGACGACGAATACTTCGAGAGGCTTGAGTCCGGGGAGGTTGTAGCTGAACATCACAAGACGAAGAAACAAAGTACGGAGGAGATGGGCCGTGACTGGCAACGCGAGAACTTGCGTAAGCTTCCTGGTACCATACAATTTCGTCAGGTTGAACTGACTTTCAACTCTCATCCTTTAGTTAAGAAAGTCAGCAACATGCGATTGCAGAACACAGTTATGCAGTTGCGGAAAGTGTGCTCGCATCCGTTCTTGTTTGATTGGCCTACAGACGCCAAGACACGCGAGCCAATCCTGAACGAAGAGCTTGTCACTGCGAGTGGGAAGATGCTTGTCTTGGATCGTCTCCTTGATGCTCTGTTCGCGACAAAGCACAGGGTGTTATTGTTTAGTCAATTCACTACCATGCTTGACATCATTGAGGTATACTGCCTTCTCTCTGCGTCGACAGCCACTCATTGCCCCCCCCCCTTTTCCTGTAGGACTGGGCTCGAGAGCTCAAAGGTTGGTCGATATGCCGTATCGACGGCTCTACTTCCATGGCTCAACGCCGAGAGGAGGTCAACCGTTTCCAGAACAGCGACAATGAGCTGGATGCACCACAACTGTTCCTGTTGAGCACTCGAGCGGGTGGCTTGGGTTTGAATCTGGTTGCCGCGGATACTGTGATCTTCTACGATCAAGACTGGGTATGTTCCGATGGTATCATGATACTTTCTCCATAGTAATATTCTTTCAGAACCCCCAGATGGACCTGCAAGCTCAGGACCGGGCCCATCGCATAGGTCAGACCAAGCCCGTCCTGATCTTCCGTCTCGTGAGCGCACACACGATCGAGACGAGAATAATGCAACGCGCGAACGAGAAGCGTAAGCTGGAAGCGCTCGTTATTGCCAAAGGCACTGTTTTTCCTCATCCCTCGTACCAAAGCGCGCTAACGTGCTTGTGTCTCTAGGGCAATTCAAGACACCTACTCTGAAGGCAAGTCGCAACAGACCCGAGACCATTGCCGAGATGGCCGCTGCCTTGTTGCGCCTTGAAGGCGAACAGATCCAAGTGGTGCCTAACACTGCAGAGGGCAAAGCGAGCGTCATCAGTGATGGGGAGCTAGAGATGCTCTTAGACAGACGACCTGAGGTTTTCGTCGACCGAGGCAAGGGCTGGACATCTGCTGGTAATTTGGCCAACGGTAGTTCGTCTGCCGACGGACCTGCAGATCACGATGGCATTACATCCGGACCAAAGGCTAAGTTCGCCGTGTATGAAGCTCCGGCACATAGCGGCGGCGATGTATTGGCGGGAATGCTTGACGGTGATGAAGATTCATGAGTATATACAGTAGAATTTGTGTGGTTATACCATTGTTCGAGGATGGATAAACAGACTTTCTAATGCTCAACGACTTTTACCATCCTAGATTTAACCCACCTCTGTAATTCGTAACATCCGAGGAATCCGCCCATATCATTCACATATCTTACACTAGTACTGCAATACAATGCATGACAACCACGTTCACATCAGTCATTGCACCATAGCTTCCTTCTTCTCCCTCCTTTTGAGGCGTGTTCTAGCCGATTTTGACAAATTTCGTATTTGCGGTTTTTGGTATCTGCATGATATTTCGGTCCTTGTAGACTTGCAGACGACCATAAAAGCGCGATACTCACGTTGCACCCTGCGCCACTGGGTTTGAAAGCTCCTTCCGACACAGTGTCACTTTCATGAACGCAACCTTATGTTGTCTCAAACTGCACCCATCAATTATGTTGTGGAGAATAACATAGATCATACAGACTTACTGTCTCTTGCCCTGCAGAGCAGCGGTGATAGCCCGCTGTCTGGCCTGCTCTGGCGTTTCTTCTGGGTCTCCTTGATTGTCGTCTTCGAATGTGCCTATCTCATTGTACTGATGCAGACCTGAAAGTTTCCCCGCTTCAGACTGCTCGGGAGAGAGCGTTTTAAGGTATTCTCGTTTGATGATCTCTGCTACGGAGATCAGTCGCGGAACGTTAGCTACTGCGCTATGGATGCGAGGCTTCTTCGTTTCAGGCGTCGGCTGGCCCTCTCGGGTTGGAACGGCAGCATCCTGTGGAGCAGGATTGGTGCTGCCTGTAGACTCTTTCCTTACGGCTGGTAGAGTATGTAGAACCAACGGTCTCTCGGGATTCTCCTGCGACACCAAATTGAGCGTTTGGAGTGCTGGTTGGAATGGTGCGCGCCAGAACACAAAGCACTAACCTTGAAGAAGTTCAAAGCAAATTCAACCCATGCACGTATCTTTCCATGGCTGGTTATTCTAATCTCATGCGGAGTTGCGACATCAAGTGTTATCTGTGCTGCGTCCTCGCTCGTGGCCATGATGGGCTTGTGGAACGCGTCTGTGGCGTCGAGTTGTGATCTGTTGTGATCGAGTTCTGGATAAGCAGTTATCAGCACATAATGTCCAAAACGGGAAAGAGGTAAGAGGGCGTGATTTGATGAAGGCGAACATCCAAGACGCTCAGATCGCCGTTCCACTCGCCGCTGTGCTCGTTGTGCTCGACGGTCTCTAGCCCCTCCCCAGCGTTCCCGTCCGTCCCTCTCGCACCCGACAGGGTCTGCGGTTCACCTTGGCCACTGCTATCACACCTGCATCTCACCTACCTCGTGTCCAAGCCCGTTGCGTTGATTACCGGCTTCAGTTGCTTTAAAAAGGTCGGACGCCTACCCGCCGATGGCTCGACGCACTTTAACTCCCGCGACACCCGCACCCACTGGCCCTCCCGCCGTCCTGCCTCATGATCTCGCCAAACTCGCTCAGTCAGACCCCGTCTGGGCTGCCAACCTCCAACTGCTCCGACGGCAATGGAAGTGGGCTGCATTTAGCCAATTCTTCTATACATTTGCCTCGCTGCTTGCTATGAATGATGTCACACTCATGGTATGTCCGTCGGCTTGTGCGATGCTCGCATAGATCCCGCCTGCCGTTAGCAGCCATTTGTGGCGCTTAGCTGACTGTTCCCGCCTCCAGGATATAGAAGACGACCTTGCACGCGGGACTGCACTCTTCCTGCCGCGGGTCGTGCAAAGACTATTGTACACATTGACCCAAGACCGTAAGATCACGTACGTGTAATTTACTACTCCCCGTAGCCTCATCACCTCATTGTTGTTTGTCTAGATCGGATACTTGGCAAGTTGCTTTGCGTAAACAATATATCAAACGCGACCCTGAGGCGGATCCTCTCGGTCCCGAGCTCAAGCTGCCCACGCGTGACCCTTCAACAGCACCCTCAGAGTCTGCGCCCGAGCGTGTCCAGGAAGGTAGAGTGGCTGAGGTGGCGGACAGTGCACCCGCTATATCAGGCTTTATGGCTCAAGATGAGCACTCTCAGTCTGGGCAAGGCTCAGTCGCTGAAGAAAGCCGACCGCCAGACGTTAACCCTGATAGTGAGGCAAAGAGCGAACCGACGGATCAATTTTCCGTCAAGAAGGAAGACACCGCTGAGCCGTCCCAGGAAGCCGTTGACGAAAGCAAGGACTGGACAGAGTTGCCGATGCTGGTGAAGTTGGACACCCTATACATACTCACCGAGTGGCAGTTCCAGAATCCTAATCGTCTACGGACATTGATGAAGGACGATGACGAAACCGCGCTTTGGGTGTGTAGCAAACCATCTATAAGCTTAAGATATTCCCAGTCCTTATCATTATCTGCATCATAGCGAATAGAGCCTATTGGCTACGATGCAAAGACGAATGCATATTGGCTCATAGGTCGTGAGTAGTACCATACATTCACGTCTACTAGCTCATTGACCATATCAATTACCAGCCGACCGTTTGTGGATTCAGCGTGTGCCGCCGAAGCCTCCCAAGGGTACCAAACGGAAACGACCCACGAACAAAGCAAGCTCTAGGTCCACAGCGAACAAAGCCGACGAGCAGGAGTATGAGTCTGATGCTCAGTCTTCACCGAAACGTACTCGCGTTCAAACTAAGGCGTCCAGCCGTTCCTCGCGGAGCAGAGCGAAACGTGCGCTCTCGCCGGCCCCAGAGACACCTAACGGTAGGAGCGCGCGCGCAGCCAAGCTACAGGCGAACAAAAAGCTTGACTTCCAGGCGAAGGAGCTCGCCGAGTTCCAACGCCAGGCCGCTGCATTCGCGACTGGCAGTAAATCTAGCTCGCGCGCGACGAGACAGACTCGGTCGCAGACGGAGTCGTCACCCACAAAGCTTTCGAAGAGAGCTGTCCTGGGCACAAGAACGAGTGCACGACTACGCGGGGCGCAGACTGTCGACGATGAAGACGATGAATGGCAGCAGATACCCGAAGAGTGGCTTAACGAGACGATACCCGCGACGCCACAGCGTAACACTAGGAATAAAGGTAAAGGCAGGGTAACAGAGCCGGAAGAGAGGTCGGTGGCCGTCGAGGATACGCTAGATATAGAGATGCCCGCTACAGAAGACCTGAAGACTGGGCTGGAAAGCGACGAATCTGTCAGTGAACTCACGGAGTTATCGGAGTATGCTGGGGATGAGGCCGGTGACCAGGATGCTCCAGCTGACGAGGACGCCTTGCAAGACGAAGTAGCTCCGCCCGCCCGACAGACGCGATCGACAAGACGTGCGACTGTAGGAAAGCGAAATGCTGCTGTGCCTGAGACGATTGGACAAGAGTTGGACGATGACGTCGTAGAGGAGCCATCAGCACAAGAGGTATCCACAGAAGACGCTGTTGTCGGACTGAAATTGCCTGAGGATCTTGTTGAATGGGAAACGGTACGGGACTGGTCCCTCTAGTAATTTTGAGGATTAGCCACTGATAACACTCCAGATATGTGTGACCTTGCATGAATGGGAACATATTGCAGAGCATTTTGAGAACGCGACTCATTACCTTGAGAAGGCCTTGTACAAAATGCTGTCCCAGAACATTGTACCTTTGATAGTTACTGAACTCAAGGTAAATCATGCCTCTATCATACAATCTCCCATTGTTTTGACAATCATCGCTCTATCCACCAGGAAGCAGAACGGAGGCAGAAGATGGAAGAAGCCATCGTGCATAGGAAACGTTCCTCACGCATCGCCATAAAGGAGAGCGAGAAGGAGCAGGCTGTGGTTGCGGCGAAGAAGAAAGCTGAGGAGGATGAAAAGTCTGCTCGCGCACGGCGACAGGAAATGCGAGCTAAAAAGGAGGAACAGGAGCGAGCTAAGAGGGAGAAGGCAAGGGAGCAACGGCGAATTGAGCGGGAGGAGCGGGAGAAACGTGCCCGGGAGAAGGAAGAGCGAGCAGAGAGAAGGTACGTCGTGCAAACCATTCTTCTCACGGCGATGCTAAGTCGTGTCTTCATTAGAGCGAAGGGCGAAGAGGATAGACATTCAACGATGACACCTGTCCTTGCCGGCACACACTCCACCGAGTCGATCCAGCTCAGTAGTGCACCGACTCCAACCGGCGTGCAGACTCCGAATTGGGTCCTGGACTGCGAGATTTGCCACAAGAATGGCATCAATATTGTAAGTTGTAATGTTTCGCTCTTGACTATCGCTTACCATGCCGCCACCAGGATGATGGCTCGCCAATGGTCTCATGTGGAGTCTGTAAACGGTGGCAGCACAAACAGTGCCATGATCTTGCTGACCAGCGTGCGGGACGGCCAAGGCGTAATTGGGAGGTTCAACAGTTCTATTGTTACAGCTGCCGCTTGCAACACACCAATGGCGCCTATGGCGCCTTGATTCCTCAGCGGTTCACGCCCACCCAGCAATATCCCTCTTCATCCTGGTCGCACGCACCCGTCGATCCGGTGGCGCATGTGCAGAAGGCTGGCCCGTCGGCGTATCCCCGTGATACCTATACCCAGTCGACACCGGACCTACGTTTCGTACCGAGCCAGCAGTCGCACAATGGAGTGAACTATAATCACGACGCCCAAGCACGCACGTCGACTCCCCAGAGCGGGTACACCCGTACTCAAGGCGGCATCACGTTTTCCCACTACCAGCCCGAACAGCGCGCCTTCACTACTACGCGCACGACAATTCCTCCCCAGACACCTGCACAACAGCCGGCGTGGGCGAACGGATACCCTGCCGAGAGTTCGCGGACGCCCCAGCCGGTAGCATACGCCCAATACTCCCGTGCTCAAGCCTTCGCCAATGGCAGGATGCCTACGAGTTACCAGGTAAGTCTCTGAGGATTCTTACAACAGGCTAGTGGTGACACCTTGAGTAGCAGCACACTCCACCGATACCCCAGCACCAGCCGTATGGCGTGTCGCAGAGTTCTCCCTCGCCGTCGACGAATGGTCAGTGGAGCGGTAGCCCAAATGGCTACTTCCCGCCGCACGACAGCGCCGTCCGCTCTGCGGCCGAGTCCCTTGCATATATGCAAGGTGGTGCGAACGGCCAGCTTCTCCAGCACCAGCACCAGACAAACGGATGGCATCGTGCACCAACTTCACCGCCGGTCCCTCGGGCTAACGGCAGCACGCACATGGATCGCAGTTACCCCGCGCCCGTGTATCCTGAGCACACTCCCCCCATGGGCGGTGCACCCTCCTTCCCGTACTCTTCTTAGAGCGTCGAGGATAATGGACATTCTCGACTTGTGCTGTGTCCTTGCGGTGTGTTTATTTCGTTGCATTTGCTTTGGATCGTTGTATCGTCGTGTAATCATCAGTCGCACCGTAAGGTAATGTAGAGCACAATAATGGCGTGTACATATTGGATATTCGAGCGGCCCGCCTGTATCATAGTGTCTTTGACTAGTGACTGTGTACAGAGATGTCCCGCGGCGGGTAGTTCTTGGATTACATTTTAGTCCATTTAGGAGACAGCCTACTCATACAACTCGTGCGTGACAGTGTGCGTCGGTCGCCATCTTTCACCGGACACATTCGAACATCTTGAAAGGAGGTGTTGTAAAGGGGAACGGGTCTTCCCTGTCCGACGTCGGCTCCCTATAACCGTGATAAGGTCGTCAACAAGGATACGGGGTGGAAGCCACGCACTCTAAAGGCCCTAGGACGCGGAGGCCGCGGACATGTGTGTCCTTGCCGTTCATGTGGTTCGCTATGATGATCAGCTGCACGATGTACGCATGGAGCGGTTTGCTGTGAAGCGTGTCGGTTTGAAGACAAGCAGACAAGCAGGTAAGCGAGCACGCACAATCCGTCCCCCTCTTCGTTCGCGTCGGCTGACACGTCGAAGGTGATCCACCCATCCGGCTTGTCGAGCGAGAGGACGCGGACGTCTTGCAGGTCGCTCGGGCCTGTGCCTGCGCGGACGGCGATGGTCGCGGGCGTGTAGGAATCGTCGAGCGGGAAGCACAGGCAGACGCTGAGTTTCTGCGGGCGGACGATGAGCGGCCGTGAGCGCGAAAGCAGCGAGGGGGGCGCACCTGTACGGCGACCTTGCGGGGGAACTCCAGCGTGATGAAGTGTGGCTGGGGACCGTCAGAGCTACGCGCGTGTGTCCATGAAAACGAAGCGGCGGGCGATGCGCGGGGGAGGACTCACTGCCAGAACGTGTCCGGTTCGTCGTCGCGCAGGCATTCGGGCCCAAAGCCGAACTTGTACGAGGACACGGACCACTTTGCGAGGTGGCCGATGTCGGGCCAGGGGAGCAGCGGGGGTTTCCGCCCTGGGACGGGGGGACGGAGTTGGTGCATCTGGTGCTGGTTCATCTGGAAGCGGCGGTGGCTCACCGGAGTGCACGAGCAGCGAGCCGTCCATGGGCAGCTGCGCCACGACGAAGCTGTTCAGCGCGGGCAGGCCGAGAGAGCTTATGCTGGCCATTTGAGCGGGACGGGGTGGTGGTGGATGCAGTGGTATTTATTGTACGCAAGAAGCGAGCTATATGTAAAGCATCGACGGAAGCAGTGGCCCATTTTGATCGCCACGAGCAAGTGCGCGTCAGACAATTAAAGGAGCCGGCGCGGGTTGAAGGAATTGTCTGCTCTGCTCTCAGGAGACTAAAGTGCGCGTGTGGCAGCAGATTTGAGCACGGAAACAACAGCGGGCGTTGTGAAATCTTTCTTTGTCTCTTGCAACGACGACCGGTCGGTGGCGAGCGATGAGTTCCAGCTCTGCCGCGGGAACGCTGCCTCTGGAGGACTACCAGAGATACGGTAGGCAGATGATCCTCAATGGCTTCGGCCTGCCAGGTCGGTCTCACACCACACATGCGTGCACAATATTCAAGACATCCATGTTTTAGGTCAGCTCAAGCTACAGCACGCCTCTGTCGCCGTCGTCGGCGCAGGCGGCCTCGGGTGCCCTGCTCTCCAGTACCTGGCCGCAGCGGGTGTAGGTATGCTGCTTGCCCCGCTCCCGCTTCTGTCCACTGAGACACCGCCATGCAGGCCGCATAGGCATAATCGACCACGATCGCGTCGAGCTATCTAACCTACAGCGACAGATCCTACACACCGAGGCCCGGGTCGGCATGCACAAGGCCCTCTCCGCCGCAGAGGCCCTCAAACAGTACGCACACCCCTCTCCCTCGTCCCGCGCCGACCCGTCCCCAGCCTCACCGCCCCACCCAGAATCAACTCCCGCGTGCAGGTCGACGCACACACGACGGCGCTCACGCCCGCGAACGCCGCGGCGCTCCTCGCGCCGTACGACCTCGTCCTCGACTGCACGGACAACCTCCCGACGCGCTACCTCCTCTCCGACACCGCCGTGCGCCTGCGGCGCGCGCTCGTGAGCGGCGCGGCGCAGCAGCTCGACGGGCAGCTCTGCGTGTACAACCTCGGGCCCGGCGCGGGGCCGTGCTTCCGCTGCCTCTTCCCGCGCGCGCCCGCGCCCGAGGCCGCGGGCTCGTGCGCGGAGCTCGGCGTGCTGGGCGCGGTGACGGGCGTCGTCGGCGCGCTGCAGGCGGCGGAGGCGGTCAAGCTGCTCACGGGGCTGCACGGTGCGTCGGTGCGCGGTGCGCGGAGGCGGGGCGGGCGCTGACGCTGACGGGCGAGACAGACGGGAAGCCGACGATGCTGATGTACTCTGCGCTGGGCGCGCCGCCGTTCCGGAGCATCAAGCTGCGCGCGCGGCGGCCGACGTGCGCGGCGTGCGGCGCCGAGGGCGAGCGGGTCGGCCGGATCGAGGAGACGGACTACGTCGCGTTCTGCGGGGGCGCGCGGCCGGACTGGGTGGCGCGCGGGCTGGCGGAGGGCCGGCCTGACAGCCGCGTACGCGCGACGGTGAGTCTTTGTGATTTGCGGACTACGGCGGCAGAGGCACTGACGACTTGCGTGGACGCGGTACAGGAGCTGAAGCGGGTGCTAGACTCGGGCAAGCATGTCCGCGTTATCGACGTGCGACCGCCCACGGAGTTTGGGATATGCCGGCTGCCTGGCTCCATGAGTGAGCGCGAGCGATGTGCCTACACGTTTTTACTGACGGAACCTGGCGTAGACATACCTATCAAGGAGCTAGTAGCCAACCCCTCACAGAGTGTTCTCGGAGACGAGGAAGACACAGAAACGTACGTTGTGTGCCGGCTGGGTAATGACTCGCAGCTGGCAGTCGAGGCTCTGAGGAATGCGAATGCCAGAGGGACTGTGAAGGACGTCATCGGTGGTCTTAGAGCGTGGGCAAAAGAAGTAGATGAGGCATTTCCTGTGTATTGAACACGGACATTGTAGCCGTAGCAAAACATGATTCATCAGCAAGGCCGAGAAGAGAACTCGTGTGCAAGTATTGGCTAATGTGGTGCTGGGAAAGTGAGGTTCATTGATAGCGACGGATGACATTAAGCAAAGGTACACATAGAAGGATGGAGGCTTTGTGCAGTGCGGGCAATCACTAGTGTTCTAGACGCTCTTTGCTGATGCGAGAGATGTAGGATCTGCTGACAATGTTGACTGAGGGAGGATGAGCTGGGAAGGCTAGGTCAGGGGGACGATGCACTCACATGCCTCCATGTAGCGGTCGAGGCAGCGAGCGAGACATGTCTGCGAAGGGATGAGATTGTATGAGAGGGTGCGAGTGACGTATAACGGACCTCTTCGGAGCCGGACAAGGAAGTGGAAGGCTTTGTGACGCACTTGGCGAAGCACTTTTCGTTTGTTTTCTGTGGAGGAGAGAGATTGGAGGAATGCAAGGATGGATAGTTGAGAGAGAACACACGTTCATGAGCTCCTGGGCGTTGGCGAGGGCCATTTCGCTCCGGATAGATTTGATGACGGCGTCCTTGCGGGCGGCCATGTCTGTAGCGGGGTGAGCGTGCTGCTTTATTGTGGACAAGAGAACATACCGGCTGGGGACGGCGAGGGAGAGGAGGAGGAGCCAAAGAGACTGGACATGGTGGGGGTTAGTGGACGGGTGGCTGCGTGGGTGGCTGCAATGGCCAGTGAGTCCGCATCACCTGATCGCACTCAGATCCTGATCTGTGCAAGGATTGCTTGCTCCTGCCCTGCATGGGAAACCGTGAGTCCACCGCGGGCACCGCCCAGCTCGACGAAAACGGCCCCCCGGACTACTATGCCCTGCTCGAGGTCGACGAGTCTGCCGCCGCAGACGAAATAAAAGTATGCCGCCTCTGCTCTCTTTCTGCCTGCACTCACCTCGGCTTCATCAGCGCTCTTTTCGCAGACTCGCTCTCATCCACCACCCGGACAAGAACCACGAAGATATAGAGGGCGCCACACAGCGCTTCGCTACACTCCAACAGGCATACGAGGTACGCAGCCTGCCCGCAATGGCATCGCGGCCAGAGACTGATCAGCATGCCGTAGGTCCTCAGCGATGATCAAGTGAGCCTTGGCTCGGACATCCCCCTAGCGTCTTCCGACTCACTTTCTGCACACATAAGTAGGAGAGGGCGTGGTATGACAGCCACAGAGCTTCCCTAATACCCGAACCCGACGCGCAGACCGTCTTCGACGACATCAAGCGTGGCGCTCCGCCGCCCCGGGCCCGCGATCGTGGTCTGACCGTCCGGCACCTCGCCCAATTCTTCGACCCGGCCATCTACAAAGGGTTCGACGACGGCGAAAATGTGTGGGCTTCGCGTCTCTGAAATACCCCGCTGACCCCATGCCGTTCAGAGCTTCTTCACGATTTACCGCAATCTGTTCTCCCGCCTGGCACACGATGAATCCCAGTATGTCGATGTCCCATACCCGTCGCTCGGGCACCCCACGTCGCCGTGGGTGCCCGCATCCAAGGACGAAAAGGACGCAGCCGCGCGGACATTCTACACTTTCTGGCTCAACTTCGCCACGAACAAGGACTTCCACTGGGAGGACGGCTGGGACGTCTCCCAGGCCCCAGACCGCCGCGTCCGCAGGTAACGGCCGCTGGCCCGACATGCACGACGTGCTCGCTCACGGCACCTTCCTCACAGGCTGATGGAGCGGGACAACAAGAAGGCGCGCGAGGACGCCCGCAGGGAGTACAACGACACGGTCAGGGTACGTCCACACACCGCCGCCGCCTGACTGCCTCCGCTCACCGCCCGCGCAGTCGCTCGCCACGTTCGTCCGCAAGCGCGACCCCCGCTACAAAGCGCACCTCGCGCGCCAGGCGCAGTCGCCCCCGCCCCCGCCCCCGCCGTCCGCCCCCGCCAGCGGCGCGCGCACCCCCGCGCACGCGGAGACGTTCGTCGCGCAGGACTGGCAGCAGGCCGCGGTGCTGCCCGACGCGGCGGACCTCGAGTGGGCCGCCGCGGAGGGCACCGCGGAGGAGTGGGAATGCGTCGCGTGCGGGAAGCGCTTCCGCAGCGAGGCCGCGTGGGACAGCCACGAGCGGAGCAAGAAGCACATGCGCGCGGTGGACGCGCTTCGGCAGCAGATGCGGGAGGACGAGGAGGAGCTCGGGCTGGGTGGGGAGGAGAAGCTCGGGCTGAGCGGGGAGGCGGAGGCAGAGGCGGTGGCGGCGGAGGAGGGGGAGGACGCGGATAGCGGCGGAGAGGGATCGGTACGTGATGGGCAAGAGGAGGAGCCGCCGCGCTCGTCGAGTCCGCCCGGTGACCAGCCGGAAGACGAACACGCCACTCAGCCGAGCACCGTCGAGCCCGAAGACGACGAGGGTGTGGTGGACGAACCGCGGCGAAAACGGAAACAAGGGAAAAAGAAATCAAGGGCAGCCTCTCCGGACGTCGTGCCCAAGTCTCGGGGAAGGACCGGGCGGAAGGACGTAGTCGATGGCGATGAAGAGCCGCAGGCTCAACAATCGGTCGCGAATGGCAAACCGGCCGAGCCTGCAGCGGACGATGCGGGACGTCCCCCCGACGCTGGTGTGGGTAGTCCTGGCCCAGCTCAGCCCGAGATGTCGAAGCGGGAGAAGAGGCGAGCGCGAGAGGCTGCGAAACAAGCGAAGGGAGAGACTGTCGGTGCGAAATTGGTGGGGCATCTCTTTATGTCTGTCGTCAGTGCACAGGGTGTGACTGACGGTGTTCCCTTCCAGCTTTGCAATGTATGCAACACCGAGTTTGAGAGCCGGACGAAGCTATTCGCCCATATCAAATCAACTGGGCATGCGCTTGCCACCCCCGATGATGACAGAACGGGAGGCGGAGGTAAGAAGGGCAAGAAAGGCAAGAAATGACATTTTACAATCTCTAGTTCTCTGTCGCATAGATCACACTGCGATTTTTTATAACTGAGATGATGAGGAGAGCACTACCAGAAGAAAACAGATTATACACTAGACTCGGTCAACATGAGTGATACACAGGTAATCTGGACAACGACTCCCTGGGCTCTGCTAGCCCATCAGCTGCGTTACGTCCTCCGGGGGGTATTTTGTTTGCGAAAAGGTCAAGAGACTGTGGCACCGGGTCAGACAAAATTCGGCCGCATGAGGTCGACGGACACATACCGTTTCAGACTTTGGATGTACTTCCGACTGACTTCGTCGTTCAACACATGTGCAACTTGGTCCGCGGAGATCTTCTCCCGTGCGGAACGTTCGTGGATACTGTCGAATCCGATTAGACACATTCAGTCGAGCCTCAGCGCAAGCAGCCACATACCCGACCATGGTAACTCCAATGGGCCACGGGGCATTGCCAATGGACAAGCGCAGATAAGAGTCGTTTGCTCTTTGATACTGTCGCTTCTGCATATGGTGTACAATCTCAGACACGCGAGCAAGCATGTCGGGGGGAAGCGACTGTGCATGTGTTTCAGACGTGAGGGCACATTAATGCGGGGTGGACCACTCACTCGAGATCGGAGCAGCTTGAACAGCGGCTTCAGGTATTCGGCAGACTGCCGTTGCGTCGCAGCGGCAAGTTTTCCTTGTGTTGTACGCTTGATGCTTTCTGGGACGTGTTCATGTCACAACGTACGGCATATGAGACAGTGCGAAAACAATTACCTGGCCGCTCGTCCATCCACTCCTCCCACTCTTTCAGTGTCCTCTTGAGCGCGTAGTAGATGATTGGATACAGCTTGTCCGGGTCGGTCTTGACCAGCTCGAGGTCCAATACTTCCGGGGTGTCCGCTCCGTCCCTCTTCTTGCCCTTCTTCTCCTCCTCCTGCGCCCGCTTGTCGCCCAGAAGGCGCCCAACGTTCTCGACATCCTCGAGGGCCTTCTTGAAGTCGTTCTGCCCGCCGTGGCGTTCGTGGTCCTTCTCCTCGATGAGCTCGAGGGCACGCAGCCGGAGCCGGCGGTCCTTGTCGGACTCGCCAAAGAGGCGGATGGGCTGGCCCTTGGCGCGGAGACGGCGGACGGTCTCCTCGTTTGAGATGTTGAAGGACGACTCGGGTGCGGGTGGTGCGCCCGCGCCGTCAGGGAAAGGCGAGTGGGTCGATGCGCGGGACGAGGAAGCCTGCTCTCCAGCCGCGCATGAGTCTGGCTGCTCCGGGGCAGACGTGCGGGGGCACACTCACTTTTGCGGCGGCGGACGCTCTCCGCCGCTCCTCGTCCTCGCGGCCCTTTCGCTCGCGCTCTTCGCGTTCTTTGGCCTCCTTGTCCTTGCGTTCGCGCTCTTCCTTCAGGCGTTCGATCTCGCCCCGGCGCATGTACTTTGTAGGACGGGCGAGTGCAGGGTCTTCCTGCAGCGCTTTGCGCTTCACTGCGATTTCTGCCTTGAGGGCGTCCATGGTGTTAGTGTTGTAGTGTAGATTGTAAGCGGGTGTAAGAATGCAGTGAGCGAACTCGGCGGTATGCGGTCACGGTTCAGGCCGAGGCGCGTAGCCGAGAGTGAACGAGCCTCTCTAGCTTTCCATCATCTCCCGACTCTGCCCCCTGTCGCCCTCCTTCCTCCACGACTGCCACCATGTCTGACCTCTCCAGGTGCATTTGTCCGTGTTCCTCATGTCCTCCCAATTTTACTCAATTTCCGCGACAGCAAATACGTCCTGCAAACGGCTGGCTTTGACGGTTCGTCGCAGTTCGGAAAGCGCACACAAATATTTCTTGGATCCTGACTGCAGTCTCATCACAGCCCGCTTCCCCAACACGAACCAGACGAGGCATTGGTGAGTCCAGCCGTTCCCGCCCCTGCAGTCCCGGTGGCGAGACGTCGCGGCTAGCTTCCAGAACTACACCGACTACTTCAAGTGCATTGCTGCCAAGGGCGAGGAGTTCGCGCCTTGCAAGCAGTTCAAGCGCGCTTACAACTCGCTCTGCCCTAGTACGTATACCCCGTGCGCTGTCATGAGTTTTGACTGATTGTCACCCCCTCCCTCCAGACGAATGGGTATGTATATTGCACACTTCTCAACCCGATCTCCCTCACTAATCTTTGAACACTTAGATCGGAAAGTGGGATGAGCAGCGCGAGAACAATACCTTCCCGGCTTCGCTTGAGCCGTGAGTTGTAGCGTGAAGGCTGTCTGTTGCGTAATGTTGCCGTGTGCATTTTGGCGAATAGATTGCAAATACCTTGTCTATTGAGTTATTCATGGTTGGTGATCTTCGTGAGGTTGAAACCCTGCGTCGAGTGCTATTGCGTGCGCCAGTGCGTTATGGTCATAGTACCTCGAAGCTTCACGTAACAATATTCTAAGCGGCGTCGCCTTATGAAAAGTCTAGTTTCCAGCAGCTAGCCAGTAAAGTACACACTTCTTTGATTTTGAATTCAGCCCATCTCCTGGTATACACTCTACTCTAGGCGCTGCTGACAAAATAATAGTCACAAAAAGTAGTAGAGTGAGGGTTGTGGCTCACGTCTAGATGAGCGTGCAGACGGGTCAGGGGAATGTACATACGACGACCAATCTCCAGCACCAGGAGAAACATACATAATATAAAACATACTAGTGTGAACAGACAAGAAGTATGAATACGAACATAGTGCACCGACCGTTTCCCATTAATACCGAAGAGCAATGCAGCAAACACATCTCCGGGTCGCCTTGCTTTTGTTGGGGCCATAGTGTGTTTAGATTTGGACCTCGTCGATCTTCTCCGTCACTTCTTCTACGGTATCACCACTCTCACTTGCAGCATCCTTCTTGCTCGCCGCGGCGTGGGCGAAGCTGAACGACGGTCGGACGTTCGCGCTCGCTGAGGGACTGGGCGCGGCGTTCTTGTGGAGCTCTGCGTTCGGCGACGTCGGGCTCGTAACGGACGAGACCGGCGGTGTTGTCCGCGGCACACCACGATGCGACGCTTGCCGCGATGAAGTCCGCGACATGGTGTGCACCACGCGGTCCTTCGTCAACTCACGTTCCTTCTCAAGGCGCTCAGAAACCGCCAGCTCTTTCGCAACCGTGTCTACGGGCCTGGACAAATATTGTCAGCACGTCGTCGACCACACGGAGAGGCGAACGTACTTAGCCGCACCGAAGGGGTTCGACCGCTGCGCGCTGCCCTGGGTCGATGGGTTGGGCGAGGCGAGGGGCGACGGCGTGGCCGACGCGCCGCTGGACGAGCGGGGCAGCAGCTCAAGCTTGCGGCGTCCCATCTGAGGCGTCGGCGGCGTCGAGCTACTTGCTGCAAAGCACAGCGTAGCATATATCAGCGTCCGCGTATGACAGACAAGCGGATAGGCGACTACGCACGGGAGGTACTGTTGCGCGAGATAGCGGATGGGCGGCGCCAGTCGCCCTCATCGGGTGGGGTCTGCGCGTCGCGCGGTGGGCCCATGTCGCCGCGGCCGCGACCGGCCCCGAAGCGGCCCGCAGGCTCAGCGGGAGCGCTGGGGCGGAACTTGGCGCCGATCGTCCACGTCTCCTCGGTGTCGGCGCCGGTGGTCGCACCTTCACGGAAGGTCGAGCGACGTTTGGCACCGGGGTCAGAGTCGAGCGAGGACGCGGTGGAAGACCGCACCGGTCCGCGCGACGCGGAGCGCCAGTCGGACGTGGTGTCAGAGACAGACGGCGGCGCGGGCTCGCGTGTGCCGGGCCCGTCGAGGCGTCTGCGGGGGCCGTCGCGATCGGAAGGGAGGTCGGGCAGCGGCCCATCACGCCGCCAGGGACCAGCGAACTTCTCGTCGTCGAAGCCGCCGCCGCCAAACCCAGATCGCTCCTTTGCTGTGGGACAGTCAGACAATTTCGTGGAAAGGCATATATGAGACGTACGAGGCTCGGCGACACTGACGCGAATGGCGCGCCCAGCAAAGGACTAGCTCTCGAGTTAATGACATTGCTAGAATGGACGCCGCCTGCCCTCCGCTCACCGTTCCAGACATGGCGAGTGCCTCCTTCAGACCGTCGAGATCGACGAATTCGATGTAACCGAAGCCCTTCGGCTTGTCGTCTCTGTCCCGGATGATTTTGACGGACTTGGTCTAGCAGGGCGTGAGTATTTCACGCTCCAGTGGGTATTGCACACGAAACAAACCGAGATTCCGGGGAAGAATTCCTCGAGCTCGCTCTCGGTGAGATCGAACGCAAGATTGCCTATGAAGGCCGTGTAGGGCGGCTCGGTGGGCAGGGGGAGGTCTTCCCTCACAGGACCCAAGCCGCGATCCTCTGAGAAGAATTGGCGACAGTGAGCTTGAGAGATCAAAAGATCGCCAACACCCGATACGCACGTCTAGAAGACAAGAAGTCATCCCTCCTGCGATCAGGCCGGCCGTTGTCGCCGTCTGCGCGGGCTGCAGCTGTTGGGGCGAGAGGTTTAGGATGCACACCTGCTCGCAGTGCACGAGATACTCACGAGCGGTCGGAAGGGCGTCCATCTCATCTGCCCAGGAGCCCAGGGCTGACGCAAGACATGATCAGGGACTCGTCTGTACCGGGCAGCGCATGGTGCGTACCGCTATCACCCAGGAACTCGTTCAAAGACATCTTCTGTTGTTTCTTGGGCGCTACATGGCGAGGAGCGGTGAGTCCTAGGAGACATTTGTGAACAGACTGCGTACCCATTTTGAGTGTATCTCTGCGAAAAGAGGGCAGAGTTTTGAGACGAATGCAAGGATAAGTAGCCGCGAGCTGGAAGGCGTACGACAAGGGGTATGACCAAAATTCTCGAGATCGGCCGTGAGTTATCCAGTCTCTCTCACGCTCGCCTTTTCGGGAAACTCTGGATTTACGTAATCGCATGGCAGGCACTGGCACCGCAGCGCATATATACATACATACGCTCACCCTCCTCATTTCTACTCACTTCAATCCAAGCCTCAGCCGGCACCATGATCTTGCTCGAGGTATATACGTCTCAAAACACGACTGCATCAACCGCGTCGAGGGGCTCAATCAGTGTTTCGTAGTCGCACAACTACATCATTCAGACAACTCTCGCCGAGAAGTGCATCAAGTCCGTGCACACGCTATACTGACCCGGACTACTCTGATTAAATAAAGCTACACAGGCCCAGCTCTCTTGATGTCCAGTTTGTAGACTTTGATGGCGTTCGGTTCCACTTGTCCACGCCGGAACGCAAGACTAGCCTCCTCCTTTCCATGAACATCCGCTGCTGGGATGAGCTTGTCAAGTATGGCGTAGATGACGTTCTCAAGCGGGAATATGGTGCTCTTGTCAAAGCGTCTCCAGAGCCCGACTATAACATCAGTCTTGAGATTGATCTGGAGCAGGTCCCTCCGGAAGGCGGTAAGCATGCACCTTACCTTACGATGGCAATTCTCGTCCAATGCTCGTTGCACGATCTCAGAAGAGCGGGAGGCTTACCTCAAATCTATCGCGCTCCTCAAGCGCAACGCTCTTGCCGCGCCATTTGAAGTTGCGTTCAAGGCACAGAAACAGCTCGAGTCCGCCGGCAGTGGCCAGGGAGAGCTCATGGCGCTGCATTATCGTGATGAAGAGGTGATTTACGTGCAAGCATCGCCTGACCGTGTCACCGTCATATTCTCCACCACTTTCCGCGAAGAGACAGACCGTATCTTCGGCAAGGTATTCCTCCAGGTCAGTCCCCGTCCTCTGATGCTCGCGCACACGCGAGCCCACACATACGCCGCCCACAGGAATTCGTCGACGCGCGGCGGCTGCCGACGATCCAGAGCGCGCCGCAGGTGCTCTACACGACGCGTGAACCACCGCTCGAGATCCGCCACGTACCCGGGCTCGTGGACTCGGAGGACGTCGGCTACGTCACGTTCGTGCTCTTCCCCCGCCACTTCGCCAACCCCGCCGTAGCGGCTGCGACGATCAGCCACATCCAGCTGTTCCGCGATTACCTCCACTACCACATCAAGTGTTCCAAGGCGTACATGCATTCACGCATGCGGCACCGCGTGAGCGAGTTCCAGAAGGTGCTCAACCGGGCCAAAACCGAGGTTGCGGTCATCGATCGCAAGACTGCCAGGTCAGTACCATGCCTGCTGTTGCGAATTGATACTGACGACGATACAGTGGCCGAACCATGACGTCGCGATGAACGCCGAGGGGCTACAGATAAAGTATTGACTGTACTAATATACCGCAATCAATGGATTCGGAAGCACCCGCATTGCCCATTGGTTGAAGACAAATTAGCTAGCCACGATTGGGACATACTCAGGCTGTTTCGCAACCGGCCGGAGGGATCGCCGACTGAATCGAAGTGCTTGAAAGAAATACACTGAGAACATGAGCGATAGATTAAGTAGATACGTATACATATCCATGAACAATTGCAAGACATATGCCAAGGGATGCAAGTGTCAAGGCACTAAGGTCTAGCTTATAGATGCAAGTAATGCGCAGAAGAAAAGAGATTTATGTAGTGAGAACTTAATGCTAATGCGACGGACCATGCAGACATAAATTAATATAGGGACTTCAAAATGCGCTGTATTATCTGTAGAATATCCATGGGGCACTGTCTGACTGTACACCGCCATAAAACGTCATTGGCAAGCCCGCGGGAACGTTTTGTGAGGACGACACCTGGGTTTGAGGTGACCTGCCGCTACCCGGCGCCGGCGGCGGAGATAAAAATGAAGTGTCCCATGGAGGAGTTTCTGGCCCGGTAGTCACACCATTTGAGGATGGTGGGTACATCGGCGGCGAAATCGGCAGCCCCGCTCTGCCCCCAGCCGACCCGTATGCAGACGTAATACCGGTCGCCGTATCACTCTGCTGTTCGAAATCTCTCGGTGAGAGAGACGGGAGCGCAGAGCTCGGGCCTGGGAAAGGACTCACGCGCCGAGCGGACTGCGTCGGTGACTTGACGTTGTTGATCCAGTCGAGGGGGCCACCAGCCCGCACAGGTAGCGGTGAGGCAAATGAGGGGGGTGCTGACGTTGTGCCTGCTCCTACATGATAGGAAGAATAGGAGGTGGATGGATGACTGGTATATTCAGCGGCTAGATGCTGGAGTGACGCGGTTGCGCTCTCTGGGGGTGCCAAAAGAGAGGACGGGCCTTCGTAACTTAGCGGCTGATATAAAATGCTATTTTGGTGCATGGTAGGCAGCGGCGCCATCGATATGACGGCCGAATTTTGATATTGCGGGCGTCGTAATGGTGGCGGTGGCGGTGTTGAATGCGTCATCGATGTGCCGCCAGGGTCAAGCAGATTGAATTTCTGCAAAGCAGCGGTCAGGTCGAGGTGAGGACCTGTTACGACGTGCTGGAGGACCGCTGTGGCTTGTGCATCCTCCGTCCAGTCCGGGCAGCGTCTCCATTGCTTGCGGGGTGTTTCACTGGATGCTGACGGCGGGCTAGCGTCGGTGAAAAATAACGGAGGGCGCGACAGCGTGAACACGACGCGAGCAACGCCACGGTCGGCTGACGTGACATTCATGCCGACGATCGAATACAAGGGAATGTCCATCTTGAAGCCTGTTCCGGCACAATGGACAAACCAAGACATGCAGCGTATACCGGTTGTATCATGCACATATGCAAGGAGGTCATGCTTGCCGGCCGTCGTCGCGATACGCTTCCAGCTTCCGATGACCAGCTCCGTGCACGGAATAAACATTACGGCTGCGAGACATATTGTTTAATTAATCTCGACTGCGGGCACAAAAAAGGGGGTCAAGCTTACGTCCGGCCTCGTGTATGCGATCATGCATGTCGGGTTCAGGACAAATGTCCGTTGCTTCGGAGGTACTGGCCTCCGGTGCAGCAAAGGCTTTTTGACGTGCTTGTAACTTGGCCTTGGCGCGCCTTAAGTTTGTATGAAGGCGATGTGGTTTCGGCCGTGAGCGAGACCAGACATACCTGTTTTGGAACCAAATCTGTGTCTGCCTCTCCGTCATCCCGAGCTGCGCGCAGATCTCCTTGCGCCGGGCAGCAGTCGGACACTTGTCGACTACGAATATTGCTTCGAGATGTACGAGCTGCTCGGCAGATACCCGTGCCCGTTTTCGCTTAGGTTTGACACCGTCGGGGCGGCTGGTACTGCGGGAAGGCACCACGTGCTGGGGTGCAGAGGGCGAGCCCTCCGCCGGTGACTCGGCATTTGTATCAGTACTAGCGGGTGAAGGCGATGGATCAGGCGTCGGGGTCGTCGATGTGCTGGCTGATATTTCGGTGAGCATTGGTTAGGAGGTTCGTCCGATGGCGGACGGTGTCGATGGTCTGAGTACAGACTAGACACTCTGGTTGATGAGTCCGTGACACAAGTCAGATGATACTCCACAGCTCGAGCGATAAATACTCACCGGTTGGTGTAGCCGGAAGAAACAAGCCAGTAGAGCTTTGAATATTTGTATGTGCGACGGGCCAAGGCACAGGTGACAAATGTAGACCGACAAAAGGGCGCCCCGACTCCAGCGCTCCTCAAGTGCTCACTTCGAGCTGTCAACGAAAAAGCGCACGGCCGTTATGTGGTCAAGACGGTTCAGACGGCAAGGCAGATAGTCGCACGATTATCGAGGGGCGTTGCGCAGACGCCGTAACGAAGGTAGCGAAAACACAGTCGGTGATCGCGCCTGGCTGCAGAACAGGAGTGATAACCTTGTCCAGCCTCAGCATCTTAACAATCGGTGGCAGTGACAGGCCCATGCCATGGGATCTTCGCAACATCCCCGCCAGCCTTTGAAGTGAGGTATTCTCCGGTCGGACCAAACGATTTTCGAATCAGTGACGCATGCTCTCCGTTACCGCGTACGAAATCGGTAACAATGCAGAATCGCGAGCGAATCTTGCTCCATTAGCCCACAAACAGAAACAAGGGGCTGTGCGATGGCGTCGGCATTTTGAAACGTTTTGACTGTCGTTATGAGACTGATCTGTCGCACTAGGCAGAGTCTAAGAACATCGGGTCAGACACCTCCCACTTGCGTTCGCGGGCATAGTTAAGACAACTCTCACACCACCTTATGCCGTTCTTTGCTTCTGGCAGCGGGAGCATTTTTGACAAACGGCACAACATATGTGTATAGCTGACTATGATCTGCGCTGGGCACCTCTCGGACCGGCGGATAGGTCTCGAGGCAGGGAGTAAGTGTCATGGTCGAGATGTCTGATCAGGAACAGGGCATTGCCGACAACTGCCGTCGCTTCTCGTGCTGCGCATCACACCCTCGACCAAGACGGGTATCATGTGCTAGACAACGTAGTTTATTCTCAAAAGGTTGACAAATGTGCTATGTTTATGACGATGAGAGAGTGCTCACCCTGCTACAAGGTCCCCGTGCTGGAGACCCGACCCTACCCAGAGGAGGCTATGCTGATCCGCTTCCATTTGCCTTAGATCCCAATCTTGGCTAAAACTTGGGGTGACAGGCTGCAGCAAACGTAAAATAGCACAGGGTCGAGACAACACCCAATCAAGAACCTACAAGTCCTGTGGCGGTCCTTGGCGAGATCCACATGCGTCCTAGAACAGGACAGAACCGAGGACGCACCAGCGTCTATCTATCGTCTTCGGCTTCGCCAGCACGAGCTTATTCCGCGCAGTATATGCTCAAGCAGGCGGGCCGACGCACCATCGCGCATGGACGCGACATAAAAATCAGCCTTGGCTCCCCGCACGACTGCGATCACATCAATGTAAGTAGGAGACTTGAGCCCGTGGCCAATCATGGCTAGCACAACCATCATTTTATCTTCCTGACCCATAGACATCGGCTGCAAAGTAAAACATTATGGATCGTCGACGGAGCAGCCCGCACAAGCGTCGCTTGACATGCCAATCGTTCACAATGCATACAATCCTTTGATGAAAGTAAAGAACAGTAGAGCTGTCCTTTACAAATTCGTGCACGCGAGCCCCTGTCTCGATCAAGTTGTTGTGACGCAGATGAAGTTTCTGGACGAACCCACTGCGGATCTGCAAATATCAATCTCTGAAGGGCGCCGATATACATACTTGCCTCCCATATTACCTGTGTAGACGGTACACAATCAAAGCAGTATACTTACGCAGAAGGTGCCATGCACCTCGGACAGGTCGAGAGCGCGAAAAACAAAGCAGTAGGTATAGTCACCTTGGACATTGTCCATCTCACCACATCCACGCGGCTTCCGGATAACACCAGGCGACTGCGCCCTAATAGCGAGGCCGCTTGGCGTCCCGGTCATCGTATCCCCCTGGGCCTCCGTCTCGCTTGAGGTCGTTGCGATACCCACCACCTCCACCGAAACCCCCTCCTGGTGGGCCATATCCGCCGGGACCACCTCCGGGCGGGCCGCTAAAGCCGCCGGCCGGTGGTCCGTAACCACCAGGTCCGCCTCCTCCGTTAGGAGGGGCAAATCCATTCGAGCCGTGGTCGCCGAATCCTCCACCTCCTTGAAATCCAATGCCGCCGCCGCGGCCCCTGTGATCTACTTGAGCAGAGCGGGGACCTCGATGCGGGACGATGGCATACCTGAATCCTCCGCGATCGCCAAATCCACCACGACCGCCGCCGCCTCCAAAGTCGTCCCTACCGCCTCGGAATCCACCGCCGCCGCCAAACCCACCTCCGCGGAATCCACCACCTCGCCCGCCACGGAACCCACCTCTGTCGCCTCCGCGGAACCCACCGCGGAACCCACCTCTGCCGCCGCCACCGCCACCGCCAACGCTGGCACTGGCACTGGCACTACTGGTAAATGGCACAGGAGGTTCTGGTTTGGGCCTACCACCCAAGCCGCCGCCCAAGCGACGAGGCCTCCAACCCCTAACCGTGCGACCACGTTCGACATCGACTAGAACTCTCTTGCCCATGATATGTAGGCGGTCTGATTCCTTGTATGCGGCTGTCATAAGGTGGTGAGTCAAATAGGATTTGAGGGTCCTGCTAGGTTAGACCGCTCTGCGTAACGAACAAAACATGTACCTTTCATGTCGCGCTCGCGCTCGAACACGATGAACGCGTACCCTCTGCTACGTCCTTTTTTGTCGCGAACGATTCTTACCCGTTCAATACTACCAAACCCTTCGAATTCGCGCCGGAGATCGTTGTCCGTGGCGCTTTTGTGCTATTGCAGCTGATTAGAAGAGCGGCGACAGGAATGGGCACGCGAGGCAGACATACCAAACGGGCAATGAAAAGAGTCTTGTACGGATCGCCAACAGCCTCGGCATCCTCGGACGGTTTATCTATCGAAAGTCAGTGAATGCCTCCGTCCGTGTGTGGTGGACATACAAGTCTCCTTGGCCTTGTTGAACTCCTCTGTTTTCTTGGCCTTCCTCTCCTCTCTGCGAATGGCTCGCTTCGTTTCTTCTGCGTGCGTGAAGGAAGGCTCCTCCCCTTCTTCCATGCCTTCAACCCCGCCAGATTTCATCAAGTCCTGCGTCTTGTCTTCACGAAGACGGGCGAGGAGGGCACCAACACCATCAACATCCTTCTTCCTGACGCGGTCGATGTCCTTGTCGAGTGGTCGTGTATAGGGGAGCGGCGGACGTGGAGCGAAAAGCTTAAGCAAGTTCGGCGGCAACAAATGCGTGCCGGGCATGGTGGGCGAGAGCGAGGAAGGAGTTCAAGGTATATGAGAGGGTGGCCGTCAAATATAGAGGTTATAAATACAAGAGGCGACCGCCTGGAGTATGCACAGGTTGGGACGGCGTCGACGACGCAGGCAGTTGGGAGAAAGGAGCGTGGGAACTCTCTCGCTGCGAACGCGCCGGCGGCATTCCTCTCTTGGAACACAGAGACCTTCCGTCCGACTCGGTGAGCTCGCAGGCTGCAGTCTCTCTATCGCTGGTCTGATGGATTTCAGGGAGATATGAGGGCCTTTGAGCCCTCGCTTACAGCGTACATCTGTCGTAATTGCACCGCAAATCTACGATGGACGAGGCAGCGATTGCCCCTGCCCCGCGCGGCTTCGACGCTCGCGGGCAGCAAGGCGGTCGACTTTACCTCATTCTTCTCTCATAACGAGAGATGGACCGCAAATACGGCTTCGCAACGACTACACACAGGAGAGCCCCCTACTGTCGCAGACGCACAGTACCCGCCAGCTCTCTCCACCCGAGTGTACCGCCGAACCGAGGCCCTTTCCGTCCGTCGGCTGCTCAAGGCATACACCGAGCTCTCCAAAATGCGACTGACGGTCCTCAATGTTCTTGCAGCCATGTCCGCCGTCGCCGTATCGCCTCTCCCCACGAGCGTCCCTGTCCTCCTAGCCACCGCAATCGGCACCACCCTCTGTTCAGCGTCCGCGAACACGCTCAACCAAATACAAGAGGTCCCATTCGACGCCCAGATGGCGCGGACGCGCATGAGACCTCTGGTCAGGCGCGCCATCAGTCCCCTGCATGCCACGGGCTTCGCGCTCGTGACGGGCATTGCAGGCCCAGCCATCTTATGGACCATGGTGAACCCCACCGTTGCGCTACTTGGGGCAGGCAATATCGCGCTGTACGCAGGGGCATACACCTGGCTGAAACGTAAGAGCATCGTCAACACCTGGGTCGGCGCTCTCGTCGGTGCTGTTCCCCCCCTCATGGGTTGGTCAGCAGGAGGCGGGCACTTGCTGCCATCGTCCGCGCATCCGGTGGAAATATTTCTCCCGTCCTTCCTCTCCTCTGTCCCTCTCGATGCTACTCTTGTCGACAACCCGCTGGCGCCGCTTGCACTCTCGATACTGCTCTTCTGTTGGCAGTTCCCGCATTTCATGTCGATAGCGCACTTCCAACGCGAGTCGTATGCTCAAGGTGGCTACCGCATGCTCTCCGTACTCTCGCCTACCAAGAATGCCCTTGTTTCCTTACGTCATGCACTTCTTCTCATTCCAGTCTGTTCCATCCTTATTCCTCTGTCCGGGATCACGACCTGGACATTTGCTGCCGTCAGTCTCGTCCCCAACCTGATCGCAGCGGAGGCAGCGTGGAGCTTCTGGCGCCAGGTCAGCGACAAGCAAGCACGGCGTGTCTTCCAGCATAGTCTCTGGTATCTGCCAGTTATGCTGGGATTGATGATGATTTGCAAACGGGGGTTGGACTGGAGTTCGTGGATGGGTTCAGGAGCAGAAGAAGAGGTCGCATCCGATCCTGAGGTGTCCGCCACATAAGTCAAAATGTAATGGATAGCGCGTATGTTGTAGATAGCACCCTTAGTCGCATCAGCCCGGACGTCCTGTCATAATCAATCAGCTCGTGCCACTTACTGAATGTCCGAGCACGTCCACTACTGCGTTCCAGATTTTGTTTTGGCCGCGCGCGCCGCCTGTCGCTGCCGCTTCAGAGCCTCCAGCCTGGCCTTCAGCGCCGACACCTTCGCGTCCGCCTCCTCCTGCGCCTGCTCCTCCTCCATCAGCCGATCCATGATCAGCTCCCGCTCGTCCAGCTCCCTCCGCCGCCGCCGCGCCCCCTCGTCCACGACGTCCCGCGTCTCCCCCGCCGCGTCCGCCTGCGCCTCCGCCGGCGGGAAGCCCTCCGGCGTCTCCGCGGCCAGCACGGGCTCCGCCATGACGGTCGCGCGCTCGTACGTCTCGTGTGTGTCGGGCGCGTTGACGACCGCCGCCTGGAAGCGCGCCCACTCCTGGTCGATGGCGGACGCTTCGGCAGGCGCGGCTACGGGCGCAGCGGGTGCGTCCTCGCCGCCCGACCCGTCGTCAGAGGAGGGCGGCGGGGGCGCGCGCGCGCGGTCCGAGAAGAAGTCGGCCGGAAAGCCGGTCGTCGGTCTGGCAGCCGGGGACGCGCGCCCGCCTTCGTCCTCGCCCTCGTCACCACCCTCTTCGTCGTCCTCGGGCTCGCTGGTCCGCCGCCGTTTGGCGTCGAGTTCTTCCGCGTCCTCGACCTCGGCTGCCGTGCGTTTCTGGCGCTGCAGCTCTGCCTGCCGCTCTTGCTCTTGCCGCCTCTGCTCCTCTTCCCTCAGACGCGCCGCATTCAGCCGGTGTGCCTTGCTCCCAATGTGCCCGTTCCAGGAGGATCCCTCCTTGACGATGGTGCCACATGCAACACAGCGAAGCTGGCCGCTTGTACTGTATGAAGCAAACGGGTGGTTCACTCGGATTTCCTGCCGTTTTGCTTTCAGTAGAGCGCGGACATCCGCCATGTTGAGAGCGCGTCAGTAGTGAACAAGCAAGTAAAGGCGTGAAGGACAAGCAAGGCGAATGCGACTGAACGAGACAGTGCAAGCGCCTATTTGACGAGTAACAACATTCATATTACGTAAGCACTCGAAGAGGCTTCAGTATACATACACTACGTATGGTAGTCTAACAACCCAGGCACTGGGGAGAACACCAGTATGCATCCATAGAGGTCAACCAGTAGGGGAGAATGCAGCGCGACATCTCAGAGCCGCGTTTACTGCTTGTCCTTGAAGATCTTCTGGATAGCTGCCGTCGAGTAGGACTTCGGACGCTCGAGAGCTACAATGAAAGGATGAGCGAAACGGACTCAGCTGCCGAGGCTGAAACTACTTACGAGCACCAAGGGCACGATCCCAGATGAGCTGTGCAGCGACACCGAAGGCGCGCGAGACACCGAAGAGGACGGTGTAGAAGTTCATCTGCGTCAGGCCGTAGTGGGTCAGCAGCGCACCCGAGTGCGCGTCGACGTTGGGCCACGGGTTCTTCGCCTTGCCAGCCTTGAGGAGGATGTCGGGCACGATCTCGTAGATCTGGCCGACGAGCTTGAACATCGGGTCCTCGGGAAGGTGCTTGAGCGCAAACTCGCGCTGCGCGGTGTAGCGCGGGTCCGTCTTCCTCAGGACGGCGTGGCCGTAGCCGGGGACGACCTGACCGCCGTTGAGCGTCGACCAGACGTACTCGCGCACGGCCTCGTCGCTGGCGTTCTCGCCGATCTTCGACTGCATCTTGCGCAACCAGACCAGCACCTCCTGGTTAGCGAGACCGTGGAGCGGGCCCGCGAGACCGTTCAGGGAGGCACTGAACGCAAGGAAGGGGTCAGAGAGCGCGGAGCCGACAAGCTTGCCGGTGTGCGCCGAGACGTTGCCACCCTCGTGGTCACTATGCCAAACGTCAGAAAGTGATGAGTAGAGTGACATCATGAAGCCTACCTGTGGATGGTGATGTAAAGTCGGAGCAGCTCGACGAAGCCAGCGTTGTCGCCGAAGCCGAGAAGCGTGGCGAGGTTCCACGAGTAGTCCTTCTCAGCGTCGATGGCAGGGAGCTTGCCCTGGCCGTAGACGTTGCGGTAGATACGGCCGGCAATGTTCGGCAGCTTGGCAATCCTGTGAATGAACTGTGAGGAGCGGCCCCGCGTGGCATCGTAGAAGGCCTTACAGGTCCATGCAGTCTTCGAAAACCGGCTTCCAGTACTCCTTTTTGGAGATGCCCTCGGAGTAGGCTTTTGCGAATGCGGAGTCGTGGTTCAGCTGTTACGAAGATTTAGTCGGAAATGAGGTCAACTGGACACAAACGATGACGCACAGCGGTGACAGCTAAGCTGAACTGGCTCATAGGGTGGAGGGTGGGAGGACATCTGTCGAGGAGCTCCTCGACGAACTCCGGGATAGCGGCGCGGGCAGCCCAGTCCTTGGAAAGGGCAGTGACCTGCTCCTGAGTCGGGACCTCGCCGGTGACGAGAAGCCAGAAAAGGGCCTCAGGAAGAGGCTCGGACCCACCAGGGGCCTTGGGGAGAAGGGCCTGGCAATCAGGAATGGTCTTGCCGCGGAAGCGGATGCCCTCCTCTGTGAGGTTTGTGTGAGAAAGCGGGCGCTATAAATAAATAGAATAAATGGAAAAACATACCTGCATCGAGGACGGAACCGTCCCAGATGAGAGCGGGAAGGCCGCGCATGCCGCTGTGATCCAAAGTCAGCGACCGGTGTGATCACGCACTCAATAGCGGAACAAACGAACCCGTAGAGCTGATCTACAAGAACAGGGCCGAACGACTTCTTGCCATGTTCGGCACGCGTGGCTTTTACCTGGGTCGATCACGCATCAGGATGACGCACCGGGGAGAGGGTGTCGCGAGGGGGACATACGGTCTCAATCTCGGCTGGAATGAGCTCAGCGAGTCTGTCCTTGAGGGTGGACTGTTTTGCTGAGGTCGAGGCGAGCCTGGCCGGGGAGGCGAAGGCGCTGCGACGGGACTGGGCGGAGAGGGTGAGGGAGGGCCCATGTGACCTGTGGTAATATATACACACACCTGCCTGAGGACGGAGCGGAGGGCGGAAGACATGGGCGATGAGAGGAGGAGCAGCAAAGGCAAAGGCGAGCTGTGCGCTGGCACGCCGAGTCCGCGACACTTATTATGAGCGCACTCCGGCGCCACGTGCGCCTCGGATTTGTCGGCTCTCTCTCCCCGTCTTCACCTCTCTCCCTCTCCTCCCCGGCCTTCACCCCACCCGAATGGCCAAGCGCAAAAGGGCGCCCAAGGCCCCCGCCGACCCCGCGCACGACCTCAACGCCCTCCTCCCCCAGGTCCGTCTCTCCCCCTCCCCCCGCGCACCGTCTCATTCCCCCCCAGAAAAGACACTACAGGCAGCGTGCACACGCCAACCCCTTCTCTGATCATGCCCTCAGCTACCCGCTCTCCCCAGACGCCATCGACTGGGCCGCTCTATATCCGACCTCACCCAGCACACCAGAGTTTGCTGATGTCGGCTGTGGCTTTGGCGGTCTGCTGATCGCCCTCGCGCCTCTCTTCCCAGACACCCCCATGCTCGGTCAGTCCTATCTCCGCACGTCCTGCGCCCGTACCTGCTCTCTCTCGCGTCGACACTGATCGCCCGTCATGCCTGGAACCCCTCTGATCCTTTGCGTGCAGGCATGGAAATCCGCGTCCAGGTCTCCCAGTACGTGCAAGACCGCATTGCTGCTCTCCGTGCTACTGCCGCCGCCAATCCTCAGTCGGCCCCTCCCGGCGCCTACCAAAACGTATCAATAGTTCGCGCAAACTCCATGAAGTTCATGCCAAACTATTTCCCCAAGCACTCGCTCTCTGCTCTCTTCTTCCTGTTTCCCGACCCGCATTTCAAGGCCCGTAAGCACAAGGCGCGCATCATTTCTCCCACTCTCCTGGCGGAATATGCGTACATACTGAAGCCCGGTGGTATCGTCTATACGATCACCGACGTGCGCGACTTGCACGAGTGGATGAAGGCCCACCTCGAGGCCTTCCCCCTGTTTGAACCGGCGAGCGAAGAAGATCTACGGGCCGAGGGAAAAGGTCCGATACTCGATGCCGTCTACTCAAGCACAGAGGAGGGCAAAAAGGTCGAGCGCAACCAGGGAGACAAATGGCTGGCCTGTTTCAGACGAATTGAAGTAGCTAGGATTTGACAAGCCATGTACTGTTGTTCTGTACTTAGTACTCAATCGAGGATTGCTGTACATCAGACAATGTTTCAAAGCGCCTGTCAAAAATCATCATTGGTATGCACATCATCCATAACGATGTCCCGTTCTAGTACATCAGCTCCGGGACCGTGTCCAAGGCCTCCGCCCATAGCAGTAATGAGCGCACTGGTTCGGCTTTTCACCGCCCGTCTCATTTCTTTGTGGATGGTCTGCCCAGCTTCACACGCAAGCTTGAAAATCTCCCCGAATCTGTCGACGTGCAGGCGCGTCTCGAGTGTTACGAGAGTGACCTTGTTAGTCCTGGGCATGACAGCGACCGTGACATGCGGGAGGTCGTTCTCTTCCAGGGTCGTCAGGTCCAGCATGGGCGAGGTCGCGTGCACGCCCCCGCTAACGGCGCAGACAAAGTCCAGCAGCGGGATGCCGGCCGTGGCCAGCGCGAGCGTCGTCGCGTTGATGCAGGTCTGGAGCAGGCCGCCGTCTTGCTGCAGGACGTGCACGAACACGTCGATCTCCGAGCGCGGGTAGAGGCCCGTCTGCACCACGGGCTCGAACGTCGTCTTGATCGTCGCGGCGAGCTCAAGCATGCGCCTGGATGCTTGCCGGGTCTGTCATCGCCTCCTCCGCAGCGTGCATACGGGCGCACTCACCGGTCCGCGCGCGCGCGTCTGCGCCGCTCCCCGGTGCTGAAGGGCAGCACGTTCACCTCGACGTTGAGCACCGCGCGGTCGTGGAGGGTCTGCGACCGCATCTTCGCCTCCCGCGGGCCGAAGACGGTCACGAGCACCTGCGTGAGGCCGTGCGTGAGGACCGCAGAGCCGTCCGCGGTGCCCTGCTGAGCGAGGTCGATGGAGATGTCCCGCAGCTCGTACTGCCGCCGCCCGTCCGAGCGGTAGCCGCCGTCGTTGAGAATTTCGACCCTGGAACTCTGCGCGACTCGTCAGCCCGACTTGTGAGGATTTGCGGTGGTGCGCGACGCACCATGGGTTGGATTTTCGGGGCGCGGACAGGGCAGCACTGAGTGGGTGGCTAAAGGAGGTAATAGTCCTAGTCAAGGATGACGCTCGTCGTCCACCGCCACTTGCCGGCTGCGCGTTGACCGACTTGTCTTATCGCCCCGATGGAGCCCAGAGGCCCTCTCGTTCGCTCTTGCCTGCATCCATACCGCCATGTCGTCTCCTCCAGACATCGTGCTCCCCGCGTCCTTTCTGGACACCGATTTGTACAAGGTGCGCCCACAGCTCCGTCCCGAAGACAGAGCATGAACCCCGCGCGCAGTTCACCATGCAGCAGGCGGTCCTGCACCACTTCCGCGACGTGCAGGCCACCTACCGCTTCACGCACCGCGACACGGACGTCCTCTTTACCAGGGACTGTTTCGAGCAGTTCAAGCGATCCGTCTCCCGTGAGCAGCGCGTGCGGCCGACCCGCGCGCCGTGCATGGCTCACGTTCCATGTCCCATGACGCAGACTTCGACCAGCTGCGGCTCGCCGACGCAGAGCGCGACTGGCTCGGCAAGGCGTGTCCCTACTTCACGCCGGAGTACCTCCAGTACCTGTCCGCCTACCGCTTCAAGGTCGACCAGGTCCGCGTGCAGTTCCTCCCGGTCTCCGCGGACGGCCAGCGCGGGCATCTGGACATCCACGCCGTCGGCCCGTGGGTGGAGACCATCTTATGGGAGGTCCCGCTCATGGCCTGCCTGAGCGAGCTGTATTTCCGGACCGTCGACACCGACTGGAGTTACGACGGGCAAGACGGTGAGGTCTGCGAGCTGCGACCGTTCTGCGCTCTCTGAAATCAGCGCAGAGGCCGCGTATCGCAAGGCGGAGACGCTGCTGAAAGCCGGGTGCACGTTCAGCGACTTTGGCACCCGGCGCCGACGGACGTTCGAGACACAGCGGATCGTCGTCGAAGCCCTCATCCGCGCATCGCACGACGTCAATGGAGGCAAACTGCTGGGGACTAGCAATGTATGCGCTCTCTCCGTCTCTCGTGCTTACAAGCTGTGCTAATGCTCTCGTAGGTTCATCTGGCGCGCAAGTACAATGTTTCTCCCATCGGCACGATTGCACAGTACGTCGTTATCATGGTCGCGAGCTGCCTGCGATAATGTCTGCCGCCTAGCGAGTGGTTCATGGCTGTGAGTGTCACATCTGAGCAATCCCCGCCTCGTGTCCTTTATGTTGATCAGCGATGTGTTTGGCTCAGGTAGGGGCACTGAAAGGATACGAACACGCCAATGCACTGGGTCTCACTTTGTGGGAAGCGGTGTACCCGAAGGACCTGCTCTTGGCTTTGACGGACACCTTCTCGACAGAAGTATTCTTCAAGGTCTGTAGTGGTCATCTCTGCCGGAGTATCTGCCTTTGTTGACCGAATCTACGCAGGACTTCCTTTGCAACCCTGACCAAGCTAGAAGATGGAAAGGACTGCGGCAAGACTCCGGCGACCCTTTCAAATATGCTCCTCGCGCAAAGGAGGTGTACGAGCAACTCGGGATCAACTATCATGAGAAAATAATAATTTTCTCTGATGCCTTGAATGTAGACAAGGCTATCAAGCTCAAGGAGCAGTGTGATGACATTGGCTTTGCATGTAAGTGCATGGAGCTTCTGCTGTGACTTATTCTCAAATTGTGTTCCCAGCATCATTTGGCATTGGTACATCCCTGACCAATGACTTCGAATCTCTTTCCCAAGCAGCACACAGCAAGGCATTGAACATGGTAATCAAACTGGCATCAGTAAATGATCTTCAATGTATCAAAATTAGTGATGAGTTAACCAAGGTGATTTGTCCTTTGTGAGCAATGTCAGTATGTTCTAATGAGTGTTTAGAACACAGGTGACCCCAATACCATTAAATTGGTTAAACATATTCTTAGTCTGCCATAATATGGGTGTGATAGGTGTAGCATATATAGTGTTGTTTGTTAAAACCAGCCCAAACTTGGACACTACTGTTAGTGATACTATCTCAAACTGGAAACATAAACCTGTATGTGAGTGTGAGAGAGTGAATGTTTATGTAATGAGCAAATGAGCAAATGACCTCATTTACAGTGTTACAATTTGGCAGCAATGGACAATGTTGAGGTTTCAGCTTCTTGATGCCCAACTATTCAGCTTTGCCCCACTGCCAAGAGACATTTCCCATAAGATGGTCAATATTACAAGTTGGTATGGGTGCCCATTGCCTATAGTTAATTTCCTTGTTTATCATATTTTCCTTTTCTTGGTTTCAAACTCACAATCTCTATATTATACAGATATGCTTGATGAAACAAACAAGTCTTGCTGTCACATAACAGCTGTATAATAAATTTAGATTAGACAGCAGTGCATTACATAGCCTGGGTACCACTAACATAGTCACTCTCACTCACTGACCCCTGAGGCCATGTTAGTAGCATTATGCACAGGTCAGCTGTGTATTGGACCAGCATGCACAGCTGGCTTGAATTTCCTCATGTATAACATCAGGAAAGCACCACTCTGGGTTGGTGGGCTTACTAAGCTTGCAGGTCTTAATTAAGACAAAATAAGGCAGAATGCATCCTTAATTGTGTCCTAATCAGTGACGGTCTCAGTTTTCACGGGAATCTGTTTAGTAGAGTGCGGTGTCTGCCAGCTTTTGCCTGACAGAGCACCCATATGACCAAAAACAAATGTATTTTTAAGTGTTTTAGACACTAGGTGGTCTCAAGTGTATGGCTAGGACCTAAAGAAAAGTTGGAGGTGTGTTGTGAGGTGGAAGATGGGGAAACGAAGAGGCAAAAAGCACAGGGTGTGAACAAAGAGGTGGAGAGGGGTGTGGAAATCAAGGAGTGGATGCAGGATCATGAGAAAAGAGTAAGGCGGTGAGGAGCACAGGATGTTTACAGATGTAGGCACAAAAAGCCTCAGATGACCAACAGCCAGCAGCTTGAATCAGATCGGAAGCAACACCACATTCCATGAGGGCAGTGGCACCACCAGAGCATAGGCTATGACTGGCCACATTATCAGGGAAAAGGATGGTGAGTTGCTGGAGGAACCAGGAACAAGTGGGGAGGCTGCCATCCAAGTGGATCCACAGTTCAGCATGGAGGGTGAACCAGCCATCACGGTGGGTAAGATAGTGGGTAAAGAGGTTGACAGTGCTGGGGAGAGTGAGAGCCTAAGTGACAAGGATGTGGCTACCATCAAAGAATGGGTTGGCTTTGTAAGCGGGAAGCAAGAAACTGTAAGAAGTGATGTCATCATGGATGACTGTGTAATGCAGGGTAAGTTTGCAATGGCTTCAGAGATGAGCAACACCAGGCCAGACCAGTTCACCAAGGCGCATCAGTGCATGAAAGCCAGTGAACAACTGTGTAAGGAAAAGGGTGTCATCATAGTTGGAAAAAACATGAAGTGCAGTGTAAGTTGCACACAAGTCAGATGGTGTTAGGGCACATTTTCAGGAGACAAGAGAACCATGCAAGTGTTTGCAGCCATGCAGTGTATAGGTGACAAGGCAGGACATACAAGCAGCATGAACTGTAGGGAAAAAGACTTTGAGCTCACTGCAGATCATAAAGAGATAATTGTCAATGGAGGAAGGTTTAATGTGGGCACACATATACACAGTATACAAGCTGAGAGTGTCGGTAGTGGGATTGAGAGGGAGAGAGTGCGCATGACAGAATGTGATATAGGAGTTCAGTGTGGATGAATAGGTTTGATGGGTGAAGGAGTTGAGAGCATGTCTGAGAGTGAGTGAACACTTGTGAATGAGATGCTCCATAGTCCATGGCTGTCATAATGGCTGCTGGGGACAGCAAAACTCCATGTTCATAATGAAACCCCCCCCCAGTGTATCTTGAGGGGGTGTAAAAGAAAGCAGGCACAGGCCAGGCTGAAGGCAGAGAGCAGTAGCAAATTGTTGGTGGGAAAGGGTATCAGCAACAATGTTTTCGACACTGGACACATGGTGGACACAAAGATTGAGGGTGTGGCAAAGCTGCACATTGACAGTAGACTTGAGAATGGCATTGTAAGGGGGTGTTGCGCGCAAGGAAGTGAAAATACCAACAGTGTTTGAATTATTGGTGAACACAGCCATGCATGTAGGTGTAGTCATAGCATGACAACAAAAATGGGAAGTAGAAATGTGCACTGCAGAGCAGGTCGCAAGTGCCTCATAAAAGAAAATGGAAGCACCATCTGAGAGGGAACACGAGCAGTAGTAACCAAGATTGAGCCAAGGGAAAAAGAAACCCAAGCCAACACCAGAGGCATCAACATAAGCAATCTCTTCATCCAAATGTGAGAAGGTGAAGTCGTGGGAAGTCCATGCATCATGTTCCCAAAAACAGACACCATCAGACAGTTCAATATAGCATGCAGCCCAGAGTAGGTCATTGCAGATAGCTTGGTTGAGATAGATAAGTGCGTGTTGGTCAGTTTTGTCAGCAGTTTTGATGTAAATATTGGAAAGTGCAGGCTTGAAAAGAGGAAACACATTAAATGCCCAGTTGAGGGTGCCAGTGAGTTCCTGAAATTCTTTTTTTGAGAGACTGTTACCACCCCGCAGTAGCAACATAACAGAACTCTTTGAGTTGTTGTACCAAAGCAAGTTTGTGAGCACAAGATAATATAGCCAGCATCACATTAGGGTCAACCTCAAAACCGATGATGGTAAGAGTGTGCCTGTAGATCTGCCTGTGTTCCTCATGTGGCAGACCAATGTCATCCCAGAGTGCTAGCAAATGGCATTGACTGGCAGGAAGGTAGTGTCATATGGTGCATAGTATGCCACAGCACCTTCTGTCACAACGTGCTCTGCCATAGTTGCTTGGTCGGCCTAGGGTGATCCCCCGGTGGCGGGAGCCACAACACCATGTGACCACATGGTTGTATCAATTGCGGAGCATTTGGACTGGAGCAGAGCTCCGGCTATACTTCTTTTGTTCCATTGTTCCTGTGGCCAAGTGGCCTTTGTTCTACTTTTGGACTCTATTGTTCTTTCTCCTATTGTTCCGCCATGGGAATGCTTTCCCTTGCTCATGTATATAAAGAGCTCTGCAGCGATCCTTTAATACACACTTCTGTGACCCACTTCGACTTCAGCCCCTACTGTGGCATTCAGTCCTTCAGTGCTAGTCCTGTGCAACTGCTCCCTGCGTCACCTTTTGATACCTTCACGTTTAAAGCCAAAGTTATTGTCAACATAATTGAAACATGTGAGACCGAAATGATGTTTTGCACACCAGATGACAAGGCACATGACTGAGAAGAAGCAAGCAAGGGACATGCAATTACAAGGGGAAGATTCCCATGCTGCTGGCAAAAAGTGTGCAAAACATGACCCAAAGCTGGGATTCCATCAAGCATGACCCCATGGACATCATTCTTCCAGATCATCAAATTGAGCAAGAAAACTCCGGCACTGTGATTGTTGATCAATCTGAGCTTGTCAGAGTTTGGTTTGGTACAGCGTGAACCGGTATGTGGTATATTCCTGGCATGAGAAATTCAAATAGCTGACTGTATCTCCGTTTGTGCACTTCCTTAGCACACTATTTGCGCAGGAAATCATGCATGCACTCATCTCACAGTGACAGCTGCATTTCTTCCTATGAAGTAGGGTATCATTGGTTGAAGGTGTCTGCACAGGGCCAGAAACCTTCCCACAGAGCTCAATACACCAATTGGACAAAATGGGATCTGAAGGGTCATGTAAGAGTACTTTGAGATGGTGGACTTGGATGGGTGTCACGATCTCAAACAGCTCAGGATAGAGTTGCAGTGTTAGAGAAACATGAAAATTGTCATGTTCTGACTGCAGTACATCAGGGACCAGAAGCAGATGGAGTGAAGTCTTGCTGACAGTCTGCTGTGGGTAGTCTCCGTCACTCCACACCCAATGTTGTATGTATCATGGGCATCCAAGGGTAGCTGCCTTATTCACCACACTCATGTGAGGTGTGTGAAGTGCTTCCATATCAGAAACAGATGTGGTGATATTTGTAGTTCTCCCACTTGGTATAGTGTCCAGCATTCCACTGCTCACAGGGCTCATTGTGGCCAGCTCATCCTTGGGACTTTGCTTATGACCTAGCAAGTCGTCCATGTTCTATGCTACTTGAGAAACCACTGACATTGGCCCCATAGGAGTCAATGAATTGTGTTCACAGGTCAAGGAACTTGGTGATATCCATGAGCAGAAGTTCACGTCATGATGACACTCACTTTCGGATGGCATGGTTGTAGTCAATGACTCGACCACAGTACTGAGGTGCAATTGCTTTAAAAGTATGGGAAATGTATTGGATGTATACCATGAGTTTGACTCTCCTATGGGGGAAGGCAAAAACAATGGTGTTGGCTGCCTTCTGCCAGGTGAGTAACCAGTTGCTTGTGATAAGCACTTTTCTAGTTGAGGATGGACAAGTTGGGAATAGAGAACTCAATGGTTTCAAGTTTTGCAACACATTTAACTCCAGTTGTGGTAGAGTACCCTGCACTGATGACTCAGTCAAGGTTGACTGGCTCTCCACCCAAAATGTTCGTCCATTTGAGCTTTGGGAACTTGGGTGCTTGCATAATGGTTGCAAGTGATTCTCTTGCATATTGGAGATTCTTCGTGTATTCACATAGGAGCTCAATAGTATGTTTAGCATCGGGATGGGAGACAAATTGCTTGTCGAGAAAACTGTTTGCAGTCCAAGCATACTTTGACAGGTCAGCTAGTGGTTTCTTTGGAGGTTTGTTTTCATCACTCAACTTGTCCTCTGAGTACTTTCACTTGGTCACAGTTGACTTGACCCTGGTAACAGGTGGTGTTTCTCCTGTGACGTCCCCAACACTGTTTCGACTGTTGTCTTCATCATTTCTTTCATCACCCTTCTCCTGATTCTCGGAAGTAGGCTGCTCCAACTTTCCAATGTAACTGGTGAAGACTCTTTCATGTTCATCATGGGGCATGGTACTGTCGGCACCATTGAGGAGTCTCCTGAGTTGCAAGACTGCTTGTCAATATGGGATACCTCCCCAATTATGGTGTTCAACCACCTCAAAACACTTGCATTGGAATGTCCTTACCATGTTCATCACTCATAGGGGTTATGTTGAATCATGAGATGGTTGGTAGATTATCAACTATAATTTATTGACTGAGAAAATAGCTTGAAATATATACACTGTAAACTAATGGTAAGCTGGAAGGAGCACACAGGAATTGTGTATCAGTCTCATTGAGACAACATACCTGACAATAAGCTGGAGGGAGCAGGAGAGTGCACTCTCCAGCCCCTGGCCAGACTGTCAGGTTACATCACCCCCTGTCGGTCACCTGCTTAGTCAGCAAATACAACACAGTGAGTGCTCTCAACTCTTAATAGGTATATGAGCAGCACATCCTCACTGGTCGGCACATGGGTCAAGCAAAGGGTGTAGCACGAGTTGTGAACCCGTGCACCCAACATGACAGGTTCATACCTTGCTATGGCCCGCTCTGATTAGACTTGCATAAAACAGTTTTAGACTCAATTAATATGCTCTTAACTGCACTTAGTCTGCTTAATCAAGCCAACTAATATCAAAAGGCGACACAGGAAGCAGTTGCACAGGACTAGCACTGAAGGACTGAATGCCACAGTAGGGGCTGAAGTCGAAGTGGGTCACAGAAGTGTGTATTAAAGGGTCGCTGCAGAGCTCTTTATATACATGAGCAAGGGAAAGCATTCCCATGGCGGAACAATAGGAGAAAGAACAATAGAGTCCAAAAGTAGAACAAGGGCCACTTGGCCACAGGAACAATGCAACAAAAGAAGTGTGGCCGGAGCTCTGCTCTTGTCCGATTGCTCCGCAATTGATACAACCATGTGGTCACATGGTGTGGTGGCTCCCGCCACCGGGGGATCGTCCTAGGCCGACCAGGGGACTGTGGCAGAGCACATTGTGACATACCCCCCCTGATCTGCCAAGTCCCACAGGGAGACTAGGACACCTCAATACCCATCCCAGTGCGACAGAATGCGACCTTGGGGGCAGGCAATGGCTTGGTGAGACAGTCTGCAAGCATGTCGGCAGTGGGGATGTAGGAGGGCTTGATGCGCCCAGCCTCGACAGTGTCTCTGAGCCAGAAAGTGCGCAGGTCGAGGTGCTTCATGCGCCCATGGTGCTCAGGATTCTTGGACACACTGATGCTCGACTGGTT